CATACTACTATATTCGAATTTGGAAGAGTTTCCGGAGCTAAAAGGGCCAGCATGTGCAGCGCCTGGATCGGTTACGTCGCAGTAAGATCCAGGGGGAAAGGGGGGGGGAAAGGTATGGTATGTCGGTGGTATAAACGCCATCATTTTTCTAAAGAAATAGGGAAAAAAAAGAAAAAAACGTCTAGGGGGGGGGGGGGGTCTGGGGAAGAATAATCTGTTTGCTTGGTACGGGAAAGTAACCTTGTTTCTTGACCGAACAGGGACAGCCCGAGATGATGACTTGCACAATTATCTCAATTCCCTACCTAGGTACCCTATGTCAGACTCAGCAGCGGTTCGTGTTTCTAAGACGTATGCCTAGGTACATATTATATGTAAAGTTGCACTGCCGCGTTCGGATTCACTACATACATAGCATTGTACGCACATAATATAACCATATGCAGTATCAGCAGCATCGAATGGCTTTCAAGACGGTAGTTATACCTATTACCTACCTGGGTACATCCATCTCCAGAGCTGTATTAGCGGCGGCTTGGTTTACACGCTTCAGCTTCTCGGGGATCAACGCTGAATGCCAGGCTTTGCCAGTACATGTATTCGTACAGATGGATAACTATTAACTACTAGTAGGCAAGTACTAGGTAAGTATAGACCTTAATACGAGAGACACATTTGTGACAATGGGGCGAGCACATACGTTAGTAGCAAATCACTGGTCTCTTGTCGGCTCTAGACGCGGGTATTCACTGCGCCCTAATGAGAGCCCTGGACAATTTTCGACATCACACGCCCGCGCCAAATATTGCATGACAGCTGCATCCCTGTCCCGACACGTCCATTGGCTGCAGACGGCGTACGACTAGAAGCTCTACCAACCTCACCAAACGGTACCAAACGGTCCAAAGCCCGCCCAAACTTCTTCACTTAACACTCACCTCACCTTGCCCGGCAATCTTTCCAGGGTCAGGGTCGGCCTTTTTAAGTTGGAGCAGCGCTGCAGCAGAGACTTGGCGGGCAAGAATTTGGCAGAATTCCTTACCCAAAGGAGGAATAGACGTTGCCTATCAGCGTTGCACCTGGCTGTGCCGCTCACGCACTTCTACCAGATCGCGGTCCCTTTCAAAACTGAGTGCCTACACACCTAGGTACACACTGCTCTGTACTCTAGTGTAGTTATGTACTTACATACATATCCTACATAGATCCCCCCAATCAATCGTATGAACGTCCACTGTATCCTTGTGAGATTTCCCAAAATGCCCACCAACAACGAACCGCGTATCATAGGTATGTACATCCATAGTAGTGTGATATTTTGATCACGGACGCCGCGGGCAGCTTTAATGGTTTCGTGGGTTAGGTACTATTATGTAGGAGAACCGAAGGAGGGCCCCCATGTAGTAGGGCCCCCCAGGAACCGCCGCTAGGCCGCAAGAAGTGGCCTTTATTGATTTCATTCATTCGTTCATTCATTTATTCGTTCCTCCCTCCCAAAAACCTAACCACCGCGTCGGTCGCGTTGCGGTTGCCCCGTACCTACATAATAGTGTAGGTAGGTATTATTATTAATATCTAACAAAAAACCGCAACCAAGGACTCGGTCGCGGGCCGAAACCCATTAGCACTAGCTAAGCATCCACCCCATGAATGGGCCCCAATGTTTGAGACGAGAGGAGTGACAGCGAATTGAACGACTCACAATGGTGCTGGCTGGCTGGCGGGCATGGATTTCCGGTGCAACGTTTGAGGGGGCTAACCTACCTACGTCTAGCCGTTGGTCACCTCGAGAGCACACGTTTGCTACTTGCCTACGTACATGGTGTTTATCGGCCGCCACCTACATATCTTGGACGATGCATAACAAAGGTGAGTCAGCCAGTTAGAGACACTACTAGCTCAAGGCTACATATGTATATAGTCCCTGTATGTATGTCATGCCGAGGATAAGAGTGTGTGCGCGAACGAGATGAATAACATATTCCGCGCAAGGCTACCCGCCCGAGAAAAAAGTAAGTATGTAGGTACGGTATGGTAGGTAGTAGGTAAGTACCTATAATTTGATGTGGCTGCTTCAATGTTCATCACATTGCCGCTGCAGTGGCACCCAGAGCAGATTTGGTGACATCGCGTGAAGGGCGGCGGGAAAGATGATTTGTGAGTGAGAATGGGAAGAAACACCACGTCAGGACAGACAGACAGACAGACAGACAGACAGACAGACAGACAAATAAACCACCCTGTCATATTCCGTACAGAGGTATGAAGTATTCCGCGATTTCATACATGAGATCTTTCTATGTATTCAAAACCTACATAGAATATAACGTAGGCACATGCCTCGGTATCTAGGTTAGCTACCTGACTAACAACTGGTTAACTATACACATGACTATAACTATTATCTATAAATGTAGGACTTATAAGGTACCGAGCTATACTATATCTATATATATACGAGATCTCGGTAAATTTCCGAGTCTGTAGGATTTGATATCGTACCTTTCCTATAATTATGTAACTACTAGGTATATAATGACTATGAACTCTCACTTACGTTATACATAATGGCGCCTTTGATAAGTCAGATGCAAACACTTTAGCATCTACATACCTAGTACACCAATGATGTTACCTCCACTCCTTCGATATCCAAGTACCAGGTATTTATCTACGTAAGCCTGCGTAAAATCGGGAGTTGGAAAGGGGAAAGGTGAAGGCTTTTAGCGCACACACATGGCAAGATACATACGATACATACATATGTATGTACAATACATGCCTAACAATACAGCAGTATCGTTGATTGGAAAGTGCCTCGAACTCGGCTTCCAAACTCTCACATGGGCTTTCATGGGTTCGATGCTCTCGTGGGCGCCTTTGTACGCATATCCTAAAGCAACATCCTGGTTTAGCATATGTATCTTCTATCGTACAAGTACTTCGAAGCTCAGCCAGAGTCAGCCTACCTTCGCATTGCTGGCCCTCGTCTATTCTGTACCTAGTACCTAGTCCTGGGTACCAAGAGCCCAGTACCCAAGCGCCATGCCGCCCAATATTGGGGCAGGTACCAGGATTGCCGATCTTGGTCGGCCGGTACCTACTCATGTACTCAAGCAGTAACCTACATAGTTACCTACATGTAGTACCTACTACATACTTACCATGTACCTCCAGGGCTATATCGAGGCATCCCGCCGGGGGGTGGTTGATGTCTTTAATTCAAATCAAATCTTTTTGGGGGGAATGTCTCGTCGCCTTTTTCAGGACTGCAACTGTCAACTGCAGGTTAATTACTGGCTTGCATTTCAATCTTTTTAACTTGCTGCCCTCATTACTTTACATGCGTGCCATCCCATGGATTAACAAGGATTACATGGAATACATGGAATACTTAACTTACATGGAATATACATGGAATAATTGCATGGATTATATGGATTACAGATAGTTATGTACATGATTTGTACCTAGTGGCGCTACCAAATACTATGCAGTACCCTTGGTATGTATGTACTCCAGTATGTATCTCAACTTCTCAAGATCAATTGACCAGTTCAACGATGTACCTACCATAACCCAGCAAGTACTTGACTCGAGCTTGCCCTGGCTAACCTTACTTACCTACCTAGGTACCTACCCGTCCTACTACTAGTAGTACATAACTACTTTATCTATTCAATTATCAATATTGCTATTAACATAACTCATCCTTACCTTACCTTTACCAAGCAACACACATACATACATACTCCATAGACCTTTCTACCAGACCACACCAGACCTGGCTTGACCTGACCTGTCTTGTCCTGTCCTGACCTAACCTTACCGTGCATCTTGTCAATAATCAATAAAGACTGGAAGTGCTTTAAACCATCTGGGCAACTTCCCAAGCTTCCAAGGCCCAAGGTTCTCACTCCGTCTAGACCCTTCGTTGTGCTGCACTGCATTGCGCTGGCTGGCTAGCCACATATTTTCCTTATATCTTCTTATAACATACTCGCTTCAACCTACTACTGCGACTACGACTGCGACTGCAACTGCGACTGCGACTGCTAAATACTACGTACTACATGCTACGTGCTACGTGCTACGTATAGCTTTGATTACTGTTACTCAATCATCCTATCGCTAATCATCATTCCTTACTCTCCGCCCTCCGCCCTTCGTACTCTTTATTTTCTATATCTCTCTAAGCTTCCCCGCCGTATTTCCACGTGGTGCTTTGGATACGTAAGAAGGGTACCCGAGAGGAATTGTTAACGTCCGGATTTATCTCAACGTTGCGGAAGGGGGAAGAGAATAGAAGGAGGAGATACCATTCATTGCTTTGATCCCCGACTAACAGGCGCAGCGGGCAAAAAAATTAAAAATTGAAATAATCGCGCGTTAAATCACCAAGCGCTGGGACTTCTTTGTACGCAATACAAAATAAGGAAATAAGAAAACAAGCATTTCCCGGCGCAAGGAACGAGTGGGAAGCAAGAACAGCAATCCAATATAGTTGGTTTCGAATCTCGAGCAGTTACGTCGTGGACCGTTCCGCACGATAATCATCTTGATTATTATTCTCCAAGGCATTTCAGACAGACACATAGTATATTCGGCTCCAACGATCATTGCCAACAAAGCAAAGGACAATAATCCCTGGATAGGAATACCTTAGCACGACAGCCAAAAAGTGCAATTGCTTAGGCGCAGCAGCCCATGAGCTCCCAGCTTGCAGCTTTGCTCACACCGCAACATAAGAGTACGCACGACGTACCGCACCAGCCCTTGCACGTCGGTCGTATTACGCACCTACATTCAAAAGGAAAAAAAAAGAGGTGCGGTTCGCCCATTCCCACTCGCTTACACACCAAATCGCCCCCGCGCACTTGACTCGCCTTCAAAGTTCTGCGCAGCTTTAAAAAGACAAAATTTAAGTTGTCGATCACTCATTGTTCGGCGTCACCACAAGCGCAAAGATCCGGCTTTTATCTAATTGGAGTATACACGTCCTCTTTTTCAATGTGCTAACATTTAGAGGCTCTGATTAAAAAGAAATCTCGGTGTCTTATACTGCGACTGCTGTGCGGAATCAACATCTATTAACTCCAGCTATTTACGATATCCAATTTATTTTCATCTTACTCTCAGCGTTTCCCCGTTTCAACTGCTAGCTCTTCGAAGGAGCTAGCCCACACGCCAGCACACGCTATACACTACACACTTCAGCTATAGCCTGAACTGTGTTGGCAACCGTCATCAGTTTCGAAGTCCGTGTTTAGTGCTTGCCTTGGATCTGCTGGACCTCGGATGCCGGTTGCGGCGTGGTTGAAAATTTTCATTACATAGTAATTGTGATCTTACTATTTACGTCTGGGATAGCAGGCTCCTATGCACCTCACGCTAGATTATTGGGCTGAAGAAATTGTTGGACGAAATATGGCAACTTTTACGGCCTTAAACGGAGGCGAACCAAAAGGCACCGAACGACATAGTAGCAGTCCTACTTCGATACATGCGGTTTCTGAGGACCACCCCACTCGTCAGATTCTCGTGCAGGACCCTAAGGTTCGAGACGTTTCTACTGGGCAGAGGGAGCACTGGTCGCGGACCAGTCCTGATCGGCCGTCCTATCAGCCCGCTGTGTATCCAGAGGTTGAAGGAGCTCATAAGCGCAAACGTTCGCCCTCAGACGAAACTCTCGGAGAGCTCCGTAGAAAAAGTGCCCTCGCTCGAGACCGGGAGCAACAACCTCACACACCGCATACGGAGTCACGTGATCCATATTCTAGTTCTCAGCGCGAGCGCGAGTATAGGCAATATAACGAAGAGAATCGAGGGCATCACGAGGTTTGGTATGCGCAACAGGGGAATTCAGATGACCGCGCCTCGTATGATCCACAAGGATCCACGAGCTTGATAGCCTCTCCGACTGATGAGCAAATTGGTGACACTCTTCGAAGAGCCAATGCTCATATGGAGAACCAACACGACTACCAGGCGACAAGCCCCGACGGCGATGATAGCTCTGTGATCTACGGAAGTGCCTCCTACACGCCGGAGCAGAGGAAAGGGGATTCTATGATTCAGTCAGATCCTAAGAAAAGGAAACGAAATTTCAGCAATAGAACAAAGACTGGGTAACTAGATTTCGCTATCTTCATTTTCTTTTTATACCAAGGCCCCTTTTGCTGACTTGTTGGTATGGTGTGGCCGATTTGCATCCTCTTAGGTGTTACAAGTATGCAAGTACCTCAACACCTAAGAGCGACGCATCGGTACTCCATACGAATACGTATAGTTGCTTAACTTGTCGAAAGAGAAAGAAAAAGTGTGATGAGACGAAACCCCAATGTGAGTTGTTATAGGTGGCTCTTTTCGAACCTCTCTTGGACGTGAAAATCTTGTTTTCGTTTACTTATAAAGTGAGTAGGCACCAATTGTGTCCGAGGCGGGTTTGTGTGCCACGGATATCCAAACCAACGAGGCTATCCTAAGATGGAGAATAAACCTGCGGCTGTTCCGCTTGAATCCAAGGACCCCAGCTATGTGCCACCTGGTGCCTACGGGATGCCCCAACAGAGTAATTATTCGATTCCACCCCCGCCGCCTCCAAAGCGTGATCCGCCTGTTCAACCCTATCGCGGGCAATCTCTTCGGATAGAACCAGTGCAAGGCCGGCCGATACTAGCAGACGATAACCGACAGGTGCCCGCAACGCTTCCCACCCCAACCCCTTCTGCCACAAGTCCGGAAAACAAACTATCATCAATACCTTACAACAGTTCGACAAGCGTGTTTCCTACTCCAATAAGCGCCACAAGCACTAATATGCAGCTACCAACACCACTGAGTAGTGTCGACCGGCACAAAGACTACCAGAGAGTACCGCCGTTACACGATATCACACGCACCGAACACGAAGTCCCGCATTCTGCTCCGCTTCCGCAAATCAATATCCTTCCGCCAACTCGAAGCAGCAGCCCACCACCTCCATCACAGTCGCAATCTCACCCTACGTCTGCACCCCCGCCTCCTCCTCCGCCACCTCCTCCGCCTCCTCCTCCAGCCCCGGCGGCGGCGACAACAACTGACCCCCGGGAAGCAGCACGACTTGCCTTGTCACATCACAATTTCCCTCCCGAAAAAGAGAGAACTCAGAAGGAAGACATGCTCCTAGGGAACCAATACTATCCATTTGACGAAGAACTTGTATTAGAGAGACAACGATGCAGCGCCGCGTGTTTCAGGTTTAACAATTCTACGAATCCCAATGTTGGAGTTTCAGCGTCTGAACGATCACGCCTCTTCCGGGAGATCTTAAACCCAACAGAGCCCATCTTCATGGATCCGCAATTGGCTTCAACCATCACCAATGTTGGAAACGTAGGGCAAGAAGTAGTAGTTGAGGCGCCATTTACCTGCGACTATGGCTACAACATCGCCATTGGAAACAACGTATTCATCGGCCGAAATTGCACCATTATCGATCCTATGGACATCGTCATCGGCAATAACTGTTACATCGGTCCGAATGTCAGTCTATTCGGCGGCACGTTGCACACTGACCCGAAGAAGCGCAAAGGCAGTAAGAGCCCACATCTAGGCGCGCCCATATACATCGATGACGACGTATGGGTAGGTGGAGGTGCTATAATTCTCCTCGGTCTTAAGATTGGAAAGGGGGCGACGGTTGCTGCTGGCGCAGTGGTCACCAAAGTAGGTTCTCCGGTTAGTAGTCTATCATTAAATTAGATGCTAATGATAACGTAGGATGTGCCACCATTCACTGTGGTCGCTGGCAATCCGGCTCGAGTAACTCGCGGCGCCATCAGTTGACAGGATATAAGTTGAATATATCTACTTGCCGTTCTCTCGGGCCTACGCATGCATGCGTGTATTTCGATATTGCAGAACCCTAGTACGCCTTGCGGGTATCGTATTCGCCAGCCGAAACCTAACGTCCAAACGAGCGTGGATCCAGATAACCTTGCCTAGCTACTACGATTTCCAAAAATATCCTTCGACTTGGGAAGTTTCAAGAGATTAGAATACCAACGCAGGCGGATTCGACGACGATGCCTTTCATGGCACACAGAACATGGATATATACCAAGGATAGAAAAGGTAACCAGATGGCTCTGGCAGCTATCCATAGTACCGGTGTTTTGGTAGCAAATAGGGAGGGAGGCACTTGTCCCGTTTTTGTTCATATAAGCATGGAAAGAAAGTCCATATATACACAGCGGGGAGCCATTTGGGATTCCCTGCTCTTGCATCTTGGAAAGGAACTACGGACAAAGCGAGGCAAGGCAAAGGCCTTTTTATGAGAAAACGGCCGCCCATGAGGAGTAACGAATATCACCTACACGCTACACGGACAGTCAAGAGTCGGGGAGTTGGGAGAGAAAGGGAAAAGAGAAAAAGGAGAATAGGAAAGGGGGTAAAATCAGCGTTACCTAGGTACTGTGCCTACCTACCTGTGTTGACATGGGTTATATACTATATAGCTGGATCCTAAAATGCCCCCCCACCTACCAAATCGCCCGGGTGTTGAAAGAAATGAAGGTATAAAAAATTCCAAAAAAAAACATTTTCAAGGAAGAAAGGAAAGAAAGAAAGAAGACGAGGATTTTTTCAAACATATTAACGAGGGTAAAAAATACAATACAAGGAAGATACCTACCTACCTATGCATGTATGGCTAGGTTAGGTTAGGTTAGGTTAGGTCACGCACGCTATACACTAGATCTATCTATGTAGGTTCCAAGATACCCAGTTTCTTCTTTTTACCTACCTACCTACCTAAATCATGCTTCTGCTTCTGCTTCTTCTGGTCGTGTTTGTTTAGTTTAACTACTACGCACCCACCTACCTGCCTACCTACCTGCCTTATCACAATTGTTATCCATATTCATCCATATTCATACTAGGCTAGGCTAGGTGTGTAGGTAGAATGCGGCGCGTAGGCATAAACTCCGACGTGCCCAGTTGATTGATACCTAGCGGGAAGTTTCTGTCGTAGGCTCGTAGCATTGTCACGATACGGCATAGTGGTGTGGTGTGGTGTGGAGTGGTGTGGATTTAAGGGGTGTCACGTGATTACATATGTATGTATGTATAGTTATGTACATAGTTATCTCATCTCACCCTGATCTCGTAACATTGGTTTGGTGCCTATCCAGGTTGTCAACACAGACACATGCATACATATACCTACACAGGCAAGTGATAATTTACCATGAAGCATGTACAGAAGGTTATTAAAGTAGGATTATTTTCATTTCACAGCACCAACTAACTAGCCGACCATGGCGGGCATAAGCACCAGCCACCAGCCATGCTATAATACGCATTCGGTCTCGTCTCGGTCTCCTCACTTTCTCGTCTCTTCCACTGTGACTGACAACTCGCCATGCTAGCCTCTCGAGTGCGTCCATCAGGTGTATATCAGCAGGTATTATGTTGTAACCCATTACTTCTTCTGTCTCTTAACACTCTTGTCACTTATACCACTCAATACACTGGCGCTCCTCTTATTTCCGTTACTACTTTCTGGTCTGTCACCCTTGTCTTCGGTGGCCTCCGTAGTCTTTGGCGCGGTATTTACGTCCACAGACATATTGTTCTCGCCGTTGTCATCATCAGAAGTATTACCATTTGTAGCAGGCGCTTTGCCATGAGCCTTCTTCGAAGCGACGGGTGAGGCAGTAGCACTGGCTTCATTAACGGTTCCGCTAGTACCGTTCACCGCACTCGACCCTTTTATTCCCTCGCCATTATGGTTGCCATTAGACCCTCCAGCTTTACTCTCCGCCTGTGAAGGGGCCAAGGTCTTCTCACGTTCGGCTTTCTTGGCCCTCTCCAGCCGTACCTCAGCATCGATCTTGTCGTGCATCTTGCGCATGTCCAGTAGGACACCGATAGAGTTGAGTAGCTTCTCCATTTCTTCTACCACTGCTCGAGTCGGCATGTTGAGCCTGCCGGGGATGTCTAGTTCGGCTAGGGTATTGGTGATGCGCTGGTGTTGGGCATTGCTCTTTGTGGTAAGAATCTTATTGATCCGCTCATAACGGAATGTGGGCCCTGACGGTAGACGGTCATGGTGCGATACACCGTATATATGTTCTTCCTGCTCGCTGAGCTTCTTACGTTCTGGCTGAGCACCTTTCTTAGTGGGTCTCTCAGGTCGTTCACTTCCTCCAACGGAATCACGATGACCTGTTGAGGAAGCCGCAATGCTCTCCCGACGTGTTTCTGATACCGGCGTAGTGGTGGCAGGACCGGAAGTATGAGCTGGGGGATGGGCTGATGCCGGTGTAACTGTTCCGTTGGCTTCCATAAGCGACTTGCGTTTCTTAGTCTTATCAACATTCATGAGGTTCTGAAGGAGTGTCTGTAGCCCGGTACTAGACTTGAACGCATTGATGTCTTGTTCTGTATGGGGGTAGTCTAGCCGGTTATACAGCTCGCGGCGTTCTTGGTTAAGCCGCTCTTGACGAGCAAGAATTCTGCGCACTTCGATGAGTAGTAACTCCTCCTCCTGGGCCTCGTCCCTCGACCTCGACAGAGCATCAGCTGCGAATTTCTTGCGCTGTGTTTCTGAGATCGGATTGAAATTAGCCATGACCTCGTGAAGCGCAAACTCGGCCTGAGTCATGTATTGAACAGGTTTCTGGACTGCCATCATCTTGGCTGCTACTTCATAGTATCGAGACTTCAAGTCCTCCATAGTTCGGACCTTGGTCGCTGGGACTACGGCGGTGTTGGGATCGATACTATCGGCTTCCTCCCCATTCGTTACCTTGTCTGGGGGCTTTGGATGATATTCATAGCGGTCCCATATAAGGGGCCAACGGAGGTCAAAATCCGTAGCAAGGCCAAACAGGTAATCGGTCTCGTCCTTGGTCCAGTCGTTGCTCTTTAAATTAGAATTGTATTGATCATCACTGTACTGCGGTACGTCGACCTGCACATTGAACTTGGCGAACCCCGAGTCTTCAGGCTGCTCCGGCTTTTTCTTTGTCTCTGCCTCATCTTGATCTATCACACCATTCTGCTGCTGTCTCGCCTGGTCCTCGGTTTGCTTCCTCCAATGTCGCAAATGTAACGACTGGTCGTCTCGGGCCGAGTTGCGAAAGGGTTGTAGGTCCCATCGTGCAGCGGGCTTCCTGCTGCCAAACCTCCGCTTCTTGAAGGATGATATTTCTTGGACAATGGCGATGGGGTTATCGCCACCAAGATTTTGTACCTCTCTTGCCAAACCCTTCAAACTTTGACGCGGGACACCGATCTTCTGTTTCTTAGTGGGGCGCGATGTGTTATCGAGTGGTAAGCTGAGGACCTCTCGGAGATCGTGTGAGGCCATCTTTAATATTGGATAGCTAGAGGAAAGCGAGACATGTGATTTTTATTGGTGAGCGAAGTAAGCAGGAAAGCTAGCAGCAGCTCGAGCATCGGTTAGGGACCAGAAGGTGGGGAGGTAGTGAGGAAGTTATTACAACAAGAAGATAATATGTAGTATCTACTACAAAATCATTTACGTGGTAAGGCACATGACAAAATGACAAAATAGGATATCTTCTGGATGATGAATTTCCAGCGTTGACGCGTCAAGTTTTGATGGCTTCAAATGATATTCGCGATCGGGGTGATTGATGAGGTTGAGTGTTGATGAATTGATGAATTGATTAATTGATTAATTGATTGAATGTACAAATTCAATTTGGGCGGTTACTACGCCGGTTAGGTGGTAAAAACACGTGACTGGAAAGCTAAGCAGGCCTATTTAATGCGGTCAACGAATCTAATCAGCTACTAGATAACTATGGTAATCCCTGTCTTGGCCAGTTTTTCGAACGTGGCACCTTGGAAATCGGGAAACGTTCCAAGGTTTGGAAACATTTCAACTTACGAAACTTTCCAAAACCGCGAACTTCCACATCGACGACCACCACCTCTTATCCCAACCTCCACCATCCTTGCCCGCGACCCAACTTGACTTAAATAAAGCTAGGATACGATCAGTTGAGAGAAGCTTTTCCAGGTTCAACAAAAAAAAGAAATAAGGAAAAAAGGAAAAATGAGGGCGCTTCTCCCCCTCTTGATGCTGGGCTCCGTCGCTCAAGCACTACACTTCTTCCTCGACGGCACCACCCCGAAATGCTTCTTCGAGGACTTACCGAAGGATACACTGGTACTCGGACACTATGCAGCCGAGGAGTGGGACGACAACACCCAATCATGGTCCAGACACGACGGCATCAGCATCTACATCTCGGTCGATGTCAGTACTAAACCACCTTTCCATTTCTCTCTTTGTTTATTATTCTTTTTCTTTTCTAACACAAAAAATGTAGGAAATATTCGACAACGACCACCGCGTAGTCTCCCAGCGAGGGCAGGCCTCGGGAAAGTTCACCTTCACCACGGCCGACGCCGGCGAGCACAAGATCTGCTTCACCCCTAGCAGCAACAGCGGCCGCACCGGCTGGCTCAGCGCCCTTCAGCCCAACGGCGGCATCAAGTTGACCCTCGATCTCGCCATTGGCTCTAGCGAGATCGAGTCAACCGACAAGTCCAAGCTCCAGGACATTTCTCAGCGCGTCCGCGACCTCAACGCTCGTCTGCAGGACGTCAGGCGCGAACAGATCTTCCAGAGGGTAAGCAGCGATCCCCCTCCCTCCACTTTTCTGTTCCTTTCTCTTCTTTTATCCCCTTAAGAGTTGATTTTCTTGAGTTACGTGCTTGATATATACCAAGACTACACTCGATGTCATGAAGCAGCTCTCTGCCACCAATCAGTCAAAGAAAATCAAAGCTACATCAGTCCCACCCCCTATTACCAACACAGCCCCCAAAATCATAGTACACCACGCAGCACAATTCACTAACGTCGCATCTTAAAAACCCACAGGAACGCGAAGCCGAATTCAGAGACCAATCCGAAACGACCAACTCGCGCGTCGTGCGCTGGATGGTCATTCAGCTCGTCGTCCTCGGCATCACCTGCGCCTGGCAGCTATCGCATCTCCGGTCCTTCTTCATCAAGCAAAAGCTTACCTAAAAACCGGGAACCCAACCAATGCAAAAAGGGGATAAATGATTTTTTTTTCCTTCTCCGCCAAAAAAGCTGTTGGTCGTGATTTGGTAGACAACGCTGGGAGTTCTGGGAAGGGTTTTGTTTGGTTTTGGTATGTGGGTAGGTAGGTAAAGGGGTTACCTACCTACCTACCTACTTGAGATGCCTAGGTGTCTAACCTAGGTGCTTATACCAATCTACATAATATATGACATGGCATGGCATTGTATGTTTGTATGGTATGCATGTATGTACGAACAAGCTATCGCGTAGGTAGCTATCTACCTAATCCAACGTGGTTCAGGCGACCCGGCCTCTGCTGTAGTAGACGATAGGGGGTGAATGACGGAGGAAAATGACAACGATATGGGGGGAGGTCAAAGGAGAGTGGACTGGGCTGCTTCAGGGGGGTATAAATACTACTTGACCTCAAGCTAGCTAGCTGCCTTGCCTTGCCTTGCCTTACCTGCCTATCTGCATAGTACCTACTTAACTACCTCCTTATGTTGTTGTGCTTGTGGATTCAGACACTTGACAAATGGATGCAGTTGTTAACCCAACATATCCCCATCCATTAATACCTATCTATCTATCTTCACCAGCCTAACCTAGTCAGTAGCAAAAGAAAAAAAGGAGAAGAAAAAAAGTAAACGCTTCGCTTGCTTGCTTGCTTGCTTGCTTACATACCTACCCACACGCTCACTCGCCTCCACGAATGTCTTACCCTTCCTTACGGAATTGTCGCGAATCCAGGGGAAACAGCCTAGCCAACCTAGCCTAAGTAAGTAGCCTACATAGGTTAGTGGCTACTAGCTAGCATAACCTCCGGGGCTTGAAGTAGGTAACTAGTATCTAACCTAGCTAGTAGTATCTAGTATCTAACTTACATACTATCCAAGGCAGCTAGCTACTAACCCCCTACATAACCTACCTAGTCAGCTAACACACGTATGTAGTGCATAGTTATCGTGTATCGTACTATCGTGTATATAAGTCCGTAGGTACCTAGTTATTTAGTTAGTTTATTAGCAGCAGTCGGGGAACGCGGGCCTTAAAACACTGCCTCGGCGTTCTGCATCTATGTACATATGTATCCAACTACATACCTTTTAGATTCTATGTAAGTAAGTACATAGCCTAGGTTAGCCCAATATTTAGTTATATGACAGCGAATACTAGAACGCACCTAGGTGTGTAAATGTACATACGACAGCGCCATACTAAAAAAAGTCATACACGTATAGCTTTAACTGTAATTAGGATTTGTATTATTAAATAAAGTGGATTGATTGATTGATAAAAAAAAACAACACAAGTCGACAACCGTTCAACAACGACAACAAACAACAAGGGGGGTTTCAAGAGTCTTAAGACAGACTTCAAGACAAGAAAACAAGACACGATGCCACATAAACAGAATGCTGAAGCGCCCTTTTTTCAACAGAAACAAGTCAAGTCATGATGTAGCTGGCAACGTCAAAATCATTATAATGTCTCTTTTTTGCCCTATGTCCTCTCCTAGCATCGCAAAAGCCTGGGGTGTTTCTCACGCATTGTTTCTGCGAGATCATCCTACTATGGCCACTCTGCACTTCTCCGTACTTCGTATACTGCTTCTGCTTAATACACAGCCCGTCCCCGCACTCGGGCCCATCTCTCTCACCTCTCTCTCCTGCTCTTCTTAAAATTATGATTGGTGTATAAGGGGACGGATAACAGAACATACGAAACCCGATCCCAATGCTCGCCAACGGTTATAATTCCACCAGCGCCGTGCTGCGCTCTACTGATTAAACAGCCTGTTTCTATCTCATCAAAAACGAGAGTCGTGAAAGGAAAAAGTAATTCGTAAATATCTCGGGGCGTGCCAACCTGAGATCCTAGAGGGAATTCATGCGTAAAAAGGTTTCTTCTTCGCCCGTTATCCTCGGGCAGTATTATTCAAGGATGCACATGCGCACGACAATTCTGGTGGTGATTCGCGAGGTGAGTGTGGTTTTGCTGCGCCGTGGATTCAAAGTTTTGAACACAGCGGTTCTGTCCCGTGTAGGCTCTCGGACCATGCATCCGGATTCCAGAAACGGCAAAGTGACTATAGTGGGTGGCAACATGTAGCGACGGAGACGTAATAGGAGTGATCATCCGCAAACGTGGAAGAACAACGACAAGTATTAAGAGTGGTATAAACCGGCCCAAGGAATCTCAAGTAACGTCTCTAGTCTATAAATCACTAGCATGCCATGATGATATGCGTTTAACCTAAACACCTATCAGCTCTATACGCCCAAACAAACAAAAGCATAAACAAAAGGCTGCGGAGTCCTGACTAACCGCAGCAGAGGACCTTCATGAACTTTTGGAAACCTGTCGGTTGAGGTTCCGATGATCTTCCATTGCCGGCCACTGGTGAGCTCATGTTTACTTGCGTGCCCATTCTCGGGGGCAAGTTTTGGTTGCTGTTCTGGAACTGGGCTTGAGTTGAAGGAGTTGGTGTAGCCATGTCCCGGAGACCCCCCACCGTGCTACCTCGCTGGGCCCCCAAGGCGCCGGGGGCGTTTGGCCGGCGCTTGTCCGTCGGCCTGGCTGGAGACGGAGGTGGGGGCTGCGCGGCGTTTAAACGCTCGTGGGTAAGGCCCGCGGGTGTGTTTGCACGAGATTGGTTATGTAGTTCTCTAGCAGACATACCCGGCTTGTTAGGGTTGTGGTAAGGTCCTGGTTTATGCATAGCATCCCAACCCTTAGACGACTCCTTGCTAATCTTCATCCAGTCATACTCGCCGTCTTCTACTTCACCGGTGTTCTTAAGAGCCTGTGTGAAGAGTTCCCGCAAGTAGTCGTAGTCAGGTGTGTCCTCGAAGCCAAGATTTCTCACGTAGGTTAGGTATTTGTTAAATTCCTCTGGGAAACCTTCGCAAAGATCCTTGATCGGTGTCGTCTGCTTCTTCTCGCCAATCTTCTCATACTTCTGCTTGTTCGTCGCAGCCTTCAGGCCCTGCCATGGTAATCCGCCTCGCAGAAAGTACATGAATACGTGGCCAAGTGCTTCGAGATCGTCTCGCCGGGATTGTTCTCGTCCCAAATGGGTGTTGATACTCATATAACGTGCGGTTCCAGATAAAGATTTTCGCTCTCGGTAAGGGATGTGTTGCTTTGTCTTCGGGTCTCGGTATTGTTTGGCCATACCAAAATCGACAACATGAATCACATTGGCAGCCTTAGTTCCAGGACGGCCGATGAGAAAGTTATCGGGCTTGATATCTCGGTAGATGAGGTTCTTCTCATGGATGGTTTGCACGCGAGAAAGCTAAGAATTGAGTCAGTACTTGAAATTGTGGTAGACCACCAGACAAAACGCGGATAAGAAAACTTACCATCTGTTTCGCTACCATCACCACAGTCTTGATTGTGAATCTGCGGTTGCAGTGGTCGAAGAGATCCTCCAACGATGGTCCAAGTAAATCTATAACAAGGATGTTATGGAGACCCTCTTGACCGAAGTAGTAGACATTAGGAATACCGGCTATAAAATGGACTGGTCAATCACACGATATCCTTTCAAGATGGTAACACACTGATGGTATAAACTTACGGCAGCCGACGAGGATCTTGTAAGTACGATATTCATCTCGTAATTGTGGCGCGTCGCTCTTTCGTGGTTCCTAAAATTTTGCCTTCCATTAGAATTGTTGTCCTTCCATCTACTCTTGATACGATGGAGTGTCTGGAGATTGGCTCGAGGAGAAAGAAGGGCCGACAGGTCAAAAGCATAAGGGAATATGGAGCAATGTACTCACGAATTTAATAGCAACTTGTTGGTTATTCAACAGATTGGTGCCCTCAAAAATAACACCAAAAGAACCTTCACCGATCTTCTTTCCGACCCGATAGTGGACACCCACGACGTTCGACGACGAGGAGGCCATTGTGGGATATGTCCAGGACTGCTGTCGCCAGCGCTAGATAGGAGTTGCCAAAAGGACGGGACGGGAAGGCTAGACGGCTGAAAGGTTATTGTCGCTGGACCGACAGGAGTATCTACGATACTCGAAAAGACTCAGGAAAACCGAAAGCTCATCCCTCGAGTAATGTTGATTGATCAGGACTCGAGTTAATGAACTGACGGGCAGCCAATCCTTGCCAGGTTATTGTTGAGTTGAATTGATCGGTCGGAAGGGAATGAAAATGACAAGCTGAGAAAGTGAAGATCAGAAAGGGAGGAATTTGGGGGAGAAGCGGTCGGGGAACGGCAGTGGCTCGAAGGTGGCTCTAGTGGCTCAGGAGCACCAGAAGTAGAAAGTACAAAAGTTGCAACTGAAAGATGTACCGTCAGAAGTACAGAAGTACAGATGTAGAAAGTAGAAAGTCCAGCCCCAGGTGTTTTAGGGTGCCCAGTGTGAGTGGTCTTAGTTCAATGTTGGCCCCGCTGCGCCGCGGCCCTTTTTGGCCGTTGTTGTTTTTGCACAACTAAAAAACCCAGGCACTAAACCTAGGCAAGGTTCCAGGTTGCTTAACTCTTTTTTTTTTTTTCCTTTTCTTTTTTTTTAGCGTAATACTTAGGTACAATTATGTACCTGACCAGTTCTGCATCAAGGCAAAAGTACTTCGTACCTGTCAAATTGCGGCGTGTTTTAGGCGGGGCTTAGGTAATTTTAAGTAGTGCTAGGGGTCAACCGAACTACTTGTTAAAAGGGAGGCTTTACTGAAAACGGGGGAGTGAGGATGGCTGGGCATTGGGGCATTGGGGCATATGGAGGAACGATTAGTGCCAAGACGTCCCAGGCACCTTTTTAAAAGTCAGGGGTCCGGGCCTGAATTCCAACAGGAACAATTCAATTGTCAACTTGAAGTCACTCCAGTCACTCACTCCAGTCACTCACTCACAGTCCATCAGTTGCTCGAGGAACTGCAACATTACTGCACTGCACAGTGGTGACTTGCACGTACATATGTACAAAATAGTCAGATATGCTCAAGCCTCAAGCCTTATAAAAATAGTCCAGATGTCACTTATAATTTCGAATTACAGTATTAGTTATTGCCACGGCTATTTCTGCATGAGAATGTTTTTCATATTAGATCCATTTCGGTATTGAATCCATCCATTATTTCTTTAATACAGACTATGTACAATACCCTGAGGCCTGTCAGAGCAGCAGGGCTGCCAGGTGCGGACTAAGGAGGTACTGTAATATCTACACTGTACCGAATAACCTTGGAAGTGTCGGGCTACCCGTCCTGCCCGTCTGCCTCCGTGACCCCTATATGTATACATCGTTGATGGATGCATGTATGCACAAATGCCAGCCTGCCAGGCGTTGCCAAGATGTGTATCATTGATGTATGTATGTATGTATATTCAAACCTACAATCACAAACATTGAAGGTACTGCATACATACATGTATTACATACGTAACAAAAGGCAAAGGCAATTTCAAAATCAGGAAATCAGGAAATCAACAATTGATGTTGTGCATCCGACGTTGTTTTTGTTAGACAACCACCAGCCAACGCAGCCAATACAACCAACACAGCCTTGAATTGTCTGCCATTCAATGCTACCAATGCTACCTATCTGCCTTATCTAGACGAATAGATAAACCAGTGACCTGACCTCTTTTTCTCAAACTGCGAATCATCTCCAATCACTTCAGGGAACAAAGTCAAATGAGAGGGTCACGCAGCAGATGGATGGCCGATGGATTGATTGACCTCGAGGTCGCTGGGGGCGCTAAGCTTGGAAACTACCGCAAGCAATGCATTGCATTAATGATCGACCATTGCTAACCAGCCGTGCGTGAGATCCAATCCTCACCTGAACCTGAAGTGATTTATTAGTTACATATACCTAGTAGTTACTCTTTAAGAGATTCAAAATACTTTGCCTGCATAGTTACTAACTTACTATGTGTATGTAAGTATTTATCTTATTTGCTTCAATGTTTGTTTGTATTTCGTTGAAAATGAATATTCTATGTACATTGTACATATGTAACATTAAATCTTTGAATCTTTTAAATGTTTATTAATAATATTTTCCTTCGCCCTTCGGTCTTACGGTGTTAAACTCTCGATGGCTTTTTCTTTAAAATGAAGCTTTGCCGCACCGAAGAAAACAAGAAACCAATAAGGAGAAAGGGCCCATATCAAGGTTGCATACCCCTAACCAATACTAGTTTAGGTCGGTAATTGAAGTTTCCAGTCGGGCCAGATCTCCATCGAGTGCCAAGACTTATGTATACATGTATTTCTTATGTATCCTTTTTTTTTTTTTTTCCTTTCACTTTCAATCTTCACATTTCTGATTTCTGATTTCCTATTTCTTGTTTCTTCTTTTTCATTTAAATATTGTGATGCTTCTCATCTTTTTCCTACAAGGTTTAATGTTAGCTGGTGACGAATAATCTAATGATAATAAAAAATGGAAAACCCCTACACATTATCACCGGCTTCATCTCATACATATTAATGATTACTCTATTGCTTTTATGGATTGATTCACGGCATTCACTGCATACGGTGTAGTTATCGGCCACCCCAATTATTATTTATTTTCTTTCACTGTTTCTAGAAGCTGGCTTTCAGCTAGCGAAATTGGCTTAACCCCCCAGGGGGTCTCTATTAATATCTCAAGGGCGAAGCATTGAAGCAAATTCAAGCAATGATCTTCTACTGTACCTACCGTGCTTTGTAACTTGAGGCGCTTTGAGCTATGTAAAAGCTTCGATTCAATTGTCCACCTATGATAGGTTCCCAATCACCGCTCATTGATCCATGACCCGAGGCTGGGCTGACTACGCTCATACAAATTATTAACTCAGATAAGTACAAGCTTGTGATTGAGATTGACCATCGATCACCAACCGTTGGGCAAAGTCTCGGATGTCTACCTCCCTACTCCGAAGCTCGAACAGTCGAACTGGCCAACTTACATAAGTAACTTAACTACATTATGCAGGTTACGAAATATACTAACCTAGGTTACATACATATCGCCATTAAAAACCCCATGGGAAAATAAGGCTTGCCTTCAGATGTCTTCGTCAATATACTACATTACACGTGTTTGCAATGACCAGAATAGGGTCTCGTAACAGGTGGGCCTCGCTGACAACTCACCAAGAGGCAAGCAGTTTGCTTTTCGTGTCAAACGACACGTCGGGCCACCAATGCCTGCCAAGATCGTCCATACATAAGCTGAAAACAGCCTCATACATGCCGAGTTATCCCGGGTGAGTTATAGCTGAGTTGTGGGGTTTCAGATTAAGTGACCTTTTAGACGATCCCAACCAGCAAAGATTGACTCCGGCTGTCTTGAAGTGTAAAGGCCTGGATAGTTCCTGTTTCGACTTCATCCCGGATCGCCATACATACAAAGCCATCAAGTGGCCAGCCGCACCACTCTGTTTACATATAGGAGCGAGCCCTTCAACGCCTCACCCATGGGCATATACTCGAAATATAGCCCACTTGAAAGAAACACGGAGTTGGTCATTGAACTCATTTGCCTTCCTTTCACTCATAAATTCGCCAATTTGGTCGCCATCTACTCGAACCCATGTATCCACGCATATCACCGTTTCTCAATAAAGAAGAGCGTTCGTTCATTATCGCCATTGCCGACGCCCTCATTCGTTCTATATTAATTGCCACAAAGATCGTATGTCGCTTTCATCCAGGTGTTTGCGCTACAGAGCGATCGAATGGCACCCAACTATTCCCAAAAAAAAATTTTGATTGTGCGATATCCGCCCTTGCGCATACATAGGTAGTACCTAGATAATAGTCCCTTCGTCGTATCGTGGACCCCGGTATAGGGCTGCGGCACGGCAGAGGCCGTGTAGCTGAGTGCCTGTCTGTCTGCCTGTCTGTCTGCTGCACTAAGGTACCTACAGCCGAATCGGTAACGCTTCGAGCCTAGATTTTCTAGAAATCTTCGTTTCTCCTTCTTCAAAGATACGACCGTTATCTCTTGTCGATCACTTACTATAACCATAGGCTGATAGGCAACAGCTAAACGCTGCTGCGGTAGTTATGTACGTACATCTCGTTAATCTTTGTAGTATGTAGGTAGGTAGATGTTTAAGTTGTATTACAACGCAAGATCAGGTAACGTAGGTAGGTACATGGAGGTAGATCTATTCTTAACCCAACTCAGCCTCAACCTATCACGAATACACTTCACACACATATGTATGTATGTATGTATGTATGTATGTGCATGCATGCCTATCCTCTATGAATACCAAGGACCCTAGGTAGGTAATAGTACGTATGTATATCGGCCCAGTTGGCAAACAGCAGAACCACTATAACTACATACGAAGATCTCTTTGCCACTTTTTAGTGGCGTGGAGGTTTGATGTGTGTGTGTGTGTGTGTGTGAGTGGGAATATGTTCAAAAATCTGATATCATTTTTCGCCTCATCTATCTACGAAAGAAAAGAAAGAAAAAAAAACTTTCAAGGGCAATTAATTAGGTAGGTAGGCATGTATGTGTGTGTGCTGCAACCACTATCTAGATAGGTTCCAATGACGATGATTGATTCATTGATTGATTGATTGATATAGGAGGTCCATTGGCGAAAGGGAGATGGAGATGGAGATCTCCTGGACGATATGGTGAATAGTACTTATGTAGGTAGCTAACCTAGTCGATCTACGCAACTTGTCGAGTCCCGAATGGGTTTTTTTTCCTGCGACCTGATGGAGACGGTGATGGTTGGGGGAGGCAAGAGATCAACGCTTGGTTTTGAGGTTATTGAAATTGGCATCCCATCTACTGTACATACGTACCGCTGAGCAGGTGTTCTCTGTCGAGCTATAATGTTGCGAGTCGTCTATAGGTAGGTAGGCAGCCTCGTGCATCGCTGTCGACCAAAGCAGGTTTACTCGTAGTACCTATATCCATCTTCCCAGCCTAATGATTGATTAGATATGCCTTATGGACGGACATTAGCTCTGTTCTTATCTCCTGGGCAGACTCCTTACAGCTTAGCAGGCAAGGAGATGATATATTGAAAATACTCGGTTAAGTGGCCATCTGTTTGTGTTCTACCAAGCAATGTTATGTGATATGTCCCTACCTAGGTAGGTAGCCCTGTCAACACGCTTCCTTATTCTAGGGTCCCTGCGGCCTGCAATATGGTCCATGGATGTCCTAGGTTACCCCCTTCGAACTCTCTTATACCATCTACTCGAGATGCAGGTAGCAGATACATGTTCCCTAGTAGGTACCATCTTTCCCTTACAGCAATTCCAGGTTCGCAGTCTATTAACTGCCTCTACCTACCTCCTACATCTATAACTCACATCCATGTATCTCTTTCAACACACACCATAAGAACACCGAGATCTCTACTTTCCTCCCCTAACCCCCCATTTTCAATCACATAGTATCGCCCACAATGGTGCTTCAACAGATACCCAGGTTAGGTATAGGGGCTGATGTCAGGCACTTACCTACCTACCTATCTTAGCAGGTACTGCACGAATCGTTACGTTCAGTGAGAACGAATCCATACATCCCAACGATAGAAACCGAGAGAAATCGTTACAAAATTTACCTAAGAATAAATACTTCAAGTTGGAATCATTTCTATCACTAGGACCCATGGACTCATTGGATGAAGTTTAGAATGATTCCTGCGAATAGGGGGTTCCCGCTACGGTAGGTAGGTACCTACCAACCTAGTTAGGTACTTGCTTGCACTTTGGAAGAGTGAGCGAGTAACTATCTGACGGCATCTAGGTATTCAAGAGACTAGCCTAAGCTCGGTTTGCATAGCTCATGAGCAGGTCCATAGCTGGAAGTTACAAATCAACCTTAAATGTCTGCCTACCAGGAGGTACTCAGGTATAAGCAGCAAAGCCCTCTAGACATATACTAGTAGATTAGGTATGTACGAGCACGGGGACTTCACTTAGATTACCCATGATTAACCACGTGCCACTCACGATGCCTACCTATGTAGGTATACATAAACACGCAATGTTATGCCATGCCGTGCCATGCCATTACTCAAATAACCATGGACAGAATGCCTAATTTGTTCCTATGCTTTGCTTTTTTTAATTCCCTAATTCCCTAATACCCTACCAATACCAATACCAAGTTTCCCCTTCCCCATCCCCCATCTCACGCAATCTAATGCGGACCTAATGCTGCGTAGCCTATAATAATAATAATTCATTTTGCGTGCTGTTGATCAAGATCAAGCCCGTACTTTTCGTTGCCGTGGCTTGATAAGACATGGGTGGCTCAAAAGACAAAAGTCATCAGCCAGAGTTGTTGAGCCAAAGGTAGTTTACCCTAGGTATGTAGCACCACTGATCCAGGGTGCGGCCTGTGCTCTCACTAGGTAGGTACTCATAGTTGCACCACGTTGTTGAGCAGCCGGACCTCCTCGCCGGGGTTAAAGGCCGGAAGACCTATGTACGGACATCCGTCGCAGCGGAAGGCATCTCCCAGCGAGCAGTTGCCACATGATCCAACTTTTCCTTTCACTGTGAAGTCGACCTCGTTCAGGTCGCTGGTATCGAGCTTGAGAGCTTGGAGACTGGCATCTGCTTGCTTTCGCTTGGCCGCATCTTCTGCCTCGATCTTCTGCGCCAGGCCACATGTGCAATCCTTGCAGGCACGTCGTCGCTTGCCAACCTTGGGTACGCATTCGGCAGCTATAGTAATCATTAGTTACATAACTCTCAGGAAGGCCAAAACTATAAAAGAAGAATCGCTTACGAATAGCTAGGGGCTTGTTCAGATCCTCCTCCGTCAATAGGGTATCTTCATCAATCAACTCGTCGTCATCATCATCCTCGGGAATTCCGAAGTCATCGCTGAAATCCACAAAACCAACGCCGACCGGTGCTGGCTTTACCGCAGGTGGTACCATGTTCAGACTCGCATCTTGGCCATTGGCTTGGTGAACGGTGACATTCGTCACAGCAGGTCCTGCAGCGCTTCTCTTCTTGTTCTTTCCGAAACCCAACTTCAGAGGGACAGCGGCTGCTGCCCCATCGTCAGCCTTGGTGAAGCCGTCTGCGCCAGGCAATAGCCCGGAGAACAATGCCTCTCTCGCATCGGGGGTATTGCTGCCTTGCGCTAGAGATCCATCTTGTGCTTGAATCTTGCCGCCGACTTTGAGGGTTGAGACAATCTTGGCAAAGACGTCACGGTTCAGCAACAATGTAGATTCCGAGCGGGTGTCGTCGGCATCGGTTAGGACTAAGATCAAGTCGTATGTGGCATCGGGGAGGTTGACAAGGCCGGCAGAGAGACGGTCAAGCATCTGTAAGTCAGTGACAGAGCGGTCGTGAGCGGCTAGTACGCCATGTAGTTTCTCCTCATGGCTTGCGATAGAGGGCGGGGCTAAGAGAAGTGTTCGAGGCCCCGACGATCCATTCTGAACGGGAGTCGGTGTGAAGGTGTCAAAGTCGGAGGTGTTATCGATGGTGACGAAAGAAGGAGACATGGTGGAGATTTGAATTGCGCTCGATGCGCCTCCTTGCCGATATCGAAACAGGAAGTTTTACGAGCTTGTCAAGAGGTACTTAGGCTATTAGGGACGCAAATGATGCAAAGTGATGTTGACGATGGTATCTTTTTGGTTTGGTGGGGTAACGACTAGTAGGATGGATGTATAAATGAGGGGCACTTTAAGAGGAGAAAGTGCCAGACAGAAACTCGTAATTTTGTATCTGCTGTGTGCACGCAATCTATATTTGTTTGTTATGGTTATGGTTATGGTTATGGTTATGGTATGGTTTGGTGACGAAGGTGAGGTGAGGGAGCGATGGTGGGATATGGGATAAGATTACAAATTGGAATTTGCGAGGCGTGTAGAAGAAAGAAGCGGAGTTGATTATTGGTAATAAGAGTATCGGATTAGTTAAAAAATGTTACTAGGGAGTGAAAAAAGCCCTTTTTTTGCTCACTAAACAGTTTACTAACCTTAAACAGTTTACTAAACATAGGTCGGTACAAAGTACGTAGTCTCAGTGCAAAAATATTTCTCGACTGTGACGAAATGATCTCCGCGCAATTCTTATCAGATCCGATCGCGGCGCAACAAACAGTATACTATGCCGTAGAAATATCAACATACACACAGTATTGCTTAACTAAAAATATAGGTAGATTATCACGCCGACACAGTCTAATATATTTGGTGGACACGGTATGTTCTGCTACACCAAAGCTGCATAGTTGAAGTCAGTGTATTCGTCCAATATAAGCTTGAAAGACAACGAAGCCTCAATGACGATCCTCCGAGATCAACGACGAGTCTTTCTCCAGGTTAGGTCTAGTTACCACGTCGCGGCATTTATTTCAAGATAAGCTCAAACACCATCTGAATAACCATGCCAGATCTAGATAACATCATCTGCGGCAAGACAAGTTTGGGCTCTTGACGAACTACGGCACTATCTGTAGCTGTCCAGGTACAAATTCCCTATGGCTGTCTACCATTCTGCCATGCTACATAGATGTTTACGCATTAGGTGTAGTATTTGGGACTGGTTGCCTACCTGGTGTATACTTTGATCTTGTTACTGATTACAAGGGATTCCCTAGTTGTAGATGCTTCTAGGAATGAGAGGCTCAAGCTTATAGTTCGTAACTGCTCGATCTGTATTACTTAGGTACCTAGGTTAGTAGGTTGGGAACCTACTCGAGTCAGGGGGGATAACCTTGAGAGATATATCTAATCTCTTTATCGTTAGAGATATAAGAATAGAAAAGTGACGAGTGACGAGTAATGAGCATAGAAGCTATACAAAGGCGAAATAGCCGGAACGACCACATGACCTCCGTGGATAATGTAGGAGCACTCGAAGTGGATATGGGCCTTTGGTCTGCGACACGGATATGGAGTATTCGTCGCTCTGGCCGAAGAATCTAATTCGAAGAATCGTCTAACGATGATACTAGATTCCTAGCCCCATCTTTCTGCTACATACTATCTACCTAGTACGTAGGTCGGTACGGTAAGTAATATGAGCTAATGGACTGAATGGTAACATATTGTGCCATCCTCGCCAGATATTACTTCTCGGGAGTACCTATCTGAGATAGAAGAGTGAGCAGGTACTGCATATTTTCCACCTCTTATCGTGGCCATATTCATGTAGATGCCGCTACCGCCTTAGGCTAGTTGCTAGGAAGGTACAATACCTACCTAGACAAACTCATACATACCGCTTGCTCGTTTCAGTGTTGTCGTGTTGGCGATCGGAGAGTAGTTACTCGGCTTATCAAATGGATATCAGTTCTGGCCAGAATTATCTTGAGGTGTCGTGAGTGACCACATTCGAACCCACAGGACATTGATAACAGTCTGACCTTTACCAGCCATACATGCTAACACCTGTGTCCTCTGTAGTACACATGCAGGTAGATAAGGTAACATCAGGTAAGGTAAAGGTAGTTTCTAGATGTTTCTTCAGTGGTGACAAGAAAGAAAGTCCAGAAAGTGCCCCATCCCTGTTCTCGTCTGCGAAGTGAGCCGCCAATAAATGTGGATTTCCCCGCATTCTCACGCAGCCGCTCATCATCGCCCGGGTTAGGAAGCACACCTTTTACAGGGTTCATTGTTCCTGTATACAATAGTACATGGGACTTTTTCTGGGGTATTAGTGGGCCTGTACATGCCGTTTGCTGCCAGGCTGTCCAGTTGCAGTTGCCAGTGCGTACAACATCAAATGCTGCATGTCTCCCTTTCATTCCTTGTTCCATTTCGAATTCTCCGTCTAGACTCCCTCCCGCTTTTCTATCTTTACGTTAAGGCCGTGAACTTGATGAGAAAGTCGTTGGTAAGATAGCATTGAAGATTAACGGACGTAAATGCATACATACATAATAGTAATACAGGCTAGAAAAGGAGTCGGATGAGAAATTCCAATAATCAACGGATTGCAATGCTATGATGTAATTTAATACGAATTGAGCAAATTAAGCCGGACAGCCCCATCAACATGAGGAAGTTGAGCACCGTTATTTTGCACCGGATTGAACGGGTAAATTCTCGAACTCTCGAGATCGACAAAATACATACCATGTTACTACAAAGTATGTAGTTACATACATATGCACACAGCACCTACGTACATATCTTACCTAATTGCATTTTGCAGTTACTGAGCTAAGATGGCTGCTGACCGCCTCCTATTGGTTGGCACCAGTTTCCGAGTGATCCTTTAGACTGGGGTCCCTGTTCTTCATGGGCTTTTTTGGCTTCTCTCGCTTTCCTCACTTCCCTGTCGTCCCATGCCGCTACCTAGCTACTAGATCATTCGGTAATCGATCCCGATGGTTGTTCAAGGTATGTCTGGTACCTATACATACATAAATACTCCGTACATGCATACCTACCTACGTACATATCTCAGTAGCCATGGAAAGTGTTACGCAGGGTAAAAGGTAAAGGTAATTATTGAATTCAAAACATGAATGTTGCGTAAGAGTTGTTGTTAAATGTTTGCTGTAGTGGGCTGGTGACCCCTTTTCAGCGGAGATTCTTGAACTTTCTTCTTTCTTATGACATCTGAACTTCTGAAGCCCCGATTAAAAGACGGCGAGTGCCGTTGTTACTTTCACCGTTTCAAAGAAAACAATCGAGCCAATTGAGCGAATTGGCCAATAGGGTCATCTGCTCACATCACGTTAGGCCATTTTAGAAGCTTTGACAGCTTGCGTCAACTGGTCACGCGATCTGCTTGATGAATCCCCAATTGCCCCATCCCCATTAAAAGATCAGCTCACCCTGGTACTATACTGTACTGTCTGTACATATACCTACGCTAGCTATGCATGGAGGTAGGTATTGTACAGTACATCGCGGCTTGTGGGCCGTGATCCGCTGTGGAAAGATGGAAAGAAGGTCGTTCGAGAGCTAGCAACTATCGCGTGCCTCTCTTTGCCAATCTGTATCAGTACATCACCTTTAACATCACCTTTACATGCTACATGCTACTATGTATTCAAGCTGGATCAACTTGGATGTATGTGGTAAGTAGCTACCTGGCCTAGTACCTTGCAGCTACTCATAAACAGATTAACAAGTTAACTGATTAGGAAAGAATACACCAAAGTATGAGCACGTTAACGATGTACTGTATCTAACATACATACCAAGTACCACACTATCCTGACTCAACAATCAGGGGTCAGAAGGGGCACGAGGGTAAGGGAGGGGAGGGGCATGGAATGGGAAAGCATGATGAGGGAACGAAACAGATACATCAGAGAGGAGAGAGAGGGGACCCTCAACTTGACTCCTCAATTGACGTCGAATGTCTTAAAAGCAAGCTCACTTCCATCCATTGACCTTCTTCCAAGTCTCCAACAAATACACTCAATCACACTGAGCCAAACACATACATATCATACATATTTGACGCAACCCAACTCTTCCTTCGACTAAGAGCCATAGCCACCCCACCATCAAGATCCAATTTCATCCACCCTTTTTATTTGATCGATCGAACCGGTTGCACCACTACTACATAGACCTCAGACCGGGCAACCTTGACTTAACAGACTTGATAACCTACTTACTCTGCAGCTCTGTTCTCCTCTTCTTCGAAACATTCTCTCCCACTATTATTCTTCATCTTCCTTTCAAGAGACTTAGTCGAACTCATCTACACCCAATTCATCTTCTGATCTTCATAATCATCTCTCTCCATCTAAGAAGTCACTAGATATCCACCAACGTCCATCTGACTTCCCCCATTGGAGCTCTTTGTTAACCCCTCCTAACTATCCAAATACCTATATCAAAAGTAAGCTTACCCGGCTTCTACCTTTTGCTCCTATCAAACCCCGCAATGACTTTGGTGTGACGTACTCGCTCTTGGGTGCCCCTGGGTGTTCTTGTTGCACCTGCACCTGCACCTGCTTAACCAAGCAGCATCATCGTCTTGTAGAGCCCGTTTCTTGACGGTCGATGCCATAGAACATGCCTTATTGATATGCGTTCCTCTGGCAATTGCGTTGGACAGTTGCTAACATATGCCGTCGTTTGTAGTGACTCGTTCTCACAAGTACAACGAAAAGAACCACGCTGGCCTTGCCGAAGGCATCGTCCTTCCTCATGAGAACCTTCCCAAGTTCTTTGCCAAGAATGGCTTCGATGGTGTCGACCCCAAAAAGACCAAAAAGAACGGCGGAGGCAGGGGCAACTGGTAAGTCTACAGTTTGATATCATTATGTTCTCCAACATGGAATTGGCCTATATACTAACATATCATACTTGTAGGGGCTCGACAGGTGAAGAAGTTGTTGATGAGGACTTCAACTTTATGAATGCTCGTCGCCGCTCTAACAGCAGCACATACTCCACCCACCTCAAGGACTTCAAGACCAAGTTCGAGATCAACGAGCCTGAGCCCGTCTTCGAGGAGAGCATTCACGGCCCGGAGCCTGAAGATGACAATCTCTTGTCCAAGACCGAGACTTCTTCCAGCGCCGGAAGCTCGGCCGACGAGAAAGAGCAGAAGTAATGTGAGAACACACCTCATAAACGAAAAAAGCTCTCGCAGTCCTGTGGGAACAGGCCCCACCTCCCTCTAATTGCTATGATTATGTGTGAATATGACCAAACTACGGTACTGAAGAGGATAACTTAAGGGAAATCTCGTTGCTATGTCGGGCACTGGCTCAGAACGGGACACCGTCGGCTCTTTTCAAATTTTCCAATCTATTTATTTACGAGACATGAACAAATCGTCTCTGTTTTTCCGTGGTTTAGCTATCTACTGTTTCTAGACAGGGTTGGCAAGGCAGCGGCGGCGGGCGACGGAAATCTACATCCGATGATGGTGACTCAGGAGAGACACCACATCGATAATGTATTATTATTATTACTATTAAACAAACCATAGTGGCATTGGCCCTTGTCGAAGTTAAAGACGAAGATATGGGCTAGAAAATGTCAATGTAAGAACATCTCCAAGGCAGCTTTTTTACACTTGAACTATGTACACGTTTGCATTCATATTTTGACATGTTGATATATCGGCTCTCATGTTACCTACCACCAATATGAAACTGGCAGCAATTATCACAACTCGCTTTTCACATTGGGCACGAGGTACCTCGACACGTTCATTACTAGGTAATGAAATGCATATATCAATACAAATAGGCAACATACATAGTGTAGGTATAAGAACCTACCTACCTACCTTTCCTATCCCTCCCTAGTACATAATTAGGTTACACACAAGTCTTCATGTCATCATTATTACTGCTTGGTACTTAGGTATGATGGATAACCTATACCTAGCTAAGTATCCGGCAATACTACATACATATGGATACCTACCTACCTACCTACCTACCTACCTACCTACCTTACACATCACTCCTCCCAGGCAACAGCCGTGTGGGCAAGGAGAACGAAATCCGCCAAAGCCTTCCTGGCGGGCATCTCCCGCTGGCCCTCGACTTTCAAGGCGTCGATGCGGTGGCCCCCGATGTAGCACTCTGTGCTCGACCTGTCCTCGGGGAAGTGGACTACGATGTGATTTTTCCTTTCGTGGTCGGCTGTCGTTGTTACTGTTGAGGCTGATGTTGTTGAGGGTGTAGTTGAGGTTGAGGTTGAGGTGGAGGCAGGCTCTGTGCTTGCGCTTTCTTCCTCGAACGGGATCAGAGCCGGGACGCAAGGAACGCCGATGACATCGGAGACTGGGGCGAGTGTGCTCATGTCGAACAGATCTTCTTCGCCTTTCTTGAGCGAGACGAGAGGGGGTGGTGCGGTGGCGGTAGCGGCAGGACTAGTAGTAGTAGCAACCTCCGGCCCGCCCTCCTCCGCCCGCGGAGCAGGGAAAGCGACACGCGGAACAATGATCCGCTTCACCTCGTCCTTGTCCCGCGACCGCGAGAGGAACCACAGGGGGCCGAGGGCGCGGTACCGGTGCCACAGGTTCGGAAGGTGTGTGGCGCGGATCTGGCAGTCGGCCTTGGTGATTTTCGGCGCGTAGATCAGCTCCTCCTCCTCCCCCCCCTTCCCATCCATCTCCTCACGCCCCACTGCTTCTAGCGGCGGCACGTGCACCCCCTCGCGCAAGCCCCTCACCATCATCTCCGCCGCCACGGGCGTGATGCGCGCCAGCAGGTCGCCGAAGGTGTCGGAGGCAGCGATGGGCAGCGGCGGCGAGCGCGCGAGCACGAGGCCGCGGTCGAAGCTCTGCGGGTCGAGCGTCTGCAGGCTGATGCCCGCGGAGCTGTGGTTGGCGAGGAGCGCGTGCTGTAGGGGCGCGGGACCCCGGAGCTCGGGCAGTTGCGAGGGGTGAAGGTTGAGGCCGCCGTAGGAGGCGAGGCGGAGGAGCCGCGGGGGCACGAAGAGCCCGAAGGAGACGGCTATGATGAGGTTGGTGCGTGGGGGCATCTGTTTTTGGGGGGAGGGGAGGGGGTGGGGGTGTTAGTTTTTTCTTTGGTTTTGATGGGTTGGTGGTATACGGGGGTTTGAGTGGGAAGGAAAGGGGGCGGAAAGGGGAAAGGGGGCGGAAAGGGGAAAGGGGGGTGGGGGGATGTTAAGACGTACGTTCCATCCTGTGAAGGTGTCCAGCTCGTGGATCGGGAGGCCGAGTTTCTCGGCTAGCTCTCTTAATGGCGCTGTGGTGGGATGGTCTGTCAGTATATCTGAGTATTACGGTAGTTACCTTACCCAGGTGTATATTGATATAACACACACACACACACACACACACGTATACATATATACCAATGCACAGGAAGAGGCACGAAAGCGTAAGAAAGAACTACTCACGATGAGCAATCTTCTTCAGCCCCCTGCCAACGTGCTTGCCGGGCCGCACCACCACGTCGATGGACTCGATGAGCTCCGGGTTCTGCTCGTGCTCCTTATACAGCGCCTCCAGGGACGCGCAGCTGAAGCTGTCGGAGCCGCAGAAGAGGATGCGCAGTGGCTCTGACGTTTTCTTTGGCCTGGGGCTTTCGCCCGCCGATGCATGCTCCCCCTCCGCTGCTTGCAATTTAGCGGCAGAGGTAGCGGTGGTGCTGCTGTTAAGCGTGCTGTAACCTCTTGCCTGGCGACAACGGCGGCATATGCTCGACGGTGGAGCCGCAGCCCGGAGCGACGGCGGCGGCGCTCTGGAGACCAAGGCGCTGCCACGTCTGGGCAGTAGAGAGGTAGACTCTGCTGGTAGGTCCCGCCATGCTCTTGAGAGGAGGGTGGCTGTGATAGTTCGTCTCAGTGGCTGCTGCATTGCGAGAGGGGTTTCAATCTGTCTGGCTCCCAATTTTCCTCCTTCGTAGCTACATGCCTAGGTACCTAGGTAGCTATGTAGGTAGGTATATATGTAGGTAGCGAATGGAGTTTGGTGAATGGAAAGCTGGGGTACATGTAGGTAGTTAGTTAGATGTATATTTGAATCGTGATATGGGCAGAACGATCACGTGCCAATTGGTTAGTATGTAGGGCATTAGTGTCAAGTGATGAGTAAATGAGAGAAATGTTACGAGATGCCGTCTTACACGGTGATACTTAGTTACTAGGGTCCCCGTTTAAAACTTGAAAACATTCAATGTTATATTTCTATTAGCAAAGTTACATACCTAACACATATGATACAGTGCTTATTATTCTGCTTATTCTGCTACTCGTTTGGACTAATGTTTCATTATCATAAAAAGGTATAAGGAGTTATAATCGATGGAAGTTATAATTTCATAATATCTGTCTACTTCAACACTGTCTACTTCAACACTACCTTGGTAGACCAATCTTTGCAATCTGACACCTACCTTCTTTCCCCTTTAAATTTATTTTGTTTTGCTTTCTTTGGGTATAGGTCCGAAACAAACGACGAAAGACCACAAGTACTGCCTCTTAAAATAGAACTTGGATCGGCATTTACGTGGCAAACAGAATCGGCTCCCTATTAAATAGCGCAACGTCGTGCAACCACTTGAATCGAGACAGTGTATCATAGCTTCCCCCCCCCCATTGTAGTATTGTACTACACACTCGGTGTGGAATGGATCACTGCATGTGTTGTAGTGTGTATGTATGCCGACCGTTGCAGAAGAGTACCTGGCGGGGTGAGACCCTTGGAAGGTGTGGTCGTCGGTGGTCTGTGGCATGTCTGGGACCTCTCCTTTTCCCCTAATTCCCTATTTCACGAAAACCTCGAGACCGGTCACGGGGTAAAACGGAGGGTTTTGTCTTGAAGACGACTTTTTCTACCCTATTATCGCGGTAGACGTGTCGCAGACAGACAGACAGACAGACAGGTAGGTACCTAGTAGGTAGTAAGGTAGCATTTGATTTATCAAGACTAATGTCATTACCCGAAAAGTCGCCCTATTTCTTCACACTGCTTCCCGGTCGCTATAGTGCAGCGCCTGCAACCCATGGAGATCATAGTGCGCGAACTCATCCTGCGGCTCGTAGCGCGGCATCGCGTTCGACGTGACGATTGGCTCCATGCTGTTAGGACTATACCCCTCTAGGCTATCATTCGAACGCATGTGGCCTCCCGTCTGCAGCGGAGGTCGCGAGTTCGGGGTGACGGCCGAGAGCAGCATGCGGTTCATCGCCGGCAAAAATTTCTCCTGGCGGATGCTTTGCCAGCTGACGGATTGCCGCCGCGAAATGCCCTGCTGGTTGTCCGTCGATACTTGGGTCGCCGAGGTCCGGGTCGTCCAGGCGCTAACGTGCGTCGAGAAGACGTTGAACAGCGGGCTGAATGTCGCTACACAGGCGCAAATCAGGCCTGTGTTGACTTCCAGGATAGAGAAGGTAAAGCTGATACCGGCCCACCTAATACGATAGAGTTAGTAATCCATATTGCTTTGCCAAGAATCTGATATATGGCTTGATATTTCCAAGTATTTTTTTTCAAGGAGTGATGAGAAAAGAGGATAGAAAAAACGTACCAGGGGCGATCGTAAGACAGCATGTTATAAGTAGAAATGGCCCATCGGACGCAGGCAACAGCCCAGGCACTGACGATCCCACGTTAGCAAGTGGCTTACACAAAAGTGCGTCATGCATATTATTTTCGCTCACATAAGACCGCTACTAAGCGCGAGACTGAGCCCAATCTTCTGTCGCGCCGTAGGGAACTGCAATTTCCATACCATCCAAAGGGGTAAGATGCCGATTAGTAAGTCACTCGTCATGTGGCCAGCCCCGTAGATGATGTTCGCCGCGATCGAGTTCAAGCAGTGGCCCTCCAGGGTCGGCTGCCACTTCTTCGCGATCGGGTGGCAGCCGAGGAACTCGGTGAGCGCGTTGCAGGTCAGGTACCCGAGCGTGTAGAACAGCGCCCCGTAGCACACGTACCGGAACTTCTTGTTGATGCCGAAGATCTGCAGGTACAGGAGGATCAGCGCCGACTTGAAGCCGGCGAGGCTCAGCACGTAGAATTCTGACGAGATGCCGATCCAGAGATAGTATTCCGAGTTTAGTTCTGGGGTGAACTGCCATATGTGCAGGCCCATCCCGTGATAGGTCGCATTGGCCATCAAAACAGCATGCACAATGATGCTAACCATCGTTCCCGCGACCACATCTATATATTCCTGTTGGTGAGCGCACAGCTCCATTTTAGGATTTCTTTTTATTTATTTTTTCACGGGAGGGGTGAAGACGTACAGTCGTCGAGGCTCCAGGACCTCTTTACCATATAAGTCCGGCAGTAAAATCTGGCGGCGACGAAGCAGAAGGTGATGATAGGCATCACCACTGCCGTCCTCCAGACGTGGACGCCATTTTCGGCCGGAAGTTTCGGCACGACGGCATGCTCACTCATGGCTCATAAGACGGAGGAGAGGATGAGGAGCAGGATGTGGTGATTATTCAGAGCATGAAGGTCTATCTTGTCCATCCCCAGTTCGTTGAAGACTGGCAGTGAATGGAGGGCTCAAAAAGGAATATACGAAAAAAAAAAGCCAAAACCAAAGCCAAAGCCAGAACCCCAAGACCAAACCAAGAAAAACAAGTGGCCCATATGAAAGCTATAAAGATTGCCCTACCACCCTGGGTCCCCAATAAGTGGATGATGGTTGCATCGGGGACAAGGCCCTGGGGGCATTTCACATGGGTGTGCTAGTGTAAGCGCCCACATATAATTCTGCTGCGAACCCGAGAAAAAACGTGCTATTGCTTGCCCATGCTAAAAGGGTAGTATCCCTATTACTATCTCTTTTCTGTTTCCGTAACCTACCTATCGTTTCGGAGTTCTTTCCTGCTTTCTCACTGTTCAAAAATGCGTGTCAAATCGTCGGCGGTGTGAGCGGCGATGTTACGGTATTTGGTAATGATGTGCGTTCCCCCATTGCTAGCTTATGTAAATGCTATGCTGTGTACTACCTATGGTACTGACTATGTGGTAGTGTCGGCACGTCTGCCCTGTGCCTTAGCCACTTGCGTTGTGTGCGTGTATATCATACGCGCCAGAGACATACATTGGGAGCCCAATCTAAACGTGTTCCCGGAGACAAGCAAGCACCAAAAAGAAGCTTCAATGATATCCTGTAGATAATAGGACCCGGACCTGAACTAATACTGTGCCCACTGCCCACCTCCACTATCTAGCCTACTAACATATACCAAACTCTGCCACTATTATTGTTAACTATCAGATCGTTCAAGGCCATATGCCGGGCTTTCTATCTACGCCGTACATACACTACAGGCGCACGTACGAGGCGCCAGAGAAGAAGCACCGTTGCGGCTAGAACCCGCAGACTGAAGAAAGATGGTCAGAACTAAAATCCTTGGCCGATGATTTCTCACCTTAGCGGGCCCTGGCCTTATCCCAATCAGCGAGGACGTGCTGGGAAATAATGGCGTGCTTCCTTGCCATCTTCTTCATATGGACTTCTTAGGGTAATCTTCATCGTATGGAAATGGATTAGTGCAGGTCTAAAGGGTAAGACTACACTTATCTACCGCCGTGCTACCGTGCTGCCGTCTACCCCGCGACAAAAAAGAAGTGATAGGGCCGTTTTGTTTTACATAGGTGGTTGTGCGACGACGTCAATTCTAAGAATATCTCCCTTTTGGTGTGGTGACCTTCGTTTTTTGCTGGCAAGGGAATGCTTAACTGCTTATTTCTCCCCTCCTCTCCCTTGCACTGGGCTGAAGATAGTGGCCTTCTGGGGTGACATCGGACGGAAATAGGGGAAGGTAGGGTTACATACAGTACAAGAGTATGACGGCTTTGCTAGGGCTGTGTGGAATGGGCAATGCATGCGCATAGATGTGTATAGGTAATCAGTTAATAATAAAGCATCGCCAGCAACCATTAATAATTGTAATTTGAATGTTTTGTATACTATCATGTATACTATCATCCGTCTATCCGTCTATCCTTCTATGCCTAGGACTCCAGGTAAAGCCCATAGCCCCATGTCTGTCATAAGTCCAGTTGACAGCACATTCTTTTTTTCTCTCAAGCCCTTGTTTGGAATCAGTGCCCGTCGATTCAGCTCTGCGGCACAGCCAGGCTCCCAAAGAGATGGAAACGATTAACTAATACTACTCTACGAAGTACTTTAATCGTATGCCAATGTCGCGGATCTCATCCAGGACGATGTACATACCCTACATGCCTACGATGTACATACCTAGTTACATACCTAGCTACATACCCATGTGGCTGAGATTCCTGAATCACCCCCTTCTCTGCCCAGTGCCCCCAATCTCCTGAAGATCTTGCCTTAAGTTGTCTAGCCCTGCGAAGAAAAGCTGGGATTCATAAGCGCGTTTTCCAACCCGCTAAAAACACCAATGCGACCCCAATGTTGTCACCATTTATTTGATTGGGATCACTAGGGTCCCTTTTACCCTCTTTCCATCGTCCTAGACTAACTTGAAGGGAAGCGAAACCGAACAAAAAGCTCAAGAATCACATGGCAAGGACGGAAGTCAAGTCAAGCATTGTGCATCTCAAATCCGCAGTTCCGGGTTCCTGTTTCTTCTTCTTCAACCTGCTAGGGTTAGGGTCCTAGAGATACCCTACCTGGTCCTTTCATCAATAATCAATGTTGGCGAGGATTTTAACATATTACTGTACATACCTAGTACCGGGTTTTACGAAGTATGTCCTATATCCATCCTGCCCGTGGAGATAGAATCTCATTATTACTCCCTGTCATTCGCAGTTAACCGATTAACTGATAGTTGATACTATGTAAGAGAACCTTGGAAACGCTCACGAATCTCGTTGGCCCTGGTATGGATGAGCCCAGAACCCCAAAGCTGGGGTCCCCTTTCCCGCGTATTACAATGAGGGTCGAGTACGATGCTGAGAGACGACTATCATTGGCTGGTAGAATGCCTAGTAGCCCTATGGCATCGTTCTTGGGATAGCTCTAACCTACCGCTAGCACATAGTAGAGATTCTTCGCGCTTCACTCCTGTTTGTTGGCAGAGTCGTATTGTAAGCGAATCATCTCGAATCATTTCGAATCATACTTAAAAGTTCTCGATCGAATGCACCTTTACATTAGTACTATGCCGTAGTATATCATCCAATAAGCTCGGACCGATACCTACTACCTACTAGTAACCGGTCAAGTAAATAATGTTACAATTCACTTGGTCGCAGTAGACATGAATAAGTCGGCAAAGGGTTCAAGTGACTTGATTGATTCCTACGTCAATGTATCTACACTATCATTAGAGAATCTTTCACCATGATCCATTTCTACCTAGTATCAACCTAACACAGATATCTAGGTACCTGAGGGATTTGGGTATATACGCATCGATTTCAACCGGCGATAAAAATGTCGCCAATCACGAGGCACATCCAAGGGAAAGGTAATGAACTTGAAGAGCCGCTGTGAGGTTGGAGTGTGACCATGCCCGGTAGAGCCCAAAACCTACGGAGTGTCTCACGATAGGGCTCACACATATGCATCAACACTTCACCACCCAACATCGAGTCTACATTTACTACTGTAAAGCTAAAACCTTTATTCCCTCAGCCCCCCCCAAAGGATTCTCGACTCCGTCGCCGACATATATCCATTCACCTTTGCAGTAGTATGGAGACAACCTTGGAACCCAACAAGACACCGAAGTGATCGCTAGAGTTACATAAGAGAGTTATCCATAGTAAAATCCTTCGTGATGTCGCCTTTGTCACGTAGCTCAACACTCGCGATGCCTCTCAACGTGCCTAACATCAAGCTACAGACGCGGTATCGGGTCCAAGAATACCTACCCATAAAGAAGAAGAAGTAGAATTGTTGACTATTGGAGAAACCCCCTTCCCCTCTTCCTCCCCCCCCCCCCCCCTTTTTTTTTTTTTTACGACGAAAGGAAATCACGGGTCGTGAAAGAAAATGCCGACATACATACATCAACAGTGAGGCATCTCATGTGCTCTCTTGCGTATGCTTTGTGAAACATCCGCGCGCTGACCGGCGAACTCATGTTGACCATGGCAGTTGCCCATGACTACTCTACTCTGACCTGCCTCGGTCGCAACTCTTCGTGAGCAATAGATAGATGGATACCGTACTTGCCCGACGTGTCGGTCGTCCTACCTACCTTCCTTGTATGGGGTGATGAAATGAGTTTACCGTGCATGCTTTCCAAGGGTTTTTATGTCTTTCTGCGCTTGGTCGAGACGGAAGGAGAACCTTCGGATACTGCATTGAAAGGCAGAATACCATACCTACCTATTCAGTCATCCTGTTCGCTGCATGTCATTCATTTTTCCTTTCTATACCGGTCTTCCTTTTCTCGTCTACCATGTACTTAATTCACCCAGCATCCATAATATATCTTCAGACGACTATCGTTTAAAATCTCTTGAATCAAGCTATTAACCTAGATGCCTACCTAACTTGCTTCCTGTATCCGTAAACCCACGATCCTGCCAAATCATTTATCCCCTGCATCGTATCCCCCAAAACAAGCAGGCAAAGAAAATGAACAATCCCACAATCACCGACGAGCAGCCTCGACCCCAAGAGCCTATGAATGCCGAGCCCTCCCAGGCCGAGGAACTTGTATCATCCACGCCTTCAAAGGCTCGTGTCCGGTTAGTCCAGCGTAGCCCAAATACCTTACCTACATGGTAGTATCTAGGGTAAAACCAGCAGACTTACCTAGTTATTTACGCACCCCCAACCGCACAGGCCCGTCTCCTCGCCCCCAGACTTCTTCTCCGGCTTCAGCTCCGGCTCCGAAGCGAGAAAACGAGGTCCCCCCCCTCTCCGCTTGCATGACCGCCCCATCCTGGCAGAACAGAAGAAGCCTGAGGAAACCGAAGACCACCAGCAGCCGCAGACGCGGGCACGGGCACGATCACTAACCGAGGCCACTGCTGCTGCTGCTACCTACACCCTCTTCCCTCCCCAGCAGTACCCCCGTCAGCAGCCGCAGCAGCCGCAAAACCAGGCCACCACCACCACCACCCTCACCACCACCCTCCAGCAACTCACCCTCTCGCAAACCCGCTCGCCGGGGCAAGCAACGCAGGCGGGGCCGGACGGCAGCGACCCGACCTCGACGGCCGCGGCCGACATCCGCGGCGGGCTGACGGGCGACTGCTGGCGCGAGCCGTTCCAGTGCTGCTCGCACTGGCTCGGGGAGATGTGCGGTAGGGAGCGGTGAGGCATCCATCGCAGACAGATAGAATGATGGAGAGGCGAGAGGTGGCGAGGCCGAGGGGAAGGGCGGCGAGGCTCGAGAGGCGGAGGCACGGGAGAGAGATGGAGAAGAAGGACAAGAAGGCAAGGAAAGTGCCGGCGTTGGGCGGCTTTGGGAAATGGAAGTGGGTGGCGTGGGTGGTTAGACGCGCTAGCGGGGTCGTTGGCGCGCTTCGGCGTGTGCTGGAGCGTTGGGCGGTCGTTGGGCGGTTTCTTTACGGGATGGGGGTGGATACCCGGGGGTCGGTTGTGGCGGCTTTGGAAGGGTGGTTTTTCTTTCCTTCGCCCCCTCCCCCCCTTTTCTTTTGTGACCGGATGGGTATGGGGAGAGTCGCGCTCTCTCTCCTTTTTGGCAGCGCGGTGGGGTATTGGGTTATTAGGTTATTACGACTATCGCTCCGAGGATAAAGCAAAAAGGGGGTACATATATATATAAGGTTAATTTGGTTTTTTGGTTTGAGATGGCAGCGGTTAGATAGGTACCTAGGTAGGTAGGTATAAATAAGAAAGCGCTTACACAAACAACCTTCCAAACACTAGGTACCTAATAGCCTAAACTTCCTCAGCGGAGCGGGTTACCTACTTAGTCCCCTCTCTCCTCGGCTTCTCCCTCCTGATATACAACAGCACATCCCCCAGCCCCTTATGGTAAATAAGCTCCAACCTCATGTAGCCGCTCAGCATCTCCTCGACGCGCGGGGACACCGGGTCGGCGCCCGCCCCCGTCCTGAGCTGGATGATGGCGGCCGGGCTCGCGAGGTCCGCGACGATCTGCTGCACGGGGGCGTTCGGCGAGATGGAGACGACGAAGGCGTTGTCGTCGACCTCGAGGAACGCGCGCGGGTCCTCGAGCACTGTGATGCCGGCGCCGTCGAGAACCTCCTGGTCGAGTGGCCGGTAGGCTGGGTCCTGCGCGAAGCAGCGAACCTCCTCCTCGTTCTTCACCTCCTCCCTCTCCTTCCCCTTCCCCTTCCCCTTCCCCTTCTCCCTTTCCTCCCCCCGCAGCACACGCCAAAACTCGCCGAGCACCTGCGTCAACCCCATGGTTTCTTCCTCCTCCGCATCATCGGACTCAGACTCAGACTCAACCCCTTCCTCCTTAATCGCGCCAATGATTCGCTGTAAGCTAAGCACTAGCGCGTGCTGCGTCAGCGAGGCCTCGTCGCCCTCGGCCAGCGGCCCGCAGGCAAAAGCCACGATCTTGGTGACGGAGGCGAGGCGCCGGCGGTGCAGGGTTAGTAGCTTTTTGAGGTAGCCGTGCTGCTCGCTTGTCTCCCATCTTTGCTGTGTTGAGGTGAAGAGGTGGGTTAGTTCTGTGGGGGAGAAGTTGGGAGGGAGGAGGGCTGGTTTGTGGTGGGGGTGGTGGTGGTGGGAGTGTGGACGCATGATTACGGTCGACAGGTAGGCCTTCTGTAAGTCGAAGAACTTCATGTCGCGCTGGCTGAGCATCATGTGCAGCGGCCGGTAGTAGATGGATAAGCCATCCCTTTTTACAGAGTTAGTTAAGAGTTACTCCATAGAGATATGATTTACTTACCGTCTTTCACCATGGCGGCATCGCAAATCCTTCCAAATGCCCTCGTCTATGTCCAAGATGGTCTGTATATTGTCTCCTCTTATGGTGGTTTGGTGAAGTACACTGCCGGTCAGCACTTGTTCTTTGTGCTTGTCTAGCTGCTTGGCGAGTAGGCGAAGGCCATCCTTGGTGAAAAACTTTTGGCCTCTGTTATACCATAGTTGGATATTGTCGGCGATGATTTTCTTCGGGGTATCTATCTCCATATGCTCATTCATCTCGAAAGATACCTATCTAGATATAAGTCGGTTTTCGGGATTTGGATTCTTCTGATGTGGTTCACAAATAGTGCCTAACAGGGACTATTTGATGAGAGTAACAGCTCTTCGATATTAGAGTATAAAAATTTATGAGTCTATCATACTAACAATAATAGTACATCAATAAGGGGCAGTCAAACAGGCTTGTTTAAATGCCCCTGGTAAGGTGAAATATAAAGCAGCATACACATAATAGACTCATACGCCAGCTCAAAAACAGTATGTACGTACTACACGATGACTTGCACTAGGTAGATATTAGCAATCATTGACATAGCTCCGGCTGATGTAGCTCAAGAATTGTGGTGTTGTTCAATACGTTTTAAATACCAACGACCAAACTATGCGAGGAAATACTCAAATGTGTTACCATGCGTGTTCAAAGAGTTTTTCATTTTGTAACAGTACCTATATACACCTGGAGGGTTTGAGAGGCTGCATTTGTGCCCTCTTCAAAGCTTCAAATTTTGATTTTCCTGCTTGCTGCAAAGAGGATATCTTAGCATGTAGTTCACGCTTCGCGAACCATACGTATCGTATCATACCAGCGAGCCGGGACCAAATATTCATGTCTCATAAATAGAAATTCACACAAAAGAGGGTATCGAAGTTTGCTTAGTTTAAGAATTCGCCTTTAGTCTTTGCAAGTTGCTCGTCGTAGTCTGTTTGATCTATTAGTGACTAGATATTTGAACTCATATCGCATAAGAACGTATAATGGAAGGGGAAAAGTAAAACTCAGTCAATCTTACACGGCTGAAAAGCAAGCCATCCTTTCCCGGGCCCTCCAACTTGAAGAGCTGTGTAGGCAGCTTCGTCATCATCGATGGGGATCTTCTTGTATCCAGCGGCCGACGCCGCATCTGCAAGCAACTGGGCTTGACAAGTCCTCTCGAGACTGATGAACCAGAAAGCAGCCTCATCGACACTACCGCCGACCGTGAGGAGGCCGTGATTCTGAAGTATGACCGCTTTTCCATTTCCGAGAGCCTTGGCAATCCTCTGACCTTCTTCGCTATCCAAGACCACGCCCCTGAAGTCTCGATACACACCATGGCTCTTGTAGAACCTACAGGCGTCCTGAGTGATCATCTCGAGCTCACGACCGAAGACAGAGAAGGCTTTTCCATGCACGCTGTGCGCATGGCACGCGGCGTGAACGTCGGGCCTCGCTTTATGAAGCTGCGAATGGATGGCAAAGGCAGCACCATTCACGGGCTCGTCTCCCTCGACTACATTTCCATCCTCGTCGCACAGGATCAAATCCGATACCTTGATGAGCGAGAAGTGCATCGAGAGTGGGTTCAACCCTTGATATTGTTAAAATAATTCATGTTGCCTACCTAGTACGCCTAGAGCGATAGAACTCATAACTAGGTCGATGACAACTTGGAAAGCTTACAGAAGTGATCGGTCAGGATGGGATCCCGGACCGATATATGACCGGCAACCCCCTCGTCGAAGCCGCGATCCGCAAAGACTCGGAACGCTGCCGCGAGATGCTGCTTTCGGTAAAGCCTCTCATCTTCTAGATTCTCGAATTGGGGGTAGCTCCGAATGTTGAGCTTCTTTCCACTTTTGGTCTTGCCTTGGACTTGGACTTGCGGCGGAATCTCAACCTTGCTTTTCCCACTGAACCTGTTCACTGCCCCTTTGTTGACAGCAGAAAAGGCTGGTGCGATTTCGGTGAGAGTATCGGTGGTAGACATTTCCAAGGTGAAAGTAATAACGTCTAATCTCTCTCTAAACGATACCTTACCCAATAGGTGTCTTTACGTAGCTAGGTAGGTAAGTGAGAAAGAAAGAAAGAAGAAGTAGAAGAGAAATAGTCTGTAGACGCCCCTTCTACTACTAGATATGTACCGCTGGCTGGGCGGGGAAATGACGCCAACCAATAATGATAACCAATTGCGAGCTTTGTCTCTAAGGTGTAATTCAGGGTTGTTACTCCAAACGAAGGGTGAAAAGCAAGCATAACTTGACGACGAACTACCGTCCGAGGTAGATATTCGAAGTGGAGATACTACCTAGAGTTTCATTCTGGCATTCTGCATTCTGGCATTCTCGCGATGATACCCTACCATGCTATATAGATAGCATACGAGGTTAGGTAGTCTGGTGATGAGGGGGGTCCGAGACAACCTGTTGGATGTAAAAAATCAAAAAGCATCGGGTATTGTTATTTTCATTGCTTCAGAGGGGTTATAAGGGGTTACTAGTATGTTTTATAGGAGCAACAGCAATATAACTAATAGTTTCTGATTATTTATTTAAATTATTGCCGGTTGCCGATGCGCAAAGTGATAAGCAATGCCCAGGTACCTATCTAGGTACCTGAGCCACAATGGCATACGACATCATGACGATCCAAGGGGGCTCAGCTTAGCACCTCTAACCCAGACATCCCCGAATTATGCATTATGTGGTTTTATCGAGTATCTAACCTCTCTTACTATATAAAAGCAGGTACATAATTATTGTACAACCCGACTGTATCCGCCATTAATCAAGAGACTCTTAATCAAAGCAACGCAAGGCAAATTACTGCATTCCTTGGGCGCCGAGACGTCCGACAAACAACCTCGAAGAGAGAAAAGAAAGAAAACAATACAATACATACCTACTTACTAGGCACTAGTAATTATTCTCATACCTAAGGTTCTTTACCTAATACCTACATACCTCAAGGTACCCAGGTAAAATAAACTACATGCACATGTAGCAATCTGGCGAAACGGCACTTCGCGCAATGTCGATTCGCATAGTGCTCGACAACCCGCCCGAGTTCTTTACGAATCTCGACTTTATTAGCGGTCGCGTGATTCTCTCCTTGCACCGCTCCGAGTCCATCACCAATGTCATCGTCAAGCTCGAGGGCGAGTCGCGCACCGCCTTAGCCGTGCCTCCGCCCAACGACCGCGGCGGCAGCGATTATTATCGCCCGCGCGCTCCTGGTGGCATGGGCAACGGACAAATCGTCACGGAGAGCCACAAAATCCTGTACCGGCTCTTCCAGGTGTACCCGGACGATGGCGTCGCCTTCCCTTTCCAGCCGGGCCAGCATGAGTTCAAGTTCAACTTCAAGGTGCCCCTCAACAACATCTGCCACGATCCCAAAGCTATGAGCTCCCTGCTGGGCCTCGGCGGCCTGGGGAGCGGGTTTCGCACCATGGACGGCACCAAGCAGCTCATGCTGTCGCACGTCAAGGCGACCCTGCCGCCCTCCCTCACCGGCTTTCCCCAGGAAGCCGAGATCCGCTACTACATCAAAGTCACCATCCAACGGCCCGGCTTCTTCCGGGAGAACTGGCGGTACCACGTCGGCTTCAAATTCCTGCCCGTCGAGCCGCCCCGCCCCCCGCGGACAAGCCAGGAGGCCTTCGCGCGCCGGCCCTTCGCGTTCCGCGCGATCGAGGACTACCACGCGCAGCAGAAGAACACCCACCACAAGAAGTCGTCGCTTTTCTTCGGCGGCAAGTCGTCTTCATCGTTGGCGTCGTCGTCAGCCTCACCACCCGGCGCCGGCGGGGTCCTCGACCCGCCCAAGATCGAGATGTCGGCGCGCATCCCGTTCCCCACCATCCTGACCTGCAACGAGCCCGTCCCGCTCCGGCTGATCGCCAAGAAGCTGGCCGCGACGACGCTGCCCCAGCAGCAGGTGTACCTGACGTCGCTCGAGATCGTGCTGGTGGGGTACACCGAGGTGCGCGTGCACAACCTGCAGAACACGGAGCGGTCCGCGTGGGTCATCCTGTCCGCGCCCCAGCTCCCTTCCCCGATCCCGCTATTCAACTCCCCCGCCGACCCGGAGAACACCGAGTTCGAGGTGCCCCCCACCGCCTGGAAAGACCGCCGCCTCCCCAACACCATCGCCCCCTCCTTCCGGACCTGCAACCTCGCGCGCCGCTACGAGATCGAGATCATGCTCTCGCTAACCTGGGACCCTTCCTCCCCTTCTGCCTCCTCCTCCTCCACCGCCTCCTTCTTCGCCAGCGGGCGCCACCAGCAGTATCCCCCGCAAACCCTCGCCATGCCGCTAAAGCTCACCAACGTCGAGGTCTTCTCTGGCATCAAGCCGCCGCCGGAACTCCTGACCACCACCACCACCACCACCACCACCAATAATAATAATAATGTTCGTCCCCCCCGACTGCCATCTCGCCCCTCACAACAACAGCACGCCCAGCCGCAGCGCCCGCCCGACCCGCTGTACCCGCCGCAGCTCGGCACCGGCGGCGCCACCGTCTTCGAGGAGCCGCCGCCGAGCTACGACGAGGCTGTAGCGGATAGCCTACCGGGGCCGGCGGCGCGGCCCGCGTATAGTGGTGTTACGGCGGAGAACGCGCCGAGCACGATGCCGGCTGAGAAGGCGTGATGAGGACGAGGATGATGGCGACGATGAATGAGGGATAGACCCTCCCTCCCCGCGGGAACGTTGGGAGAAGTATGGGAAACGACCTACATAATGTAATGTAATGTAATGGGGTACTTGATCATTCGCGCGTCTGGGGTATATGCCTACCTACCTATATATAAGGGGCATAGCAGAAAGAGAAAAAAAAGGGGGGGAAGAGAATAAGAAGAAAAAGAAAAGAAAAGAAAAGGGAAAATAGAGATCCACCAACATTGGATTGTATCGCATTGTAGACTTTACGAGAAGCAGCAGCAGCAGCAGCAGCAGCAGCGTGTAGCGTGTATTAGACCTATCCATGGTCCGTAGGTGATGGTGGGATGGATGAAATGAAATGGATATTGATACCCCTTCGGTTTGCGTCGAGAATTGGCTAGCTAGCATTACCAGGTAGTTATGTATATAGAAAGAAGAATTTAAGCGTTTAATAGGTACTTACTTATATGCATAGGTAGTGGTTTTGAGTTCACATACTTGTTGATTGGCATTGGGCAAAGATCACGAAGAAAACATGATTAGTCCTCATAATTTCGTCGATTGTTACATTGTTACATTTCAGGGTGCATTTACATGCTACCTAGCTAGCGTTCTATCTACCACTATGGAAATCCCCCAATCCTTACTTATTTAGCTAGATATGCAAGACGTGGGTAGCCCTAGAGGTGATAGGAGATCCTATGAGTCCCTGTGGTCGGAGTGTCATCCACTTCCAATATCTGTGGAATAGATAGATCAAGGGGTATGAATAAGGCCCTAATAATTTCCTATGGTGTTTAGTCTTTCGACAAAAATCCCTGGAAAATCCATGAGTTGACCTATCCTGTCCGGTTCAGTATACCTGGCGCATTGATGTCTCATTCATCATAGCTTCTCCTTGAGAGTGCTCTTCAGCCTCTTCTCGACAGCGTCTAGATATTCGTTGGTGGTGACGTAGTCCGCACGAGTGTTCTTGCCGCAGGCTAAGGCCAGGTCCTTGGTCATGATGCCATCCACGTCCACGGTGTCGATGCAGGCCTTCTCGAGGCTCTCGGCGAACGCGATCAGCTCCGGGGTATCGTCTATCTTGCCTCGCTGCACGAGACCTCGGGTCCAGGCAAATATACTGGCGATTGGGTTCGTCGATGTCTCGTGACCCTTCTGGTGCTCGCGGTAGTGGCGCGTGACGGTGCCGTGCGCAGCCTCCGACTCGAAGGTCTTACCGTCAGGGGTGATCAGCACTGACGTCATAAGGCCAAGAGAACCGAAGCCTTGGGCGACGATATCGGATTGAACATCGCCATCGTAGTCTTTTTTTGCAATTTTAGTTTACAAAGTTTTCAAGATTATTTCAATTCGGACGGGTGACTCACTCTTTAGCGCCATGATGTATCCACCGGAGCTCTTCATCATCTGGGCAACCATATCGTCGATTAAACGGTGCTCGTACCAGATGTTCTTGGCCTCGAATTCCTTCTTGTACTGATTGTCATAAAGTGCTTGGAAGACATCCTTGAATTTGCCGTCGTACTTCTTGAGAATGGTGTTCTTGGTGCTCATGTAAAGGGGTAATCCCTTGTCAAGAGCGAGCTTGAAGCTAGCATGCGCGAATCCAGTTATGCTTTCGGTGGTGTTGTACTGAGTTTGTGCGACACCGCCACCCTCCTTGAACTGGAACACCTCGATCTCCTCAGGCTTGCCGCCCTCAGGGGTAAATACCATGCTCAACTTTCCGGGGCCCGACACGACTTTATCCTTTGCCCGGTACTGGTCGCCGAAGGCATGACGGCCAATAATGATAGGCTTCTTCCATCCTGGTACTAGTCGTGGGATACGGGGAATGACGATAGGCTCACGGAAAACAGTGCCACCGAGAGCGTTACGGATCGTGCCATTGGGAGAGAGCCACACTAGACACGAGAATAGGTGTCAGTGAGAGAATCCATGTCAATATACATATGTGATGCCGCAAATATATCTAAGTAAGCAAGCAATGTGTGAAACATGAAGGGATGTGGGTGGGTAGGTGGCTGGCTAGGTGGGCTCTTGATATGCGATATGCGATATGCAAGATGTAAGATGCAATATGCACGTCAGATTGCTTGCCATACAGAGCAATACGTGGGTGTAAGGATCCGCTCATATCTTACTCTGCTTAAGGTTGAATTCCTTTACACGGGCCTCATCTGGGGTAATGGTGGCGCATTTGACACCAACTGAGTACTTTTTAATTGCCTCGGCGGCATCAAGGGTGACTTGGTCGTTGGTTTCATCACGATACGGTAATCCCAGATCGTAATACTTCAAGTCAACATTGAGGTAAGGGAAGATGAATTTGTCCTTGATGACCTTCCAGATAACTCTTGTCATCTCGTCGCCGTCTAGCTCCACCACAGGGTTCTTGACCTTGATCTTTTGGACTGCCATGTTGTTCCTGGTATGATGAAAAAGCGCCACCGGCGTTGCTGATCGTATGACTGTCATAGGTGACGATCTCACAAACGGCCTCGGCGACCTGGCAAAGACAGAGGGCCGGATGCACCGGGCGGCGGAAGTGCGAACAGCAGACATGATGAAAGATTTATTCGGCTTATTCAGGGAAGAAGGTCAAGGCGCGACTGCGCAATACGAAAATAAAACGTTGAGTCAACAAAGAAACTGGCGGCGGCGGCGACAATAAAGTCGAAGCTAAAAAGTTTTTTAGCTAGCCAGGGGACACAAGGCGCAAAGACAGAAGACTAGAAGACCAGAAGCCGAGGAATTTAAATAAGTGTCAATGAATGGCGGGGGAGGAGGGAAGGAAGGAAAGAAGGAAGAAAGAACAATCAAATATTAATGCCGATACCTGCTTCTGGAGAGGTAGGTGGTACTATGTATGTAGGTATGTAGGTATGTATATGTAACTTATATCCGTGTAAGAGATTCAAGTCGCTGTCGCTTCTCACTGGTCTAGGACCGTCACACAGCTTTTATGTATCAAAGGTAAAAATTGATCCATGAGGGGAATTGCTCCAATCATTTAGCCCCTCTTATGAGGGGCACTATAAGTGGAGAGCTGGTACCTGGTATTTCCACATTTTGCCGATTTGCGGAGGGCATGTTGCTGTTGCAGTTCATGCAAGTAAAGAGGCATACCTACACTTTATTTCTTCTCCTCCATGCATACCCTCGGTAGCTATTTAACCTCCTTTACCTTTACCCCTTCTACCCTTTTACCCCTTACACATCAAGATCTAGCCAACGCTTAACCGTCTTCTCACCCTCTATCCACAAGACACTTCTCTTGCTGGCCTTCGAAAGGACTAAGAATCTCATTATAATATTCTCTATACTTCGAAGGTTCCCCTGGAGACAAGCCGGCGAAGGCCTTGAAGTATCTGTGTAGCTTCTAGATAGACATCAGTTCCTGTAAGCAACAGTAGAGTGAGTGAGTGCGCTCAATATACTGACTTGACCCCGATGAATAACAAGTACTCATGATCCGTGAGTAGGAAGGCCATCCACGCAAAGGTCTTTATATCAAATCCATGCCTAGGTATGTACCTAGGTAGTACTGAGGTAAATGCCATGAAGCCCAGCCCATAAAGCAGATAGATGTGATCCTCACTCACTTAATAAGATGCTTGCCTCAGCTCCTTAACGAGAAGGGGGAGACAGCCTACTTTTATAAGCATCAAAGATGCTCATGATACACCCACAATAACATCGTTTATACACTCGTACGTTCGGTTCGGTCAGGAGAAGGGCTGAGGCAAATATTGTAAACAACCTTTCTGCCTAGCCCCGAGACATACCTAGTACCTACCTACATTACCTGCCACCCATAGATGCAGGTGTGGTGTCTAGTACTTATGTAAATGCCCTATGCCCTACGTAGGTCCCCGCTCACCCACCTCCCTATGCACGAAGCCCAAAACCGCAAAGGGCAGAAATAGGGGAGAGGGGGGGAGGTGCAAGTGGCGGTTGCCTCTCAGCCTTACAATAAAATAGCCACAATGCCTAAGCATCCCTACCTGGGCAGGCAACCCCCCCCCCCTTTTCCAAGATATAGGGCTCGGGCTCGGGCTACTAAAGTCAGTTAGGATAAACATACCGGGTAGGTATCCATAAAAGGGGGTGGTTACACAACAGAAGAAGTCTTGAGTCAGTACGGCAGATATCTACCTGCCTAAGTATGTTCAGTCACTCACCTAAAGCAAAAGCAACATCTACTAGGCACCTAGGTAGGTAGGTATAGGTATAGGCATCTCTAGGACTACATGCCACATACTATGTAGGTGCCTACCTAGGCACATACTGTTACGACTCGTCTTGTCTTGTGTTAAGGGTTGCAGCAACACCAGGTACCTACCTAAGGTAGGACTTCAGTCACCTAGGCAACTAAAGCATCCACCTACATGTGAAAATACCTGACTACCTATGCGCGATGCATACGTGCTCAAGAGTGCGTAAGGACCTACGTAGGTAGGGCAGGTAGGCAGGCAGGGAGGCAGGGACTAGGTAGGCACAACACATAGTAACCTCATCCCTTCACCCTGCTACTTCTATGAGTCCGTTAGGCTAGTCTAGAGCTGTAGGTAGGTAGGTTGAGTCCTGCCTTGCCTACCTATACGCGTATGCGTACAACGGACGGTCCCGATATACCGAGATGCCGAGACACTTCGCATGTGCGTTTCTTCAACAACAAATACACGCAGATAGGACTTTTCGAGGTTACCAAACACGGAACTGATGAATAAATATCAAGAATGTGCAATTCCGGGTAGCTATCTATCTTCTTTGATAACGTAAAAAGACGTAACCCCCCTCTTCTCTTATTTACATAAATACACTTCCTGTATGGGTATGCAGTTGCGTAACGTTGAGGCAAAGCAAACTAACCAAGCCCAGGCAAACCTCAGGCAAGCCCACAGGAATATCTGGAAAAATCTGGGTAGGTAGCATCCGACTTTCCCGTGCGCAGGGCTGCAACTCTGCAACTCAGATATTTATTCCGCATACTACCCCCCCTTGCCCCCCGAGCTAACACCCACGCATATATATGGCTCATGAAACATTGAAGGTCGGCAAGAAATAAGGGTTTGAAGAAGGAAGCGAAACGATAGTTCCCTGCATAGAAACATACATACTTGACCAGCCTCGCAATGCAGTCTTAAAGAACATGACATGATAGCAATCAATACAGCCGCAGTCAAACGCCTCAACCAAGGGAATAAGCCAATCAAGGGGAGTAAAAAAAGGAATAAATAAGTGAAAATCATCGCCACATTTCTCATCTAGGTAAGTAAGACAGTAGGTATCAGAATAACAAAAAGAAATCTTAAATGTAAATACCAAGACATCAAACTGCCTGGCCTGCCTGGCCTGCCTCCACTCACCCCTTGTATACCGATGCATGGAACTGCAGCCTGACCAATAATCAGTCACTCGGGGTGCATAGCCTTTTAAGACGCACAGGGTATGTACCAGCCCTACGCCATTCGCTGAAAAGGGGAAGGAAACCAGTCCGGGGTAAGGAGAAGGCGCAGCGTAAATAATAAAATAAAGTGAAATGGAAAATAAAAATAAAGGATGAGATGTGAGGGGAGAATAAGCGGGCTTTTCTCGTAGCCATGTCAGAGTAGATAACATCCCTTGCACAGATATGCCGAGTTAGTTATAGGTAATCCATTGAGGCAGGATGCTCGAGCTGAGCACAGTAGACGTTCAGCTGGACTGCTTATGCGTAACCTCTCAGCTTCCGGCGGTCAGGTTCGCATACTATCTTGCATTTGGAACATTCGAAGCCCTTAGTATCAATAGATATGCGGCTGAGGCACTTAGTGCAGCGCCACCACCTGCAATCGACATTGCGGCTTTCCCACCAGTCACTGTTTTCTTGTTTGGACCCGCGCCGTATCATGTCCTCAAGGTGGTAATCTCTATAGTGTTCCCTGCAGTGATCGAGCCGGTAGAAGGGTTCCTTCGATCTTTGGCATTTCTTCCAATCGCAAGGGAACGGCGTTTTCTGACTGGAGTCACGGTGTCTATGCTGATAGTGGCGCTGGAGATCTGCCTTGCGTTTGAACGGCGATGAATTACAAAATGGTTCGAGACAGACATGAAGACCCGTGATATCAACAGGGGATTGCGGCCTGTGTGGATCTATTAGAACTCGAAGAGTGGGTAGATAACCTTTCATGTTTTGGTGGTAAAGTGATACTTACAATTCGGGGCTTGGCTCAACCGGTATGATCGCTGGATACCCTATAGATGGCGAATAACCCTGCTTGAGTTGCCAGTACGGGCCCTGCCCTGAATCGCCGTTGGTGATAAAATTGTAAAGCTGGAAATCGAAAGCTGGCTCTTGTGGTTGGTAGCCCGTATCGTAGCTTTGCCTATCTGTAGTGTAGGCCCCCTCTGGCGTAGCATAGTCGTGGCCCCCTATTATTATAGAGCTCGGCGAGAGACTATCGTTAAACTGCCCGCTGCTGGATCCTGAGTATGCGCTGTAATCACTCCCGTGTGATGCATTTCGCAACATTGGGGTGCCAGTCTGCCAATAATTTTGGTCACTATAGCCGGATCCGGTCTCTGAGACGTACGGATAAGCCATATTATGACGGGAAGTCGATGGAGTTTCCAATAATCTTCAATGTATTTACTGTCGCCCTTTGTATTTGTCTGGTTTCTTCGAGACAACCCGCATAACCTTTGCGGAACACCACTGCACTTATATAGACCCTTCAATCAAAGGGTTACGACTCGGCGGTTGAGTAGCAAACTTATTGTTATATGTAGACATGCAGATCGGTTGATAGATCAAAGTTGCCTGATAGACGAATATGGTATAGGTGCGGTAATACAAAATGCCAGTTATAATGTCTAGTTGGGACATTTATTCGGGCATTGAAGTATTCTCTGCTGTCAGACATAACAGAATCTTACTGACCATCGCGTTGCTAACAGATGGTGAGTGTGATAACCGTTCGATATGCATCGATAATGGCAATCGAGGCTCAAACTGCAAGACGCATATAGGTGAGGCTAACCGTAACTCCAACTATTTAAGGCTTCGATATGCGAGCTTGTACTTTTTGTTGGAAGCTCCAAATTCCTTCGAGGGGACGCTATGCTGTAAGAATCCAGATCTAAATAGTAAGCAAAGCGCCTACTCATGACAGCTAGGTAAGCTAGGTAATAGAATTCCCCCCAGGGTATTGCATAAAAATGTGTCGGATAACTTTGTATCCTAGTTGGCGGGTTTCCAGTACGCAATCAGTGAGCCATGCCGAGGCCACTGACTAGGTCTTTCACTTGTGGATGGCAGAAAGGGGGTAAGAGGTTGGTGCGCAATTTGGTTCATGGGTACTATCCTGATCGTAGGTATGATCAAGTATGTACGTGCTGTGGAATCTTGTAAGTGAGACACCTACTTTGGAGTTCGGTGAGCCGCGGAACTATGTAGTACGCTTCGACCGGGTGCCTTGAAAGATATGCATGCAATTTTAGGGTGACGCGACCCGATAGTTGAGCATAAAGCTATAGGTTCAGCCCAAAGTCCGTATGCTATGAGAATGTAGTTTGCTCCGTACGGGTAAGGCTGACAAGCCTGATAGGGTACGGGAGAATGTGGGCAAGCGTAAGCTGTCAGGTGGGTTAGGAAAGACAACAGCACGGGATTGGTTAATGGAGCTGAATATTAAGCTTGGTAAGTAACTCATAGCAGTAGATACCCGAAATTTCCTTGGGGTAAGTTAAGTGGTTGACCAAAAGCCGATGTTTGAAAGTCAAGATGATGGGCGTTACCCCTGCCAGTACTTACCTAGTAGACATACCAATTGGAGAAGGACGTCGTCTTTGGATTTTGCGTGAGTGCTGTACGACGTTAGATGCCCGTGGTGTCCTGTGGGACACGTAGGACACAGCCATCATGGGGTAGGACTTCAGCCTCAACTAAGACAAGCTATCGAATGAAATGAACGCTTGGAGCTGGGAGCTTCTTCTACTTTCAGGCAACCTAGTCCGCCTACTAGATTGCCTTGCCAACGCAAAGCTCCTGTTTGCCTCCGGTTGCCTTTCGGTGCCTGATCAGCCCCCAACAGAGTAGATTTCGGAATGCAATTGAGGCATTGGCACACTATCAAGTAGCGTAAATACGTAGCTTCGAGCCGCGCCCCCTCAGCACATGCCCTAGAACGTCAATGGAAGTGAGGCTGCTTAGTGAATTCTGCATGACAGACGTAGTTGCGTTCCACTTAATAAGGATCTGATAGTATATTCGGTCAAGAAACTGACCGAACATCATTTTGAGATAAGAGTTGAGAATAGTGCGGAGACTATTGCTCCAATAATGAGAGTCAAAAGTTGGTTGGCCTGTAGGTTTTCGAATTGGATCCTTTCTTAATGATTCCCTTCGCGGTTTGTAGCTTGGTTGTTTACCTAGGAGGTGTTCATATGCATTTGTCATTTGCTTGTTCCTTGCAGCCCGAATCCCACGATACGCCACGATGCGCGCATCAACCAAAAGAGCTTGGCGTTTCTCAGCCTAGAAAACATGGCAATTAATATATCTCTTTGACAGCATAAGCCAAGAGAATTGATTCCCAGATAGGATGAGTATTTGGGATGGAATATAATTCGGTAGAGAGCGTATCATCGCAGCCCAAAGGTCCAATCGCAACTACTCGCAAACATCCATATTTCGACATATTAACTCAGTTTATGACCGGTATCAAGTATTGCCTATCTCTGAAATTGATTCCATCATCGACTTTCCGGTTCCGGTAAGTTTCCGGCCAGTGATTGATAATCAGAGGACCCAATCATCGTAGTCGTCGTTTCACGTTCCACTGCGTGAATAGTCAGAAGTAGTAAGAAAATGGTCAGAGGCAGTTACAATAGTCGTTGACTCTTCATCAATTCATGACTCTAAAGGTAGAGGTGCACAATTAGGCTCCCCTCAAAACGTGTCCATGGATGAAAATAATAATAAAAAAAATGTTGAGTTTAAGTCGATAGGATGATATAGGACGATTGTATTTATTGTCTTCAACCTCTGTTTTATTCCGCAGAAATACTAGAAACAATTGGGCAGCTATGCATTAATACCTACCTGAGTATTGGTGCCACGTCTTTCGGGATTTGCTGTTGCTGTTGCTGTTAGGCTTCAGTTGGAGATTAAAAAAGTTGCCTACCTAGGTAGGTAGGCAGGTTAATTGTGAGGATTAGTTAGAAGGAAATTGGGAACTTGAAGTTTCATTGAGTTTAAGTTGAAAAAGCAAAAGTCAAATCAATCAATCAATCAATCAATCAATCTAATCTCCGTCAGTGGGTCTCGTGTTCCTTCCTATTAGTTACAGGTACCTACCTAGGTACATACATTATTAGGCTTTAGATGTAAACTTTTTGAAGAAGGCACAATGTAATACCTCGAGGTTAGATCTTTCCGTGAAGTTGTACACACAATAGTTCAACGGCATGTGCATGTGTTTGCTTACTACCCTGGACAGGTAGGTACATTGATGCAAAGATTCGGGGTTATGCCCTAGGTAAAGTCGGATTTATTCCACGTCTTACATGTAACACTTCGCTTCCCCCTCCTTTTTCTTTTTCGGCATACACAAGCCCACCGCTATTTCCACCTCATCTATACCCTACATAGGACCATAGGCAGTATAGATGTCTTGTCTTCATACAGTTTTTGCGGACAAAGGTCAATTATAGCACATATTCCTCGTATATTTCACAAAGCCCATGATTGCCCATATACTACATCGTATTAACAACGCTTGTATACATCTAAGGTTACGTACTTGGTACATGCTAGGTAGATAGGTAGGTAGAATAGGTATATCACAAATCCCTAATCTACGGATGTTAGTTAGGCAAGGAACGTAGGTAGTAGAGGAAAATGACTCACGAGAAGAAGAAAAGGACCTAAAGGCCGTATGCTACGGTCGTATGAAGGGGAGGGGGGGGACGAATCAATCAATTAATCGATCGCAATTCATTCCAAGGCCAATATCAGTTGCGATTATCAATTTGATCGATATCAAGTATTTAGGTAGACAACCGAAATCAGCCGAACAGTTCGCAAAGGAGAAGCCGGCCAGCCAGCCCCTCATCTCAGGTTCCACGATCGACCGAGCGAGCGAGCAACCCAAGCCTGTCTGTGACAGCTTCCACAAAGGCACGAACGGAGCGAGCGAACGACCCAGCTTTTTTTCCCCTTCGGCACAGGATGCAGGATACCCATTCCCCGTCGTACCCGTAGACGGGAAGCAGCAACGACCGGGCTGGGAATCATTTTGGTTCATGCAGAAGATTCGCCCGATGAACCTTGGGTTAGATAGCCTGCTGTTGCTGCTGTTGCGTGAAGTGCTCGTAGTACAGCTTGACGAAGAGCTCATGCTGGGCCGTGCGCTGGGACACCGAGATGTTGTTGTGGTCACACGCGGGCTCGCCATGTTCCAGGCAGAGGTCCTTGAGCTGGCTCGCGATGCGCTCATACACTTTGATGTTGATCGGCTGGAAACTGAGGTCTGATGCCGCCTGCAGCCTCTGCCACGCACAACCAGCCGCAGCCGTTGCCGAACATAGTCCCTCGGAGTCGCTGAGAGGCTCGAGAAAGCCCATGCCGTGCTGAGTTTCGGCATGGATAGTAGTAGGTAAGAAGATGTTTTCCTGGGATTCTACATGTCGTGGCCGTGACGGCGACGATGTAGACGATGACAATGCGTCGGAATGGTAGTCGAATGGCATGTTCATAGAACAGAGATCGGGATATTCGCCAAAAAGCGGTTCATCGAGATTGATCGCAGCCTGGGGATGCGGGCGGTTGAAAGACAAACTCGGCCGATCGAACAGCGGAGCAAGACGATTCGATTCAAAAGTCTGGTCGGCAAAGTCACCCAGTTCCCCTCTTGCGTTCCTGTGGGAATTTGTGGGATGCGAATGTCGTTCTTGATGGAACGAATCGCTCTTGTACGAGAATTTCGACAAAAGGTCTTGGTTGGGTTGGTAGGAAGATAAGGTAGGGGGCCTCAGTGTGTGTAGAAACTCGCGAAAAGGGATATCATCTTCATTGAGAGATCCTCGATGAAGCGGGCCCGATGCCATGAAGCTACCTTGTTTCGGTAGAATAGGAGTGTCCCGTGGTGCTTGATGAGAGTATTCCTCAAGCTGGCCATGTTCATTACCAGCAGATGTTGAGGTCTCGTTGGTAGGTGAGTGAGCCTTTTGCGCCGAATCATCGGGATAAAGGCATTGGAGAGATTTGTTCGTGCATCTCAAGCAAGGCTCGCCCCTCGAGCATCTTTCTCGTGCTCTTGCGCACTCTGTACATGCCCGTTTACGGTTAAGGCTGTGGCTATTTCTCTGAGTAGCAAGGTGCATGAGTTCGTGTCGAGTAAGAATATCACTATAGAGGTTGGTTAATACCGATCCACGTCAAGAGACAAGAAGCAAAGTAAGGATGCGCCTACCTCCTAAAGAAACGCTTCAAGCAAACAGAACAGACGAACGGTTTATGGCCGTCATGGCTGCGTTGATGTCTCTTCAGGTGCTCGGGTCTCTTGAAACTGCTAGAGCAGCGAGGACACTGATATTTCTCCTGAGTCTCACTCCCAGGGGAAGGACTCTTTCGCCAACTACTTCCTTCGGCTGCGACACTATCGATTTCCATTTCGGCATGAGCAAATAGGTTCTAGGTACTACCCAAGTCTTGACCTATCTTGTAAACTCGTGATACTCGCCATGGCGTATTATATGTCGTAACAATGGGATCTATATGTGGAAATCACATATGTTAAGGCTAGTCCCGTCGAAAGTAAGTTGAATGTAACCTATAGATTAAAAAGGGTATAGATTTCTAGAAGTATGCTAATTCGGTGCGATATTCTACGATATTCCACAATGTATACCTCCCTAGAACCCAGGTCAGTAGCATTTCCAACCCAAGATTATGGGGGGCCAAGATGTTACCCCGGTGGCGCGCTTGGAACAAAGTTCGTCGGAACATCTTACCGATAGATTAAAAGTCCAGTGAGGAGACTGGAGCATGATTGGCCAAGGCGTGCATCGAAACAAGGCTTGACCCTATTCACCGTGAAGCATTGGGGGGAGCACATCCATGCTGCTGACTGAAGGAGCTCGGGTTAAGATTGCGAATAAGGACCGATATAAGGAGTCCGGTGATTGGTCCGAAGTTGAGGCTATACACCTGCTGCTTTATAGACTCGTCGCGGAGCACCTCCGTTACGATCATAACGCGCAAAAAGAGCTCTCGGAATAACTGTATGGGCTTTTGCATTGATGGGAGAATTTGGTTAAAAACGACTTGCTTTATTAGCAGCCGTAAGGGTTGGTTTGATCTGGTCTTGAAAAAGGAATATACCCTTGTCCCCTTGTACTAAACTTGCCAAGTTTCACGGAACCCAACGAAGCCACGGTCATTGTTATCTAACACCGAGAGAGGGACACAGAACAGAGAGACAGAGAGAGGAGAAAGAAAAGAGGTGATTAAGGCTGAGATAATCAAAAGTGGTATTAGTGAAAACCCCCTGTTTCAACTAAAACTACCTCACACCTCTACACAGTAGAGCAGCTATATGAAAAGGGGAACTGGAAAGAGAATAAAAATAACAAAAAGATCCGAAGATGCAGGTTACCCGATACGGCATCGTTGGGTAGTAAAGGTGCCTAGATATGACGATACACAGTTGGCACGACCATTGACCATACCATACCATACCGGCCGGACCCAAGCGTCTATACTACTATCCTAGGTAATAAGTAACTTACTACCTACTACTAGGTAATAGGTAACTTACTGGGCATGTAACAACCCCACGCTCCAACTAGACAAGGACAAGAGGAACTAAGGATAGAGACGATGTCACTATAGCACGGGGGGCCCCTCCAGTTTATCATTTCCTTAGCAGGCCAACCCTCATGTGTCCCTTGCCTCTGCGGTTCGCACGCAGATAGTATGGTATGAAGGTGAGATCCCTCTTCTCCTTCTTCTCCTCCGTCATAACCGCGTGAGGAAGCGATGAGCCGGGTTCGAGCCCGGCTTCTTCTTCTTCTTCTTCTTCTGAGGCGTAGCAGCAGTTGGACCGATCGTCTGTGATCGAGCGGACCCAGCCCACAGCGCGGAGTGCAACGTAGCCCTCGCCTAATTGGTCAATCACCTCGTCGTGCTCGACCACCTCACCAGCGTCGGATTGAATCCCGACGTTGCGGAAGTGGTCCTCCTCCCAGGGGTTGTCGACATCCTCCACGCAGTAGATTAATGGGCCGCGGGCCAGGGCCAAGGTGCCCTGATTGGTATAGGGGTGTGGGGAGACGAACCGAGGCTTGAATCCCTCGATCTGGATCGAGAAGGCCCTATTCGCCTCTGTGTACGCAGGTGGGAGAACTAGGTAGCCCTTCTCAAGCCGGGCAGCTTTATAACTCGGGGTTAACTGTGGCAAAGAAAGCTTTAGCGAGATTGGCCCTCTCAATAATATTAAGGGGGTCCATTTAATAATCATCAATCATTAAAAAGAAAAAGAAAAAGAAAAAGAAAAAGAAAAAGAAAAAGAAAAGAAAGGGCCGGGGATCCCTTACCGTGTATCCCCTCCTAGCCCAGGAAGGGATCCTCAACCTAAGTGTGACGCTTACGGGCCTGGGTGCATGTAGTTGAAATAACACATTGCCCTCCCACGGCCAGTTCGACTTCTGCTCGAGCGTGACGATCTGCTGGTCGTCTTCTACCTGAAACGCCACCTTGGCCGTCGAGTACAGATGCACGTTGACGTAGGCGTCCTTCCCGCCACCCCCGTAATCCCAGAGGTAGCCGCCCAGGCTGCCGAACAGGCGCATCACGTTCGGCGGGCAGCACGACGTGTCGAACCAGTCCTCCCGCCGGCTCCTGTCCGCGCCCGAGCTCGCCAGCTGGTTCACGTACGTGAAGGCGGTGCCCTCGAGGCTCACGCCCGTCATCACCGCGTTGTACAGGCACAGCTCCATGACGTCGGCGTACTTGGAGTTCAGGTCGAGGTGCAGCAGGCGCTCGGCCAGCATGATGACGCCGATGGACGCGCACGTCTCGTTGTAGCAGCCCCCTTCGTCAGAGCCCTGCGGCAGGAAGTAGTCGATCCCGAAGCCTTCCCACTGCCACATCGACCCGATTCCTCCGGTCAGGTACATCTTCTTGTCCACCATGTTGTTCCACAGCCTGCTTAGGGCGCCGAAATACTCGTTTTTGCGCGCGTACGCCTTCAGGCCGAGCTTGTCTAGACATAGCAGATCGGCGACCCCCGTATACACTACAGCGTCCAAAGTCAGCGTCCAACTACCTACCTACAACACAACGATGAAAAGATGCAATAGCAGTGGCAATGTCAATGGCAATGGCAGCAGGGGAAAATCAAAATTCACTCACGATACATGGCCCTCACAGCGTGTCCCTCGACAGAGGTCTGCTCCAGAATCGGCGCATGGGCCTGGTTGTACCAGTGGCTATCGTGCATCTGGTAGCTATCGGGGCGCTTCCACGGGCTGTCGCCACGCTGCTTCCGCTCCCAGTCATAGTAGTGCATCCCATCCTGGCCTTTGGGGTTGCCCCTCTCCTCGATAAAGTACTGCGCCAGTGCATACGCGTCCTGGTTCCCCGTCGCTGCGTACAGACGCAGGAGCGCGAGCTCGGTTTCCGGGTGGCCCGGGTAGGCGTGTTTCTAGTACGAACGATCAGTTTCGGCTCGTTAGGTGATAAGATGAGAGAGGAGAGAGAAGAACGAAGAAACAGCAGAGGTAGAAAAAGGGGGGGGGGATTCTGACCTGATGCGGACCTGGTCCAATAACGGTGCTGATCATCTTGACGTACTTCTCAATGGGCTCTATCAGGCGGTTGTTCTTGTAGTAGTTGCTGTGCGCCAGAGCAGCCTCTATCAGATGTCCGGCGTTATACCTACATGCACACCCAGAGTCAGTCAACTCTCCCCAACAAACAAACAAACAAACAAACAAACAAACAACAGCCCATCCCAAAACTTACAACTCATGCTGATCCCTCACATTCGACCACCTTCCCCGTGGATCCACGATCGTGAACCACGTATTCAGGTACCCGTCCTCCTGCTGCGCGCCCCTGATCATCTCCGCGAGCTCCCTGACCGCCGCGTCGACCTCCGCATCGTACTCCTCGGCCAGCAAGTAGCACGCGCCCTCGATCCACTTCGCGACGTCGCTGTCCCAGTACATGGGCGCCGGGCACGGCCAGCGCCGGGCGTCGTCGTCGTCGTCGTAGATGGGCTGGCGCTCGAGCGAGAAGCACCGGTACCGCCCCGTCTCCTTCAGCTTGCGCAGCTGCGCTTTTACCGTCGTGCGCGCGATGGTGGTGCGTCGGCGCTGCAGGAGGGAGGGCCCGTGGAAGGTGGTTTGGGCGAAGAGGGTTTGTGGGTGGGACATTGGGGATGTGTTTAGGGGTAGGCGCCTTGGTAGGTAGGTAGTAGGTAGGTATGTGATGTGATGTGATGTGGGGTAGGTAGGTAGTGTAGTGTAGTGTAGTGTAGTGTAGGGAGGGTAGGGTGGTGTAGTGTAGTAATAGCCTAGCGGCGAAGCTCTGCTGGGTTTATATCCTAGGTGTTTTTACTACAAACAAGTGGGATGGATATAAGTCAGATGACTTGAGTATTGCTTTGCTCGAACTTTAAAAAAAGGCCGTATAAACAACTAGGTAGGTAGGTTATATTTTGTTGGTAGAGTTATACTCTCTCTTTATTAAAAGAAAACACTCTTAGGGTAAGTGTACAAAGGATCTCCTAGCACACCTCACCTCAAATATGTAGGTTATGTTTTGGAAAAGAAATGTAGTGACAACAATTCTCATATGCCACCTATCGTGAAGCCCATAATAGGTTGCCATACCGCCGTTGTATAGGGCCAATGAGGGGTTGGGGGCTTTTGATCACTAGACTCATGCATGGGACGGGGAAGGGGAAGGGATTGGCGCTCCGAACGCCATCATACTGACGGAGAGCAGAACCTTGAGTGAGTACCTATGTAAGTTGACGACTAGTTAGTTGGAGAACGTAATGCTCTCTGATGTGGAACGCGATCTGTAATAGCAAAATGCCCAAAATGTCACGGCCGATTTCATGCCTGCCACGTGCCTCCCTAAAATCCATCCCATGTCTTCAACCACATCCAGGTCCGTTCCACGGAGTTTTGAGTATGAGAGAAAGGAATGTCCTGCAGCTTTACCTTGGGAACTCGACTGGCCGCTTGACAAATCGGGATGGAACACGCCATAAGCCTATACATTCGCTGTCGATTTTAGGTTCTGTCTCTGAGCGTGAGCTGCATTCAGCTTACCATAGGAACAATCGTGTCTTCCATTCTTTACCGAAAAGAGGATAACCCATTCGTGAACGTTAGAGGTAAGTCAGTCTAGTTAGTGACGAGAATTGCTATTATATATGCACCCAGTGGTTTGGTACGTGATGATGGACGTGGTGATGGGCCCCTCTAGACCAACGCAAGGAAGACTTCCGATAGGCTGAAAGGGGCTAGCTGCGGCTTCCAAGCTCCCGTCCCTACATATTCTGACCATCACTGCCATGAGGCAAGTGAGAAAACAACATTAAAAGGACGTCATATCACTTTACATGTAATGAATGTCTTTACATAGTGGCTTTCAATGTCACCAGGAACATGTCGATTTGGACTTGACTGGTATATGCTGTACAGGCCGCATTGCATAGATATGTAACCTAGTACCTTCGTAGTCAGCCCCCAACAGGCCCCGAACACCGGCATGCCACCCAGAGTCTCGATTCACTTTCATTGGCCGAGTATGGCTCGGCACATGACCGATATAACTTGAGCTGAAAGTGCTAGGGGCGGTGAGAAGATTGCGTTGAGAACTAGGTACAAGGTAATTATCATTAAGAGAACCTACTAGGTAGGTAGGTACATTCATCAGTTTTATTACAGGCGTTGCATTCATTGGCAAATCATTAGTTCGTGATATGGGGGTTACTTTGTAACCGGGGCGAGAACGGCATTGCAAACTTGGAAACAAAAACAGAGTGATTGGAATAAGACCAGCGCGATCTCTTTCTGTATTCGGTTACAAATATTGTGACATGGGTAGACCGTTTGCGACGACTCCCCAGACGAGCAGCGTGATTATATTGCATACAACGAGCCCTAACAGGCAAGGGATTCCCATTCATTATTAACCATGACGCGTATCTGCCTACCTACCCATAGCTAGGTAAGTAGGTAGGTTAAACATCTTCATACATCGTCCTCGAGAAATCGGTACGCGAACTTGAAGTCAGCCTTTCTTCGGTTCATCCTACATTTTCTGTTAGCAGTTTATTCAACAAGAGTAGCTATAAGCATCAACAAAGTGGGACTCGATCGAATGCCGATGCCGATGCCGATGCCAACCAATACACATGTAATGCACTCAGATGGTACTTACCAAGTGGATTCATAATCGAAGAAACGGTACGTTCCTTGCTCAAACTCCTCTGTTATGCTCTTAGGCTCCTCATGACGCTGGAACCAAGTTTGGTACTGCTTGTGGAATCTCCAGCTTTGGTCCTTTAGTGCCTTTGCCGCCAGATATTGCTGGTATGTGCCCTGCTTGTAGTAAAATACATAGAAGAGGGTGTCTGGTTCAATGCGGGAGTAAAGCCGCGGGTCCTCAAATATAGGTAAGGGTTCTTGTGGGTACCCCGATGCCGACGGATACCGAGTATCCGGTTTGTACGTTCGGGTCGGCTCTGAATCGACAGCATCGTGTATGTTTAGGTTGGCATGAGAAGCCGCCATCATACGGAGATGAGACGGGCTGTTCACTGGCAGCGAGCGCTTCTTCGTTACCTCGAAAGACTCTACCAGATCCTGCAGGGAAGCAGGAAGATGGTATATGGACTCTTCCTCCTTCTCCTCAATAGGCTTAATACCATTTGCAACCCCGTTTGTTTGAGCTGCTACATAGCACGGTCAGTATACGAACGATAACAACTAAAATAGATACGGCGGGTCTACCTTTCGCTGGCTCTGTGTGGTCCACTGTGGCAGGCGCCTTGCCTGCAGTCTTAGCAGATGTCTTCTCCGACTTCTTCGACGTGGAGTCGGATACCTTGGGTTCCGGTACGTTGGTAGGAAGCAACAAATTCCCTATTCTCTGCTGCTCTGAAGGGGCCGGTTGTAAAAACGCCGTATTTGGCGAGCTTGCCGCGCTCGTTCTCGATGGCGCAGCAGGTGGTAACGGTGATATGCCTGGTGTCCCTGATACTGGTTGTGATCCTGGCGGTGGAGGAAGTGGTGCGATACCAACATTGTTCTTGTCGCTTGCTGCTGCTGCTGCAGCTGCCGACGCGTACTTCAAGCCTTCTATAGCTGGCCGTTGTGGCAAGGATGCTGGCTTCATGCCAGAATTGGTAGAACTGCCATTCGTAACATTCGTGAGCGGGTTATGTAATGTGGCTAGAGTCGGAAGAGGGGACTTGAGCTGTGTAGATGGCCGTCGTCCAGCGGCAGCGGCGGCTTCTACACCACTTCGCGATTTTCCAGGTAAGCTTCCGGAACGTGAATCGGCCTCCAAAGTGTCTTCTTGTATAGACTGTGTATCCTGCGACGAGACTCTATCGTTTTCTTGACCCATGCCATAGACATCCTCTTCTTCTTGGAGATTGAGCTCGTCGTAGAGTCCTTCGTCTTCGATATAGTCATCAGTCATACCATCTGTCACGTAATAACGTATGCTCTCTTCCAGATCGTTCACCTGATCGGTTTCGACACCTCCGTTATCTAGCGAGCGGCGAATCAACTCGAGCTTCCCTTGATGCCATTTATGTCTTTCGATTATGCGCTCGATGGTTGCCATACGGTCAGCTTTGGATGCATGGTTTTTGCCCTTCTTCATTGTAGCCTGTATTGCTTCCCCCTCAGCCTCGAGTGCCTCGATCTGCTGTTCAAGTTCGTCCACCATGCTGCTTAGGAATTCGCCTGCCTCTACTTTAGCTTGTTCCTTCGGATCTAGCTTAGCAGCTGCTGAGAGACCCTCTTTTGAATAGGCTTTCGTCTTCATAGCCTTTTCCACGGCCTTAAACCGTTCCATTTGCTGGGAAAATTGTGAGCGATATCATGATAGAGCGTACGATGTTCGGCGTCGCCCTGCTACATACCGTCTCTATCAGCTTCCGATGCTCGAGCAACGGAGCCTTATCCTTGATGTCATTGCTAGCGGCCCATGTCTTTATCTGGTCACGTAATCGTTGTAGCTTCTTGATCTCACGTTTGAGATTGTCTTCCAACTTCTCCTTCTGGGCGGGGTTATTCGATTGCTCGATCTTCTCGTAGATACCATCAAATTCAGCAACACCCTCAGCAACCTTTTTGAAGCACTTGTCTATTTCTTGTTGCAATTTTCTTGCGGCCATTGTGATGGTGGTGGGTGCCCAGGAACGAACCTGAGCAAGTAGTCGCGGGACGTATACGCGAAAGGTGTTTGGCGTTTATAGGTCGATTTCGGATGGTGATGATTGGTGCTCTTGGGTAGCGGGTAGCGAGTAGCGGGTAGCCGTAGTGGTGATAATGATTAGAGGGCGAGGTATAAGCCCAGGTTAGGATGACTCCAGGTCGGCGTAACCTTCAGGTGATCTTAGATACCTTGAGACTGGTTAGTTCGGAATCAATCTATCTGTGGTTACAGCTCAGTAAGGTGTGCAAAAAGAAGCGGGTGTTCACGAAACGAAGCAATGGTCAAGGATTTTTTGTTGCTTTTCGTTCCTATATTATTTGATTGGGGAGGATGTAATGGGGAGGAGTAGGTAGGTAAGTATGCACAATATGAAACAATGATGTTTGCGAATTACCTAGGTGTTATGGTCGGATTGGTTGCAGTAAAAGGCTGGATCTTTTTTCAAAGTGTCAAGCACGGAAGAGAGATGCGACGACGAAATATTGCGATAGTAGATGATAGATGCAGGCAATCACAGCCCTAGGTGCAGCTACAGCCTGCCTACGTAGCCTACTAGGTACGTTGTAGTTAAGGCATGTACTTTCAATTAAGGCTATTACCTAGGTTAGTACGAATAACCTTACTTTTTATCAGGTACCCAAGTACACGTGTAGCAAATACCACCACTATTACTAGGTACCTAGGTACGTAGCATGTTTGATACTAGGTACATAATCCCCGTAACAGTTTAACTACCTACCTATTGGAGTAGTCACTATTTGCACTATTTGAATGAACCTGGAAGGCAGTATGTCACAGTATCTACCCTATCCGCCTTATTACGCGTGCGCATTTTAATGGTACTTCTACAGAGAATTAAATTCGAAACACATGCTGCGGAAGGATCAGTCACTGAATGGCCAATATGTGCATGAATACTTTCATGTACTTTTGACTATGTAACACCAACTTGCGTGTATGCACCTATCATGCGAATAATACCACTATATCTATACATATGCAGATATGTAGGTACGTGCAACTTGACATCTCATTGGACTTGGCTTCTTCAGGTCCAACTGGCAGCCAGATGGCAAGCAGTCTTATCATTGAAGTTTCTCTAAAACATTGAATGTTGAAATATGTAATCCTCTACAGACTCTGCACAACATTCAGCATAGTGTTGCTTACATACCTATATTTACTACATTTGCATACTAGGTACTCTGTGAACCCCTTACATCCAAGATACAAACCAACACAACTTACATAGGCATACAAGTTTCAGCTCGCCCAACATGAAAGGTCAGAACCCCCCAAACCCAACCCCCAAGCCCCCAAAACCAATGCGCCCGAATCCTTTGTTCAACCTTTACGATTCTTGCAGTTATCCTGCAGCGTGTCCTGTCAGCTTCCGTGACCGTGGGAAAGGAGGTGGTGTCGTCCATCGGCAAAGGGGTCCTGGTGTTTGCCGCCGTAGCTCCTGGTGACACGGAAAAGGAAGCAGACTCCCTCGCAGCCAAAGTACTGAAGATGAAGCTGTGGGATGATGATGCCGGAGGAAGAGTATGATAGTATTACCTACCTGCAACCCAAACCCCACCTCTCTTCTCATCTTCAGCCTTTTTGATTTTTGCTTCTTATTCTTCCTTTTTGTCGCCCTGTCTCATACGCGCGTAACCCGTTTGCCTGACAGCTGTACATACAGTGGAAGAAAAGCGTATTAGATATCGGTGGTGAGGTCCTGTGCGGTAAGTCTGAGTCACGCTTACTACCCACCCACCAAAAAAGTAAAAAAAGGAAGAATTTCACCCTAATGGCATTTTTAGTTTCTCAATTTACCCTACTTGCCTCTACAAAGAAGGGAAACAAGCCGGATTTCCATGGAGCAATGGGCGGGAACGAGGCCAAACGGCTGTATGACTACTTCTTTACCAAGGTCCAGCAAGGCTACGTGGTCGACAAGGTAAAGAACGGAGTGTTCCAAGCCATGATGGAAGTCGCCTTAGTGAACGATGGCCCTGTATGTCTTGAATCTCCCAAGATCTTCGACTGCGGTACTGTACTACCTAGACTGTGAGCGGCTAATTTTTCCTAGGTCACGTTGGAGATGTCAGCTGGTCAAAAACCTATGCCTACACCAGAAAAGCCAAGTGAATAAGAAGGTACATCGCTTGCTTATACTGTCTATTTCTCCCCTGTTAGCGAATCATAGACATCCTAGTCACCGTGATGTTAAATCTTCATTGTGTGTACAAAAAATAGATTAATATTCTGTTCCTACCATTCAATGATCATGGCTGGAAAGAATAACATCATCAAAATGTCCTAATGAGGGTATCAATATTACTTGTTAGTTTGAAAACACCTACATCGCAGATTCTAAAACGCCCAGAACTATCCAAATTGTTAGGTTCCCACACCGAAAACATTAATTCCTCCCATTATCGAGTCCTATCCTTAGGGTATCTGGGACTTTGAAATACCTCGGGCTCCCTGCCCTTGAATCCATTACTGGGTATTATAATGAGAACTCCATATGATGCAATAAATGTTCCCCACCATCATGACTGAAATTAATGCGGACCGGTCTTTTGGCGCCGGTTGACCTTCCGGGCTCGCCTCTTAGCAGCAACCTCAGGATCCCAACATCCCGCAAACAGATCTTCGCATTCATCTTCGTCGTCCGAGTCGAATATGATGGGCTCCTCACCATTTCCAGCTGGTTGATCTGACAGGTCCATTTCGAACTCGAGCATATCATCGGCTACGGTGTCTTCCCAGCTTCGATAGACAACAACTCTCTGCGTCTCCAGAATGAACTTTCCGATCTTGTATTTCTGTCCCTCATCTTTTGCGTCAATATATTTCCAGCCTATCTTCGTATGACAGACAGCACATGTGATGTCCGCAACAACATGAGATCCAGTTACCAAAAGACGGGTCTCGGATCTGCCGACTTTGATATTGATAAGGCCTTTATCCTTAGCGGCCTTATGGGGGTTATCTGGCGGTGCCACTAAATAGGCGCGCCCGTATCGGCCCGTAAATCCCTTACTGACGAGCTGCGAGCCGAAGGCGAAATCGGAAGCGCAGGTAGAACATTTAATCGTGTTGGGCTGAGCTCGTGTAAGCCTCGTAGTCTCCGAAGGTTCTACTAACGATTGGGGATGTTTGTCCTTCGTCTTGTTTAAAAGATTGGAGAGTAAGGACATAGGCATAAATGACGATGGTGTTTTCGGTGAGCTACTTTCTACTGGGCTTGATGGTCCTGAGTCTGTTGGCGATGAACTCAAGGACGGTGGCATGTCACTTGACGGATTTCCACTGCTCGAATTGGAACTTTGTCGTCTTCGGCGAAATTGCATATTAAGACTTGGGAGTAGGTAAATTGGGAACCTGGGCCCTGGATCTGCTGCTCGTGGCAGCGGAGGTGTAGAAGGGGAAGGAGATGGGAGCACCTCGTTGAACATGATGGAGTACATCTCAACAGCGGTTGGACGTCTAATAAGCGTGGTAAGTTCACGCGATGTTTGTTTTGTTTTGGTGTTTGTTTGCTGGTTCCGAGAGGCAACCTGGCTATCAAATAAAGGAGTAAAGTCCAGCCCAGGTCCAGCTCAATCCGTACAACAGAGAATATGTAAGGGCCTGAGGGTAGGCAAGTAACAGCATCAAACCCCGCATCCGTGAGACCTATAAATATACAGATCAAGATATATATGTACGAAGATGTATGTGTATGTAGTAATGAATAACTTAGAACCTTGCCCAGGGTGGACAGCAAACATTTAAAGGTCACATATTAGGTTCATATACAGTTGGGCAGGCGTGCACGGGGTTTTAAAAGTCATTGCATTTCGGAATCTGCGGGCGGGTGGTAGCCCTCCATAAATGTTAATGGTAGGAGCATTGGAGCATTAAACCATTTAGAGTTGATCCCGTGTGCATTGTGCATCAGATCGCATCATTCTTAGGAAAGGTCGCCAGGTGCAGTTCTTGCTATGGGATTCTCTTATCGGAGGCGTCCACCCCTCCTTCAATGTTAGCTTTATCGGGCTTTATCATTTAGTCGCCCTCACAAATGCGGCTAACATGGCAGTTATTAGAGGGGGTGACCCTGCATGACTCGGGGTACATACGTAGTATCCTCGACATGGAGCTTTAACGAAGCCATAATTGATGCTCATAATTAGATTCACTGATGTGCAATCAACTCTCAAACTTTGGTAGCTCATGATAGAGCTTCGATTCCTTTTTTTTTTCTTAAAAGAAATGGGCGACTTGAATGTCTGTCATTGTCTGACCATGAAAACCTACACATGTATCATAAACTTATCAAGTGTGACATCCGTTACATTTATTTGCCAGCCTACATCATTTGTACCACCTAGACTAGCAAATGCGCTGTATGCCGAGTTTCCCGCAATGATACCTAGAACTGTATTCTTGTTAACCAACATGACTCATTACTATGTACATAGTATAATCAAGCCGCAACATGAGTCGACAGTTGATCTAAAGCAGGAACCAAGTCCTTTGTTTCTGTCAATAAGAGAAGAACAAGTATGGATGGCAAAGCGACAAGGTAAAAAAGGTTATCTATTTGTAATTTCTACTATCTACCTATACCACCTCTTTTATATTGCCTTTTCGTGATATGTAACAGGCCAAGCTACATGTAGGCAAATTACTTAGCCTTTAGTATTTACGCTTAAGCTGCAACTAAAGTACCTACTACTAATAGTAACCTAGGCTACTACTAAGCGCACGTGTGAGCTAAGCAAAGGATAACGTTTGAATATTGAATAAGGCATGCAATGTGCATCGTAATTCGGCTCTGGTATCCTTATAAGGAATATTTTCTAGGTATCACATCCATCGAACCAAGTAGAAAACGTGCGATATGTATGAATTCATAGGAAGGGAATATCGTCACCTAGATGGGCTGACCAGCGTTTGGTGTTAGTAAAAAATGTCTGCCAAGGAATGCACAAGAGTCAAATAACCAATAATAATCCTCCCAGCTCATTGGTTCGATTGATGGAGGATTAACACGTGATGGGAATGCGGAGGTGTCATGGTTGCAATGCAAACAAATGATTGGACCAAAAGAATAAGTCTGGTTTGTTTCCAACCATGATTGAACCATCCAACCAAAGGAAAGGCCTGAACCCGCCCTTTACTAAATGCAAACTGCACTAGTCTAACCTAAGTAAGTATTCGACTGACCGCTGGCTGCCGGCTTTTCCAGACATTTCTAGGCACCCTGGGCCAGATTTCTAGGTATTTGACTGTGAACTTTCCGCCTTGTTCTGCTTTTAGGTCTTCCACAGTCTATCACTTAACAACTTACCAACTTACCAACTTAACAAAACACCACCATCAACCACTAACCAAACCACAACTCAATGCTTTGATACCGTTTGACTTGACTTGATTAAATATCATTCAAAGATTCCATATTCCGAACCATCAATCTACGACTAACAAAGCAACTTGAACTATTAATTGCCTACGCTTTTATCCTCGCCTGGATTTCTTCGTATTCTCGATTTTTATCATCTCACCAAATCAATTCGCTTTTTAAGTCATAGCCCTGGATTCCATCAGTAAAAATGGCGCCAATGAAAAACGATAAAAGTAACAATTGTAGTAGTAGTTATGGCGAGGCCGTGGCCCGTCAGGTCAATGTCCTCGCCAGCTGCTACCTCGTCGATCCCACTGCCTCGCTAAAGGGTCTTCACTACTGCACTACCGGGGCTGCAGGTAAGTCACATATCTCCATCCGAGAAACATTCCCCTCCCTCCTTTCTCCCCTTTCCCACCTTTATTAATATCTTTATTAATATGGGCATTCCTTACTAACTGATTATTCAAAATAGGGGCCGAGTGGTATTCCTGAGGTCCCTATCTCAGGATTACCATCTCCTCCGTCAAGTCCCCCCCTCGCGGCCATCACATCGTCCAACGAGCTCGCGCTTCAACCCAAAAATAAGAAGCGCAGCGGCAACATGCCAATTAGCCGCAGCCGCCGAGGGGGGGCAACATTACAGATCAGGGAAGAATGTGAGAGATTCTTTTGCGAGACCATGAAAGCCGTGTTCCAAGGTGAGAGGGACATGGCCGGTAATAGCTCCTGCCTGACTGGTGTTAATTACGCACTCACGCCACCTGATGACTATCCTATGTCGCAGTCCATGGCCTTCTCCAGTACTGATAACAAGCCCGCAGTCTGTGTGAATGGATGGATGGAGTTTTGGGATTACTCTGGTGGCGCCAGCTTCCGAGCCTTTGTTGTCGAGGATAGCGACGAAAGGTCGTTGTTTGCATTCTTTGACAACGGACTCGTAGGCCGCGATCTCAAGCAAGCGTATGTTCTCCTTTACCACCCTTTTGACTCTTTACCTTTTATGAAATCAAGTCCTGCTGACACTCTTCTTTTTTTAGACTCATTGCTTTGATCGAATTAGCCGATGGTCCGATAGAATGCTCACACGTCGTGATTTGCGTTGACCGTTCAATGCCACAGGACTACGCCAAGGCATTGATGAAAAGCCTCCAATGGGTTGGCTTCGAACTGACTACCCTCGACCACTGGGCAAAGGACGTTGACGTCACTAGCAGTAATTGGTTATTTATGGGAATGGAGATCTGATCGTAGCACTCAGGTCCCCTCACAGTCGTTCACTACATTTCGATTCTACTCCAAATATTTGGGAAACCGGCCAGTAACTAAAAGTATCGCTGAGGTTAGGCTGTTTATGGGAGTTTTTGGACTCATGCATCATGCATCACGTTAAGTATCGGCGCATTGGTCGTTTTCTCACCTTATATCCGATTCAATTCATCTCGTGGACGAAGGGCATGCGTCTACAAGACCAAGACGGCGAACGGAACGACGATGCAAATGATGCAATAGGCGAAATATATAGCTACAGCATAGTTTTACTATCAATAGAGCGATGGACTTCTATCCTCCCTACCTCCCTCCCTTTTTTTATGTTGCCTCTCGTCTAAAACCCAGGAACGCCTTTCGTACTGTAGATAATGACACAAGGTGCTCTAGATCCCACACCTCTCCTCCCTCTTCACGTAATATTTATCCAAGTCATTATAAATCGCCCTCGAACATCCGCACTTCTAGCCCCTTTTGTGCCAGGTAATCCTTGACTTGCGTAACGGTGTACTCGCCCCTATGGAAGATGCCGGCCCCCAAGGCAGCATCCGTCCGGGTCTTCTCGAAGACCTCCTCAAAATGTCCGGGGTTGCCGGCGCCGCTGGAGGCGACGACGGGGATGCGGATGGAGGATTTTACCTGGTTGATGAGCTCGAGGTCGAAGCCGCTGTTGGTGCCGTCGCGGTCGATGCAGTTGAGCAGGATCTCGCCGGCGCCCATGGCCTCGACGGCCTGGACGAGCTCGACGACGTCGAGGTCCCGGGTCTCGCGCCCCCCCTTGATGGTGCAGGCGTACCAGCAGTGGTCTTCGCCCTTGGGGCCCGGGAAGCTGGTTTTGATGGTGTTGTGGCGGGTGGCGTCGGCCATGGGCACGTAGACGCGCTTGGGGTCGACGCTGATGACGACGGCTTGGTTGCCGTAGGCCTTGGAGATCTGCTCGATGGCGGTGTTGCCGAAGAGCTTGCGGCCGACGGCGTAGTACTCCTCGGCGGCGAGCACGGCGTCGGAGCCGATCGAGACCTTGTCGGCGCCGCTCTTGAAGTACATGGTCGCGATCTCGAGGGCGCTCACCTTGGTCCCGTCCGTGTCGACTGTGTCGCGGATGCCGCCGCCGATGGTCAGGGGCACGAAGACGGTCTCGGATGTTCGGCGTAGGATCTCGAGCATGGGCAGATCGGCTAATGGACAGTCCCGGAAGCTGGTGATGTTGAGGAAGGTCACTTCGTCGGCGCCCTGCTCGTAGTACTTCCGCGCCAGCTCAACGGGCTTTCCCAGGTTCCGCACGTCGCGGTTACTGCTCTTTTCTCGTACATCGTATTGGTCGCCCTTCGTTACCACGAGGTCTCCCTGGTCATTGGTCCGCACGTCGAGACATGCGATGATGCGCCTCGTCAGGCCCCCTGTCGGTGCTGGCCCGGATGTATTTTGCCCTAACGTTTTTGCGCCCTCGCCTGTTAAAAATGACTTTAACACTCGTAGACCTGCTACGCCGCTCTTTTCCGGGTGGAACTGCGTCACCAATACGTTCCCCTTGGCTACCGCACCCACAAACACCTCCCCGCCGTATGTGCCTGTCGCGACAGTCCATCCCAAGTTCTCTAGCTCGTCCTTGACGTACGGGTATTTATATGAATGGACGTAGTAGTACTTGCTCTCGGGCCGAAGGTCGTATAGACTCTTGCTAGAGGCATTGGCGCTATTCCAACCGATATGCGGGACCGACTTTTGCGTATCGTCAAACCGGTTCAGACCACCCTTTATCAGACCCAGGCCCGCCGTGTTCGGGTCCTCCGTGGAGGACCCAAATATCGCTTGCATTCCGACGCAGATCCCCATAAATGGCTTGCCGGCGTCGATGTGGGCGCGCACAGTGGGCAGGTAGCCGGCGGAGGCAAGCTGGCTCATACAGTGGCCAAAGTGACCGACGCCCGGTAGTATCAGCTTCTCAGCGCGCGCGACCTCTTCGGGGCTCCGGACCCATTCGACGGTATATCCGCATTTTTCGATCGCGTTGGCAAGGGACCGCACGTTGCCTGCGACGTAGTCGAGGAGGTGGACTGTGGGCATTATGAGGAGGTATAGAATGGGTGAGGCGCAAACCGGTAGATCGTATCAGTTCTAGTATGTAGATACCTCAGGATTGTAGATATTAATGGTACAGTTAGTATATACAAAGTTTTTTTCTGGTCAAGGTCTAAGGTTTCCAAGAGTTTTGCGATCGATGCTCAAATAGTATTCAAGAGAAGTCACCTTGACGAGGTCTACGCGGAATCGGAGGTATTATTGGTGAGTCAAAATCAACTCCAGAGGTCAGGCAAGCGCGATATAGCGGCAATTTTCAGTAGGGTGAGGGGCAGAAGGAGCTGGTGAGCGTGTGCATGCGCTGAAGAATGCCCCTCCAAGAACCACAAAATAGCGTGGATAACCTAAGGAAGGTACATGCTAGGTAGTGCTAATGCCACTATTGACCGCCTAAATTATTGTTGGAAATATCATTGCCATATGGGAATAGCACATATTACATAGTTACATACATGCAATGTTGTATTACTGTTCTAATACTAAAGTTTATATGAATTCCAACAGAGAGGCAGAAACCCAGGGTCACCTTTCAATAAACATCAACCTCATTCTATTGAAAACTTAATTTTGCATCCTCTTCATATTTCAAATGCGTTTCTGTATCCACTCAAACAATCATAAATTTACCTCTTTCTTCCCCAATGGCTAACGACAACGTGATGAGTGAGGATCATTCTCATGTTCCGAGGATGCCATTCACAGACCAAAACACTCACACATCTGAAGAAAACGACGAATCCGAATGGGAATATGAATACTCTAATACGGAAACAGAGGTAAGTCTAAGTAGTAACTTGAGAAGTAAAATAATATGATGTAGGACTAATCAAATGATATTATAGACTTTTTACGTAACACTGGATCTCTCCAAGGTGGATTTCACTGGCCGTGATGTTCGTACTACTAGTCAACATGGCCACAAAGGCAACGAGAAGTCTGAGCGGGCCAAGTTATATTTGAATCGACGCATGAGTCCTGAGAATAGTGATGAGGATGAGAGTATGATTCAGAATAATCAGCCTTCCCCGCCAAAGGACACTGCAGAAGAGGCCGATTTCAACGATCACCAAGTCCAGATTTTAGAGCTTCACTCAGAAAATCCCATCATATCGTATAAAGGTCGTGTCTACTCAGGCCGCTGGAGCCAGAATGTCGGCACCGAATTACTCATGACACGTCACGACGATTACAATCCGCTTCCGGCTCTTCAACATCTGGATAATGACGTGGACCTGCTTGCAGCGAGTTGCTCGCGTATCACCGTGGAGGAGATGGAAATCAAGCCCAAGGAAGGAGTTGCCAACCAATGGCGACAGCGCGATGCCAACGATAGTAGCAAAAGCAATGCCCCAGTATCGGTCGTCCCCGTTCCCGAGAGATGGGCTACAAAGGAACGAATCGACCAAGGCAACTTTCTTGCAAACTTGATCGCACTCAAGAAACGCAAGGGCGAGACGGACGAGGTCACGGTTATCGCCAAGGGAATGGACCCGAGAAACGACCACAACCGAAACAGAAAACTGAAGCAAAAGGAGAAACAGAACTTGAGGCGAGGTCACCGTGGAAAGTACAATCTACCGCACTACAGAGCTTACCGAAGAGGTGGGGGTTCCGAACTTCTAAAGACTTTATCCATCAGAGAACCCTTGGTTGGGCTGTCACCCACGGCGAGTTTTGAAGATAATGTGTCCACGCCTACTCCAAATCGGTGGGACGATCTCGAGGGAGAGGACGTCAGCATGGTGGATGATTTTGATATGGGGGATGATGACGATCAAGGATTGGGGGAAATTGGGTACTCAGGGTCTGGGGGAGACGGGGGTTCGGTTGAAGAGATGGACGTGGATGATGCTTAGGGTCATCCTCTTGTTCATTTAATCCTGTCTTAAGAGCATGCGCCTAGAAGCCAAACCCAAAAGATCCAGCAGTGTGGATAGCTACCTAGAGGTACTTCCATAGTTACGGTCTAGATATCACTATGGTGTATCAACGAGTTCATTGATCATGTCTTTCCATGACAATGCATGAATTTGACTCCTATCCTTCTACTGCACATGCTCGATTAACGAGCAACCCTAGAACAGATCGTCGATACTCTTATCCGCATCTTTCTTAATCAAATCTACCATGCCCTACATACGTCCACACCGCGTCAGCCATCTCAAAGAAGAGTAGAAATCAATAGCAAGAAAGGGGGAATACTCCTCACCTCAGGCATAATCGGATTCCCCTCATCATCCTTGACGTACCGGAACGGCATCTGCGTGCTCTCGTGCTCGTTGAACTTGAGATCGGGGAAGTCGGTGTATGGGATTTTGTTTAGTGTGACTGTTTTTTTTTTTTTTCCTTGTTTAGATCTCACAGCACATTTCAACAACGACGGCGAGAAAGAGAGAAAGGGGGGTAAGGTGGGAAGGTGAGAGGTGGTAGTAGGGGAGAGTGATAGTGTAAACCAAAGCAAGGGAAAAATAGTGAGTATAGTGAGTATAGGTGGGTAGGTAGGTAGGTAGGTAGGTAAGCAACGTACACTGCTCTTCAATCACCATCCGTGTCACCCGCACCGCCGTGTCCGTGGTCATCTGCACGGGGCCCAGCCGGCGGCCCTTGAACCCCTTCTTGCGGAGCTCCGATGTTCGGTCTAAAGCGTCGTTAGTCAGGTACTTCTATCCTCTATCCGCGTACTCGATCGATACCCCTTTCCGCCACCCACCCACCCACCCCCCTTACGCCTTCTTCGTACTCAAAACCAAAAAAAAAAAAAAAAAAAAAAAAAAAAAAAAAAAACAAACAGGGTAGAGATGCTATGCTATGCAATGCAATGCTATACATACCCCTCGGCGGATCATCGCCCAGAATGCCCCCAAACAAGAACACATCAAAGACCCCCTTGTCATCCGGACTCAAATCCCTCTCGGCCTGCGGATCCAGCAAGCACACCCTGTCCCGCCCGCCCCCCTCCCCGCCGTACATCTCCTCGACGCCCCTCCTCTCTGCGCGGAAAGCCGGGATGGCGGTCAGCCTGGCGGGGACCTCGAACCCGGACGGCAGCGACGACAGCATGAAGGTGTTGCCGGCGCGCTGGGTCTCGGCCGCGATCGCGGCGTACTCGAGCTCCGACCACTGCCCGAGCTCCGGGTCCAGGTGCTCCACTATGTAGGTTTTGCGTTCCGGCATGGCTTTTTTTTTTTTTCTTTTTTTTTTTCTTCTGATGGTTTTTTTATTTGTTTTTTTTGCGCTGGTTGGGTTAGTTACCTCTTGTTTTTATAAACATATGTTTTTTTTACGTACTTAATATCAACTAGATTTGGTGCTGTGCTTGCTATTCCACCAAAGATAGCTTGGTTCGTTGAGAGCAGAGTTTTTGATATGAATACCCTAATACTTGCTTGAGATATATGAAGGATGTGTAGGTAGATAGGTAGATAGGTTACTTTAGACGACTAAATCCAATCCCTTTTAATTCACTATAATTCGCAGGTCAAGTAATGTACCTAACGTTAGTTCCTAGTTCAAGTTGTATGCTACTATGCAAGTCTTAACCTTGTGTTGCACCAATTGGGAAAATTTCACTTAAGGCGTACATGTGGGAGCCAATCATGTGAGCTCTACAGTTGGTATCTAGATCATTGATCTTAATAGACCAGACCTACTAGGTACCTAACCTGGGTACTCATGGATTCATCATGCTGTCGATTTCTCGCTGGCATATTCTCAATCATAATCATAATCGTATTAGCACGAGCAATTAAGGAATTAGTTGACATGATTGGATGGAAACTCATTAAACGCCCACAGCATTATATACCTATCCTCAAGACACGAAATGCCATACAGACCACCATACAGACCCTTGTTCCATTCCCCCGAAGCTCTGCTCGAGGCGCGCCTTTTCATATTAACCCGGCAATAGTGCTAGGGCGTTGGATCAGGCATTTTATTTTCGTGATCCCTTGGTTGGAAGAGAGCCAAAGTCCTTGCTCTTGCGCTTCTTCGTGGGTCGACTCGATCCACCCTTGGGTCGATATCCTGGATCCTCGTCTCTCTTTCTCTTGAGCTTGATAGAGGGCACATCATAACCTGCGTCGTCATCCCAGTCTGCTGATTCTGCGGCCTCCTTTTCTTTACGGCTGGCAGCTGATTGTCTCTTGGTTCGCGCGGCGTTGCCACCTTTGCGCTTGCGTCCTCCTCCTACATCATCATCATCCTTGTCGTGACCGTCGTCCCTGCCTTTTCCCTTATCTTTGTCCTTTTCCTTCTCCTTCTCGAGGTCCTGGAGGAACGTCTTAGGTGCGTGTCTGCGTAACCAGTTGTAAACACTCGTAGGATTTCGTAGCGCAAAGTTGGCCGCAGGATTTGTGGTTTCTTTTCCTATGGCAGTAGGCGCGAGGGTGGGCTTGGGTTTCAGTTTCAATCGCACGTCAAGTTCGTAGAGATACTCGTCAATATCGTCGGCAGTTAGAAACGAAGTGGGATGTGCCTGGGGATCATCTGGCTCTAGGTCGTCTAGAATTTCTGGATTTTGGTCGACACTGGCAGCATATGATCTATGCGGGACCTCCTGTTCTAGTCTGCTCAGAGACTTTGTTGGCTTCTGGGTGGCATCCGAATCATCGTCATCGTCTTCGTCCTCTAAATTGATATCGATGCGTCGCTCAAAGGGGATTTGAGGGGAATCATTGATGTCTAACAGAATCTCCATCAAACGACTATTAAACCGTGGTCAGTTTACCTCTCCTTCATCCTAACGAATAAAATTATGTATAGGAAAACAGCGGGCGCTACTTACTCGTTCTCGATAGCTAGACGCTTCGCAGTTCGCATAACCTTTTGTTCCAGCTTGTGCAGACTTTCAATCTCCTGCATCTGCTGGTCGAACTTGATGCGCATCTTGCGATATTTCTTTTTCCATGATTTGTACGATGGTCTAGCGTCTACCATTTGTAAATCGGTATGGTCTTTCTCGAATTCGCCCTTGAGTGAGGCCATTGTGATGGAAATAAAAAGAAAGAAACAATAGATAAATAGAGTCGGGTTTTAGAAGATGATGGAAGGGGGATGAATAGCGATTGACGTGAAGTGAAGAATAGTAAAGTAAAGTAATGAAAGGCTTCTTTTTTGAAAAAAGGGAAGGGAAGGCGTAAATTAAATCATTTGATTGATTGTTTGGACGGTGCGAAGAGAATGAAGGAAATGAAGGAAATAAGTATCAAGAGGAGATAAAAACGTTTAAGATAAAATTAATTTTTAAATACGGGTTCAATACTTGATAAACATACTGTACACTGCAGTCTGTACTGATAGTCGTCGTAGCTACAGAGGTAGTCACGGTTTGAACAGTCAGACGCAGAGAGGAAAACGATGCGAGGATTTTGGGGGTAAGGGAATGTCTAAGCAAGCCATCCAACCCTTGGAAGCCTTAAAACGCCGCGCATCCTTCCCTCTGCCAAAGCAACATAACGCGTTCAAACCATCTCGTATGTACTGTACTTGCTTTTTTGCCTAACAAAAAAACCGTCACTTCCAAATGCGACATTCCCACTAAAACCTTGGGTACCTAGTAATTCCCAGGTATCAAGTACATATGTATTGTATTGTATTGTACCTCCAGAATCCAGATGTCCCGACTCCCTAGACTCCCTACATGTACCTAGTACCCAGTAGTACCCAGCAGCTAACTTGAAGTTAGTTATCGATAATCCAAAGCAACCCCACCATCAAATCTACAGGCCCAATACAATAGCCACAATTGGAAATCTGCAAACACAATCACATTCATACACCAACTTTCAATTTCAATTTCAATCAAATATATTATAATTTCTTCGAAAGATTTAATCCCGCATGCTTCGGCGGATAATAAACATGGCCGAAAACGCAGCTAAGAGATTAAAGATGGAGGGCAGCAGCAGCGGCGGCAGCGTTAAAATCGGCACCCACAACGGCCACTTCCACGCCGATGAAGCTCTCGCCGTTTACATGCTACGCCTGCTGCCCACCTACCACGGCTCCTCCCTTATCCGCACCCGCGACCCTGCGCTGCTGGAGACCTGCCACACCGTCGTCGACGTCGGCGGCGAGTACGAGCCCAGCCGCAACCGGTACGACCACCACCAGCGCACCTTCACCACCACCTTCCCCGACCGCGCCACCAAGCTCTCCAGCGCCGGGCTCGTGTACATGCACTTCGGCAAGGCCATCATCGCGCAGCACTTACAAAAATCCGAGGACAGCCCCGAGGTGGGCCTGCTGTGGAAGAAGCTGTACGAGTCCTTCATCGAGGCGCTCGACGCCCACGACAACGGCATCTCCTCGTACGATTCGGAGCAGCTCGCCGCCGCGGGCATCGAGAAGCGCTTCAGCACCGGCAACTTCACCCTCGGCGCCATGGTCGGTCGCCTCAACCCCAACTGGAACGACCCCGTGTCCTCCGACCCCGTCGTCGCCCAGGCCGACGAGGACGCCAAGTTCTACATCGCCAGCACCCGCATCGGCGAGGAGTTCTCCCGCGACCTCGCCTACTACTGCAACGCCTGGCTGCCCGCCCGCACCATCGTGCAGGACGCCTACCAGAACCGCTTCCAGCACGACCCCGAGGGCCGCGTCATGGTCTTCTCCGGCCTGTCCGTCCCCTGGAAGGATCACCTGTACACGCTCGAGGAGCAGGAGGCAGGGGAATCAGAAAATGGCAAGAAGGTGCTCTACGTGCTGTACCCCGAGAAGCCCGTGCCCGACGCCAAGTGGAGGATCCAGTGCGTGCCCGTGTCCAAGGACTCGTTCCAGAGCCGCAAGCCGCTCCCGGAGCCCTGGCGCGGCGCACGCGATGCCCAGCTCGACGAGGTCTCGGGCGTCCCCGGCGGCGTCTTCGTGCACGCGTCGGGCTTCATCGGAGGAAACAAGACTTTCGAGGGTGCCAAGGCGTTGGCGGAGAAAGCTTGCGCTTCCTAAATACTAAATAGAAAAGTAACTTTGAGTAGGTATACACGGGTCAGGTCAACAACGGCTTATAGATGAAAAAAAATCGTGATAGATATATGTAGATCCATACATTGGCAAATTACTAAGTATCTAGGTTATGTAGGTAGGTAGGTAAGGCGCCTAGCAAACTACATAGGTAGGTATTCATTAACAGCATGGAAGAACAGCATACATCCATTGAACGACTTTGAATTTCCCTAAAAACAAAATGCGCCCAGCCATCGTAAAAAAAAAATACCTAGCAATAACCATTTCACACCCATATCACACACTAACACCAGTAAAACAACCCAACTCCCAAATGCATTTTCTCACGTTGCGTTGCGTTGCGTTGCAAAAAATAAAATAAAAAATAGAATGGGTACGGTACCTAGTAGCAAACATGTACGATAGGTAGAAACCAGGAGATTTGGAGGAGGGGGGGGGGGACCTTAACGAAAGTTCTTCAAATCAAAAGGAGCTGGGAGATAGGTTTAAAAAACGATGAGAACGACATCCATCGTTCCATCATAAGCTTGTTTTGTGTTTTTGTTTTGGTCTTTTTTTGGTTGCAATTGCGAAGTAACCCTTTGCCAGGTGCCATATCACCATCCCAAAACGCCACAGGGGGGGAAAGGGACGAAAACTGACAAATACTAATCCCTCATAAACCATCGTAAAAAAAAAACAAGAAAAGAGGTTGATGGTGCCTTTTTGTTTTTTCTTCAGTCACCCATCTCTTTTTTCTCTGTCCCTTCCCTTCAGAAACACGACTATGTAGCTTACACCCACAACGCAACGCAACGTAGGACGTACGTATCAACCGACATGCTCATAAACAAGGCGCCATCCAGCTATTGTAGGGTAGAGGTCATACCGATGCCAACGCCCCTTCAGTAACATATCGGTTCTATCTGAGCTTACATCCTGGACGTCGTTGGCACACTCATACCACCGAGAAGGTAGCCTCACGTACGTCTATCCTCGAATCGGGATGCTCTTCGCTTCGGAGTTTTCTGAGGTGGGTGATGTGGCTTTGTTCTCCTGCTCGGCAGCCTTGGCAGCGGTATCATTGGTGCCGTCATCGACGCTCGTCTCGCGGTGCAGGAAGCTGCTCTCCTTGACGGGACTACCGGAGGAGGTGACTTGCTGACTGCCGTGGCTGTGACCGTGCAGACTGGGATGGTGCTGGTGGCCGACGGTGCCACTACCATTCTGGCCGTTGGGTGAAGATAGGTGAGGAATGTTCTCGGGGACTGGGTGCTGGCTACCGACGCTGCCCGTGTCGACACTGTCGCCCTTGCCGGCCTTGGACATAGCGTAGTCGCCGCTGTCGAAATACTTGCGCTCCTTCAGGTGCTTGGCGAAATGATCCGATTTCGAGGGGAGCTTGCCATAGAGACGGAAGAGACGCTGCTCCTCGGGGGTGAGAGACTACAAGGTACGTCATATCAGTATATGCATGGGCAATATAGGCTTGGGCATTGATCTTGGAGCGGTGTGCAAGACAGGCAGGGACGGATGGGAGAAGGCAGATGGTAAAGTAAAGAGGGGAAACGTAGACGCTGGCACGCCTCCGTAATAAAATGCGAATATTTTCGTTCGTCGTATAGCATACACCATCGCTTGGCCTTAAGGAAATAGTTGTCCAACCCAACTTGGGACAGCCAGATGTGGGGTGAAGGATTGCTGGAAATGAGGAAAACTAACCTTGACGTCAATCTTGTTCTTCTGGTGAGGGTTCATTTTGACTTGGCAGATTTCAGCTCAGCTCAGCTCAAGCAGACTACTTTTCAAAGACAAATCGTGCTGTATCATCGGTCGTTGCAGTCGGATGGTTTAACAGAAGGAAGTCAGGTGGGAAGGTCCGTCGTCTGGGTGGTGTTAGGTTAGGTATTAGGTAGGTAGAGGTAGTTTTGTAGTAGTTTCGTTTTTGGGGAGGGGAGACAAGACAAGAAGTGACAATGGTACTTGCTTAATTCACAGCACTAAGTGACTGCACTAAGTGACTGCATACCTACCTACATGTATGTAGTATTGTACATATCCTTACCCTGGCAACGGCAGGTGTTTGGCTTGCTTTTCCTGCAAGGGTTTGGGGGACCCACTAGCGTCTTCTTAGACCCAGACAAAGACCAATGACGACGTGTGCCGCTTACCTAATGCACATGTATCTTACACACAAGTTAGCCGGAAGTGGCCGCCCTGGCAAGAGCACTTGGAGGAGTCAAGGGGGTAAAATGCAAACCCCTCCCAAAAAAAAACCTAACCTGGGAAGTTATGAAGGATATCAGGGTCCTCTGTGCAGGTTTAAACTTTCAATTCTAGATAACTTGTAGTCTTCGAGGCAAATCGGAACATTTTCCTTCTAAATTTTAACCTATCACCTATCATCAACACTTAAGGCCTGATTGAATATTTTTGATAGTACTGGCGCCAATCCCTCTTTAGCTGCCGAGTATCCACCCTATCAAGAACAAGCCTCTGCCTTCTTGGAGAAACGTTTTTGGAGAAGCAAATAAATTGCTTGGAAGATTAGAAGTCGGCGTCACCGTCACCACTGTCACCACTGTCACCACCATCCATCCTCTAAGCCTTGCCTGCCATCCCACCGACTCCTTATCTAGCACGCACCATCAATATAATAAGCATTGCAGTGACACCAATTAGAAACTTTACCATTCGATCACAACAGCATGTAAGCCCACGTCATTTTCCGTCAAGCGGGATAAGAATTCGATGGCTAAAAGGGCTATGGTTGAACGACAGGAAAAGCTGGTGCGACAACTTAACATAGAATACCCGATTTTTTATTATCCGCGGTGGTATTCAGGAATGTTGCTCGTTTATGCACTAAAAGTCAAGTGGCAGCATAAGTAGCCCCCTTTCGTGAAGCCCTCCAAGTTTCGACGATTAGACTCACGAGACAATGTAGGTTGCCAGTGCAAAAGTACCTACAGCATTAATCTTTGGATGGTCCTGCCGCCGCTTTTGTTCGGTCAGTTGACTGTAGCATGGCGATAGGACTATGGTGTTCCCACCTCTCCTGTTTTGGTTACAAATTATTTCCGGTCTACAATTTCGTCTAAGATACCGTACATATGTATCACGAGGTTATGTCCATTCGAACACCGCGTAATTCTTAGATGTTAGCCAGATATATATATATATATCGCTGTTTAGTCTAGAAAGCCCCAACTGAATCAAATCTAGCTAACTGCAGCCTTACGTTCCTTGGACGCTTTTTTATCTTACCTACCTACCTAGGTACGTTACCTTGTAGTTATATGAAGGCCAGAGCCTGCTGTTGCCACCGAGTGGTACAACACATGATTTGATTATGCCATTCACACGTCTAGTATTATCAATGTGACACTACAAGGTTTCATGTACCTATGTACAAGGGGTCAAACAGCATGTTGAACGATGTTATGTGAGTATGGATGAGTACCAAGTTTGGCTCAGTAAGTCGATGTACTACAGATTCTATTGGCAACGTTGGAAGTTTTCTTTGAACCCATTCTCTGGTGTTAGTATGAATACTTACCCCTAGCGCGTGGCATAGAAGTTGGTACACGTATGAAAAGGGGGTTTCTTTCTATTTGCTGCTGTAGTCAGCGCTTCCCTTATAACCACCACAACATCCCTCATAGCTGTCATGTCTGAATCACTTCTAGTTCCAACTATCGCCAACAACTTGGGAACTCAGTGGAGCGTCAAAAATACAGACCCTATGAGCTACGTTCATGACGTACGCCCCGAAAATTCCTTCTAGTACCATACAGCGATCTCTGCTATTTTGAGATCGTTCCACGCTTACCGTTAACGGTCAGGATCTCACACAGACAATGACCGATGTAGTGTGCGGGTCGTCCATCTTTGCTTACCTCCTAGTCATAGCCCCTTAAAGGCGAGTCGGATAGAGGTTTTGAGAGCTATCTACTCCATTTGAAGGAAAGGCTCTGCCGTCTGAGAAGCCACGTTCTTAGCCAGCTACTCGATGGCCGCTTGGTAACGCTCCAACGCGATGGCTGTCACTGCGGTCCTTCCTTCTCCTGACTTTCTGTCTTTTCTTGTTTTTCGTCAGCTACAGCTGTGTGAGGAAGCAGACGAACGCTTCACGGCTCTCTACGCATGCTTTACAGCCAGCTACGGCGCATCAGCAGATGAGAAGCACCTATTGAGATCCAAAAGGGATACTGTTCTCTCTTCTGGGTTCGCCCCCAATAAATCTCAGACTTTTACCATGGAACCTAAGAAGCCTAGGAGGTAGCCTAGCAACACGTCAGCCAGAGTAATACCAAAAGATATTAATTCGCCTACCGACACACGGTATTTATTGAGCGATATACAATGAAAAAGCCTAGCAAATTGCGAGAGCCTCAGCAATATACATATGTAGATATACACTCTGTCGCAAGGGGTCAAATAAGTAAGTCTAGGTCGAGGCTCACGGATGCAAGCCAAATCAAAATATTACAGTCCTGGGTAACTTCGCTCTGGTCTAGTTAATTAGGTAGCTTGGCTCTATCGGCAACGTTCAACTCATAGTGCTAGAGGTATACAAGGAGGGCTGCTTCTGTTAGATGCTAATATGAAAGGTCTACCTCCACCACGCCCCTTTTACTCAATCCATTTCACATCAAAGCCACATGCCAGTATATAGGTGTCTAGTAAGTACCTCGACGAATCTAGATGGGTATAAAGGTACATGGTATGTAGACAGAATCTCTCGTATACACGATTTCCAGGTCCTAGATGAATAGACAACTAAAGTACGATGGAGAAGCTAACTCAGATATCTATATTCCACATATACTAAATACGTGTAAGAGATTTAGTATCCACTAGAAGGGGAACTTGAATGGCGAATAGGTTGATCGCTATATCATAGGTATTGACTTATTTCATCTGCCTAGAATCTTGGCCCTTATCTCCTTTTCCACAATGCGGATTTAAGCTACAGGTAAGACGGGGTGCTCGGACGGATCTCTATACCGGTGATGCCGTGTTCACTCGGCAATATCTTTCATAGGGGAATATTCACACTAAAAGAGGCAGAGCATCAGTTGAATGAACGGTCGGGTTATCTCCGACATACTATATATGAGTTGAATAACTGAATGTACACTAGGTATACGGACTTAATTTTTCAAAGCCATGTAGAGTTACTGGGCTTTCGGGGGGTTTTGATTATATCTTGCTGTCATGAGTTGTTCTAAGTTCATCCTTATAATATAGGTATAAATTTACAGCCTACGGTCTCGAATAATATAGTTGAAACACTCCTATCTATACCCACCCAAGTCATTGTCGTGTCAATAGGCCCTACAAAGTCTCCCCTAACACTTTCACCGACTCTCACTCACAATGCCACCCCCCTCCCCAACCTCGGCAACGCCATCATCCGCATCGCAGCTGCCGGCGTCCTCTCCTACCACCGCGAGCTCTACAACGGCGTCCGCGGGCACAGCATCCCCGTGCCCATAGTCGCCGGCACGAGCGCCGTCGGCCCCGACGCCACCGTCCTGCAAGCTCGGCCAGCTCGTCTACATCGACTGCGTCGTCCGCGCGCGCGACGACGCCGATGCCGTGTTTCTTGCTGCGGTGCACGAGGGAGTGACGAGGGGGGAGTAAGAAGTTGGTGAGGGAGGTGTGCGCGCGACGGCACGTTTGCGGAGTTCGCGAGGGTGCCGGCTCGAGAACTGCTTTGTGCTGGACGAGGGGGGCGGCTGTGCGGTAGTTGGGCCACTCGGTCCCGGATCTCGCGTGCATCGGCTACACACCTTCCTCGTCCCCTACGGCGGCGGCCTGCGCGACATCCAGGTCAAGCCCGGCGAGACCGTTGTCGTGTGTCCGGCGGGTCTGGCGTGCAGGTCGCTGTCGTGATGGGGCGGAACGAGAAGGAGCTGGGTAGGCTGAAGCAGCATGTACTAACCAGCTCACCGCACGCGAAAATCGAGACGGTCACGGTGACCGGGGACGAAATGGCGGACGCCGCGGCGCTGAAGCAGTTCGGCGCGTCAGCCTGATGGGCTGGAACGAGAACCCCGTGGCCCCCTCGGTGGTGGCGATGAACATCGCGCTGAAGGGGAAGCTGATGTACGAGCGGGGCGATATACTGCAGTTCTTGAAGATGCTGCATAGTGGGCTCTTCCCCCCGCGGGGAGAAGTTCGTGGATACAAAGGTTTTGGGGATGGAGGATTGGGGGGAGGCGATGGATGTTGGGGCGCGGCAGGCGGGAATTGGGAGGTACAGTATGTGGTTATTGCCCCTTGAAGCTGGCTTGTGATGGGTGGGTGGTTGGAATCATAGGGGGTCTGGGGAGTATCTCCCCTCTTGAGTGTATGTGTTTCACATGCCTGTGGCTTTTACGCAATGCTATTAAGTACATTGGAAAGTTCCAGGGTTTCTTTCAGCTCAATATATTTGGGAGTGTCGGTCTTTGACTATTATGAGCCGTGAAAACCATTAGGACGTCTAACAATAACATATTGCTGTGCTTTTCTTATTGCCAGATAGGCCTCATTCAAAGGAACGTCATGAAAGCCAAGCACACCACAGACTTCAAATATAGATTCGGGTATTAAGACGTGAATTACAATCGTCTAACTAGCTACACAGGTAACTCGGGAGCCATGTTGCTTGCCCTTCACAACTCAACTACAGGGATCCATACCATACTCAGTCAAGACTCTGCCGTAAAGCTCATTCTGTATAGCATAGAATCCTAACACCGCCTGTCCTCGCCACGAGCCGAATCTGTACTCGAACCGCGCAACCGGGCCCGTCTCTGTCTCCACAGTCCCATGGGGGATGATTCGATCGATGTCATAGGTAAACCTCGTCGCGAAGAACTCGTCCAAGCAACGACGGTTCACAATCTCAGGATCCCCAGCGATGAGGAGCACTCGGCTCAAGACGCCCTCGTTGGTCTGCTCGACCTTGTGCCGGTTCCATACGACGCGGGGAACCCTTCCGTCGAATTGGATGAGGCGTCTGTCGCATTGCGACTTGAACAGCTCGGACGCGGGGCGTCGGAAGAAGCTGAGTGCGGCGGCGGCGGTCCCGCGTCTCGACCCGGAGTTGTGGATTACCAGCGATCGGACTCTGCCGACATTGTGGATGGCGCTTAGGAATCGTCGATGGGTGATGCTGTTGGGGAGGTTGGTGATCCAGAGGTTGGTGTTCTCGCTCTCGGGAACATCGTCGCCAGAGTTGGCTCGCAGGTTCAGGTCGCCGCGATAATTTGAGTGTTGTTGTTGTCGGCGATTTCTATGCTGGTGTTGTGACGCTCTTGGATTATCACAGAAGGGAACCATGCACGCCATTTTTGGGAACTATGTCCGTAGTACATTTAGTTAGAAGATGTTAAGATGGGGAGGGTCTTTGTTGGGCTTAGCTGCTTACCTCTTGGGTTCTTGGATAGCAAATATTAAACTGTAGTGTAGAAGAACTGTGAATTTGACGTTTGCTAACTTGGTGGTTTTATAACGACAATAGAAAGCTTTGTGGTGATGTTGATGGTATCAAGCGGCCATCACGTCCCTTCACATTTTTCTGCGTGTTGGTATTTTTGTTGATATGTTTATGTTTGGGTGTAAGAAGTTTGAAAGAAAGTGATATGAAAGCGATGTGATAACTTCAAATACTTAATACCTAAGGCGTCCACGTCGCGATGTTGCCCTGGCTACTCAAAGCCAGCTCCCGTGGGACTTGAACTGTGGCGCCCAGCAAGGCATAAATAATGTAACGGCAATGAGTCAATTACAAACATTGGAAACAGTGCCAGTCGCCAGTGTCTGCTACGTTATATATTGCATCTTGTTGAGCTCACGGTTTCCATAGTAATCGCAAAGTTTAGTATCGCCTTACTTCCTACCTACCTACTTATATTCTTCATGATATCCATATCCACATAGCCAGAATTTGGGATGAGTAGGTAATCAAGAATCTCATATAGATAATGATGCCATCGCTATAAGAGATATTGAGCAACTTATATATATGGTTACAGGTTAAAGACTTGGGTTAGAAATCCATGAGAAATAGGAGACTGAACTCGTCCGCCCCGTTTGGGTTTTGCTGTGAAGATAAGAATAGGATGACCTCAGTTTATTAAATATGCAGAAAAGTTATTTCTGGAGAAACCAGATGATAAACGCCCCCTTTGGCAAGGTATACAGACTGAGGCTATCAAGACTAACAGTTTTGGTGTTATGAGAATATCTCGAAGAGAACCTTGAAGGTAACCTATTAGGTACCTAGGTACCTAATTAATATGCAGTGTAACATGGGGTAGTCAGCAATTGCTTCCAGGTTGGGCACACAAGGCAGCTCTGATTGGACAGCTCAGATTAGACAGCTCAAATGCAGCATAGAGTACCTAGGTACTTATTTTCAGGGGGTTTGTCCACCTAAGATGCATAACACCATCACCAACACCGTCAGAAAGAATGTCGTAGTTACTCTCCGGAACCGCATACTCATCATGAATGTTGTAGATTTGAAGAAATGCTAGTTGTCTATACCATCTGTCTACAGGAAAACTCGATGATTACATGGCCCCCAATGGCTGATAGACTCGTGGGGGTATTCTTGGTAGTTGCGTAGTTGCGCAGAACTGAAGCCAGAGTGAATTACTGTTTGGTGTTACTGCCATGACTTATCTATGTGGTATTGTCCAAAGTAATTGTTTCATTGAATGAGAAGATTTCCATTGAAACAACAATGAAATAAATGTGGATTCGTTTATGCCCATACCTGAACAAAACGTTCGATACTAAGGAAAATGTGTTCTTTTGCAGCCGCTTTTACCCTTACTTTGAGTAACGAACAGCTATAGCTTCCTTGGATATCTTGGCCTGTAACATCTATCATGTTTCCTCGGTCAATATTTGCTCAGGATGTACCTAACGAAGCCTAGGTAGATGTGATATCATCGGCTAGACCTTCGTTATACAGGTTAGAAGGAATTACGATGGTGTTAAATCTTGGAGATTGCTTTCAGTTCCCAGTAACAGGAATGCTTCAGCTGATATAATCATTGCCGCCCTGCATTACGTGATTGTTACAGTACCAAGAAGGCAAATCTACACTTTACGTGCTAAGGAGTGGCCAAGTTTTTATTCGATGTCATTATCCTACTGAGTTGATAATTAACCTAACCTTAGATACCCTCATTGAGTTTCGGTTTTAATTCTGATGTCTCTTTTTCTTTCTTCTTTTTTTTCTTGACCCTTTACAAGATCAAAACACCATACCTCAAGGTAGTAAAAAATAAAGTTGCTAAAGGGAAGATTAGGAAGAGAATCCTTAGCAGGGCCACTATTATACATATGAAAATTTCCCTTTCACTAGCAAAGCCCAGACATGTGACATTGGCAGTCGGTTCGGCATTTCCATGCCCAGGCCGTACACATTCATCCCTATTAATCACCCAATCCGCCGGCACCGAGATCCAACGGCCGAAGAATTGCAAGTATAGCAAGGAGATCCATTATACTGGAATTGGGACTAGAAAAATACCGACATCCAGACCAGCCCGAAAGCCTTTGAAGGTCAGCTACCTAGGTACCTAAGTAGCTAGTTTCCAACGGGCTCTCCGTCAGCAAACTGTATCTCCGTGGTATAATTTTATGGCGCCGGCGGGATATAACCTAGACCCCAAGAAGAATGGGGGCGTCGGTAGTACATATACTATACCACTACCTAACATTGAGCCTACATAAGTACGTAGGTACGTAAGTAGGCACGAGTAGGCACGTTTGCAAGAGGCGATCGGGTGCTTTTCCGAAACATCTGGTGATAGTATTGCGTTATAACCGTCGTACGCCATGTAAAGAACTCCCGGCCAAGATAATTACTGCGGACATTATCCCCAAAGTGTCACAAGGAATGGGGGCTCTCGGTGGCATAAAAGTAGGGAATTTTACCTCATAGTTATTGAAAAGGAGAGCTTCTATTCTGTGATAGGTACAGCTTCCCCGTTCAAAGACGCGACCCCCATCCCCCTTCTTCATTCCCCAAATCCCCATATATGTTACAATTAGTTGGGTCTAAGTCGTATGCATCTAGATCTAGTAGATCATGCTAACATGGTCCTAGAGACATTTCCAGATTCTTGGAAAGTTGGCCAGCCGAATTTAAACGATTCATGAAGTTTTTTTGCTCGGGATTTGGGGGTTTAATAACTTGGGTGGGCTTCCTTCACATCAAATACCTACCTAGCTAGTAGCCCTAGAGATATAATGTGTGTACCTACTAGGTATTTAGGTAGAAGTGTACTACATTTGGAAGGTTTTCACGATTTTTGTTCCAGGGGTTATTCGAGGCTGATGAGCTGGGCGTGATCAGCTAGGTGGAACTAAGAAGTAGTGTTAGATAGTGTTGAGCAACTTTTATAGAGAAATAATAGAGAAAACATACGTGATATGGAAGGAATCAGTAGAGATGACTATGATATATACATTACCATGTAGTATGTACGAGCTTCGTACATCAGCTTGGCTTGATCATCCCTGTAAAGGTTGCTCGCACACCATCGATGACCCACATTCCGTCATCTGTATGACCTCCCGTTCGTCGAGGAGCAAGGTCCCTTGGCTGAAAAAAGACAGGAAAGAGCTCAATTACTACCACGCTCCTGCATACTATGTACCCTACTACTGCATAAGTACTGTAAAGTTACTAAAGTAGCGTAATTTCTATTTTGTATCCTATTCCACATGGGCAAGTAGCCCGGTCAAGCTAGGGGTCCAGCCAGGGTCTAGACAGGGTACAAGCTCGTCGGCCCTTTCCCGACTGCAATAGCTCCCGGTCTCTACAATAGGTCTTCAATACCGAAGTACAACATGTACTACTAGCAGTACTTGCACTTGTACATCCAATCCATTCAATCTCAAGTGCTTGTATTCAACTTTGCATGTATCCATTGTTATTCATTGCACATGTCTATTCATATTAAATACCACCATGCCGTTCACTTGCCGTTCACCAGCCGTCTTCCTTTCCCGACGAAGCCGATCATTCATTATTCATTATACCCATTCTTCTCCAGGCCACCTCCCAGCCACAATCCGATACCCGAATCTTGACCTTATCGTAGCACTATCTGCCTACCTACCCGTGTGCCACTTGGGGCGTGTCCCCCGATAACCACTTGAAGGCAGCTTTTCAAGCCGAATTGCAGTCATGTCTTCCGCCGGCAATAAGCTAGGCAAGGGCTTTGCCTGGTTCTTTAACCTGAACCTCGACCCTTATGGGCAAAAGGAAGCCGAACGCAACGACTCCCGACATGCGGCTCAGTCTAACCCTAACGTCGAATTGTACGAAGAACGGGACCCGACCACCGTTCAATGGCTCGCCAGTATTACGCCGACCGTCCGGAGCACCCGTCATTACTTCTACCGCTTATTCCCCTTCCTACATTGGATTACTAGATACAATACGACATGGCTCATCGGCGATCTCATTGCCGGTAAGCTCCCGGAACCCGCTCCTTAACCGCACGGACATCACTAACATCATCCGTATCTAGGTATCACCGTCGGAGCCGTAGTCGTGCCTCAGGGCATGGCTTACGCCCTGTTGGCAAATCTTGAACCTCAGTATGGTCTCTACACCTCCTTTATGGGTGTCTTACTCTATTGGTTCTTTGCGACCTCGAAAGATATCACAATCGGGGTATGTCATTGTCTATTCCTTTAATTACTGGGGTACCTATGAATTATACTAACCCCCTGTGAAGCCTGTCGCGGTCATGTCAACGGTCACCGGTGGAGTTGTGAGCAGAGCAGAGAAAGCTCTTCCCGATGTCCCGGGCCATGTGGTGGCTTCCGCCCTCTCTGTTCTTATCGGAGGAATCGTATGCTTCATGGGCTTGGCGCGACTCGGCTGGATTGTCGATCTCATCCCGCTGCCTTCCATCGTCGCCTTCATGACTGGATCTGGTATCAACATTGCAGTCGGCCAGATACCTACAATGTTGGGCATTAACAGCAAAAAGAAGAGATTCTCAACACGCGATGCGACATATATCGTCATCATCAATACCTTGAAGAACCTCAAATACACGACGATCGATGCTGCTATGGGCCTCACTGCTCTGCTCATGCTATACATTGTCAGGGGAACTTGTTCGTACCTGGCCAAGAAGTACCCTCACCGAGAGAAGCTTCTTTTCTTTATCTCTACGCTCAGGACAGCCTTCGTCATCTTGTTGTATACTGCTATCAGTGCTGGTGTGAATGTAAGCCGCCGCACTAGCCCTCTATTCAGCGTACTCGGTGAAGTTCCGCGAGGCTTCCAACATGCTGCCGTTCCCGAAATCAACTCGACGATTATTTCCTTCTTCACCTCGGAACTTCCCGCCGCAGTTATCGTCGTCCTGATCGAGCACATCTCTATTTCGAAATCGTTCGGACGTGTAAACAACTACGTTATCGACCCATCCCAAGAATTGGTTGCCATTGGTGTCACGAATCTTCTGGGACCTTTTCTAGGCGCATATCCCGCTACTGGATCTTTCTCTCGTACCGCCATTAAGGCCAAGGCTGGTGTCCGCACACCGTTCGCCGGTGTTATTACTGCCGTCATCGTGCTTCTCGCCTTATACGCCTTAACTGCTGTCTTTTGGTACATTCCTCAAGCATCGCTCGCCGCCGTCATTATTCACGCCGTGTTGGATGTTGTCTCCCCACCAAGCGTGGTGTACCAATTTTGGAGGATATCACCCCTGGAGGTCCTTATCTTCTTCGCTGGTGTTCTAGTGACTATCTTCGACACTATTGAGAATGGTATCTATACCACAGTTTGCATATCCTTCGCTGTTTTCATCTTCCGACTATTCCAAGCCAAGGGACGCTTCCTCGGCGTTGCTAAGGTTCGCACTGTTGGAGATGTGAGGTATGGCAGACATTCAAGTGCAACCCAATCCTTCTCTCAGGAAAAGAGCGCTACACCAACTCTTCGCGAAGCCGGTATCTCGAGCGAGCGCAATGTTTTTATTCCAATAGACCACGAGGACAACTCGAACCCCGCTTTACCAGTCACTCATCCCTACCCTGGCGTGTTCATCTACCAATTCTCGGAATTATTCAACTATCCCAACGCCACACGCTTCCTGGATGGTCTTACCGCTGGAATCTTCAAAGAAACCCGAAGAACTGATCCGGCGTCTCTCGGAAAATTGGGCGTAAGTTACTATTTCATGCTCTCCATTGCTACCCTCATATGCTAATCATTGTTTAGGATCGTCCTTGGAATAACCCTGGTCCTCGCAAGGGCAAGATAGTCGTTGACGAGACACAGCACTTGCCTACTCTCAGGGCAATCATTCTAGATTGCTCCGCTATCAACAACGTCGATGTGACTTCCGTCCAAGCTCTAATCGACGTCCGAAATCAACTAGACAGATACACAACACCCGACGTCGTCGAATGGCACTTCGCCCACGTTAGAAACCCCTGGACCCGACGCGCCCTCGCCGCCGCAGGTTTCGGATTCGGACAGCCCCAAAACCAGAACGCCGAGCCAGGCCGCCGCTGGAAGTCCATCTTCAGCATCGCTGACTTGGCCGACATCGCCACGCCGCTCTCCAGCAACGGGGGCGAGAAGGCCGTCGTCGAAAAGCACGCGAGCGCCAGCGACGAAGAGAACGCAATCCGCTCTGCCTCCATCACCGAAGACGACAGCAACGTTCGCCAGATCCCCGTGTACGGCCTCAATCGGCCTTTCTTCCACGCAGACATACAAGAGGCGTTGGATGCCGTGTTAGAGAACATCGAGCAGCGACCGCCTATTGCTCTCAAGGCTTAAGCTAAGCCTTATTACCTACCTGGTCTCGGGTCTTTTTAGGGACTGGGACGTGTTTCATATTAAAAATACCTACTTATACCTATATATCTTACATACATACCCCTTTTAGAATTTTTGTTGTTGTTGTGGTTGGTTGTTTAAGTACCTGTCTACTTATATCATGAGTATCCAGGGTACGAAGGAGGAATCGGTACGAAGGGATCAGTACGACGGATCGATACTAGATGAAGGGGTAGCGATAGGGAATACCCACCCACCTACCAATGTGTATAATGTGTGTGTGTTTGTGTGTGGAAAAAGCTCAAAAAAAGCTCGGATGATACCTATTATGATATGATGTTATATGATACATACATAGTAGGAGCTTGCTTGCCTCAGGCTAAAATACCAAAATACCAATTTTTATTACTATTATTTGATGATGTTTATTGTGAAGTTTGAATTGTGAAAAAAAAAAAAAAAATGGCACCTGCTACTGAGTCGGTTAGGTACCTAGGTATACTAAGACACCTTACTACTAGGTAGTGTATAGATATGGAGTGGTGAAATTGTGGGATGGATACCTACCTACTCGTCAATGATTACCTACCTCAGTTTTAGCACATTGGGATGGATGCCCCCTTAATAGGTAGATGACTTTAGGTTCAGTTGTGTCTCGAAAGGGGTAGTTACAAGTATAATGTTTTTTTTTTTTTTTTTGCAAGGATGCATTATTTGTAAATAGATAGGTACCTACCTACCCTATTTTGAACCTTAATGTCCCATATATAATTTACACCCAAGTCCAGGTATATGCCTACCTATTCAACCTCGATAAGACTACCTAGTAGGCAAACACATGATAAACGCACATACCAACCCCATACCCTCTCAGCTCAACATGTCACACACACACACACACACACACACATCAAAAAAAATCACACAGCCGAAACCACCTCCTTCTTCTTCTCCACATCCCTCGCGGCCTCGGCCGCCGCCGCTCTAAAGTTCTTGTACCTGCTTCCCACAACAATCCAAGGTGCGTCCGGCGCAAAGACAACGGAGCTCATCTGCTCGAGGGGCACGCGCTTGGTCTCGGGGAGGACGAGGTAGAAGAAGAGGGCGTTGGTGAAGTTGCAGACGGCGAAGACGATGAAGAAGCGGTAGCCGAGGGTGGAGACGCCGATGCCGGTGACCTGGGCGATCATGGTGTTGAAGGCGAAGCTGGTCATGGTGGCGAGGGAGACGCCCTTGCTGCGCGTGTGGGTGTCGAAGATTTCGGCGGGGATGATCCTGTAAGGGGGGGGAGGGGTTTGGGTTAGTTGGTGGATTAGGTAAGAGAAGGGGGTGGAAAAGGGGTACGAAGGAAAGGGGGGATGGCTTACCAAGATAACGGACCACAGGCGAAGGAGAAGGAAATGTTATAGAGCCAGGTGCTGTTGCATATCATTAGTCGTGATTCATTTTACGTGGCCACGGCAATGCGCAGCTGCCAGGAACATAGGCATGCATAGCTTCACTTACACAATAATGAAGCCCCATCCAGCAGTACCCCCCGAGTTAGAGGCCGGAGGGAACATAGCTTGACAATACGTTAGCATGATACACTTTTCCTCCAATATAATAACCACCTTGGAACATATCATCCCCTTGACTCACCAATAAGAATCGTCACGATAACAAACATAACGCAGTTGACCAAGTTACCCGCGATGATGGTTGGGCGACGGCCAAACTTGTCGATGAGAAACATGCAGAGGACCTGCGCGATCAGCGCCAGGATGTTGTTGATGGCCTGGTACTTGAGCGCCTCGTTGGCTGAGATGCCGATCTGCGCGAAGATGGTGACGGAGAAGTACTGGACCGCCGATACGCCGGTCATCTGAGTTGCGGCTTGGATGGCCATGGCTAGGAATAGGCGGCGGAAAGCGGAACTGTCCAAGTAAAAACAGGTAAATATCTACAATTCATGCACATAGCTAGGTTCAGGGAAATGCAATGATGGCTGTAGGTAACATACGGGTTAGTGAAGAGTTCCGTGTAGCTCTTTGCCTCATGCTCGCGTTCGAAGCTAACGGTATCCTTAATGGAGGCGAACTCAGCCTGAACCCACGTGTCGTTGATGTCTCCGTTGGAGTGAAGCCTCGCGAGGGTCGCGAGACCTTCGTCGGCTCGGTCGTGGTCGACAAGCCACCGGGGACTCTCGGGGAACAGGAGGATCAGAGCAGCTAGGGCAAGGGCCGGCAGAATCTGAATACCCAAGGGAATACGCCATTGACCCTCGTTGGTTAGGTTGATGAAGCACCCCCATGAGACCCAGCCGGCGACGAAGGCACCGATTCCCAGCATGAATTGCTGTAGAGCAGTGACTCGCCCACGAATAGACGGGTGTGCTATTTCACTCTGGTATACCGCTATCATAGGATAAGTCTGTTAGTGTCTATATTACTTCCACTTTTTATCAAGCACGACCTTCTCGTGGCTTTTGAGACAGAGGCAGAGTAGAGGGGATTCTCACTATATCAGATAATTAGCAACGGGCTCATTCATTTCTTATTGTCTGATCATAACTTACCGAATTATCATAGTCAAGAAACCAACACCCAACCCGGCAATCGCCCTGCCGGCGTACAGGTAATCAATTGTCTGCGCGCCGGTCTGGAGGGCTCCACCCAACAAGAATATGACGGCGCCTAGCATGATGGTCAATCTACGACCGATGTAATCACCCGCAGGACCAGCGAACATAGCGCCGAAAAAAGCACCACCGGTGAATAGCGATACGACGGCTCCGCTGTAACATAATTGTCAGCGCGCAACTCTGGAAAGGGGAAGGTGAGGTTGAGGTGGTTTGGGAGGGAGATTAGACGAACGTTTGGGCCTCAGTCGGTTTGAACAATTCGGCATACGAAGTGCTCCCGACAACGCCAGCAATAACACCAAGATCATATCCATAAAGCACCGATCCCATCGAGGCGAAAACGCCAACGAGGAACTAGAAATTTGAGAATTTCAGTCAGCCATATTTTCCCTTGAGATATCGAGAATAGCTAAAATACACATACCTGGTAAGTATGAGGCTTCATCGTGACGGACGATGGCGTGTTATGCCCTATTGTAAAACTATGGTATTTACTTTTCCTACGGGCCAAGGATAAGATAAAAGAGAAGAAGGGACAAACCGATCACACGTTATTCGGTGAGCCAGCACAAGATGCCGAACCACGTTCATATATACCCCAGCCTCCCACCGTATTCTCCGCACGAAACAACCCCATATTTTGGAGATATCCTTTCAGCGCGGAGGTGAATACTCGAAATGGTCGATGACAGCTCCAGGGGTCCAGTCCCGCGGGTACGGGGTCGCAGGGAAGCAGCATTGCTGAGTGGAGGAAATTATTCTGGTTGCGAGCCCCGTCGAATCCGTTTCCCAGATGCGCTCCAATCAGAGGCTAGTACACTTCTAGACCTCGTGTGCTGGGAGGATCGGGGAAAATCTGGGGTATGTACCACAGAATGGTGGCATCGTGGCATCGTACATAGGCTAGTAGTATCGTAGGCTAGTACCTACATAGTAGCAGCATAGTAGCAGCAGTGCAGCATTGCAGCAGCATTGCAGCATTGCGGAGATGAATGATACTTTCCAGGTTGTCTGCAGGTCCCGTTTTTCTATTTTCATTGTTTTGCTATGTATGTTTAAGTCGAGATCTTCGTATTATAATCATAAACGATTAGTTACCGAGTTGTAACGAGTTGTAACTTGTAAGTCGCTTCGTTTCGCTTCGTGCACTAGTCAATAATCAGAGCCGAAGCGATGTGATGCGAGCAAATCAAAACAGATGGATCCAAAATATAGTCGTGAAATTCAAGGTCTAGTTAGCCAGCCCAACTGCAGCTGGGGTATATAATCCCGGTAACGCCTGTAGTGCTGTCTATGGTATACTTATGAATGCCAGCTCCCCTTCTTGCCCTCTGCTATGCTGTGTATAATCCGACACCTCCAAGTTTGACAAACTCTTTCCCTGCCGAGGTTCTTGAATTTGGGCCCTTGCGGGCCAGTCACGTAGTGATATTGTCCGAATAAACGCCATTGCCGCACGTCATCTAAGCCGAATAATTTGTCGCCCCAGGTTCCGTTGTAATGAAACCAACTCGTGGGCGCATCGGCATTCTCCTCCACAGGCTCTAAGCCTTCATCGTCCTTGGTAGTAGTATAATCATACCAATAGCCTCTCAAATTCTTGGACGGATCCCAAAGTGGGCCCCGATCCGTAACGTCCTTTAGCATCCCGAACGGAAGCACGTACGCATGATTTCCGGGCGTGGCGTACATGGCATGTGATCCCACAGCACTGTAAATAACTGGCCTTTGTATCTCAGACTTGTTACCACGTTTTTCTACGGCATCCCAAGCATACGCCTGCCCGCCCTCGTGCTCGCTGAAGAAGACCCCACGGGGAATGCCGGCTTCAAAGCGAATCATGCAATGTTCCCAATCGCCGACATGATTTCCGTAACGAGTGCCTAAGACCGTTTGCCCTAGGTTGTACGCGTAAAAGAAAAACCAAAATGCATCAACGATGCCAGATCCCTTATCTACTAAAACGAGTGTAACTGGAGCGCGAGAGTACCCAGACTCATCCGGTTTGTTCCCTTCATTCTGTGAGTCTTGCGCTGCTTGGGATATAAGCCTCTGTTGGTCACGAGAACGGAGGATACGCGAGCGCCGTGTCAGTCTCTGTGGGATGCCACCAGGAAGTTTCCGCGGGTCCGAAATTCTATGTAGAGGGTGATCCCTATCTACATCAAACCATGTAGTATCGTCGGTAGGCCATCGATCAGGTTCCGAAACCTCATCCTTCCCATCATCTTTATCATCCTCGTCACTAAAAGCGATCGGCCTGCTGTCCTTGCTGTGAAGCCACTTCGGCCGAGATTCGACGTTATCTTTACTGTTGAGATGTTGGAACCCAAGTTCAGAGCTCAGCTCATTTAGGTTTGACAGGGTTAAGGTCTGGGACCCGTTAGACGGCCATGCGTCTTCGTCGAGATCGGGTACCACATGTTTGATGTGTTCGGCAATATCAGAGGGCCAGAAGAACTCTTGCGAGTAGAGATGAACCAGCGGAGCATAGTTCAGCACGTATTCCGGAATGTTCCTCAACTGCTTCTTGTCACCGTCATTTCCTCCTCTCCACGCGATTTCTGATGCCTCTCCTATGACATGTCTCAACTCGTGCCTGCGGCCGTCGTCCTTCGGCTTCTCCGGAGGATCCTTTTTTAGGTGAAATAAGCCGCAAAGACTAAGCCAGCGGCAAGTTTGACGATCAAGCCAGTGCGGAGAGGTATTAATCCATTGCTGGTCAGCGTCGCGGGTTTCTTTGTCGGGTGGGACAGGGTTGAGAACCCGAGGCAAGGTGGTAGTTATGAAGACAACGATAAGGACGGCGAGGACCGCAATACTGATACGACGAATATTGTACATTGAGAAGATAATATGTAGCCGATGCGCATAGCACCTGGCTGCAGCGATTTTATCGTGGGATGGAATGAAGTGAGGTCATAGATGAAAGAAAGCAGTAGAGTGGTTGACTAGGGGGTACAACCGGAGTCAATGGAGCACAGACGCAACTCTGGCAATAAATGATCGTAGACTTTAAAATGAAGGTGGACAAGAAGAGAAAGGAAATATTGTGGATTGTTGAATAAGGAAAATAAAACAGCGTTAATTGGATTTACGATCCATATCATAAAGGACAGGTTAATAAGAAGTAAAAAAGTAATCCAGCTTTATTACGCTTAGGCTATGTGAGTGTGTGATTTTGATATGGGATAACGAAATACAACTGTAATAGGTAGTAGGTATCTGTAGCCAGACTGTAGGGATGGGATCGGTAAGTCTAAGGAAAAAAGAACCTTGGAAGCTGGAAGGATTGCATTGCGACGGTGGGGGCTATGGCAATGATGGAGGAAAGTTCCGGTTTAGGTACGGGTTCGCCTGCGCTGCCGGGCTCCTCCTAGTTCCAGATCTTCTCTGTGTCACTTACATGTAACCACGATGAAGCTTATTTGTTAGTGGTTACCTGTACCTTACGTATGAAATATATGAGGAATGGATGTACAGTTGATCGTTTCTAAAATTGGTACTTCTAAGGCTGTAACCCCTGGAACCCTGCATAACAGAGTTGGCTTGGCAATAACCGAATCGAATGGGGAAAGTGATAGGCCGTTCCGCCACTGAACCCCAATGAGGAAGCCACATGTGTCAAATTATTCGTTGTAGCCTCATTCTTTCCTAACACATGTGCAATTTTTTTGTCACGCGGAACAGTACAAAATGCTACACAAATACAGAGATTTTGTCTTGTATGTAACTAGTGGCTTAAGATCATTTCAAACCGTGCCCAGACCTTTTGTTTCTACCCCCAAACAACTACCGTAGCTGGGCCCGGATCTACTTCCGACACCTGCCAATAGCCCACGTGTGAAAAATCAACTTACCAAGTAGAATCTCCAACTACTCATATATTATATATATTTTTAAAATGCCCACCGGATCACTTAAGTCATAGGGTTTACCGGGTAGAATAAGACATTGGATATATCTAGGTTAGCCAAGACGAATGACCTCGTAGATTTGGAGACATACTTGGAGATGAAAAATTCAGCATACATACCGTCAGAAACTTTTTAACTCAAGTACCTAAGATCACCTGAGGAGTTACCTAGTAATAACGGTTGTTAGAACTGCCATTTGCTGTAAAGACATAAAGCCAGTCCTTGCGAAGTGACTTACTTCCATAAAAGGTCACATTAGCTGCATACTTCATCGTATAACTATTACTGATAACTACCAATGATTTTGATTTTTAGAGTTTTGTAGGTTCAACAGCTTCATCTCAACACTACCAGGAATTACATCCTATGTTTATCGTTCTTTTATAGCTACCTAAGCTAGGTTCCTGGTTGACACCTAGTAGGTTATGCACCTAGGTTTGGTGAAGCTATTCGTTATATCAACCTTGGAAGTCTCAAAATAGGTTATCAGCCTCTACCTATATACTTAGTACCTAGATCTATCAGTCTTCTCACAATTACTGTCACATCAATTATATATATCATGTACCTACCTAGTAGCTTTTCAAAATTCTCAAGTCGTTGTTTCCTTTTTAATTTCCAACAGCCCTACGGAGAGATCAACTATGACTTGATTGGACGATCCTTGCCTCTCATCTGTATGGGAACCCCACATAGCCCCGCGATTGGGGTTCACCTAGAAGCTTCTAAGAAAAGCTTCACCAAACCATTCCAGTTCCTTCCTTGCAACCCAGACAGTTGGTAGCAAATTCCTAAATGCTCCTGTGGCCGCAAACTATTCTCACCCATTGTCTCCTGCCTGCTCACGCTTCTTTCCTGAATTGCTTCTTTTCCACTTAGCAAACCAGATACCCTTGTCTAGCTTTTTTTTAATATTTTCCCCCACATCCATCAATTGCCTTAAACCTCTGTCGACCCAACGTCGTGCCATTGTCTTTCCTCCCTCTACCACACTTCTCATAAACCATTTTCCGACCAAAATTTTCATATTCTCGTAACACAAGCCACAGCCTTCACAAATCACTAATCACAAATAAAATGGCGGACTCAGAGCAGCCCAAGAAGCGAAGCTACGTCTTCTTTGACATTACCATCGGCTCCAAACCTGCTGGCCGCGTCACTTTCGAGCTGTACAATGACATTGTACCCAAGACAGCCGAGAACTTCCGCGCGCTATGCACTGGCGAGAAGGGCGTAGGGAAGACTGGCAAGCCTCTCCACTACAAGGGCAGCGCCTTCCACCGAGTCATCAAGCAGTTCATGATCCAGGGTGGTGATTTCACTGCAGGAGATGGCACTGGTGGCGAAAGTATCTACGGCACCAAGTTCGAGGACGAGAACTTCGAACTCAAGCACGAACGCCCGTTCCTGCTTAGCATGGCCAACGCTGGTCCCGGTAAGCATTGCTTTTAAGCTTCCCTCTACTGCATACATGTTGTATATGTAGAACACCCAACTAATAGTATTTGCTATCCTATAGGAACCAATGGCTCCCAATTCTTCGTCACCACTGTCCCCACACCCCATCTAGACGGAAAGCACGTCGTCTTTGGCGAGGTCAAGACTGGGAAGTCTATCATCCGACAGATTGAGAACTTGCGCACGACGAGCGACAAGCCGAACCAAGCCGCTGTCATCGCTGACTGCGGCGAGCTACCTGACTCTTCTGCAGCCGAGGCCTCAGAGGTTAGAGCCCCTGACGCCTACGGTGACCAGTACGAGGATTTCCCCGAGGACGATAACACGGAACAACCTCTTTCGGCAGCACGGGTCCTACAGGTCGCCTCCGACTGCAAGGACTACGGCAACAAGGCCTTCAAGGCCGGTGATATCCTGGGTGGCCTGGAAAAATACCAAAAAGGTCTGCGCTACCTTAACGAGGAGCCGGAAGTGAAGGACGACGAGACAGAACTCCGCAAGAAGCTCGACGCCTTGCGATTCACCCTTAACTCCAACTCCGCCCTCCTCAACATCAAGCTCGAGGCATGGGAGGAGGCAGAGCGCTCCGCGACTGCCGCCTTGGCCGTCACGGGCATCACAGACACCGAGCGCGCCAAGGCCCTATACCGCCGCGGCTTCGCGCTCATCAGGCTCAAGGACGAGGACACTGCCATCGAGTACCTCGAACAGGCCAAGAGGCTGGTTCCCGGCGACGCGGCCATCACCAAGGAGCTCGACACTGTCAAGAAGCAGGCTGCAGCTCGTCTGGCCAAGGAGAAGGCCGCTTATAAGAAGTTCTTCGCGTAATTCTATCCTAAGTATAGTGTATAGACGCCATTATGAAAGGGTGCTCACCATTCAAAAAGGGGTTTCAGAGGCGAGGAAGATCGGAAGGAATAGCCGGCATAGCATAGCTATCAACTACCAAAAAAAGAAAAATAAAACAATTTAATAAGCCAACCTATCTCTAATAGGTATATCCCCTTCAGGGGTGTCATGTATCATGTGAAATGAACGAGATTTTGCAAGAGAGGAAAAGGAGATGATGGATAAAATGACTGCCAAAAGATATCCTATTCCCTCCCATTCATCCATCCATCCATCTATTCGCTTACTCTAAATTCCCCTGATTCCTCCTCTACGTTAACCTCTTTCTACGTTTCCTGTGCAAGTACCGGGTACCTAGGTAGGCATAGTATACAGCAACACATAGCATTACATAGGTAGGTAGGTACCTTATCAATACCTACCTACATAGTAAGTAGTATGGATGCCTTAGGAAGACTAGTAGTTACCTCATATCACGCAAAACACACAACACCAAAATAAGCACTGCTACAAACAGACAGATAGACAAACAGATAGACAGGCAGACAGGCAGACAGGCAGGCAGACCAGGGGGTTAGGTTAGGTTGGCTTATTCCCAACCAGCCAACCCCCCTTACCCTCTATCACCCTTTTTCTTCACGCCATTCTTCAGCATCAATCAATCAATCAAGCAATCAATCAATCATTTATCTCTTTTTCTCTATCGAAAAAAATATTTTCCCTCCCCTCCCCTTCCCTTCCCTTCCCTCTCTTCCCCCTCCCTATCTCTGTTCTGTCTCTCTGTCTGATTGTTTTGTCTTCTGGTTTGTCCCAAACATAAAAATGGGGAAGGCTTTCGGTTCATCATATGTAAGTTGTATAAAGTTTTAGTGTGTGTTTGTGTTTGTGTGTGTGATATATTTGGTCGTTAAAAAAAAATAAAAAAAAAGCTCAAGTGTTATGTTTTTATGCATCCTAGGGGTATGTATCTAGCTAGCTGCCTACCTACGTACCTGATAGGCAGGTATCTTGGTAGGCAGGCAGCGAGGCCACAACGGGCCCGCCTCTCAAGAATGCTTCTTTCATTCCATCCCTGTAACCCCTTGTCTCCTAAATGTTTCTTTCCTTCTACTAAATTCCGATTCCCAAGTCCCAAGCCCATTTTGGGATAGAATAAAAAAGGGGGAGAGAAGGAGAAGAAAGCAAGAATAAAGCTTTGCATTTTGTGATGGGGGGCATTGGCTAGGCATAACACGTATCTGAATGGGAAACCCATACATAGATCATGAAAAATAATGACTGCTCCTCTACGCTCCCCATGGTCTATTTATTTCTATTGCGCTCTGGGTGTCGTATGATGATAAGAGATCGTCTCAACGGAAAGTCCCTTCATCATTTGAACCCAAATATACCGGCCAGTCCCTCTAGTCTGGGAGTGGGTGGCCGCTTTATTAATCGGGATCGGGTGCGTTTTACCGGCACCTGTTGTGGTGGGATCTGTGAGTTCGCGTATGGATGCCGCTCTGCGGAACTGGGACGTAACTAGTGTCTCGAGTTCGCATCGTTCTGCCAATTTTCTGAGAAGCTTCCAAGAATGCTCCTACTGCCTTTCTCTTCCCTGTCCCTTGTCTTCTCCCGCACCGTCGGTGGCGAGCTGACGGATTCTTTCCCCTTATCCTTGTCCTTGTCCCTCTTGCTACCATCCCTATCCCTATCTCTCTTACCACCAATGAGGCCGTGGAGGAAATGTCGTGGATTCTTCACGTACCCAGCTTTTGTACGTATTGCCCTAATCGGATTTGGCAGGTCTATATCGTCCGGTGCCTGACGGAAAACCCTCCCCTCCCGAAAGTGGTGAAAGGCCGTTCGATCTCCTCCATCTAGCTCACTCCCCGACGAGCCTGGTGGTTGGTATGCGTCATTGTCCGCCCAGGGCACTTGGTTTCCATACGTTAGATTAACTGAATCCATAAGAGCCGCTCTATCAAGAGTCTCGGCTAGATCTTCTGTGATCACTGACTCAGTCTCTTCTGAACGGATTGATTCAACCCTGGCAAGACACTCGTCGGAACGACTTTGAAGATCTAGACATATTGCGTGGAACTCCGCTAATTCGGCATCAAAATCCGAAGGATCTGTGAATGCCGACTTGTGGCTTGATTCAAGCCAAAGTTTGATTAATCCTGCAAAATTCCGAGGCTGATCGATCAAATACGGGAGAGACGGGAAGCCTTCTCGGGATGCACCTGATAGACGGCCGAGGATGGTAAGAGGAGTTGAATAGGAAGCGGGGACAGTGACGAGACTACGCTCGCTTGGTATCGAGCACATCTGGTCGATATAATCTTTGAAGGGCTGCCTGTGAATACTTAGAAACTTGTTCATGGGCTCCATCCAACTCTCTTTCTTGCCGAAAGTAGATAAGTTTGCCAGGGCCTGAAGCCCTTTCGCTATGAGAGTGAGCGTCCGCTGCGCCCGGTTTCGCGGATTATCCCGTAAAAGCCCGAAGAGCTTAGGGTTCAATATTGCTGGACAGATGAAACGTAGGAACAAGAACCCCGAGACACTCGTGTAGTTGACAGTGCGGAGGAAGTCACCGTATCGGTCTTCCGCGACGGCTCGGACGTATTTGAGGATCTGCCGGAGCTCAAGTGGCAATCTTGTTGATGAGTCAACAATGCACTCCCATACTTCAGTCGTCAACTGCACCAGCTGGCTCCAGTGTTGTTGTAACTCATCACCATGTTGAATCCGGCTTGGATCGACCTCACAATCTGGGTTGAGTTCATTGATCTCAAAAATCTTGTCGGCTAAGATTTCCTCAAGGAATTCTTTGCCTAAGCGACGCATATGAAACTCTAGAGCCTGAGTGAGAAGCGAGTTTCCGCGAAACAGAAGGTTTGCTTCGCCAGCCAACGACTTCATGTCGCGAACAAGTTGGTCTCTCTCATTTGCAGAATTGGCAGATTCGTTGGATTTTAGTCGCCTGCTGAAGCGTAGTCTCTTCATGCTGTTTTGACTCCCAATGCCATCGATTTCTTCTTCCACAAGTGCCATAAGCCATTCACTAGAACTTCCTGACACCTGGAATATGTTTAAGAATAACTCCGCAAGCCGTCGCATGGCAGAGGGTATCGCTAGGGCGATTTGGCTTGTCAATCCAACGCTGAATTTATGGAGGAGAGCGCTCAGTGGTTCGTAATCCTTCGACCCGAGGACAACCAGCTCATCGTGGTTTACCTTGACAAACATGCTCCCAATGGATTCTTGTTTTTCGTCGCACACTTGCAGCCATTGCTCGTGATCCTTTCCCCGATCCAACTTGTCCAAGGGTATATCCACCGCTCCACAAAGGATTTCTGTAAGATTGCCAGTTTTAGGTAGACCCAGTGATGCTTGTAATTGATGACTCAAGCTTTCTAGATTCCCTTCGACTCGTTTTAAAATAACTGATAGATATGGCAATGAGGTGGGCAGCTCGGTAAACTGGGTGAACTCCCTCCAGAAAGGGTTCTTTGTATCTGTTTGTGTGGTGGTACGCGATCGAACTTCACCGTCTAAAATAACCTCGGCGAGGTAGTTGCCTGTCAAAGGATCTCGTTCTTTAGTGTGACGGTCATGAGATTCTGGAAGGGGAATGGGCTTCTTGATTTTCGCCTCCGTGACCCTGATTTGAATCGTTTTCTCCAAGCGAAAGATCTGCCCTGCAAAACCCTTATCAAAATCTCGTATCTCGATTATCTGTTCTGCAGCGGCGTCAAGTCCGTATAGATCTGGGACAGCGAATGCTCGCAACAGAACAAACCAGACTTCGAATAGAACCCTAGAGTCAAGTGCAAGATATACCGGTCGAAATATTGAAAGTTGCGTGGATGTAGACGAATATATCGGGAAGATAGCAATGCAGAACTCCTCGTCTAAAACAGACCTATCCAGTTGCTGCACGGCGCATCGAGATAGCTGTGATAGTTCTATGACCGAGAGCACCGCAACGTCATTTTCGGTCATCAATTTGAACTCGCCATTGTCCTGGAGGATGCAGGAAACCCTCCTCCAAGATGTTAAACCTGAACGAAGATCTCGAGTAGACGGGCGCTTCACGATAGCCCGTGGCGACGCAGCATTTCCCTTGTCCCACAGCATCACCTTACCAACCTTGATGATGGCCGCATCCTTCGAAGACGAACCAGTGGCGGTTGAGGAACCTCGCCTTCTCATTTCCGGTCGACTGGGTAGTGGTGGATTGATGTTTTTCCCGCTGGGGAATTTTACTGTATTGGGACGTATTTGTTGCCAACAAAGTAAGCTAGCAAGCCATAAGTCAAATTCTTCTGGAATGAGGGGGCGCAGGATCAGCTCGACACCCATCTTATTGTTTAGTATCTCTAGGCATTTCCCTTTGTTATCTTGATAATCAGCGGGTATAACCCTGCACCCTCGGAGGTCGGAGACAACTGGAACGTGAAAGGAGTTGCCGCCCTGCCCCGAGTCATACAGCAAACTGCCTCGTTCCTCGTCTATATAGCACACTCCGGGGTACCACGGTCCATTTAGCTCACATTGATACTCAACCTCTCCCTTCATACGCCCACACAGCGCCTTCATTAGTAAAAGGATCTTGTTCGCATCATCGGTGGGAACCGGAAGAGGCAAAGAATCGACACATGGCGGTGGAGAGACTAAGGGAGATGTGGGACGCGAAGAAGCACGCTTGATTAGGCGCCGGTTAGAAGATCTTCTCTCCTTGCTTGAGGATAGCGTGACTTTTAGGTCTGGAGCTTTAGTTGTTGTTATCGACGGATACCCTACGGATTCGAGAACGGTCGAAGGAGGACGTATATTATCAATATCTAGGAATGGTTGGGAGCTTGATGACGAGAAGGATCCTACTCTATGACGACTCGTATCGGATAAAGGGGTGGTAGTTTGTTGGCGCAGCGCAAGAGCACCGTCCATAGTATGTGTACGTGGTCGCAGGGCAGCTTTTTGGTGCTGCGATTGTGGGTTAGAGGTGTCGTCCAAGGAGTCACTGTAGGCATCGTTAAATACCATGCCTTGTCTCCTCCTCTCCCCACCAGGTATAGATCTGGGCGAGCCTTGCTTGGGCGAGACGGTACCGAAGCCTCGGGATCCTTGTGCGATGTTGTTTGTGTCCGTGGCGTGGCCATTTTCGCCTAACTCAGGTGTAACCGTCCGGACGCTGGTTTGTTGTACCTTGGCATTGGCCACGAAAGCACTGCGCATATTACTAGCAGGCGCCCATTCCGTGTTGAACGGTAGCGTATCCCCTGCAGTAGCCGACGACCAGTCTGCTAGGTTGCCGATGTGGTTGGTTTGGCTATCCTCCCCTTCCTCTTCCACCACCTCGGGCGGCGTGGAGATGCCGCGAGCCCGCTGTTTCGAATGCATTGGGACGTATAAGATTGAGCATTGAATGCTGTGCAGACGTCGCGCAAATGAGTCGAATTAATGTGGTATTCGGCAATTATATATGTCGTTGTCGCGGCCATTCACCAATTTTATCCGCGAGAAGTCGTGAGCTAGAGTTATATGAGAGAGTTGTCTGTCATAAGGCGCAGGCGGAAGATGATTCGTTCAACAGCTTCCATCGGGGGGTGCTCATTCTAGAAAAATGGTGGAATCTAATTGTTGAGGGCGAGCTACTCGGATTGGTTGGAAGGTCGGCGCATAGTAGTGGTAAGATAGGTGGTTTGACGTCTCGAATCGGCAACGTAGGAACAAACTCCAACAGAACCGCTAATTGTATGTCTTGTTTCTTAGGTTGTGCAAATGTTGTTTATCCCCTTTCATAATACTATACCATATCGTAATGGTATATTCTCATACAAATTCCCACGTCAAGTTGGAGTTGAGATCCATTCAGCACGTGGAAATTTGAGTGTCAGGGATTGCAGGAACGGGTAAGCTGTCAGAAAATGTTAGGTGAGGTGTGGGCGAGTGTTCGAGTGGTTTGCCGGATTCGGCTCGCATTGGCGGAAGGTCAGGAGCGCACAGCAGGACGGCGCAGTGTTGTGGTTTTACTCGGTCGTTAGCTCGCCAGATGCCCAACCTGGTCAGGGTTATGTAGAAGGAACAAGCCGACTTGGAGATTCTTGGGGTTGGTTTCCTTGTGGGTGCTCTGGGGGGTATTCTGGGCGTTCTGGGCGTTCTGAGTATTCTGGAGCTCTTCTGGATTTGCGCAGCGAAGGTCGGAGTGTTATCTGCAGGACCACTGCTTGCCCTGTACTATTGTGACAAGACGATTGGATCCCCGGCCCAGGTCCAGGTCGAGAGACGGCAAGCTACAGTTTTGGTAATTTTGAGAGGGAGGACGTGCGACGACAAATAGGGAAGACGTGTTTCCGTAGGTACCTAGGTCATGTATGTATGTAATATGTACCGTACCAATAGTAATTTTGATGAGTCCCGAATAATCCACGTCGAATAGAGGACGTGGGAAAAAAAAGAAAAAAAAGGAAAGAAAAATCAGTAGTTAATTGAATGTCTCGGAATTACAAACCAAACTAGCTACTGGGTTAGGTAGGTAAAGGTAGGTAAGTATTAGGGAGTATACCAGATTCCTAGTAGATATCTGGGCTACCTAAGCCTTTCAATCAACGATGCTATAGTATGGACTCTATGGAGTATGGAGTATGGAGTAGTTAGGTAGTAAGTAGTAGGTAGGTAGACGGTAGGTCAAGTAGTAGCGGCGGTAGGTAGTTTAGGTAGTTGGACCATTAGCATACATAAAATAGTTAAAGCCAGGTTTAATTGAAATTGCAGGTCTTGATAGAAGAGGTTGATGGGGTCTGGAAGGATTTGTGATTTGTTGTTTGCAAAGTATCTGAGCGAATAAGGCTACACGGATTCAACTTTCCCCATGCTTCCATGCTGCTTGCTCCTTCCTTCGGCTGATGTTGAGTGCTAGGAACCAGGAAGGAACTTAAGGAAGAGCTCTGCAGCGACTCAGGTTACACTAGTCTACACTAGCTCAGACTAGCTTAGCTTAGCTGCATTATTTTTAGTCGGGTCCAACGTTAATATCCATGCAGCTTGAGCACTTGCACTTGTCAGTTCTTGAATGTTATTATGTACCTATCTCGTACATACATATTACATACTAGGTATTGTACGTGTGTTGTACAATACAATACATGCAATTATTAGTACTTGGACATTGAAGTCAAGACTTTCAACAACAATTTCAATAATATTAACTGATTGCAACTTCAATAGCATTGACATCTGGAATCTTGAACTTCATTATTTGACGGTTAAAGTTACCAGACATTGACCCCCCCCGCGCGAGGCTGTAATGTAACAAGCTTATCATACTTATTATTATTTATTCCTTTTTTCTTTTTTATTCTTTACCTAACTAATTACTATTATTCCCTATCATATAACTACCTCTATTGCCTTGTTTCTTTTTTCTCATTATTTCTACTATGTACAATCTCTCGCAACTTGGCATGTCTTGTTGTTCTCTGTGCTAATAGGGGGTTTACTGACTAGGCTAACCTAAGTGCTGAGGTTGCAACACCATACATATAAGGTTACTTATAGCAAAGGGTGGTCGAAAAGCCTAGGTAGGTAGGTAGTTATCCTAGCCGCCTAGCTGTTAAGCTATACATAGCGAGCTACCCTACCACACGGACCCAAAGGTTGGGCAGATTATTGAGCAGTCCCGGGTCGACTTACGCCTGTAATAGAGATATCCAATACAGATCCTTTGATAATAGTACAACTTGGCTGTCTCGTGGCGGTAGTGGACCCGGTAGTAGAATCGTGGCAAGCTGCCAGGTGCCCTAGATACTACTAACCTAGGTATGCCATGCTGGTATGGCCTGATGGATGCTGACAGGGCAACTAACTATGATATTCATTAATGACTACATATAGTTATCTTATATGGAGTGAGCCGTCGTCAGATATATAGATACATGTGCATACCTACATGTATGTAAGTACAATACCTTGATGGTAAGTACAGTACATAAAAAAGCAAAGCCTTACCACCAGCGAGCTATGCTTATGTAGGTCTAGTTGCGCAGCCTCGTGTCTCGAGGTGTGTCTGTGGGGGATGAGACGGGATAAATCTGAGTAAGCTTGAAAACGATAGGCAGCACCAATAGCAGTTCTAGACAGTTTGTGCCTCCAAAGGAATATCTAATATCTGATATCTATCACCAAGCCTACCGTTGTCCTGAATCTCGATGCTCGGCTAGTTTCCGAAAAGATCAAAGCTGGGTCTGACGAACCGTCTTGATCGGGTAGCAGCAAGGCGTACTTCGTCACGGAGAATGCAACTTCGAGATCCCGTCAATATGGCTGCAAGCCTTCCTCCAGTGTGAAGTTGGCAGGATACCTACACCACCTACCTAAGGTATGCATGTTTCTCGTTGTCGAGTTCGACGGACCTATCATGAAGCCGACAACCTCGCGTTTGATGTGTGACTACTAGTTGAATGACACCACTCTGTTGCACTCTGAGACCTCCACAACGTGCCCGTCCTTGTGCTGCCCTATCCAGCTTCCCGGATCCCTTGCGTTGGTTCCATGAAACCTACACGCATACACACCTGCATACGCTTCCATACCAAGCCCTGTGGTTTACATGTACGTGGTAAATTCAACCTGCATGCGTTGTCTAAGGCAGGTTTTCAGGAACATTTCCATGTTACGTGTTGTACTTACACACATATATATATACCTTGTACAATATGCTCAACAAAGAAGAAATCAACAACATTCTGCTTCCGATCCTAGTGATAGGCGTACGGAAGTATTATCGTCATCAGGACATGGATCAGCGAGTGTTCGAATGTTCATATCATGGATGTCCATATGTAGGTAGGCTAACTGGTTAGATATTCTCGAACATTGAAAATTTTAATCAAAGTTTTAAAGACGTAGGGCCTTATTAGTAGGCATATGCCATAACTACATGTACCTACAATGGTCCTACATAGGGAGGTATGTACATAGTCGTTTACGCCGTAGTTACAGTAGTGAACATTGAACAATACGAAATTCCGCTTTGCTACTGACCTGGTCCATGCCAGAAGAAAGATTGGTATGGTCCGTTCCGCAGTGATCAGCCGAAGCCACATTAATGTCATATGCACGGATGTTCAAGGGTCCATGGTCTAATGTGACATTAGGTATGTACTATGCACCATTTTACTCTCCGACTAATAATAGCATTTGGTTATTGGATATGTACTCGAAGGGGATGCGAATGGGAATCAAAGCCTTGATCGAATCTCACCAAGGAGAAGGAGAGAGAGGGGACGAGAGGAGGAGGGGGGAAGAGAGAGAAGAAAAAGAAAAAAACAGGTCACTTCGCTATCAAGGATGTGTGCGTTCGTGCGTACCTTAGTATGCTTGCCATTGCTTGGTAAGGGATATGTATTCAATGCATACCTAGGTGGTCTACATAGTGGTCCCGGTGGTGTACTATGTATGTACCTCTGTCTCGCGTTCTATCGCGTGCTCGGTCCCCCTCACTGCCCTACCCCCTTCAAGTCAAGGGATGCCTGATCTCTCTGCCGCATTAAGACGGCCGTTAGTAATGTCTGTCACAGTGTCTACTGCATAGTTAGTACTTGTCAGACGCGGATAACGCCAGCAATGATGAAGAAAAGGGGAAACTTATACTACCTACATAGGTAATACACTAGATCCAAAAGAAGGTCGGGAAGAAGATCCGGGGAGCGATCCATACGCGCGTGAGCATGAAACATTAACTAGGACTATCCGTTTGCCTCGCTGCCTCGTCCTTCTATCAGCGAAATCAAGAATCCTGAAACGTGTGAATCCATGCCATTTCGGCCTTAACAAAATCCCCATACTGTAGGTAGGTAGGTATATAATAGCGAGTAGTATAGGTAGGCTAGCTAGGTACCTACAAATGGCTAGAAGGAATAAAAGCCTGGTAGCAAATTACGTACTGGATGGAATAATGCATGTGGTTTAGAAGATTCGGGCCACTAGGCAACCTGAAGAACTCCTTTGATTAGGTAGGCAGGTAACTAGGCCGTACGCCCCATCCCCCGTCCACATGATGTGTGGTATTTTTACATACACATGTAGCGCGCATCTTCGCCAAAACGGCTCTCGTATGTATCGTATGTATGTACGAACTACTACGTCTCCTACTAATTTAACTTCACATACCATGAAATACGTGGATACAAAAATCATACTGTAACCAAGTTATCGGGATTCCCGTCATAGATGTAGTTATACCTAAGTACATATAAAGCAGACGGGGCGATACATGATTAAGACGATCATTCGGGTATGAGGTACATATATAGAATACATATCTGTAGGTCATGAAGTTCAGAGTCCAGACATGAACAGCACAGGTAGTTCACAGGTAGTTCCAGCCCAGTCTCACATCTCCCTTGCTTTGGCTGCAAATATACGCGGCTGAGTAGGTAGCGCGCTGGTCAAAATTGGACGTCCTCCATTTTTGCAGAAGACATCAAGCAAGGGGGACTTATTCTGTGGGACATAGTGTAATATAAGGTAGCGAGTATTGACTCTTTAGACTCTGCAACATTTAAGTGGAAGGACGTATTCGGAATGCACAAGATAGTTATACGGCTCAAGTCAAGGCACTGTGTTGGGTAATGCAGCTTTTGCTGAACACTCAATGGAGGATATAAACTTGTAAATAAAGCAAGACGTTCCTCCGTTGAGTAAAATCAACGGCCCATAACAATCGATGCAGCCGTTATCATTTACCCTCCAAAATCCAGCATAATATGCCAGGTAACAACGAAAATAATCTTGTCAAGAATGGTATCACCTTCTCCCGTACGGCTGTATTGAGAAAAAAAAGATGAAATATGCCTTCGCCGTAAACCACATAATCTGCCAACTCCATTTGCCCAAACTCTGTCTCCGTCTCCGTCCTCCCAGAAAGTGTCAAACGGTATCCATGAGCTTCGAGGTTCCAAAAAAAAAGGTGTGACTCAACCACCCCCCCAAAAAAGAATCAAGTTACCGGGTGGTAAAACAAGTAAATAAGTAGCAATCCTTTGGTTTGCTATGTCTGGTGCTAGTAGGCGGTACCACAAACTGGGTGCCACCGATAGCTTGATTGGCGTATTAGCGCGACATGCCCTCGATCGGGCTGACGGGATGACTCCGAGCAATACTGAGGTCGGTGCTACCGGTACGTCTCAGGGCTTGCGACATAGTCTCTATGTTAAGGTCCCCATTCACGGAAAGGTTGTGCTCCGCAGAAGTCGGGCTGCCCAGGGGCTTTCTGACAGGAGACATGCTCAATCCCTTGATAGATCCCGAGATGCTATTCGGTGGCGATGTCTCGGCACCTTGCGAAGATACTGGTGATCTTATTGGAGACGGTGAACGGTTGACTCCTCTCGATCCAATCGAGGTCAGGCCGGCAAGATGTATCGAGTCCCGGCTACTACTTGGGGGTATTTGCTCTGCCTGAACGACATCGGCGAATGATATGAAACTCAAACGTCTGACGTCAGAAGAGTCGAGCGAACCGTAGTTCGAGGCAGACTCCTCCTTATCAGAGAAAGCAGCCAGATCATCCGTCCACGAATTAGACACCGTATCATACGGAGAGGCACCCGTCACAGTCACGCTCGCAGGTTGGTGCATGTTATGCGTAACGATCTCGACGGAGTCGGGGCTAAGATGCTCGTCTGTGATGGCTTCGGAAGATGCGTCAAGGACGGGGGGGATGTAATTTTCGGTTTGGATATGGGACGGAATGGCTGGTGAGTTGGGTACCGCGACGGCGCTCTCTTGCACATCGCGCTCGAAGATTTGAGAACCTGCCGGAGAACATAATCGGGGGCTTGACGAGTAGAAACCTCGGCCAGGTGAAGATGGTGTCATAATCGGGCTACCGGGCTGGATGGGCGAGCCTGTAGTCGATCGCTTTGTTGATGTTTGGGGCACATCCTTAGTAGACGGCGGACTCGACGATCCCGAAGATTTCGGTAGAGGTTTAGTAGATTTGGGATCAACCTTTTTCTTGCCAAAACCAAACAGACTGCGCTTCTTCGATTTTGAGTCGGTCTTGGGTGAGTTACTCTCTTCCATTTTCTTCTCGTTGGATTCGGTAATTGTTGAACTCGAGTCACCTTTCGTAGTTTGACTCTTCTCTCCCATTTCAGATGATGGATCCTTCTCTCGACCTATTTTTATAGCAGCTGCTGGTGAAAGAGTCATGACAACGAACCGAGGCTTCGGAGGTTTCAGACGCTTATTAAATAGGATGAATGGGGTGATTAACGGGCAACTGGCAACTGGCAACTGGTAACTGGTAACTGGTAACTGGCAACTTTCAACTTTCACAACTGAGTAATATTGATTTTCTGCAAAATGCCAAGACGTTCGTCAGCACGAGACCAAAAAAATCGACCAAGCATACAACAAGCCAAAATTGGACTGGTCTTGACACTTGTAGTAGAAGAAGTAGAGTAATGGTGAGCTTTGGGATTGGAGGAGGGGAATTCGAGGTCTTAGGTAGCTAGGGTAGGTACTAGGTAGTGTTAAAAATCGACTGGGACGGAAAGGGCCTGGGACATGGACCTGGCTGGACATGGACAAGTATACAAAAAATAATCAATACGTAATACCCCAAAACTATTCTTTTTCGTTCTTTCTCTTTTTTTTTTCTTTTTTTTTCTCGTGTACAATAGAACTTGAATAGATTGTTGGGGACCTTGGGGTAGGTATGTATTCAAAAAGTAGAGCTTGCACTTACCCCTTCTATTGACTTGACGCGCGACTGGAAAGAAGCAATGGTTATTTTAGGTTGGCCGGGATCAGCAACCTTAAGACAATAATAACAAGCCCTGGAGACTAAAAATCCCAGTACTCTCTCTTCCTCAACTTCAGAGCGCCTACTTTTTATTTTGTCTCTTTTGGTTTTATTTTCTTCTTCTTCTACTTTTTGCCCTTTTTCTGTCTTGTTTGCCAAATGTTGTTTCTGCTGCGAACACGATAGCCGCGACGTTGACAACAACTGTAGTAGTTAGTTGTACTTTATAAGCGACGGGTATGTACGGTTGCGGTCGAAATTGCAGATGTTGGAATGAGCAATAAGTGGATTAGGCGGCACTATGCAGGAAGATGCAAGTGTTCGGTTTTTTGGGCGGAAGGTATTAGAACCAGTTGCGGATCGTCTTGTTCAAGTACGTAATAAGACCAGGACCAGGACCCAAAGAGGAAAAGACGAAATAGCTAATAGTAGGTAGGGACGATCAACAATTTGTGATATATGTACGCAGATAGATTGATGACGCTGTTGGGTCGTACCTAGTACTAGGTGATTATCAACAGCTATGTCACAGGTAGCTTGAAGTTGATAGGTCCCAGCTTGGTGCCTTGCAAGATCTTAGATTTACTCGAAATCGAGGAAATGGTCCACGGTCCTTAAATGTGGCCGATAGTTGGATGGACGGGGATGGATGTAAAGAAGGGGAGAGGGGAAAGGCAATAGATATGGGATAGATGGATGGATGTGGATGGATGCCCTATGATTTAATACATGATAAAGCTTTCAAGTCACAGGATGCGAGGTTGCTAGCAACATTGAACGATCAGATTCCAATGTAGGAACAGCGCGTGCTTGCTATGCCTGCTATGCTTGCTTTCAGCTTGCTTTTGCCCCTAATAAGCAGTTGGAGGGAACCACTGCTTGGCAGCTTTTTTAAGGAGCTCTCTCATGTAAGACACCAACGCCGAAAAAAGAATGATCCGTATCGGCAACTTAAGGCGCTATCTATCTTAGTTCTACAAAAGGAGCAAGTTTCTTGCTTTGGCACAGAAAGCAGGTATGTGATAGGAGAATATGGGGGCCGCGTGTGTACTTTTTTTCCTTCTATCTTCTTTTCGGGTGGTGTGCACAAGTTCTAGAAAGGGGGAAACGCAGCCTGCGACGTCACTGATCGTGACATTGCCTTCCATCCAATAATCTTCAAGGACACATGCAGGAATGAAGGCGAATTTAATGTCGATTTAATGTCGATATCTATTTAGTACATTTTTTCACAGCCAGCCCCGTTAAGGTTCTCACGTATTCTATAATTAAACGTCAGAATCCAGGGCCAGTCCCTAGAAAAAAAGGATTGGTATCGGTCACTCATTGGGCGTATTCTATCACGATCACGTACTGCATCGCATGAATTCAATGCAATCCTACACACAGGCTGAAAGAAAGGGCAAGACGACCGGTCCGAAGATGACAGGTTGAGACGAACTAAGCCCAACACCATTATGCTGACACACCCTAACTGAAACCTACAAGCCACCGGCGACCAAGATTTGCGATGTAGATCCAGGAGACTGTATCTACTATACCACCTAGTTTCTATAGTACTAGGTAGATAAATATAACTCGGAATAATTGAGACCTTGGAGACTTTCAATATCGACAATGTCTCGAATGTTTAGGATCAATAATAAAGATGCTTACTACCTAGTAGTTATTAGGTACTGCTTCTCTACCTCCACTTCTTCAAATACGTACATAGTTATATATGTTTCTTTTTTTCTCCTTTTTCTTCAGCAATGTTCATGAGAATAAATATCTTGCAAGTCAGAACTTGTAAGGCATTAAAGGCCTTACGATGGTGTGGCCGAAGATGTAGGCAGGGGACCTACCTAGGTAGGGTAGGGCAGTGTAGGCTGAATGAGTTCGTCGAATCTGTTCTGGCACATGAAACATCGGACTCGTCGAGTTCGACGTCACCTTCATGAGGGGTCATGGTCTCGGTTGGCCAAAAATGGTTGACTAAATTGATTGAGGGGGGGTTGTTTAATCGAAGGGATGTCCATCCATTCCCTCGCCATTCTTGTTCTTGTTCCCCTGCAGGGGTCAAGAGACACATGTACCAGGTATTCACCCACTAGCGGCACCACCTCCGTGACCTCCCTAGGTACCCAAGACTTTAAGTACACAAAATAGTTACACTAAATTAGCCTCGATTACATAAGACTGCTCAGGTGCACTATGTATGTAAAATTCAATCCAATAATTACTGTCACATGACCGCGTGCTAAACCCCCCACCCTTCGGTCCGTAAAACGTTCCGACAAAAATTGTGGTCGACTTTATCGATTTTTGTCGCCATTTCTATTCTCGATTGACAGCCACTTTTTTCCGAGGTTGAGTTTCAAGGGTGTAAGACTGGGGAGAGGACAATTGATCAAGCTCTAATATCTCCTGTACTGAGGCTCATCAAAAGGTTTTACTTAACACCACCAGACAATATGGAGACGCGGTCCCTCTTACAGCCGCTGCTGCGGTCCGTTACCACCACCACCACCACCACCAGCAACCCTCTCTTCTCGAGCAGCAGCAGCACCTGGTTTGCGGCGGCGGCGACCACTCCAGCATCACGACGCCACCAATCGTCCTCAGCCCGAACCAAGCGCGCCCTCAAGATCCCACCCCACCCCTCCTTCCTCCAGAACCCCCTCGAGGCCGCGCGAGTGATCTACAACCCACCCGCCTCCGCCCCCTCCGTCTACCACACGCCCTTCAAGTTCCTGCCGCCGAGCGACCCGCGGCGTAAAGCCAACCTCGCGCAGGTAATCCGCGCCTCCGCCGCCGCGCCTACTACCCCTCTTCCCCCCCCTACCGCCAACCCGAACCTGGCGCCCGAGCTCAAGACGCCGCCGCAGTTCTACAACGTGACGCGGGAGCAGGTGGAGGAGATGCGGCAGCTGCGGGCGGAGGACCCGGAGAAGTGGAGCGTGCACGAGCTCGCGCGGCGCTACTCGTGCGCCCCCATCTTCGTCATGATGTGCTGCCGCGCCGACCGCGAACACCGCGACCGCGAGAAGGCCCGCCTCGACGCCGTCAAGGCCCGCTGGGGCCCCATCCGCTCCCACGCCCGCGAGGAGCGCAAGAAGCGCAAGATCCTCCTGCACCAGGACGCTTTATAAGGAGGATGCGCCCCATGATGTTGTGTGCGCTGTGGCCTTTTTTCTACAGCACCTAGCTACGATCCGTCTCCCATCACCTTTGTGACGACGACGGATGGCGGCCTATCGAAGAAGGAACTAGATATTAGGGTGTCTAGGCACCTTCTTGATGGGTCGGAGTGTCCGGGGTGAAAGCTCACAATCTTTTCTATACGATTCAAGGGGACCGAGTCTTTGGAACTAGAGAACGAGAGAAGGCGGGGGGGGAAGAGGTAGAGAGCGCTAGGTCACCAGGGTAGATGATCGACCAAAGGGACTCGAATGGGGTTACTCGAACTCGACCGACACATGAAAACTTTTTTTACACAAGGGAAATGCAACGAGATGAGGCCCCGGTGATGAACTACCTACCAAAATCCATGTATTTACAACAAGACCAAGACCTACCCAAGTTTATAATTGAAGAGCAAGTAAGGTTATATATATATATAACCAACACTGAACATACATACATACATACCTAGCTATGGAACACACACTTTTCTGCCATTTTGAAAGTACACAAAATGTCGTCATCCGTAGTAATCCGTTAATCAAATCCCAATTTCGCCCGCCTTAAAATCTCACTCGTGCGTTGGTTGGCCTGTATATACCTATCTATCTATGTATGTTAAGGCACCTAGATAGATCGGGAAGACGAAAGGGGAACAGTTAGACACGGTGATCTCTATATCTCCGAGGTAGTTTTTGGTTTTCTCTTCTCCCTTCCCATCATCTATCTCCCGGTTCTAATTTCTGGGGTTCTGGTTCTGGTTCTAGTTCCTTTTCTAAAATGGACATCACATCACACCACATCACGCTCTTTCTTATGCCTAGGGTAGGTAGGGTATTGGGCCAAATGCTGCGCCTACATCACTTACAACGGGATGGTTTAATTCGTCAATATATCTCAGGTTGATATTTATATTATGCTAGTTTATGTCTTCCGGGCCTCATTACTTCATTTCCCTGCTTTTATCCAAACTAGTGGATGTAGCTTATTCTATAGGTCTCTACATCTCAGCCATATTATTAAATAGAAGGAAGGGCCTCCTTATTTCCCGCTGGCAGCCTTGGATGTCTCCCAGTCCTTTTTCCCGGGGATAACCCTTCGGCACCACCCGCACCAGCTACGGCTCCGGCCCGAGATCTCTCGGCCTAGGATAGTTCCCGTCTTCTTCTCGTCCTCCCACTCGGGAACGCAGGCACCGACACGCACAATCTGGACAAGTTTAGTCTTGACCACGCCACCGATGCCTTCGATCTCATGACGCGCGTAACCGGGCCGCAATTGTGGGCTGGGCGTCCGGCGCTCCGAGGGCGGCGAGCCGGCAATTGAGGAGGCCGGTGACGGCGTCCCCCAAGGGGATAGCGTCCCGTTATTCTGCTCATCTTGTTCCCGGGCATCTGCTGCGTCGCAGTCGGTTTCCTGTTCTCGCTCCTTAGAGCCACAGCAGAGTGCCTCTCGTCCACAGATTACGCCCCGGTCACCTTCGCCGATACCGGTCCCGAGACCACCGAGTACCTCGCCATACTGGTTCCGCCATTTCCAGATGCTACACGAATTCCACAATTAGCAAAGCGTGCAAGTGGGTCAACGACTAAAGAAGAGAAATTACGTACGACTTGTAGTCCGAGTCTGCTCCACGAATGCTTCTGCCGCAGGGCTGGCAAAGCCAAACCCCCTCGCTAACGCAAGTACATATTGATCGTTGCATTTCTTCGGCGTCTATGGGCGTATCCGGCTGTAAGGCTGGCTTCACAAGGCTTCCTAGTGGAGCTTTGCTACACGGAAGACATAACCTACGATGCCTATCGCGGAGGACAACGGGTGCTGGCGGTTTGATCGCACAGTTCTAGTCCGAGAAACGCATTATTAGTTTCCCATTTAAAGACGTGTCTAGTGTCGCAAAGATGCTTACCCGACAGACAACGGTCGCACACCGCCTGCATTCAGCCACCATATCTCTCGCGCAGCTTCCACTCTTGCCATTGTAGTCCCCGGTACGACCGTCTTCCATATAAAACCAGTTCCCTGCTCGGGCACGATATCGGAAGGTGTCTTCGGGGTCGACAGGCACGTCTTCGTTTATACAGTGGAGGGTATGCGCGAGGAGACTACTGCGGTACTGCAGAAGGGCTAGGTGTATTTGACGACAGGTGCGGGACAGGTTGTCAAGTGTGTTGAGGTCGATGGATGACGCAATGGCCATAACGATACTACGGTTGGATGTCGAGTCAGCTTTTCTCTCCCCCGGCTTCACACAGGAAGTGTAGCAGCCAGGGGGGAGGTTCTGCATTTAAAAATGCCATAAGTGAGGTTGCGTCTGCCTACGGATAACATCCGAGAGCCTCCGTCATCCCATTATGCTCATTGGGGTTCTCGGATTCGCCATATACGATCGGTTGACTCTGATCACTGTCTTCCCTCGTAGGGGTCAATTCGTTTATTCTAGAGGAGAGCTGTTGTTGTGCTCTTTCGCCATTCCACTCGGGCTTTAAGCCATAGTGTTGGGTCTGCGGCGGTTCTGCCTCCTCGTCGAGGTCTACAAAGAGGGCCATATTTACGATAGTGCTGATAGGAGGTCAACGTCGGGGCAGAAACGGAGAGAGGGAGGCAACGAATACGAGAGGTGGGCGGAGGAGGATAGGAATATAAAATTAATATAACCAAAAACGAAAGGAGAAGGAATTTGATTAATGAAGAGGAATGTTATGTAGATAGATGGAGAAGGATGATACTGGAATATAAAAACAGGAACCGTTGAAGTTAATAATGACCAAGTCACCGATAGATGTCTAAGGTTAGTAGCTGACTAGGTTAGGGAGGTACCTATGTAAGTACACAACTGATGTACTGGACATTGAAGGCTTAAGCAACATTGAAGTCCCGAAATCATATAGGTAAGTACATCCGATGTCTCGAATTGAACACCGTAACTGCCACCTCACACAATCTAGATTAGTGCATACATGAACACAGTAGTTTGTAACTTGTACATAGTTACCTACATATGTACTACATACAATACAATGTGACGGTGTACAGGAGGTACTTAATGCAAGCTAAGTCATTTGCGTTTCTAACCGAGTATCATGTATGTAAATATTACATACGTGGAAGTAACGAACCGAAAGGAAACGTGCCTACTTCGTATAATGTTGTTCCTTCTTTTTTATCAGATCCCATAATACAATCAATTGTACTCAACTTAAAAAGTTGCCGCCTTTCCTCTAGCGGACAAGGTGGGGTCATGATTGGAGCAACTAATTCGTTGCATTCGTTACCGTTAGGGCGTGATGATCAGGGCTATGCCGCGCTATAGTTGCAACGGGGGTAGGGCAATGATCCTTCCGTTAGGTAACTACCCAGGTGAATTTTTAGCACGCCATTTCTTTAAATGTTTAAATGGCGATTTAGTTACTAGTAACTTATGTACTACTAGTAACTTACTACTAGTAACTTACTACTAGTAAATCAGGGGCACAGGGCCAATTTAGCTTCTAATGCCTTTTTTAGCCTGCAGCTGTCGTGGGACCTTTTAACCGTAGCGGCATCCAAAGCTTCAATGTCTTCCTTAACATGACTGGTTATTGTTGCAGACCGCCTTGTTAACCTTGCGGACGAATAGCTTCTAATGGACAATGATCACCTTTCTTCTTCCTCTTGTTTTTTCGTGTTTTTTCATCTAATATTTGAGTCTGGGTCTACCTGTCACTTATACCTACCTACCTACCTAACATACGTACCCTAAGCAGGTATCTATTATCCCAAGTGTTGAGAGATCATCAATTAGATGCTGGTCGTCTACCTATGTAGGTCCTGTTATAACTACCTAGTAGGTATCTAGCAAGTACACGCAATGTACAGTACTACTAGTAGTATGAGCTGTTTTCACGATAGTTTCAAAAGCTTGACACGAGTCCACACGTACATACGTACATACGTATATCCTAGGTATAGACATCACCGGACCCATCTCAGCTCACAGGGAATTAAAATAATTATTAGTCATAGCCATTCAACTCCCATCTTGCTAAATTATAACTCGAAGCGCGTGGCATACCTTAGTTAGTAAAACTACATAACTACATAGTAGAATAATGAGTGTACCTAGGTAGGTACGTAGGTAAACTTCAGGACCGTATCCAGAACGAGACCAGATCGCGTAACCCGTCATATTGTATCATTACATTAATACCCCGAGCCTACCCACCCTCCTTCCTAGCAGACTGGAAACGCCAAGAAACCAAGAATACACTTCTATAAAAACACAATTTCTTCACTTAACTATTACTCGGAGTTGTTGAAAACACCCCCACGTAGATCACCACGCAAACACCATGAGTGCCGGGTTCAATACCACCGGCAGCAAAAAGTGGCAACCGACGATCCAGGCGAGCGGCCAGATAGACGCTAGATGGACGATTCTCCACTCGATAGGGAAGGCATAATAGCCGCATATAATGAGCGCCGTCATCAGAGTACACCACAAGAAGGTGCCCTTGAAGCGCTGGAAGAGCCGTGGGATCTCTTCGAGGAAGTTGACATCCTCCAATTCCTTTGCCGTCGCACCCCATGTCATGTCGATGCTGAGGAAGTGACTAAGTAGAGCTTGCGAGACGTGCAAGGACATGCCGCCGAGGAAAATTGTCATCAAGGGGATCCACTTGATGTTATTCCAGACTAGAAGGTTACATGAAATAGTCAGTCTCTCTTCAATTATAAACGTAATGCGGGTCTTCTTCATGCGGCATTATAAACTTACGCCCTGCAAACAGTGATTGATGATTTAGCCGATATCGCAAGATGGCAAGAGAGAAGTTCCCAAGCCCCGTGAAGACCACGATCACGGAAATGTAAATCGCGAACGAGTCTATATAGAACTTGTCGTACAGTCCAAAGAACCAGCCGGAGAGGATATAGTTCATAAGGGTTAGTATCCAGCAGGCGCCGATGGCGTAGTACGTGCCAATATAGGTGCAGATAGTGAGCTTCTTGGGGAAATGGATGCCCGAGGACAAGAACTTGCGAAACAGGGGAGTGACGGGACCGCGGGTAGGCCAATATCTCAGGGGGTGAAATAGCAATTCATTGCAACCGTAAGCGTACTTTTCCCATCGGGATAGTTCGTCGTATACGGTCAAAGAGACGCCTTCCTGGAAGCCATCCCCGGTGTAAGACGCAAATCTAAGCTCGTAACCGGCACATTGGAGTTGGAGGGACATCTCGAAATCCTCTGACACGTGCGACTCGGACCAGAACTTCTCGTAGCCATCCTCGTCTTTGTACGCGGTGGCATCCTGAATGGCAGACCACCGGAGCATAGCATTGTGGCCAACAAAGGGGCAAGCATCACCATTCGCCACAACGAAAGTGATGGCGGTATAGATGAGATTAGTGAACCACGTTACACTGTTATGTGTATTAGTATACGCCAATTTCATGTTTGGGGGGATTATTATTGACTCACCCTCCCTCGAAGAAAGACGCCGTCACTCGCATGACTCCAGATGTGAACTGCAATATAGCTACCTGAGGTGACTGCTCCATCTCGCTGACGGCATCTAACAGGCAATCTTCTGGGACACGAGTATCAGAGTCGATAATCAGGATATAGTCGCCGATACGGATATTTCCCTCTGCCCAAGTCCGGCCGTTGTCTTCGCGCAGGACTGCCGCAAGGCATTGCTCATAAGCAACATATTCGTCATCCTGAGTCCAATTCTCGTGTCTTGGAACCAGCACTAGTTTGTCCTCGACGCGATTACTTATCATCATGGCGTAGTTCATGTTAGACGCTTTCTTGAACTTACCACGCCGGAGAAACGGTCGGCTTCCATCCTCCGGTTTGGGGTTGTGCTTCGGTCGAGAGACCCAGCCGATGTTGCTCTCGTCGTAGAAATCTCGTCGGGCTTGGGCTTCTTCTTCCGGGATGAGCTGCATGCCATCGTCGTTCACAAAGATATTAGCAGAACCGCCTTGTAACTCGTACGTCGAGATACACCGCATAAGCGATTGAACAGTCGGCATAATTACACCCCTCAGGCCCTCTTTGTACACGGGCATCTGGATGGTGACATGGGGGAGAGTGCAGACCTCCCGGTTGAGTCGCTTTGGGGACTTGCCGGAATAGAACCTTGAGTTTCTTTGGACGGCAGATATAGGCCCAATTGTTTGGTAGATGTTGGTGACCAGCGATTGGAAAAAGAACATAGCCACCCACATCTCAATCGGGATCACAGCAGCAAGTGCCAGTCGTGCCCACGACCCATCAGTTGCGATTTCATATGCAAGAGACCTCAGACCAAGTCCCATGCATGTTATGCAAAGGGCTAGGGTCACGGCCACAATGAATGGGCTGCCGAGTTTGGTCGCCCTTATCTCAGCTTCGGTTGCCGCCTCTAGATCGATTACGGTTGAGTCTACTTCAGTTCCTTGCCCAGACTCACCCTTTTCTTCCTTTTCTTCCTTTTCTTCCTCTTGCTCATTCTCCTCATCACCTGGGCCCCAAATCATCCTCATTAATTGTCTTTCTAGAGCATCTGCTCTTGCTAGAACCTTCTTGGGCTCATCATCCCACACGACGAGGATCTGTGTGTCTTGGATAAATGCAGCAAAGTGGTGCTTTTGGCACCGGGGCAACTCGCGAATACTAGGGAGTACTTGCAGGCGGAGGTTATCAGAAAGCGGAATATAATTATGTGTTGTTCTCCTCGAGGAGAGTATAACGTTAATCACTCTGGTGTTCACCGTCATAGCGCACTGCAAGATCATTTAGCACTCTGTTTCGTTTCTTGGGGAAGAGGTTTATACAAACCCGAACGTTGAGTTCCATGGTCATGTCATATAGACTGTTAGGAGTATCTCGAAGCAGTGGTGGACAACACGTATAGTTGTTCCTTCCCTTCTTCAGTACCACGCCTTCTCCGGGCAGCAAACCGGATGAATATTGTCTTTCCAGCTGTTGCTGGTATAGCCAACTACACGCAACGTCTGCCTTGACATCGATTATGCTTTCTCGAGCATTTCGAAAATCCCCCGTGGGGTATATTGAACTTGGGCAAGTGGATGCTGGCCGTGGTATTGGTGGTGATGGTACCGACCGCGGTATCCCCTCCAGTGTTTCCTGTGGTAAGTGCAGAAATATTGGGGGTGATGTCGATGGAGTGATTGGTCCCTGAATAGGCAGTGGTTCTGGCAATGGTTCTGGCAGTGGTTCTGGCAGTAGATCCGGCAGTAGCTCTGGCAGTAGCTCTGGCAGTAGCTCTGGCCATGGTTCTGGTTGTGGCTCTGGCTGCGGTTCTGGTTGTGGCTCTGGCTGCGGTTCTGGCTGCGATGACAGTTTTTCCAATTGCAAACCATATGGACTTCTTGGTACTGCTATGCCCGGAGCTAGGCCAGAAGAGAGAACCGAGACACGCGCGGTGGGCTTCTGGACGCTTGGAATTGTTAATTTAGGCTCTTCCACTGGCTTCCTGTCGTTTTCCCTAACTTCCTCCTTCTTGACGTGGCCAGGAGCGAAGTACGACTTAAGGAAACCCATCCTGGCAGGTCGTGCAAATCAAATGAAAATGATTCCCACTCCCATCCACGACGGCTTCCCACGTGGGGTATGAGATGAGGGAAGCGAAAGAGTAATTCGCTTCACAAGCGGCTGAGACAAGAAGTTTCAGATCGTGGACAGGATAACAAGTCTGTGAAGGGCATGCGGGACGACGAGGTCTATAGCATTTACGCTCATCACACCATGACCCTCAAAGGTGATCTCAACTAGTAGCCGCAAGTGGCGTAGCCAGAAGTTGATCGGAAATGGTTATCAACGCGTACAGTCAATATTGATAAAAGCCTCGAAGAGTTGAGTAAAAGATCCGAAGCCACCAAATATATCCCACGATAATAACGAAGGAATTGTCCATACAGCACTCTTCTATACTAGGATTGCGAAGCCAAACCCCCACCCGGAAAGTCAATAGCACGCCGTAAGGCCGCTAATACGGGAGTATGTGGGTGCACGCACCGGCTGACGAGGCGTTGGTAAGTAACATTATGGATGGGAGGGTTGCTGCAAAGGGGATCTAGTCGCAAGGGGTCGTAAGCCTGGCCCATGATAGCCCGTAGCTCGAGGCCGGGCCTATCCAACAACACGGCATATTATTATGGCCAGGTGTAAATTGCGAGGGTTTGCTTGGGATTTTGCCTTCCTGATATCTAACAAGGGCTACAGGTGTGCATAAGCGATCCAGTAGTTCTTCCTCATGGGGGCCTGAACAATATGATTTAGCCATAAGTGCAACTCTACTGTGCAGCAGAAGCAAACTCCTTTGCTTATGCCCCCGATCCCGCATCATGAAGAAGTAGGTATTGACTCTACCATAATACTATTTAGGTCAAGGTTGTGTTAATGAACGTTCAAGAGACTAATAAGAAAAGTTGAGAATTCCAGTGATGCCCATAGCATCCATATTTTCTTTACGGAACCAGGAAGAGTCGTTGGTAAGGGTTAAACATTGAACTGAGAACTAAAAAGTAGTTATGTACAATGTAGAAATCAGAGTGACAAAATGGCAGAGTGGGTGGCCGGCAAGGGTTACAATTCAGGTCAATACGAGAGCACTTTCCCTCTCTGCATTTTCTATGACTTTGATAAGCTCCCATCTACGAGACCCATATTTTTCCATGTGGAAGGTGGCACCGTGATAGATACACTAGCTCCCGGCTAGCGGCTCGCTTGGGGTTCTTTGACAAGCTATTTAGAATAATTTTAGTACCTACTGTACCTATGTATTACCTGAGTCTAGGATCGCTTAGCTAACCTACCTAAGGTTAACTTAGTGTACAATACAGGTCCTACACATGTAGTACCTAGGAGCTACTCTAATAGTTCCGTTCGGCTCTGGCCGCCGAACAAAGCTTTATTAACGACTGAACGTCGAGATAAATGATGACTTACTACCTACCAAAATAACTACATGTAGGTGGACAATTGTGATATATCTTCTGACACATCATTAGTAAAACTTTACTAAGGAGGGACGAGTTAAATGTAAAGTTTTACTTAATAAAATCGTGTTGTGGAGCCGTGCCTATGAGTGAAAAAAAAAGCTCGGGCCCGTTCCTTGCAACAATTGATAAGATAAGCCTATGAGTGAAAAAAAAAGCTCGGGCCCGTTCCTTGCAACAATTGATAAGATAAGCCTATGAGTGAAAAAAAAACCTCGGGCCCGTTCCTTGCAACAATTGATAAGATAAGCCTACGAGTGAAAAAAAAAGCTCGGGCCCGTTCCTTGCAACAATTGATAAGATAAGCCTATGAGTGAAAAAAAAAGCTCGGGCCCGTTCCTTGCAACAATTGATAAGATAAGCCTATGAGTGAAAAAAAAAGCTCGGGCCCGTTCCTTGCAACAATTGATAAGATAAGCCTATGAGTGAAAAAAAAAGCTCGGGCCCGTTCCTTGCAAAAACTGATAAGATAAGGAGCTGAGCCTCCACAGCCTCAATTCAGCCACTTTCCATTCAATTCCATCCATTCAGTTCCATTCTTAATAATCAAAGCTGACTAATCCAATCCATCTTTTCTAATTCTTCCATTCCGACTTCTTCTTTTCAACTTTTTTCCATTCAATCCATTTGATCCATTTAATCCATTTAATCCATTTAATCCATTTAATCCATTTAATCCATTTAATCCATTTAATCCATTTAATCCATTTAATCCATTTAATCCATTTAATCCATCTTATTAATCATCTTCAACACCACCACCTAAATCAAATATTTCAAGAAATATTTGAAATAATTGATTTACATGGTGGTGTTGAAGGTGGTGTGGAAGGTGGTTTGCTGGATTTGGGGGCTGAAAAGCGATGCACCCAATCAATCAATCAACAGCTTGAAAAGTTGGCTCCAAACGTTTCACTTTTTACTAGCGGCTCAATAGGTCCAGATTTGAGCCAATAGGATGGCTTCAATTTCAATAGGCTTACTAGCGCTTAGTTTGCCTAACTGTTTGCCTTGGATGGTTGGGGTACGTACTGATGGAGCGTGCTCTAGACCGGTCTATATAAGGGCTCTCAACCCCCAAGCTGTTGTAATTCTTTTCTTCCTCCTTTCAACCACCTCTCAGGTTTCAAGAGCTTTTCAAGAGCCACACAGCCTCAACCCAGTTGATCCATTCAATTAATGGCTGATGCACCCATTCCGAGGCGGGTTGGCCGGCCCCGGAATGCTGCGCTGCCGCCGCTGCTGCCGTGACCTGCTCCAGGAGAGCTTTCAGAGCTTTCGGGAGGGTTTATCCCTGACGCTAACATGTGCCATCAGCCGTAAATCCCCTCTGGGGCAGTCCCATCGCCGCAAGCGGTCCTCAAATACACCCGGCCTCCGACAACCGGCTTTCCTCCGAGCCTCCCTCCTATACCCATAAATCCCCCCAATCCGACAATTTCTCCCCATCCGGCCAAGCCGATTCCAGCCCTAACACCTGTAAGTCCCGGCGCATGGGTTGATCTAGGCTTAGTAGATGGGGCCACTTGATATTCTCAACAATATCACGTGGCCTGGAGGTAAGTATAATTTACTCTTTTCACGTTTGAGTCCGGTCGGTCCATTACGCCGGTATTCCGACCATCACGTGAGTACCACGTAATCCATGCCAAAGGAACGCGTCGTCACTCCCGTGATTATTATGTAATTGGTGTCTGAAAGGAACCTACCGTTACGTGATTGTTATGTAACTATTGCCTTACGTGAAAGAAAGTGCCTACTCAAACTGGCCAATGGCTGGCTTTTAATTGGGTTAAACATTTGGGTGATTTGAACCTGTTTTCCTTTTCGAGCGGAGCGAGCAGCACTCCGCAGGAGCCGCCGGAGGCATGATTACATGTTTAGTGTTTTAAAAAATAAAAAAAATTAAGAAATAGTACTTAAAATCAAAATTGTTGCGGAGCGACGATTTTCCAGATATCAAATTAGTAAAGTTTTACTAATTTAAATTGCTTGCAATTTGCCGGGTATTTTAGTTGATTTCACCCATCTTTATTCATGTTCCGTCAATGCTTTTCACTTCTTCATCCTTGACCTGCTCGATGATACAGTAAGAATGAACCGAAGGACTTTCTCTCACCTGAGTATACAGTAGTTCGACGCCCGCTGCAAGGGCCACACACCTATGTCCTTCCCTAGCTCAGCTCTGCATACGACCGTTATCTCGCGTGGCAGCAAGCCATTCGTCCATCCGAAATCTCGCATACTACCTTCTCATCGGCCATACATTGAGCTTCAGCTTGTTGATGTCGTGCATACTATTGATTTATGGGCTGAAAATCGTTGGTTCCCAACTGAGCAAACACAACAGTCTTTGACGAAGTCTAGACCAGACTACCATTATATTAAGCCGGTGGCACTGAATAAATCAACTGCGTATGTGTATCATAGAACGAAAATTAGAAAGTGCTAGGACCCATTCAGCGACTTATCTACAACCTTCGAATTCAAAGTCCTTAAAGTTGGTCATAGCCCGGCTTATGGGAAAATGATCAGCTGCTTTGTTATCTGACATTACCGCGCGTCAAGGCAGTCGGAATTCTTGGTTGATGACGGCGCCAATGATTCGCTTGCAAATATTTTGGGAATGGACCATATCCCCCGAGCATACATTCGTCAAACTAAATAATGGTCTTGTTGTAAATATCGAGGGTCGATTTCAGCAGATTCAAGAAAGCTCCATATCGTTAAGCCCTGGTGAGAACGGGGCTTCGCTATCTGCGGTTAGGACATATGGGTTGAGTAAAAAGAACGTTGGCAATTGAGACCTGAGTGTCCCGCCCCGAATTCGCTTGAGGATATTCGTTCCATTGCTTTCTCAAACCCGGCCGACCAGTCAGGAACGCAAAAAAGCAATTTTAGATATCGTGAGGGACGACGCCACAGTAGTGCCAAGTAGCACTTTGTCAGGCCTCAACGATAACCCATACACTGTCCGTATACATTTTCCTTCGTACTCGATAAATGATCCATGTATCTCGGTGCCTTCTCGCCAGTCTAGATAAACCAAAATAAAACTGCAGTTCTATTTTTCTCGGGCCTGAATATTTCGGCCTTTCAACGGGAAGATCAATCACAAGAGGAAGCTTGGCGCGGATTGCCATGGATAAGATGACATAGCCTCTAAATACCCCACGTACACGCACCCGCTGCCTGAGGTTGGCACTTTTTATTCTTTGGAGCATGCGTATGTACTGTAACTCCCAAGGACGTATCCCCGCCGATCCGCTTCGTTCCGGCCCGCTCCGGCCCCGGTCTGCCAGATCAGTGCCGAAAACACTGACCCCATATGGCACAACTAACCAGGTAACTCTAGTAAGTGGGGGGTTATTTTTTCCATATCACTGATTCCATAACTTTAATTTATCGAGGTTATCAACGATATGATCGAGGTTATAGATTTGATCCTAGTATATAAGCTTTGGAGCCCTTGGCTTTTATCTAAAGTGTAGGATCTGCGTAGTACTGAATTTTTCAAGTTGAAACTTACAATATAGTAGTAATTAATATTTGTGAACTAGATGAAACCTCGGGTAAGGCCATTATGACCTGGAGGCTGTCTATAAGACAATAACTTTACCAAGAGTTCAACAATGCTTTCTTTTCTTCAATGCATGATGAGGCCCAAGCTGTTGGAACCAAGTAGACGATTATGGAAGAGCTAAACTTTGAAAATACTGGGCCGTCCTGCTAATAGTGGGAATGTAAACTGGAGGCCGCAGAAGAGGTGGACTGGTGGAGTCTTCTATCACATCTATGTTCGACTCATGACGTGACATCTTAAAAGTTGGGTCAGACAAGCTTAATCGAGTTTTTTCCTTGGTGTGGATCGGCAAACAAAGACAACAGATGCCCAAGTGGACAGGTAGTTATGTACATAGCTAGATAGATAGTTGAAGCCTCCAAGCCGTCTTTATGTTGTTAGTACAGTAGGTATCAATATTGATATGTGCATATAACAAATAAGAAATTCTGCGTCTTTACTCCGACTTCGTGTTACCATAATACCAGCCGGAATAAAATCCATTAGATATGCACCGATAAGCTTAAACCTTTTATGCCATTATCAAGAGGTGGGGTGTCACGTCATTGTGCAGTCTAAAAAAGGGTCAAAAGACCCTTAAAATCGAATTTTTAATTGGTGACTAATGTTGAACCAGAAAACTGACGGAGTTTCTGTACTTACCATGTACATCCTGGAATGTAGATACTATTCGAAATTTGAGTCTTTAACGACACGATTTGAATAGAAAATTAGGTATATTCAATGTTCAACTCAGGGTCTACATATATATACATAATATTATGCGTGCATATAGCCAGGTACCTATGCAACATAATAAACATATTCATGGATGGCATTGGATGGCATTGGATGTATCTGAGAAATGCAAGGAACGGTGGTTTGTTGGGACACGGGGGGAAAGTTCAAATTGAATAATTTTAATAATAGAATTGAAAGGGTGTGATTGCCTCACATATGTACGGTAATGTACCTGACTGATTTCTTTTAGGGTATTGAAAGTGGACACGTGCTTTCTCTTTGTGTGTGGTCAATCAAAGTCAATTGGACGAATGCAATTGGATTCAATTGAGTGGAGGTTCTAATAAGTGCCCCAGGTGGTTTAACTACCTACCCTCATAGTGCCTGCCTGAGTCTGCAGTCTCTGCTACCTACTCAACCTTTAGTTCAAAGCATCTGACATCATCTTCCCCCCAATAGTTGCTTATCTTTCGGTGATATTCTACATATGTATGTATCCATATAAGACGAGCTTCTCTTTCTCTCAACCATATCATTATTATCATACCTACCTCCCATCCACCAATTCCAACCTACATACATAACTACTACTTACTTATCAACGTATGTAGTTCTCTACCTACCTCAAGTTTACCTATAGACCTCTTAGTGCTATCAACTCAACCCCTTTATCTTATACTAAACCCTTCGTCTCTACTCTAGAGAACTAAAGCATTTATAATTTTGGCCTTGAAGCGCTATCAATCTTCCATCCAACACTCAGCCGTAGTTGGTCATCCCTTGTGACCCCCGAAGGCGCAAGGATCATTGACTGGTCTGTTCGTTGTGCTTCTTCTTTATTCCCCTGTCACAGGTGGCGGTCACCGACGAACGCCTCACTCACGATCCCCGCGTTTGGTTGTATTACACTGCACTATTTAATCCCTCGATTATCAATCCCCTACATATCTACCCAACCTTCCTCTTACCCCATTGAAGCTATTGTGACGAGAGAAACTACCCACAAGTTGATATCCATTCACACCTAAAATTTACTGGGCTTGCTGACCTCGACGACCAAACTAAAAGAACCTCCGAATTCGCTGCTAGCCCTACCTCGAACCACAATCCGGTGTTCTAGCGTCGTGTCCCGTACTCCTTTTTAGATTCATCACCTCTCACGTCACCCACGAATTGCATCATCTACCATCTATGGCCGATTTACTAACGCCGGGTTTTGCGAAAGCCCCCCGGCACGATAGTAGAGACACACCTCGTAGCGGAAGTGAGGACCTCGGCATTTTCGACGATGCTAGAACTTACTACTCCTCCGATGCTCGCCATGGAAATAGATTCCACAATAGGAACCGCACATATTCCCAAGTACGTATATCGGCCTCGTGATTGCCTATGGGTCGCCCAGCAATTACGACAATTCTTAGGACACTGGCTAAACCAAGTTTAGAATGGCATAGTTCAGGAAATAGGTCGCATGGGACTGCACGAACCTCATAGACGGGGTAGTCATGGTATGAGCACATCCCCACTGAATCCAAAAGAGTACAACTGAACAAAGGCTAATGGGGCCCTTTTTTTCGCATAGATGAATCTAGTCGTCCGCACAATCGCCAATTCCTCGTCGACGTCGAACATACGTTAGAAAGCTTGCAGGCTCAAGAAGATACAGATGGCAACATGCAAATTACCATTGAGGATGCTGGTCCTAAGGTAAGTCGACCCCATGATAGTATAACTGCTTTCTTTTAGTTCTAAAACATTCTACTAGGTAATGGCCCTACGAACTGCCGCATCCGGTGGGCACAATCGATTTGATATCAGAGGGACATATATGCTTTCTAATCTGCTGCAAGAGTTGTATATGGCTAAGGAGTTTGGGCGGAAACGTATCATCCTTGATATTGGTCGACTCAATGAGAATCCAGTTAGCAGGTTATCTAGACTCATCAAGAATCAATTTTGGGAGGGCCTAACCCGTCGTATCGATGCCTCAAGCATCGAAATTGCAGCAAAAGATCCTAAGGACTGGACGAGCGACCCTCGCCCTCGTATCTATGTTCCCCCAGGTGCTCCCGAACAGTATGAGTACTACCAAAAGCTTGCTCGGGAACGGCCAGAAATTCGACTAGATGTTCTGTACTTGCCTGAGAAGATCACACCCGAAGTGCTGCGAGATATGAATGCGAAGCCCGGACTCCTTGCTGTTGCTATGGAAGAAGTTATTGACCCAAAGACTGGAGAAAAGGATTTGCGTGGGCTTCCGTTTGTAGTTCCTGGAGGGAGGTTCAACGAATTGTACGGATGGGATAGTTATATGGAATCCCTTGGACTCCTAGTCAGCGACAAAGTACACCTAGCCAAAGCGATGGTCCAAAATTTCTGCTTCTGCATTAGACACTACGGCAAAATCCTCAATGCGACTAGGTCCTATTACCTATTGCGATCACAGCCACCCTTTCTAACAGACATGGCGCTTCGAGTATACGAGAAGATTCAGCACGAGCCTGGAGCAGTTGATTTTCTTCGGACGGCCATCCTCGCTGCAATCAAAGAATACTATTGCGTATGGACGGCAGAGCCGCGATTGGATACCAAGTCGGGCTTGTCAAGGTACCGACCAGAAGGGCTAGGTGTGCCGCCAGAGACGGAAGCCTCCCACTTTGTTCATATTCTGGAGCCGTACGCCGAAAAACACGATATGAGCTTCCAAAAGTTTGTGAAGGCGTATAACTATGGCGAGGTGCACGAGCCAGAATTGGACGAGTACTTCCTTCATGATCGAGCAGTGCGGGAGTCTGGCCACGATACTTCGTACAGACTGGAAAAGGTGTGCGCCAACCTCGCAACGATCGATCTCAACTCGTTGATTTACAAGTATGAAATGGACATAGCTCGCACTATCCGCAATGTGTTTGGTGATAAGTTGGAAATACCGGAGGAGTGGTGCGCTGGAACAATGGTGCCTGGTCAAATCGAGACCTCGGCTATCTGGGACCGTCGCTGGAAGAGGCGACGAGCAGCAATTCATAAGTATTGCTGGAATGAAGAGGAGGGCATGTATTTCGATTACGACACGGTTAAGCAAGAGCAATGTACTTACGAGTCCTGCACAACCTTCTGGCCGCTCTGGGCTGGAGTACCAGACCCTGAGAGAGCCGCCAAGGTAGTCAAGTGTGCCGTGCCGAAATTTGAAGCATATGGCGGTCTCCTATCTGGAACTGAGAAGTCACGTGGCGCTGTCAGTCTAGAGCGACCGAATCGACAGTGGGACTACCCTTACGGGTGGGCACCTCAACAGATGCTGGCCTGGACGGGTCTATATCGCTACGGATATGCGGACCTTGCTCAGAAGCTGGCGTACAAGTGGCTATTCATGGTCACGAAAGCGTTTTTTGACTTCAATGGTGTTGTTGTAGAGAAGTACGATGTCACGCGGCCCGTCGACCCTCATCGAGTAGATGCCGAGTACGGAAACCAAGGACTCGACTTTAAAGGTGTCGCTAAAGAAGGGTAAGTAAAGAAGAATCGCGAATAACTCTTAAGTTATATTTCAACGTGAAACTAACATGGTGTATCTAGGTTCGGCTGGGTTAATGCCAGCTACGTATACGGCCTCCAGTTCATCAACACGGAGATGAAGAGAGCCCTTGGCACGCTTACACCGTACGAGACGTACGAAAAAGCCCAGCAACTGAAGGAAGAGAAATTACTCAGGGAATTGAAATAAATAACTGGCTTTTTTGCATGGGGGCGGTGTTACTTCTGCTACTTACTTGACAAGGGCATCCTGCTTCTGCGTTGATACGTCTTTACAGCAATCATATAATGATTACGAACAGGCAAATTGCATGGTAAGGCTGGGTTAGAGAAAGCAGAGGCTCGAGCCTGGACCAGTATAGTATCATTTGAGGCGATGAATACCTAAGTATTGTTTAAGTCATAAATAAGTTCGATGTGTTAATAGTAACAAAGCCGGTGATCTAGTAATGGTCTAGTAACGGTTGGGGTTTTAAGGGTTTAGTTAGTTATATCAGTTATCAAATAGTAAAAAATAAAAATAAGAATCCATCTATGAATATCTATGCACCTATAGTATTAGTGGTTATCAAACTACGATCTTCGCACGTGGGACAACTACTATGTAGGTAGGTAGATAAATATAGGAGGTAGTTACATAGGTGTAGGTAAATAAGGAAGCCGAGGTCTAAGAGAGTCCTAGTGGCTAAGGACTGATAATGCCGGGTGAGAACGGAGTCAAGGAGAACTATTGAATGTAGTAATTATGGTACATACTATATCCCTTGTGCATGTTTGTTCCATAATTCATCCAGTCGTATCTTCACATGCCAACATCATTGATTCAAACATGTACTTCGTAGGTGCCTCTAGGTATGTAGGAATATAACGTCATTGTCAAACCACCAAAGAGAACTAACCTTAAAAATCCCCAATCCTTAATCCCGGCCCCCTCATATTCTATGAAATACCACAAAAATTGCGGGGGACCAGGGGGTGTGGTCTGGTCGTTGGATCGACCTAAGGAGGATCTATGTAACTACTAGCTTTGTGTAAGAACATTGAGCCTTAGAAACTCTAGTCTAACAACTCTAACTCGGTAATTCGGCCAATGACGGCAATCCAGAATCCATTCTAGACCACTTTGTCCCTTTAAGCCGAGCAGCCGCATTTTTGCAGACGTCAGAAGCTTAAAGCTTTCTCCCCCAGAAATCACCATGTGCATATGTCAGTTCCGAGGTGCGCCGGCCAAATGCTAAGAAGACCCGACCTGGGTTTAAACAACCAATGATCAAAATATGCCAGTCCCGTAGCTATTGCTGGTCTTATCTAACTTGGGTACCTTGGCCCTGCATCCTAACCTAAGTACCTAGGATAGGTATGTGTAGGTATGTCGGTAGGTAGGTATACATGCTTCTTCACATACCTCAACTACCTGCCTCCTTACCTACCTATATCAAAGTTGCACTTATCGAGGGTAGGTAACCTATGATGAAACCCAGGATAGCCGCTTGCCCGATCACTGCCGAGCATTCGATGCCCGTGTCAGCGATGTGCTATGAGCCGGCTGTGCTGTTACTATTACTCGTCCAGCTGTCCGTCTTCTGCATCCGTGATTCAGAACTCTTCCTTTGTTAATAAACGTTTCACACCCCTCTATCTATTCATTGTTTGTCCATTCTAACCATCCCGGTTACTTCCCTTTGGCTTATCCATCCCTAGATCTATCTACATAATTCAGGAGTAATCTATATACACGTTACACATCCTATCCTACCCCATCCCATTGATTCGGGCACAAAGAAACGTCCGTCTCATAGCTGCAATACGATATATCAAATATCAGGATACCCCAACTTGGCTCACATATCATCCCTATTAATCAGGTAACCTTCATCGTGCTCCAATTGTCTTGCCCATCATGGCGTCGAACAACATGATCAATACGGCCGTGGACCCTAATATTGAAGATGACCTATTCGCAAAGGAGGTAGCAGCGGTTCAGAAGTGGTGGAGTGAACCGAGATGGAGAAACACAAAGCGGCCCTTCACCGCGGAGCAAATCGTCTCCAAGAGAGGCCATCTCCCGATCCAGTACCCAAGCAACGCACAGTCCAAGAAGTTATGGAACATCTTAGAAAACCGCTTCAACAATCACGACGCTAGCTATACCTATGGATGTCTCGAGCCCACAATGGTCACACAAATGGCCAAGTATCTTGATACTGTCTACGTCTCCGGCTGGCAATCGTCTTCGACCGCCTCTTCGTCTGACGAGCCCGGTCCGGATTTGGCTGACTACCCATACGTAGGTCTTTTATTTCACTTATTTGCGACTACCCATGAATTTATATACTGACAAGAAAAGACCACGGTACCAAACAAAGTCAAGCACCTCTTCATGGCACAGCTCTTCCACGACCGTAAGCAACGGCAAGAACGTCTAAGCGTGCCCAAGGCTGAACGTGCAAAATTGGCCAACATTGATTACCTACGACCCATCATCGCCGATGCAGACACAGGTCATGGTGGGCTAACGGCAGTGATGAAACTCACTAAGCTATTCATCGAGCACGGGGCTGCTGGAATTCACATCGAAGACCAGGCACCTGGTACTAAGAAATGTGGGCATATGGCGGGCAAAGTACTGGTACCCATCAGCGAGCACATCAACCGTCTCGTAGCAATTCGAGCGCAAGCCGATATCATGGGCACAGACTTATTAGCTATTGCGCGTACCGATGCCGAAGCTGCAACGCTTATCACGACAACCATCGACCACCGAGACCACGCTTTCATCCTAGGCAGCACAAACCCGCAGCTACAGCCACTCAATGACTTGATGGTGGCAGCGGAGCGCACAGGAAAGACGGGCGACCAGCTACAAGCTATCGAAGACGCATGGATCAAGCAGGCAAGCCTGAAGCGTTTCGACGAGGCCGTAGTCGACGCTATCAACGCCGCGCCGTCTCTGCCCAATAAGAAGGATCTGGTGGCCAAATATCTATCCCAATCTAAGGGCAAGAGTAATGCCGAGGCACGCACCATCGCACAAGGCATCACAGGCGTAGATCTATACTTTGACTGGGATGCGCCGCGGACACGTGAGGGTTACTATAGACTGAAGGGCGGATGTGATTGTGCCATTAACCGTGCCATTGCGTATGCCCCATACTGCGATGCCATCTGGATGGAGAGCAAGCTGCCGGATCACAAACAGGCAGAGGAATTTGCTCAGGGTGTGCATGCTGTTTGGCCTAACCAGAAGTACGTTTTATATTCCCTTATCCTCCTACCCCTTCTAATACCTATTATTCTTTAAAGACAATACTAACTGATCACAATCATTAGACTAGCATATAACCTCTCCCCGTCATTCAACTGGAAGGCCGCAATGCCGCGCGAGGAGCAGGAGACGTACATCCGACGACTGGCGTCTCTAGGATACTGCTGGCAGTTCATCACGCTGGCAGGCTTACACACGACGGCCTTGATCAGCGATAAGTTCGCAAAGGCGTACGCGCGCGACGGTATGCGCGCGTACGGCGAGCTGGTCCAGGAGCCAGAGATGGAGTCGGGAGTCGACGTGGTGAAACACCAGAAGTGGAGTGGTGCTACGTATGTCGATGAGCTGCAGAAGATGGTCACGGGTGGTGTGAGTAGCACGGCGGCGATGGGTAAGGGCGTCACGGAGGACCAGTTTCATTAAGTGGTAGTGGTGCTGGGGAGTGTGTAGGTAGACATCTAGGTTACCATGGATGAGGACAGCCTAAGGTAGTCGCTCGAAGTTACTCTGGTATGATAACGGAGAAGCCGGTTCAAAACGCTGGTATATATATTGCGATTGCTAGGTATTAAGGCGTGCTTTATTTATGAAATTGTAAATGCAAGAATAAAAAACTATGAGTCTTTATTTCCCCCTTTTTCATTTCCTCCCCAAAGTGAGCGTGAGAAAGGGACTAACCTAGGTAAAAGCTCTCTTATTAGAAGAAAGTAACCTAGACCAAATGATGCCCAATATAATAATCCCTAAGACTTGGTTGGTTACCTATACATGCCTAAACATTTGCGACTCGGCGTTGAACAAGTGGAAAATAAATAGAATTATAATAAAAATTCAAACTCTTCTGGTTATAGAATAACAAATACAGCTAGGTTACCTAGGTAACTAGGTAGGTAAGGCATGCCTGGTGGTAGGTAACAGAAAACGACAGACACCCACTCAATAAGGCGCCCCAGCCTTCCTATCCCTCCCGTGCTTTCTCTTGAGCCACGGCCGCGTCCACGACTTCCACCTCCCAATGCGCTGCTGCTGCCGTTCATACCTCTCCTGCCTTTCCCGCTCCTCCTCCTGCTCCTGCTGGTAGCTACAGTGACGGCGGGCACCAGACGCAGCTTGCCGCCGCTGGTGGTTCAGCCACCTCGCCTTCAGACACTCCTTCCCGAGCTGCGGGAACAGGAGGTCGATGTTCAGGCCGGTCTTGGCGGACGTCTCGAAGAAGGCGCAGCCGCTTGCGTTGTTGTTGCTGCCGATGCCGATGCCGGCGCCGGCGCTCGAGGGGAAGCTCTGCGCGAGGCGGTAGCCTTCGGCCCAGGTTACCTCGCGCTCCTTATCGCTGGGCAGTAGTGGTAACTCGGGGTTTGCGTGACTGCTGCTGCTGTTGTTGCTGCTGTTGTTGATGGCAGACGAGGAGGATGAGGCGTCGTCGGCGTGGGTGCCGACGAGGACGAGGCCGTACACGCGGTCGCCCCCGTTTCCGTTTCCGCTTCCAGGGGTGAGGAGGAGCAGCTGCTCGAGCAGGGCGTAGACGCCGACGACGAAGTCGAAGGAGGCGCGCGAGGTGACGTCGTAGACGAGCAGGGCGGCCTCGGTGATCTGCACGGCCTGCGAGATGTGCGCGCGGCTCCAGAGGTGCCAGAGCGGCAGCTCGAGGGCGTTGAGGATGTATGGCTGCGCGTCGAGGGCCATGCGGTGGTGGTACCCGCGCTCGGTTTCGAGGACTTTGGAGGGAGGGGGGGTGCGGCGGGGGTGCGGGTGCGGGTGAGGGTGAGTTTCGGGGGGGGAGAAGGTGTTGTTGCAGAACTGGGATGAAGGGTTAGGTTAGGTTAGGTTAGGTGGCACGGTGGGTTGGAATACGATGGGATGGTGGTGGTGGTGGTGGGGGTGGTACGGTAACATACCCTCTCAAGTATCGCCGTCTTCCCACATCCTTTATCTCCCAGGACCAGAACCATGAACTGGCCCACGGGTGGTTCTGGGGTGCAGACTTGCTCTCGCGCGATCTCTTCTGGCTCATGGTCGTGGTTGTCATGTATCTGGCTGTCAGGTGTCTGGTTGTTGTTGATGAAGTTGTTATCGTCGTTGCTGCTGTCGTCAGGATCCCATGACAGCAGAGCTCGGTAGTATGGGATTTCCTCCTCGGAGAAAACCGTGTGGTCCGCCATGGCCATCGTCTCTTCCGCCGTAAATAACAGCAAATAGGAGAAGGATGGTTACGAGGATGATAAATGAGCACATGGAAGAAGAAAGGGGGAGACATTTAGGGGTGAGCTGGGCGAAAATACAAGAACACCATCAAAGTGCGGTGCGCGCAAGTACTAGCTTTGCCCATTTCTAGGTAGCTTTCCAATAAGTATTAGGTATTACGAAGAGGTTATATTGTATTACTCGAAGACCACATTTATTTTGCGGAGTGGTGCATTACACGGCGACGAGAATGGGCAATTCCCGTAGTGTATTGTAATATGGAATTGAGGCTATCGAAGGTCACAAATGATGCGCTCTTGTACACCATTAACCTAGTATGTATATAGTCGCTTGTCATTGCTACTTAAGTGTGTAGGTAAGTAAGTATATTATGAGGGTTTAAATGAATGCACGAACATCAATGCTGGTGAAGGTATCGCCAACTTTTAATATCGGGCGATGACAGAGCCAATCTCATTTGTGGCGTTTTCCCGAGATGCATTACCTAGTAGTCTGCGCACGTTGTAAGTACTAATATAGTACGACGCCATCTCGATTATATCTATGCAGACGTATAAGAGTTCTACTGCTTTCTTTAGTTCACAAATTAGATGAATTCAAACATGAGATAAGTTTATATTATACACCTACATTCCTATTTATCTATCTGAGAGGTAAGCAAATAGTATAGTTCAATGATGCGGTTGTAGAAAGCGGGAATCGTGGGACCTCCTTACCCCCTCTCCTCTTCCTTCTATCCTCCTAGCTCTGCTATCGGCTGCCTAGTACTTAGCCCACACAGCTGAGCTGAAGCTGGCGCCATTTGGGCGGCTTGGGGTTTCTAGGTCCTTGGCACCTGAAAGTCGACGAAAATCAAGATGGATTAAGAGGGTATTTTCCCTCTTCTCTTACTCTTTAGTTTCTTCGCTATGCCTCCTGTTACTTTTCTGACCTTCTAATTATCCACGTGGTGGATATTTTGGTAAAAGTTGTGTCTATATTGTCTATAGTCAGCTCCACTAGGTAACCTACTGTAGGTACCTACAAATATACTGGCCAATAAGTTCAAGTATAATCTTTTCGAAAGCAAACTTTCTCTCTCAAAGCTCAAATTATAACGGCCTTTTGCGCAACGCACTGTGTCTACTCTCGTTGGAAAACTAGTACGCAAGCAAGTAAGCACGAATTTGGTTCTGCCGTAGGATGAATCCTATCACCTCCGGCAGTTCCTAGGGACAGCTATAGCTAAAGCTACCTACCTACCTGTAACCCAGAGGATACAGGGTCATTAGATCAGATCGTCGGTCGTTTCAATAGTCGAATGCAGTGTACCTACCTAGGTGCCCAGTAGGTATACTGAAAGGGCCCGTGGGTATATATGATGCAACCCAATAACAATAATGGCCTACAACAACCGTTACCAAATGGTATCGCAACCCCCTGCGCATTACCTGAATCATAAAGTATCCGATCTGTCCGACAGCCCGTACAATAATAATGATGATCCTCCCTCGAGAATCAGGGGCCGGGAATCTCTCGTGTCACTTCAGTCGTCCTACGACCCCCCGCAGTACCGTCACACACCAGAAGAGAACGTCTATGGGCCAGGGGTCTCGTACTCATCCTCGTCATACCAGCCCGCTTTGCTGCCACCACCGCCGCCGCCGCTACCGCCCCGCCGCTCCCCTTCTCACTTAGGCCGTTTCAGGAGCTTCCGTACCAGGGGCGCCTACGAAACGATCCGCGAAGATGAAAGCATCGATATGTCGCTGTACAACGGGACAGCGCCAGCAGCGCAGCCTGGGCAATCTACTCCATTGTACGACCCCGTCTCCGGCCCCTCCCATCCAAGCACACCGATCGTCGACCTGACCTCCTTGTCCGGACCGATGAGCGCACAGGACTACGAATTCCTCAAAGCCCTTCAGGAACAGGAAGCTGGCGGTAAGTTGACAGGTGGGTTGGGAGAAGGCGTGGACCTAGGCCCGCGAACGCGGATCCGAGGGGACCAGCTAGCAACAAGCTCATCGACGAAACTCCGGCGGGGCTTCACGCACTCGTTCTCAATGAAGAAAAGAGGAGCGCCTAATAATGCCTCGAAGTCAGGGGCGGCGGGACTGAAAGAGCTGGGGCAAAGCGAGGCGAATAGGAGGGGTGAGGTGATAGAAGTGGTGGTGGAGCCGACGGATGTCGATTTGAGTTCCATGGTCGGACCTAACGCTGTCACGCTGAACCCGAATCGGTTGTCACAGCTCTCGATACAGGCGAGTAAGACCCAGGTGTTTTATCCACAACCGGACTGGAAGCCATTTACCATGACATGGCCGTATAGTACGTATATTCTTTCAAGGACGTTTGTGAATGTGTTTAATTCACGAAATATAAGCCGCTCTTGCTTGATCGGGGGGCTCGGAAAGAATAAATTGCCATCTATCAAAGTTAATACGTAATAAAAGCCACTAATATCGTATATTGCAGTAACCAGTCTGATTCTCTTGTCTACTGGACTCGCCATAGCCCAAGAGATCCTCTACCAGAAATCTGCCGAAAAGCCTCTCATCACATTCCAAAGCGCCATCGACATCGGCCCCGGCTTTTACTTCATTATCAAGTTCGTCCCGACCATTATCACTGTGACGTATGGCGTGCTGTGGCAGAACACAGACTTTGAAGTTCGGCGATTGGAGGCGTTTTATCAGTTATCCAAGGAAGGAGGGTCGCTGGCGGCAGAATCGATCAACGTTGACTACATCACCTCGCTCAACATCACGAGACCTTTCCGGGCCCTGCAGCGGAAGCATTATACGGTGGCAGTATCGTCTCTAGCGACGCTTCTTGCTGTGTCCCTAGTCCCCACGCTAGGAGCCGCCGCACTTGTCGTGAGCCCGGACCGGGAAACGAGATTGTTACATCCAGATGTTGAAAAAAGCATTGCCATAGACCCAGTCCTGTCTCGGCTACTGACTATGTCATTTTTCGTTATGGCGGTCCTAGGATGCGTGCTGTTTTACCAGCTCAACACCAGACGCTCAGGTCTGTTGTCTGACGTCAAAGGCATTGCCGGGATAGCGGCTATTTCGGTGGCCTCTCATATTATGATGGATTTTAGAGATCTCGACGTAGCCAAGCCAAAAGATATCCATCATAAATTAAGAAACCGCCGGTACGCGCTGCGTAACTCGTGTCTAGTTCCTGAAGATTCGACGTCGGTGTCCTCTCTAAATAGTGAAAAGGTCCAAAACACGTACCTGCCCGAGAATCCGCACCCCCTGATGTTACGGGCTGTAGGCTGTGTGCCATTTATTGTCGGGGTGTTGTTATTCCTGGGATTCATCCCGGTGTTTCTATTTACGCCGGCCAGCATTCTAGCAAATAGGGCCCCTTGGGTTATCACCGCGCTTGCGGTTTGTATCAAGCTGAGTTGGGGTAGTCTTGAGACCGCAATCCGTATGATGGAGCCATACTATATCCTCTCCAAGCGGCACGCCCCAGCCAAGACGCTTACACTCGACTACACCGCCATGCCCTTTGCCGTGGTAGCCATACGCGCTCTTTTAAACCGGCACTGGATGGTCTTTCTAGTAGGCTGGGGCACGGTTATGACAGAGGGACTTACTATCCTCATCACGAGTCTGGCCACTGTTGAAGGGCGGGATTTCCTCGATGTCTTAACCAAGGCTGAAGACAGTGATAGTGATGAGGACAGGCACTTTTTGCAGAAGGGCCTAGGTTCAGGATCGGAGACGGTGCTGTCGTTCACAATTGCGCTGGCCCTGACTGTCCTCATCCTACTCTACCTCTGCGTAGTAGCCACAACGGTCTTCATTCGGCGTAGGCACCCGTTCCTCCCACGCCAGCCTAACACGATCGCTAGCGTGCTCGCGTTCGTGCATCAGAGCAAGATGTTGTACGATTTCGTGGGCACAGCCAAGTACACCAACGCGCAAATGCGCCAACGCTTGGAGAGTTTGGGGAAAACGTACGGTCTTGGCTGGTTTGATGGGCGAGATGGTCAGGCACATGCTGGCGTTGACGAGGAGGAGCTCATGGGGAATTATAAACATGGAGCTGAGCATTTCCGAGGCAACAAGCCTTGGCTTACCGAGTGGCAACATTTGTGAGCACTCTGAGGGCACATTGGGGTTTGTTTAGAAATTCACGATGGAATTATGGAGTAGATATAGGTATGTTTAGCAGATGATGAAAAGGGCTACAGATCATTTTATAAGGCGTGTCTAATAGAGCATACCTAGTAGGTACGATGTATGGATTATGATGGATACATGTAAGACATGATGTCGGGTGTAGGTTAGTCAGGCATCGGATGTGTATGTGTATGAATTGGAGTCGGTGAGGTGGAACATTAATGGCATTGAATGGAATTAAAAATAATCGTCACAGTAACATTGAACATAAATATGTAATTGGATGAGTCAGCGATACTTAGGGTAGGAACAATGAACAATGAATAATGAAGTTACTAACCTAGATTCAAGTTGTCGTATCTTGGATTTTAAGTGCTGATGGTTGTCCTTGCCGTTTGTGATCTCAAGGATTTGAATCTGATCCCGGATCCTTCGGGTTATGCACAACCTTAAGTTCAGATCTGGAAAGAACATTGAATTTTAATCTACATATGTACATTTATATGTACCTATCCATGGATATGCACAGTAATTAGTTAAGCTGTAAAGTGACGAGTCTAGATTGCTAGACTGCGTATGTAGATATACATATGCAGATATGTGTAGATGACCTTTGAATGCCAAGTAAACTTTCTCAACGGTCACCAGTTAAACTGGCGTATGACGATTCCAGTCAAGAGACTTTTTTACTGATCGGCAGGTTTTAGCTGAAGATGGAATTGTAGAATGACGCCAGTCTGCAGGTGCTGCAGATCAAATTGGCCGGCCATCCGCTTTTCATTTTTCATTTTTTGTTGTGCTTTGTTTTCTCACTTTTTTCTTTAATTCTTCTTCCTCTCTTTCTCAACCTTTGTTTCCTCTTATTGCCTTTTCTTTTTTTAGTGGCTGGATATTAGCAGGTTACAGCGCAAGTTCTTACGCGCCAATAATCGGTGGACCTACTACAATGTATATTTAGTTGTGGCCAATACGAAGATTGTATTGCACGAGAATTAAAACTGACTCGGTTCAGCGACGCGCCCGAGTGCAGATTACCAGATTGCGTTGATTTATTGGCTTTGATTACCCCGTATATCGCCAAGGAGCCCAGGAGCAATTGACTCCATGTACTTGCTTATATGTACATGTACTCGCATGGGCTGGCTAAAAGTTGCCGGTGTGTGGCAGTGCTGCGCCCCTTTAATGACGATCGATGTACTGTTCGATTTCATATTCCCCAAAACGCAGTGTGCCGCAAGTGTGTCTCAGAGAAGATCTACAAAGAGATTGGCCTTACTTTCCTTATCGTGGGGATTCTGGGTACTCTGGCCTTCTAACTTGATGTTTGATGTTTGATGATGCAATTGCGGTGGTGGACACTCATGGACACTGCACCTCTTTTTTTTTCTTTCGAATCATTACTCCAAGTTGGAACGTGCTGTCCAGTCCCAGGTTGTGAAGTTGATGAATCTGAACCTAACTACGTGGGTACATGCTATATCTTTCTTGGGTATAGTTAACTACCTGTAATCGAAGGTAACTTACGATATATTGTACGAATACCTGCCTCCCTACAACTTAGCTAGTCCATGTTCAGTCTATGCGTGTACATGGCACTACACTATTGTATGCAAAGCCAAGCGACTTCCAAGGTGTTCATACGAAGCCTTGGGGGGAAATAGCGCGACAGTACTGTGCCTACAGGCCCTACACATGCACAATGTGCATGATATATGTTATGTATTGGGATGCCACACTAACAAAGCAATAGGGAACTAGGTAGTAATAAGTAGTTATTGAACAGTAGGGGAAAAAGAGAAAGGCATTTGCTAAGGTGGTAGCTGCAAATATTAGTTCCAGGGAGACCTGGATACGTAAAACATTGTGGGTCCACAAGTACGAACGCGTGGATGCACTGGATGGATGTAGGTATGTACACATGCATGTACCCTGGCGTACCTTCCAAGGTTTCAATCTCAATATTCAAAAGAAGAACATTGAAGCACCAGAACTGGGATACCAGTCTGGTACATACATGGGTGTAATGTAAGTGTACATTACATATTCGCTATTAGGTAGCAGGTACCTATTACTAGCCTGTAACCCCCTGCCAACCCTTCCTTACTCCCGCAAGTTCCTTTTCGCATCTGCCTTTCACCTTACTCACATAACATTCCATCCATTACTTCTTACACGGAACCACTCTCGCTTTACCAGATTTTCTTAAAACTCTCTCCATTAGTGTAATCGTTCCAGTTCGATACCTCCCATCTCGAACCGGCTGCTATTGAATAGCAGCTTTCAAACCGGTCCCTTTTTTTCACCGGCTTCGATGGTGAAATTCCTTTAATTCGACCCCCTTTTTTCAACACCGTCACCGCGCTCGTTTTTTTTAATTCAGAGGAAAGGGACAAGAGTTCTCCGGCCTGGCGACCGACGAAGAAGATCAAAAACCCCAAAGTTAATAGACTACACTCGCTATACAAAATTCAAAATTCAGAATTCAGACTTTCGAATTTCATATCCATCCCTTCCGGATTGGTTACGGGGCCTTTCGTTTGACTCGGAACGACCCAAGGTCCTCTCTTTGTCGACTACCAACCTATAAGCCAGCCTACGAATGCAATTGACTTTGAATAGCCACCGTCGACAAAGGAACACTTAATACGCAACGGCCGCCGCGACACCGGTCTTCTTAGCCTAGAGGCAAAACGTAAACTTTAATCATTACAAACAACGCCACGAGCGAATAGCCATGTGGTTTTCAACGTTAAGATCAATCTTATTAGCATCATGGCTCGCGGCCTTCCTTCCGGGCGCGAGCGCGGCCGAGCCCATGCTCGTGTCCAACTCTTTGAACACTTGCCAAGAAGACTCTATGTTCACTGCTAGTCTATTCAAGGTCACCTATACTCCGAACAACAATACCGCTTTCCTCAACATCGTCGCCACATCTTCCGTCGAAGGCAATGTAGTTTTCGATATCGCCATCTCGGCCTATGGATATACGATCATCCAAACGGTTGTCAATCCTTGCGATGTTGGACTAGCTGGTCTTTGCCCCATGACTGCGGGTAAGATTCCCTTGAAGTTCAATTTGCCAGTCGGCGAGGAGGCTGCCTCCCAAATTCCCGGTATCGCGTACAACTTCCCCGATCTCGATGCTACCGTTCGTGTCTTCTTGAACTTGACCGACACCGGGAAGAGTGTCGCTTGTGTCGAGGCCGATATCTCCAACGGAAAGACCGTTGATTTGCTTGCCGTGAAGTGGGTTCTCGCTATCATTGCCGGCCTGATTTTGTGCTCCTCGGCTATTATCAATGGTCTTGGTCACTCTAACGCCGCCGCCCATATCGCTTCTGGCGCGCTCTCTCTGTTCGGATTTTTCCAAGCTCAGGCTATGCTTGGTCTAATGTCTATTCACCTGCCTCCTGTCGTTCAGTCGTGGACCCAGGATTTCCAGTGGTCGATGGGTATCATCAACGTCGATTTCATGCAGGATATCTTCACTTGGTATCAACGAGCTACCGGTGGCACTCCCTCCACCATCTTTGACTCGTTGACAACTGTTTCGGTTCAAGTTGAGAAGCGTGCACTTGCTGCTCTTCCAGAAGGCGCTGCGAACTTATACCGACGATCAGCTGCAATGCTCCCGAGAATTGCCGCCAGATCACTATCGAAGCGTGCTAACGTCATGACGGGTTCCGGCAGCTACATTGTCTACGGTATCCAGCGTGTTGCTTTCAAGGCTGGCATCGAGACGACAAATCTATTCATGACTGGTCTAGTTTTCTTCTGCTTGTTAGTCATGCTCACCATTGGTGCCGTTGCGGCATTCAAGGGATTCTGCGAGTTGATGGTCAAGCAAAAGCGTATGAAGAGTGATACGTTCCTCGAATTCCGCAATGGGTGGCTCACCGTTCTCAAGGGTATTCTATTCCGACTTACTCTCATTGGATACCCCCAGATGGCTATTTTATGTCTATGGGAATTTACACAGGCCGATTCACCCGCTGAAGTCGTGCTCGCTATATTTTTCATCGTAGGAATGACTGTCACGCTGGGCTGGGCTGCTTCCAAGGTTATTCGAATTGCTCGTCGCTCCGTCGCTATGCACCGAAATCCTGCTTATATCCTATTCTCAGACCCCCAAGCATTGAACAAATGGGGATTCTTGTATATCCAGTTCAGAGCTTCTGCGTATTACTTCATCATACCCGTTCTTGGCTATACCCTGGTCAAGTCTATGTTCCTCGCATTCTCTCAGGGCAACAGCACCGCCCAGGCTATTGGATTCCTCCTCATTGAAGCTGGCGCTTTGATTGCCGCCAGTGTTCTTCGACCGTGGATGGACAAGAGTACCAACTCGTTTAACATTGCCATTTGTGCTGTTAACTTCATCAATGCTATCTTCATCTTGATCTTCTCCGATGTGTTCAACCAGCCTCCGTTGGTTAATGGTGTCATTGGCCTCATTCTGTTTTTCCTTAATGCTATATTCGCTACTGTTCTCCTTATCATGGTCATTATTTCGACTACACTTGTCTTTTACCGCAAGAACCCTGATGGTCGTTACCAGTTCATGGCTGATGACCGTGCATCTTTCATGAAGTCGCAATCTCAGCTCACAGGTACTACGGAACTTGATGCCCTAGGCGCAACCGCTCGAGGTGACAAGGCAGGATACAAACAAGGCCTGGATCTTGATGAAGACAACGAATCGATATCCTCTGCTTCCATGCGACGCCGTACTGATACGTCCACCTTGACTGTCCCCACGGCAGCCCCACGCGGCGCGTACACTCGCAGCGCAGAACGTCCTCGGTCACCTGTGGACCCCTCTGTGCCACTCTTCCCTGCCACCAGCGGCCCGCAAAGAGCCCCGAGCCCATATAACGGGTCCTCTGCCTCGCGAACCCCGAGCAACGGCAGCCCCCCTAACCACCTCCCCCCCAATTTCAGGGCGGAGAACAACTCAAGGTGAGCAGCTTCTAAATTCGAAAGCAATGAGTCGATTTGCTAACAAGAAGACAGCCCGTGGCAGCGAGGAGCAGGTTATGATCACTAGGCAACGGTCATGACACCAGGGATGAGAGGATTCTTCTAGCTGGACTTAATCCATGCCTTTGTTCATAAAAGGATGCAATCATGACAAAACGGGGCCGGAGTTAGTTTCTTGGATCTGCGCCAGGATACTCATGTTCGAGAATCTCGGACTTAAAAAGCAACGGCCGATGGGTTATTCGCCATGGTGTACCGTTGGCGAATAAGCAATAATTCAATGGCTTTGCCCTTTTCTACATTCTTCAACCTCGTACCAAGAAACCGGCCTTACGATATAGGCGTACAATGCGTTATTAGCATCAGGGGGCGTCGTCAGGAAGGGACGTTTATGGCAACACTTTACCACCACCTGTATCAACTGGAACTAGTGCGAACACGCCCAGAGATTCGCAGGACAAAGATTTTTTCAAGAGACCTGGGAACAGCTGGGCTGGGGAGTTGGGGGCATGATTGGTTTTACCATACCTTTTTTTATTTTTAGAATGCTGTGTTCAGCCGGCAAGCATATCAATAGCTAATTGATCCCATAAAACAATGGCTTTTTGACTAATTTCCCAAGAGGCTATTGTTCATACCATGATGCTGAAGACTCCTGCTGTTTCAGCTTATTGCCAGTCCACTCTTAAGTAAACCGAGGCTCCTTGCTCTTACATCATTCGGGAGCCGTGTCGCAGTGATTCACTCCGGTATCCCTATGTTGAGGATGACAATCACGAGATAGCTACAAAGTGAGAGCCCCCTCTTGTGAAACTGACGTAGAGAAGAAAGCGTATGATGATGAATAGGGGGGCACACCCCCCCTCCCCCCTTCCCCCTTCTCTCTGCTTACCTACCTACCTACTGCTAAAGTGGTCGAGAGTGTTATTTTTATTATTTACCTACCCTAGGTACCTCATGTCACATGACGCCTAAGAGGCCTGGAGATCAGCTGGATCTAAGATAGATCTAAGATCTGAAACGAGAGATCAAGGAGTGCAAACCTTAAACTCTGCTAGATATCCAGATGGAGGGGTGGTCGGTCATGTTTATAGGTACGTAATGGAGATCAGGGCTAGGCTACCTGGGTAATGAGAGCGGTTAATAGGGGTGTACCGCATGTTGCGATACTTTTAGAGTTTTACTCCTAAAAGGGAGGGGGGAAGGGGAGGAGAGGAGAGGGGAGGTTTAGATTGGGGGTGGGGAGAATGTATGAGAGATTAAGACAATGCCGTGTGTGGCTGGTGTGGCATGTCCAGGAGGCAAGTCAGGTCATAGGAGTTAGGTATGTGCTATGTACTTGGTAGGTAGCCAGCCATATCTCCGGGGGCAATCAAGTGGTTAACATCAGGAAGCGTACGAAAGAGGTAAATTTGAGGCATGCATAATGGATCGGCGTCTGTTTGGCCCGGCTTTTACTCGACCGATGGTGTCTTTCAACTCGTTGCTTACCCGGGCGGGCGGTTGGGCGGCTGGGCAGGGGAGTTTACACAAATCAAAGGGACCTATTTCGATCTCGAGCTGGGCGCTAAGCAGTTAACCTAGGTAGTCTTTTGTCTTCGGGCTCAAAGAGTCAAAAGGGTTGCTTGCAAGGAGAAAAGAAATGGCTCACTCTTGCAGCAATGCTTACCGACAGAGAAGGGGAGAAAGAATCTATTAATAACACCAGCTCCTCAGAAGTCTAGCTAGACACCTATGAACAATATTGCAAAAGGGGGTATTCTTCAATGCTAGGTTCTCCGCGTTTGTAGATAGGGGGCTTGGATTGGCTGGCTCGGTGTTTGCAAAGAGCGTGTGTATAAGGCCATTTTCGGGCTCACCATGGCAAACCCGACCTGGGCTACAAGCTGGTGTCTGTGGGTATTGTAGCGTTGAGCAATGGAGAACGAACGGGTTGGAAGAAATCGGGTGTGCCGTTTTACATAGCTGTCAACAACACCAGTCTTCCGATAAGGAGAAGGCCAGAAAAGGAGAGGGAATGTAGGGCTAAAAATGCTCCTAAACCAATCGAGGTCTTAAAAACTTGTATTCCCTCTGTCAGTATTCTTTGGAAATCTGTATTTCGTAATCGGATCGTCGAGGACTAGCGCATGTCTATACACGTTTACGCTGCGGCTGGAAAGACTGAACAAGCGTTGACAGGAACCTGCATCTCTTGGTAACACCACCTGGCTAGCACACTTGCCGAAGCCTTTCAAACTGCAAAACGGCGCGATACCTACTGCTAGCCCATTAGTAGTGTAGTCCATTACTCGCGAGAGGGGTTAAGCATCCAAATAACTATCTAGCGCTAGGAGTTGGTAGACTGGTAAGTGGGTATACAGGACAGTGTCGGTCAGAGATCATACAGCTCCACATTGGTCAACCGACTTATGCTTTCTTTCGGCGTACTTCATGCATATGGACGAATGAATAGAATTGATAAACTTACATAAATAGTATCACGAAGTTGAATCAGGGGAATCACATGGTCATATGCATGTCTCAACACGAAGCTGAACATTGAAGTACGTACTAGTAGTACAATTGTAACCCAGGCAGGTGGTTAGGCACCGTATTAGGGTAATTATGAATGCCGTGAACAACATTGGATGGGTGTAGTTAGGTTAGTTAATTGTAATGACCTTTCTTCGCATGAGGGCTGTTCAATAGCTATTACTATTAGAGCCCAACCCTTAACATATACCCTACCTACCTTCGTACTACCAAATGATATCGTATAATGTATTGATTCTCGGCACATTTCGGCCGATGACAAGCTGTCAATTAGACAAACAGTGAGAAGGAAGTTCCAGACGTTGCGAAGTAAAGGAAAGTAGATCGGCTAAAGCGACCATGTCTGCCATGGCTGTCATGGTCTTAAAACACACATTCTGATTTAAGGATTAACTAAATGGATATGGGGTCTTGGAAGTTCGGGCAACGTGATGTATAATGTTTGGTACAATTGTCATATGTACAGTATGTAGGTCAGAGAGTGAAGTTGTGAAGTTGTGAAGTTGTGAAGTTTGAATTTAGTTATGTATGATGTTGATGCATTAAAAGCAACGCTGAAATAGGTACTTGAAATAGGTACATGTATTGGCCTAACCCGACCATCCGGATACGACTAACCTTGAAAGCCACGCCGTGGCTTGTCTAAAAATTGAACTTAAAAGCTTAAACCTGGAGCTAAGACTGCTTACTCATCTCAGCGCTTTGCCCAAATCTGTTTTCATGGATTTGGGATTTAGGATTTTAGGATTCTGGATTCTGGATTCACTTACACCCCTTCCTTCAAAACCAACTCCTTCAAATCAAATCTCAATAAAGAAATTAGAGTAGTTAACCGAGATGTCGTCGTCCGAGACTTCGCCACAGCCGCCAACTATTAACTACATTGTCGGGTTTCTACTTGTCGGGATTGCCTGGGGGCTCACTACGCCTTTTATACGCCGCGCGGCCAAAGACCACAATCCGCCGGCTCATCCGCTCCTCGCAAGAGACGACGTCAAAGCTAGCTGGGCCAAGAGCAAATTCTACGGCGCCTTTTTCGCTGTTGTTGATCTACTACGGAATCCCAGATACGCTGTACCACTTCTGATTAATCTGACGGGCAGTGTTTGGTTCTTCTTGCTGATCGGCCAGGCGGGTAAGCTTATTCCAATTCAAACCAAACCACAGCAACCCAACCCAGCCCAATCCTTCCTTGTTCGTTCAAGCACCAACACGGCCAAGACTTAGATCCCTAATACATGGTCACAGAACTGAGCTTAACCGTCCCAATCGTGAATACTCTGGCCTTTCTATTCACCGTCCTAGGAGATTGGTGGGTCGACAAGAAGGTTATAAGCAGGGGTCAGTACATGATTTCATTCCTGTCAGCTTTAGGAATTGAGACGTTACTAAATGGACATGACTACACTAGATACATGGATAGGAATGATCCTGTCCTTATGCGGCATTGCCTTGTGTGTGCAGAGTAAATCAGGCTGACAAACACGCCTCGTGTCAGCCTGTGTCCTGCAAATGAAATGAATTTTTATTCTTATGTCGTCGGTTGTAATACTTCAAACCGTCATACTTGAACGAGATCCGAACATCTACCCGACCTGGGTACAGATCTCACACATTAAAGCGTTGAAGACAAACTTCAACTCAACATAAACAAGCCGACTATGACGAAGTGATCTGACACAACTTTTGTTAGTGTACCGATGAAAGTGAAATAGCGCCAAATATTTATTCTCTTACTAACGATAGAAGGAAAAAAGTAAGACTTTCCAATGTCTGAGAAATAGCGAAGCTCTACTTCGGTGAGACAGAAATATGGAATGGCCTAACCCAGGTGAGTAGATCGAGGCAGGTCAAGTCCCTACTCTTGCACAATGCTCTTTTTTCTAGAGCGGCGATGGTCGTTTGTTAGTTAGGGTTCAGCGATGCCCAGACAAAGTACAGTGCGGAACGTGATGTCACAAAAGAACATCAGAATCTCTCAAAAGGAGACTCACCGGCTATCTGAAGATACTAATTACACATAGAATCAAGCATTACCGTCATACATAGGTCACAAAAATACATAAAAAACCACTACAATACAACCCAAAATACATGTAAAAGGACCTAGCACCTTTGTTAGCTCTGCGGTAATGCAAAGCATCCCGTGGAGGGACCTAGCCTACCTAGGTAAAAGAGCCCTGAACCTCCCCCTTTTATTTCACCCTTTCTGCCAATACCGTATAATGAGAAGATCGGCGGACCAGAAATATCAATGGCTTTGTACGATCGCGCTTGGCTTTTTCCCATTTGTCCAATGATGCACGTTCAAAATCTCTTTGATCCGCCTGTCCGCCAGGAACCGCAGGGATAGTGACTATCGTTCTCCATATTAACCGTAACCTCGTACATGTGCTCTGGTCTACTTGATCTTTCCAAGAAAGAAACTGACAGGGACCAAAGACTGCGACGTGCAACAATGACTGGCAATCGTTCAACTGATATTTAAAGACCTAGATACCTCGGGTTTGCCTTAGGGAGTGTACCTTTCTACAACAAACCCGAGTTGTATAATACAGGCTTCCTTGCTATCAACCTCTAAGCCTTATCAACACCCCACGATCAAGATACCATTTCCGAAATTATCGTCAAGATGCGTGTTTCTACTGTCCTAGCTACCGTGGCCGGCGCCAACCTTGCATCCGCAGGAATGATGAAAATCGCAGCCAATACCGTGACTTGGGCCTGGGCGGTAACTGACTGGAACGCTGGATGCCTAGGTGACACACAATGCCATTACGGTAAGGGCCCTTGATAATTGATATATACCTGTTTTTTTTTTTCTCGTCATGCTTATTCGCTGGTTATAGATTTCAACGTGACTGCCGAGGGAGACGTCAATGCGAAGCCGCCTAAGCCCTCTTTTGGGGCCTCTTGCAGTGGAAAAGGGGAAGGCGCCGACTACACTATCTGCGAAGCGACCCGGGAATCGGAAGCTCCATATGTTGTCGTTGCCAAACTCCTCCCACGCATAGAAAACGCCACCGGACTGATGCCCCCCCAAATCCAAGTGAGCTTGAAGTATACGGACCTAAATGTAGCGACGACTTGGTGGAACTATACAGGAAAAGCGGATGCAGTGTACAACGAAGTCGGAATCGATACAACAGCGGCTCTAAGCTTCACGATCCACCCTGACACCATTTACGGTGTAGCATAAGGACAAGGGAGGTTTAGGGACAGTGCATGTGAAGTGTCAAGTGCAACCTCGTAACGCGCACTAATGTTGGACTATTGGCGTGAGTAGAGGAGCACAAGTGTTGCAGATCGGGAGCGTGTCCGGGTCACAGCAACACACGTGGGATGGGCTCTGCGGATGAAGGAAAGGCTCATCTTGATCTGTATCGGGATGAGCTGTCAAGAACAATCCGAGTGTTCAATAATTTCCGATTTCTGTCATGCAGGGCCCGGAGTTTCGAAGAGGTCATTTCGCATTTCACGGCGACTATCAACATCTGGCGGCTGTCCCCAGACCGGAGGGTAAGCTGGTGATTAATTTTTTTTATTCATCAGTTTTCCAAATCTATACGTGCCACATTTACGTATAGATTTGCAACCCTCAATGGTGATCAAAATCGAAACGAAGCGATGTCATATTCACGAGAGAAACCTTTGCTTTGGTTGCTCGGTTGCCTACCACATTGGGTCATTGTTCCTTGTGGGATGAGGGCATATAAGCGTCTGTGGGATATCGCAGGCACTTCGTCGACCAAGCGCTTGAGACAGAAAATATATAATGATAATAGATAATAGTCTTTCTGTTGCTATTTTTGATGGGAGGGGTAGAGAGGGGGAGGCCCGAATAAGTGATTATGAATATGACGATGAATGTGATTATGATTGGCAGATAAGATAGATACCTATCTAACTAGGCATCTATTATGTATCTAGTAGATATTGCCATGTTCCATGTTTGATGTACATAATGTAAGTTGTACCTGCAAATTGAAGTTTCAAGTTTCAACTTGAATCTTCCCCCAAATCCAAGTTGCTTGCGTTTCGCCTTACGCAAGTAACTGTGGCTGGTGACTTTTTTCTTTGCCAAGATTGCCAAGTGACAGGGGAGTGCATTTTATTACATCAGTGGCCGCAGCAGTCACATTCGGCGCTTGGCCCCCTCCCCCGCCGAAACTTAGACTTGCATTTGATCTTTTATAAACAGCAACTGCAACAAGTAGCCTCACTTTACCTACCTATCAGGTATCAACCAACCTACATACATACATAGTAAGTAGTACACTGGAAAATAAGTCAGTTAGTTCCCAAGATTCGACAGGTTCCAACCGTTATTATCGTTTACATACATACTTACCTATACTATCAAGCATCCAAACACAATATTATCGGAACAGTAGGAACCATTTAGGGTCAATACCCAAACCCGTCATAGTCCCTCATTAGATCACTCAGTCCAAGTCTATTGGTCATGAACGTTATCAAGCTTCAGAGGTAATTTACAATACCATGCCTATTTCCGCTGCAAAAGAGGTGAACCTGACAACGATAACTATCTAGGAAATATCCTCAATTCCAACAAGGCGATATCTTCGGCCTCACCGACGCTTTCCGCAAGCTTGACGTCGATGACAAAGGCTATATCGACGAGGCTACTGCCATCAAAGCCACCCAGCAAAGCGAGCGACAGCCATACGATGTTGTGAGACAGGCTTTGAAGGAAGTCGAGCTTGACTCATCGCGAAGAGTTGAGCTTGAAGATTACGTCGGTGTAAGTAACACAGTGTTGTACGGACAGGTTGGTGGTGCTAATATCTATTTAGCTCATTGCTAAACTACGCGAATCATCCCCCGCGCAACGGCGCATGACCACCGGTAGCGGCGGTGCGCCAGCTTCTCCCGCAGGCATTGTATCTCAAAGGACTGGTGGGCATGCTTCCAAGGGTAGTATTGGCAAGATTCAGGTGCAAGGCTCCAGTGCCAACATCACCCACACCATCAACGAGGATGAGCGAACCGAATTCACTCGCCACATCAATGCCGTCCTCGCCGGTGACCCCGATATTGGGAGCCGACTACCATTCCCCACCGATACCTTCGAAATGTTCGACGAGTGCAAGGACGGTCTCGTGCTTGCCAAGCTTATCAACGACAGCGTACCCGACACCATCGACGAACGAGTGATGAACGTACCCGGCAGGAAGATCAAGAAGTTGAACGCGTTCCACATGACTGAGAACAACAACATCGTTATTGAGTCTGCAAAGGGTATTGGATGTTCCGTTGTCAACATTGGTAGTGGGGATATCATCGAGGTTCGAGAGCACTTGATTCTAGGTCTTATCTGGCAGATCATTCGAAGGGGTCTTCTAGGCAAGATCGACATCAAGCTACATCCCGAGTTATACAGACTGCTTGAAGAAGATGAGACACTAGAGCAGTTCCTACGTTTACCTCCGGAGCAGATCCTTCTGAGATGGTTCAATTATCATCTAAAGGCGGCCGGTTGGCAGCGCCGGGTCGGCAATTTCTCGACCGACGTAAAGGATGGTGAGAATTACGCAGTTTTACTTGCGCAGATTGGAAAAGATTACGGATGCAGCAGAGCTCCTCTCCAGACGCGCGATCTATTGCAGCGAGCAGAAGAGGTGCTGGTTGACGCCGACAAGCTTAGCTGCCGAAAGTTCCTGACGCCCAGCTCTCTTGTGGCAGGAAACCCCAAGCTTAACCTTGCCTTTGTTGCCAACTTATTCAACACCCATCCAGCGTTAGACCCGATCACCGAAGAAGAGAAGCAAGAGGTAGAAGATTTCGACGCTGAAGGCGAACGCGAAGCTAGAGTGTTCACATTATGGTTGAACAGTCTCGACGTGCAGCCGGGCGTCGTGTCTTTCTTCGATGACCTTTGCGACGGTGTTATTTTATTGCAGGCTTACGACAAGGTCATCAAGGGGTCGGTAAACTGGAGACATGTGAACAAGCGAGCTGCAAGCGGTGCTGAGTTGATGAGGTTCAAGGCGGTCGAGAACACGAACTACGTTGTCGAGCTTGGCAAGCAAAATGGGTTCTCCCTGGTTGGTATCCAAGGCGCGGACATCACAGATGGAAACAAGCTGCTCACACTAGGCCTTGTCTGGCAACTCATGCGAAAGGATATAACTCTGACGCTATCAGCTTTGGCGCAGCGTCTTGGCAAACGGGAGATCACCGATGCGGAAATGGTGAGATGGGCGAACGACATGTCTCGCAAGGGAGGCCGAAACTCGGCGGTCCGGTCCTTCAAAGATCCTTCCATCGGCAGCGGTATCTTCTTCTTGGACGTGCTGAACGGTATGAAGAGTAGCTATGTGGACTACGACCTTGTCACTCCTGGGCAGACTGACGAAGATGCGTACATGAATGCCAAGCTCAGCATCAGCATTGCCAGAAAGATGGGTGCGACCATTTGGCTAGTGCCCGAGGATATCTGCCAGGTCCGGAGCAGACTAGTCACCACTTTCATCGGTAAGACACCCACTCCTCGACATATAAAACTAGAGAATAAGCATGATGGCTAACTATGATTCACAGGTTCGTTAATGGCAACTCATGAGAAAATGCAGTAGATGGGATAGGGGTATTCTCAATTTCTCTAGGGGACTGGAAAAGCTGGGGATCTGATTCTGATGACGATACGTTTGAGCTTGTGACTTATTAAGTCACTCTTATAGCCTTGATAAAATTACGAATAGTAGCCTTGATTCAGGCATGCGTTATAGATTATGAAGTGAATTCTTGAGATTTTGAAATTCTGGTGTGTTTGAATAAGCACATACCCTAGTATGAGGTACTGTACCCTTCCAAATGGATCCATGGATCAATCTGTTGATATCTGCAGAGTCCAGACTGCAGATTGCAGTAAGCCGTGGAGGTTGGTAGGTACTCCAGGGCTGTATGTAGGCCCGGTACCTAGGAGTATGTGTAGCCTTATGCAGTGTAACGAGGGCCCACCGTTAGTTAAACCATATTGGTACCATTATAGGTACTCCGGTCTAAGTCTCCGGACTAAGGTTAGGTACCTACATGTAAATACTAGGTAGTACTACGTAGGTAGTAGGTACCTAACGTATTGTACCTAACATTAAGATAAAAGATTGATGAAGATTACAATCACATTACGTCGAATGTTCCCTAGGACTAACCTTTTCTTAGCGGCTTTACCTCCGAGCTTGGTAAAGACTTGGATGTGAAAGGAACAGAGAGTTTATGTAAAGTCGGGCGCGACCGATATAATTGTCACCTACTTTGTTCTATTGTAACCTACAACATTTCCCACCATCTACATACAATTCCCTCATTATTCATTAACTTGTCTACCTCCCTACATATATGGATACCTACCTACCTAGCACACACCTAGTACCTACCTAAGTGCCTAGACCAGGGGAAAGTCCACTGTCTGAACGGCTACAGTGTACAGACTTGCTACCATCAGGCTCTCTAACCAGGTTCGACGGATATTTTATTACTAAAGCCGTGGAGGACACGTCCGACGGTGCCGGTCGTGGTAGGTCAAGTGGCAAACATTAAATAACGACTGATCCCAATGGATGAGATATATACCTAGGAAGTCTTCACTACCTAGGTAGTTACATAGTGGGTTGGCGAGCTTAGGGATCTGACCTTATAAGTGGCTACACTCCCGGACGTCATTTCAAACTCCAGAATAGATTGCCTCACTGGCGATCCTATCTTGCTCTCCGTTTTGTTTAAAACAAACAACATTGAACTCACCCACCATACTACTCCTTTGTGAGCAGTGAGCACTAGGTAGTTTGCTGTTATTGATTTGTCTTACTCTATTGAAGAAGCTTATAGAGTTTTGACATACTTATCGTATCAAAAATAATGTCAACAGCAGAGGAGCACCGTTTAACCTCAAACCATGCATTGTCTAAACGTGATATAAAACACAGTCCGGCAGCTTTGGCTGAGGCATTGAGGGCCGTACACCACACCCCGGATACACCATCAGACAGCAACAGCGACGCAGGTTTTGAGGCTAGGGATCAGCCACTACAATCCGTCTTACTGCGACGGAAACCAGAATCTGATTCATACGATAACTCGGCTACAGATACACCTGAGATAATATCCTTAGATGAATCGGAGTTAAGGGAGAAATCGAGCTCAGAGCAGCTTCGACAATCCTTGCCTAGGCTTGGCTCCGCCGATAGGGGAAAAAAGACTTATGTGGTGGCCAGCGACGATGCAGAACTCCGCGAGATACTAAGAAGGGGCATGGAACGAGCAAGTTACCACTCTCGTAGTCAGTCCACCTCAAATTCGCGTAACACTAACATCCGAATAGGAACACGAAAAGACATACCCTCCGCGGCGCGAAAAGCTTCGGGACATGGTCTTTACGAGGCAATTTTCCACCTTTGACAGGCAAAACCAAGATGCCGCCAAAAGCCCGTTCCATGGCTTCTACGTTCTTTTTTGGATCGCGATGACTATCTTGATTCTCAAGACGGGTGCTGAGAATTGGAGGAAGACTGGGAATCCACTCGGGACCAACGAGATTATGAGGACTATGTTCAGGCGAGATGGTAAGCCAATGTTCCCTGGTTCTAATCTGAAAAGAAGCCCGTGAATCATATACTCAACACGAAATATTAACTCTGTGGGATTAGTGATAGTTCTTCTGTTCTCCGATGGCATAATATGCGGTCTAACGGGGGTGAGTTGGCTCATTCAGCGCCTAGTCTTCCTTGACTATATCAGTTGGGATAGGTCTGGCTGGATCATACAGAACGTAAGTCTGCGCAACAACATGCACAGAAGCTTTACCAACTGACACTTCCCTAGATCTGGCAGACCTTGTTCATTGCCGGCGTAATTTGGCTTACACATTTGAGGGATTGGCCATGGACACGTAAGCTGCCTACCTACCTAGGTAGTCTCCTAATTCATATCGACATGTACTGACTGGCATACTCAAGATACTGTCTTCTTTGTCCTCCATGGACTCGTGATGCTAATGAAACAACATTCGTATGCATTCTACAATGGCCACCTCTCATCCGTTTACAAGAAACGACGAAGCCTGCTTCTTAAATTGAAGCATCTGGAAAACATCTCACCCGTGACAACGCCATCGACAACAAGTCCCTCAGTTGCCGCCCTATCTACGTCACATCTCTCGCTTCGGCCATCAGCCGACGAATACTATGAAAGACGAAACTCATTATCAAAGACCCGATCAAATGAGCACAATGACATGCAGAGCATCTCTCTCGCGATTAAAGCAGCTGAGCCACTCGACATGGAGCAGGTTCGCGTTTTCGAGAGACTCATCAAGTGGGAAGCTGATGCACTCACGGATGAACTCAAAGGCAAAGCGACAGATCCTAAAAATCATTATCCAAACAACCTTACTTTCCTAAACCATTATGAATATATTGTGTTTCCCACCCTCGTTTACGAGCTACAGTATCCCAGGTCCGAGAGTATCGACTGGTTTTATGTGGCTGAAAAGGCCTGTGCTACTGTTGGTGTCATATTCGTTATGATAATGATTTCCCAGGCTTTCATGTACCCCGTTGTGATGAGAACTGTCTACATGAAGGAAATGGGTTGGACGACAGCCCAAAGATTCCAAGAATTTCCTTGGTTATTAAGCGACCTCATCTTCCCATTTTTGATGGAATATCTGGTAAGCATCGTCGCTACGACTCGTGATATGCTAGCCACACATGCATTGCTAACCCCTTTCAATAGCTAGCTTGGTATCTCATCTGGGAGACTGTTCTTAACATACTCGCGGAGCTGACCTATTTTGCGGACCGAAGTTTCTATGATGCATGGTGGAACAGCGGTAAGTTGCCAATTAACGATGCATTTCCTCCCTTACGTCTTTCTTTCCAAGGGATTCTGACATTATTGTAGTATCATGGGACCAATTTGCCCGCGATTGGAACCGCCCAGTCCATAACTTCCTTCTACGCCACGTGTATCATAGCTCGATCTCGTCTATGAGGGTCAATAAGCACACTGCAACGCTCATTACCTTCTTCCTCTCGGCCTGCATCCATGAACTGGTCATGTGGTGTATATTCAAGAAGCTTCGTGGCTATCTGCTCATACTACAAATGTGCCAGCTCCCACTCGTGAGGATGAGCCGGACGAAGTGGCTTCGCGACCAAAAGACCATTGGCAATATTATCTTCTGGACTGGGATTCTTACAGGTCCCAGCTTGTTGTGTAGTTTATATTTAATTCTGTAGCAGGTCGTTCACTTGACACATGGCGTCTCGAGGGTATGGATAGCAGAATAACCTTACCTACTTACTAAGGTTATGAGTCAATATGCAAGGACTGCGTGCACACACACGAGGTCGAGTCTTGGGAGTTGAAGGCGTCGCATATTGATTCCCGGTAAGGGCAAACTTAGGTAGATAAATACTCGGGTATGATGAAAAAGGAAAAGTAGTCAGAAAAAACACATCCTAGAATGTATAATATTTTTTCTTCTACCTCGGTCAGATAGAATGGAAACTCGATGTGTTGTTTCCTTCCTCGATCAGATAATTCTCATGCGTTCGTTAAGGGGTCAATAGGCACCTACATGCATTACAACCTTGCCTGATTGGCATGCATGCATGCATGTATTCGAAATACATGCACGATTATATAAAATGGGAGAGGTTGATTCAGTACTCGAAAGACAGATCCTTCGTATTCTGCAACGTTTGGGCAATAACCAGACATTACTTCGTATTGGCGCCACGGAACGCCACTGTCATCCTTTCAGCTGAGTACGGTACAGTACATCGGTTTGCTTAAAAACTTTTGTAAAATCTATTACATATTATGTTTACAAGCACGGCCGAGACGACGATGTTTGCGATTTATAGCATTGACTTACACGATTTTGGGATATTACTATATGTACAACAGTTACAACTTTATGTTAGTGACACACAAATTAAATACTGCTGTGTACATAGTTACTGTATACTACATAAAGCTTACATATACTTGCCTAATATGAAGGATTATCACTGCAGGAGGTCAGGAGCTACACAGTACTACACTAACCTACGTCACGGTGCCGTAATTGCCAAAGCAGCTGCATACTACACAGTACCTAAGAAGGTAGGGGTTAACACGCAGTTAACTACAGTACATACATAGTATTATGTAGGTAGGTGCTATGGGATGGAATGTTATTCCGAAGATCCACCGCTCCCTTTCAGAAATCAAATTTTACCGGTTCCAACTAAACTTGAAGCAACCAGCCACTAGACAAAACTTACCGTCTAACAATTTCCATCCAACAAATACATAGTAGTAGCTTGCTTGGGGAACTACACCATCTAAATTCCCAACACGCTATTCTTCTCAAGTCTTTTCATGATCGAGGTTGACATCTCATATACATCTACATTCCCTTTTATCCATCAATCAATTCCCTTGTTCATTTCTTTACCTTTCTAGCATCCCCCCCCTTAAGCTATCATGTCTCGCGGAGGTACTACTCTCTACGTGACTGGCTTCAGCCACGGCACGCGTGCTCGCGACCTCGCCTACGAATTCGAACGGTATGTCCCATTATCCTCGTCGGTGAATCGATCGACCGTCTTACGGATGCGGTGTCCGATGTCACCTGCCTTCTCCTCGTCCTCACTCCCCGGCGTCGCTTCGTCGTTCTCGGCTTCGTTCGAGTCCTCGATCCGTCTTCTTATTTACGCTTCTACCTACCTCCCACGCCCTCCGTATCCATAATCTCAGCATTCCATCCTTTCCGATCGAGCGGTCGTAATTGCATTCTCTGATGCATCGTTCCACGTCCCCCTAACCACCGCGATGGGAACTCGAAGCTTGATGCAATCAATGCAAAATCATTGGGAAAGTCATATATCTTTGCGGTGATTACTGACATGAGAATTTATTTAGCTATGGTCGTCTTGTCCGCTGTGACATCCCCGCCCCCCGTTCTGCTAGCAGTAGGCTGTAAGTTAATGAATGATTCGAACATGAGATGAACCATCCTGTCTAACATGAGTTTTAGTTTTGCTTTCGTGGAGTATGAAGATCGTCGTGATGCCGATGATGCCTATCATGAGATGCATAACAAGCGCATCGGCCGCGATGACCTTCTAAAGATTGAGGTAACTGGCTTTTTCAAAGTTATCATCTAACAACACGTGGCACCAACTAACACGCGTATAGTGGGCTCGTACACCTCCATCTGCGTCTTGGCGTTTCGATAGCGGTCGTGACCGCGACAACAGGCGCGAACGCGGAGGCCGATCTCCTCGGCGAGGACGATCCCCATCTCCACGCCGCAGCACCCGCGACTACTCACCTCGCAAGGATGAACGCCGTGACCGCGACCGCGACTACGACCGCGAACGTCGTGATACACGTGATCGCTCTCGCAGCCCAGACGTTCGGTACGATACCCCATCCAATACTCACCCAGTCAACATGGAGCTTACAATAAAATTTAGTGACCGCGACCGCGACCGCGATGACCGGGACGAGCGTGATCGCCGCGACAACGGCACTAATGGCGATGACCGCAAAGGTGAGTAACCAAAACAGCTCAGCTCATGTTAACCCGATTTTACTAACAAATACTTTCAGCCGTGGACAGTCCGCCTCCCCAACATGACGACTTGGACGTTGCAGAGTGATAAGTATACCTGGCCATCTTACTTTCGGCAGTAGGTTGCATCTACAACGTATGCAAAAGGCAATCATGATCTAATTTAGAGGGTATCTGGGTTTGCGTTTCCATGCTGGGCTGTCACTCATCTTCTAGTTTCGATTCCATCGACCGGCGTGTAACATTAGTGCGAAAAGATCGAGAAGCTGAAATCGGGGACGATACGCATACGTTTGCTATTAAGAATGCTAGGGTTTCCTATATCGAGGAGGACCAGGTAGCGCGAGCTCGACATAGCTAGGTACCTAGGTAGCGTTGCTTACCTAGGGGATGAATTCCTAATCCCTTTTAATCTAGAGCCAATGTATTCACTTAGAAGACCTAATCCTGGGCAGCTTACAGTTGCGGTTAATGCAATTGTACTGGAGTCGTGAGAAGTGCTGCTTGAGCAGCGAATGTGCTGAGTGACTGCCGGAGTAATGCTATTTGATGCATATGCATTAGGTACTAGCCTGTCTAGCTAAGTTCTAAGTCACCAGACCCCAATCACCAGCAGGCAGGTAGTTAATCATCAACTGCTTTACTGGAAGTATTGGAAGGGCATGGTAACCCAAAACAGAGATTAATAGCCGCGTATATTTATAGAGTATCGGGAACTTCCTTCTTGACACTTTTGGAGGAATACTACTGGAACATTCGTAACCTTCAGATCGTATTCGACAAGGTGGAAAACTGGAACTTCAGTCTGGAAGGTTGTCTGTTGTATGCTACCTATGTAGACCAGTCTAACGTGTTTGGTGTTAGAGCTTTATTTATGCCGTACCTACCCAGTGCCTAGGTAGTGAGTGTAGTTAGTTATCCATAGGTTCAAATGGAGTTCACTTGAAGTTCACTAAATTTGAGGTGGTATCTAACTATGTGTATACCTATCTCAATACCATTGTGTTCAATGTTGGCAACCAAAAGATCTCAGGAGTGACATTGAGTGCTGGCTTTGATCATAGGTATACATATTGATCAATCCTCTGTTCCTGATAACGTCATTTCGGTTCGGCACAAGGATCTAAAGGGGGTGACGGTGTCCTTATCAATGTTCATGCGGACAAGTCTCCAGTCTCCATTATGTAGATCTAAAAATGGTATAAAATAGGTAGGTACCTAATAACTAGTACTTGATACTTACATATCACCTACATAATAGTGTGAGCCGTATTGTTCCTTCTTCTCCGCATACCGGGTACTCAACCCGAGGTATAAGACAATGATTAACAAATAACAACACTGAAAGGAAGTCTTTGGAAGGAAGTCGGGTTTTATTTTTAATAAAGTTAGCACAGCAGTTGTAAGGTAGCTCTTTCTGAAAAAGCCCACTCTATCTTCTGGGCATGCTTTGCGACTTACATAACGATTCATGCTTTCTAATTTTATTATTGGTCCAATATTTGCTTGCGCATGTACCTACCATACCAGATGACGATACTGCCACTTGACTTTACATACCTACATACTACTACATACTACTACATACTACTACATAGGTATGTGACATACCCTAGGTAGTATGTAGTAATTGCCAGCAGTGCCAACGTCCGAAGTTTTAAGTCTCAGGTGAGTTAAGTGAATGACGGTATGACCGCCGGAACCCAAATTTATTCCAATCAAAGCTCCGAGTGGTCAACTTCAACCTTCGGCTTCCCCAGGTATTCCACTCACATACTTAGCACTACTAGTGATATGATACAGTACATATATGTACCTACTATTAACTATAATAAGGTACTAACCTATCACACCTCCTCTAAATTTAATACCTCCCTAGCCCCAGGTACTTACATAGTTGTGTCCTACCATCCCATCCTGCCATCCCATCTTCAGCTCTTATAGCTAAAATCTTTTTTTTAAACTCCAAAGTCTGTTTTCTCCGTCTTCTTTCTCTTCTTCGCCGTCCCTCACCTTATCTTTTTTAAACGGTACGGTTTATATAAGTTTGCTTTTCTCTTTTGCGATAAGCTTATACCACAGTGCATGCATTCAGGAGACAGGCGACCATGAACATTCTGTACACATTAGTCCATTCCCATTCGATGATCTGACCCGGACAGAACGCAGCGCGACCATCCCAAGTATTCAGAAGAAGAAAAAAAGGGACTGGCATTGTTATACGAAAAAAAGGATATCGAGATTCCGCGCTGGTACCGCTGTCACCTATGTTTATTCTCGAAAAACGACACACGCCCGACTATGTCGCCCGAATCGTTAAGAGCATCTCGATAAAAATTACGTTGTTGCCATAGTCGTATTCAAAATACCTCTATTCCTCCCGCACCGATATACATGCCATAGTATCAGCTGCGCGCGCAAGTTTGCTAGCTTCTTACCACCAGACTTCTGCGAATTCCGTCGTCCATTCTTTTCCGTCGCGTTAAACCTCCGACCCTTACAATCGAACGGACAGCTGAAGTTCCAATTATGGCCGCTGTACGTCTCTACCTTGCTTCTCACCATAGCTCGATATGATAGAAAAAAAAGTTGGGGGTGTGGATGTGTGTGTGTGTGTGTGTGTGTGTGTGTGTCCCGGTGGTAGCAGCTGACGCAGATCTTCTAGAGCCCGCAAGACGCCAAGGCTAAATTTGCCGATGGAAAGACTGCCATTCAATTTAAGGATTTTGTTTCCCAGCCGGTAGCCGCCGCCTTTTGCGCCGGTGGTGTTGCTGGAGCGGTGTCCCGAACAGTTGTGTCACCCCTCGAACGTTTGAAGATCCTCTTCCAGGTCCAAAGTGCCGGCCACAATGAATATAAGCTATCAATTGGCAAGGCGCTGGGAAAGATGTGGAAGGAAGAAGGTTGGAGAGGTTTCATGGCCGGCAATGGAACCAATTGCATTCGCATCGTCCCTTACTCTGCAGTGCAGTTCGGCAGCTACAATCTCTACAAACGCGTAAGTTGCTTGTGTTGCCATGGATTGAGGTTGAGAACCTCAACAAAAGGAAACGGCTGTGGACAGGTCAGCTAACACTGGTTGCAGCACTTCTTTGAGAAGTATCCGGGCGCCCCTCTGACTCCCTTCCAGAGACTGATCTGTGGTGGGATTGCTGGCATCACCTCAGTCTTCTTCACATACCCCCTCGATATCGTGCGAACTCGACTGTCCATCCAATCGGCATCATTCGCCGCGCTTGCCAAGACACCGAAAGAGAAGCTTCCGGGCATGTGGACTACCATGGGCATCATGTACAAACAAGAGGGGGGCATACCTGCTCTATACCGTGGCATAATACCTACCGTTGCGGGGGTAGCTCCATACGTACGTTTTGACTCCCTTACATGACTGGCATCAACTGCATTCAACTAGGGGATGCTAACATGGGTACAGGTGGGGTTGAACTTCATGACATACGAATTTGTGCGCAAGTATCTAACTCCGGAGGGTGATGAGAACCCCAGTGCGGCGCGTAAGCTGCTAGCAGGTGCCATATCTGGCGCTGTTGCTCAGACTTGCACATATCCATTGTCAGTACATACCTTCAGAACTGATTAGTATCCAGCTAACCAGAATACAGCGACGTGTTACGACGAAGATTCCAAATCAACACCATGTCTGGCATGGGCTATAAGTATAAGTCAATAGGGGATGCCGTCCGAATAATATTAGCCAAGGAAGGACCACGGGGTTTATACAAGGGCCTAATCCCTAACCTACTCAAGGTAGCCCCCAGCATGGCGGCGAACTGGCTCAGCTTCGAGATGACTCGAGACTTTTTAGTCGCGCTGAAACCAGAGCCAATAGTATTGTAGCTGACGAATGAATTGGACCACAGCTGGATAACATAACCTCTTCTGGGTTGTATCCAAAACTGTTAGTAACTTGACAACAACCTGGAACCTTTTTTTTTCTACTTTTAATTTAGATAAGCAGCATGCTTCGCTGTGCGTAGGTCTTGGTAGAATCTTGGGGGTGTATGCGGAAACGGTGATTCGGGCACATTAAACCGGCAAAGGGTAGATAAACAAAGATAGAGAAACAAATCATTATAAGTTTAGCTAGCAGATACAGGCACATGCGTGTATGAGCTGTGTGAGGTATGTATCTTGCAAGAAATAGCAACTTTGAGATTTACCTAGGTTAAGGTAATATGCCTACCTATCTATGTATGGTAGGTATCTATGGGTACTCAGAGTGTCTGCGTAGGAATGGGTATAAAGGGGGTAGAGGAGGTCATGCGTATGCTGACGGTAAATATAGCTAGCTGTAAGGCCTTACTTGACAATCTACTCCAGTATTCCTAGGTAGGTTTGAGAAGTGAGACAGACGTGGATTTATGATATGGATACTTTATCAGGGCTGTATGCTTGGTTTTCCGGGTTTGAATGCTGATTTGAACTTGGAGGTTTTACATCTTGAATAATCGCACGCCGTCAATGGACAAGTGCGATCACATCTCGAGGACTAGCGCAGTAGGTGTTATTACATAATCAGAGCAGTACGAAGGTTGTGGCCAAAAGTTTAGACCAAGATATACCTCAGCCCCACAGTTCCTCCACTTTTCTACCACTGTAAGAAATATCATCGCCAACATACTTACCTACTTATAAAGCCTTATAAATTTATTTAATAAATATTAAATATGCTATTACGTTATTTAATTAGTGTATTTAATAATAGAAATTTCTGTAATTTTTTTTCTTTATTAAATTAATGTAAATATTTGTATAATAATCTAAGGTTGTTTAGGACTGAAGGCTTTAAGTTTATAGCATATTATAGCGCTTAAGTGTGCTATAAGGTGCTATATTTTTAAGGGTTGTGGGGGATTTGACGTTAAATGTATACCTATTATTGGTAGAGGCCCAAAAAAGAGTAGCGCACTGTGGGGCGGAGGTATATCTTGGTCTAAACTTTTGGCCACAACCTTCGTACCTAGGTACCTACTTAATACCAACCCTAACTGCCGTTTATCACCGCCCGCCCGCACAAATCCAATCCATCTTAACGATTTCCCACCATTTTTCCTAACGGCCCACTCGAAATTTTGCATTTCTTAAATCACTACTAACCCAACAGCAAAATAACTTTTCTTCCCATCGACTCTCCCGACAACCTCAATTGCAAAGAGTCACCGTCAAGATGGGTACGTTTAATATTTATTTGGAGATTTCTATGCGAGTGGAAACTTGAGAGTCGAGTGATCATGTCGCTCGGCCTCTCTCGTTCTCTGCGAATCACTGGGAATTCATTCCTCTGGGATGCGCCCTACAGAGCATATTTGAACCAAAAGCTGACGATGGCTTTTTTCTCTTAAATAGGTATTGATCTCGACCGTCACCACGTGCGCAACACGCACCGCAAGGCGCCCAAGAGCGACAATGTCTACCTCAAGCTCTTGGTGAAGCTGTACCGCTTCTTGGCCCGTAAGTGATTCCCGAATATCTTGTCGACGTGATGAGCAGCACTAATCCCAATTACTATCAGGCCGAACGGATTCCAGCTTCAACAAGGTTGTTCTCCGCCGACTTTTTATGTCCCGCATCAACCGACCCCCGGTTTCCCTATCGCGCGTTAAGAGCCAGCTCTCCAAGGAGCAGGAGGGCAAGATCATCGTTGTCATTGGCACCATCACCGATGACAACCGCCTCCTCGAGGTTCCCAAGGTCTCCATCGCTGCTCTGCGATTCACCGCCACTGCCCGCGCCCGCATTTTGGCCGCTGGTGGTGAGGCTTTGACCCTCGACCAGCTGGCACTACGTGCCCCCACTGGCAGCAACACTCTGCTGCTCCGCGGCCCCAAGAACGCCCGCGAGGCTGTCAAGCACTTCGGCTTCGGCCCGCACAAGCACAAGGTACGTGGACCAAGTGTTGTCTTGTTCTCTTCCTTCCAGCATGCTCACAATTCAATAGAAACCCTACCTCGAGTCCAAGGGCCGCAAGTTCGAGAAGGCCCGTGGTCGCAGACGGTCAAGAGGTTTCAAGGTCTAAGAAAAACGTGGACGGAAAGCCTGGCTTGGGTTGGATCTTGCGTTACGTCTTTTCCGGTATACCATGGACGCAATGCTCAACAGGGGAGGGTTTATCCTACTACAGGAGTGGTTTATGCATGGCTTGGCGTGATACGGGATTACAAAATCGGTTCATACAGAATAAGATGCGTTGCTACTTGTTCTGACAACTCTCGTCTACCTCTTGCGTAATTATCATGACCGACTCCTACTTGATTCTTTTTTTAGTAACGAAACCCCAGTAAATACTATGGTCTTGAGTTGAATATCCTTTGTGTGAAATGTGTAGGTCCCGATATGATAAACATATCTAGGTAAGAAATAAATGGTGTAGAAATCCGATACTATCACCAAGAAAGAAAAGAAAAAAGAAGAGGCATAGAGTCACCTGACTCCGTGTCTGGGGCGCGATGCTAAGCCAAAGCTATCTAATCATTTTCTATTTCGTCATAACTTGGAATTGATTAATCTTTATCATTTTACAACGAGCTGTTTTACAACCTCTCCCAGCCAGTTCTCAGTCAAAATCTTAGGTATTCCGTTGTTTCTTTAAACAACTTACAAACAACTTACGGACAGAATGTGTGGACGATATGCACTGGCCCTAGTATGTGCTACGACCCGGCAATAGCTTACCCGGTTGGATAATGACTAATTGCAAACAACCTCGTAGCGACCAGCGGAGATTCGCCAGATGCTGCAAAATGAAAACATACCCGTAGACGACGGAATTGATGAAGAGGATGAAGAGGAAGCGCCTAGGCAAAGCTACAATTTCGCCCCAGGCTACCACGGTGTCGTTTACCGCGCCGACGTGCCAGACTGGGGAGCGGGTCCTCAAAGGCAGCAGCACACAGACGCATCTGACGAGGAGAGCGGTGCAGTGGATGATGATAGCACTACAGAGCCTCAATCGGTTAGGTATAAGCTCCAGAGCATGAAATGGGGACTCGTGCCCTTCTGGACGAAGCGCAACCCGGACTACGGCTCCATGATGAAGACGATCAACTGCAGAGACGACTCGCTCGCCCAGGGGGGCGGCATGTGGAGCTCCATGAAGGCGAGGAAGCGGTGCATTGTCGTTGCACAGGGGTTTTATGAGTGGTTGAAGAAGGAGGGGGGGCGCGAGAAGATACCGCATTTTGTGAGGAGGAGGGATGGGAAGCTCATGTGCTTGGCGGGGTTGTGGGATGTCGTGCAGTATGAAAGTAAGTTCTAGGTAACAAGTTTGCTCTAAAGGGGGTTGTTGGCATGACTACTAATAGACAGTACGAAGAAACTGAGAACAAGCATTACTCATATACAATCATCACCACGGACTCGAACAAACAGCTTCGGTTTCTGCACGACCGCATGCCCGTCATCTTGGACAACGGGTCCGAGGACCTGCGCATGTGGCTAGATCCCAAGCGCCACGCGTGGTCGAAGGAGCTGCAGGCACTGCTGAAGCCCTTCGACGGGGAGCTCGAGGTGTACCCCGTGAGCAAGGACGTGGGGAAGGTCGGCAACAACTCGCCCACCTTCCTCATACCGATCGATAGCAAGGAGAATAGATCTAATATTGCGAATTTCTTCGCCAAGGGCACGGCGAAGAAGGAAGAGCAGCAGCAGCAGCAGCCGGATGTGGAAGTCAAGAAGGAAGAGGGCTTTGGCGTGGATTCATCGTCTGCAAGAGAAGAAGAGGAAGAAAAAGAGACTAAAGCGGAGGCGGGGGTGAAAAGAGAAGCGGATGATGAGCTTACGGGCGAGGGGTTGAAAAAGAAGAAGGTAGCTGCTACGACGACGAAGAGTAAGAGTAAGGAAAAGGAAATGTCGCCGAAAAAGGGGGGGAGGAATAAGATTAGTGCTACGAGTAATGGGACGAAGAGCCCGAGTAAGGCGAAGCAGCAGCCGGGCACGCAGAAGATTACGAGGTTTTTTGGGAATAGTTCTTGATGGAGTGGGCGTCACTGTTCTCCGGGTACCTACTCCGGTCTCCTGTGGACGATCGCCTTCAGCAGGTTTGCGGAAAGGGATTTGCTACGAGCATTTGGGACCTGTGGTTCTTATGTCTCAGGGAGAGCGATTTGAATTGGTCTTGGGCTAAGCCGGGCTACCTGATACATAATACCAGATACGAAGTATAGGTATAGAAACTCCTATTACGATGATCTAATAGAATTTCAGTATCGCTCTGAAAGGTATCTTGAAAGAGATAACAACTTATGTATACCAATTCAGGTACCTAGCCAAACATATCACGCCGCGATGAGAAAAGCAACGCAGACATATTATAGGCAAGTATTTATTCGCAAATGCAAGCTTGCGATTGAGTGAGTGTGTGCTTCGCTACCTATAACCTATCCGAGTTGAGATATTTACACCTCTCGCGACAATATTCAAAACTCGACAGAAACAAAAAAAATTTTTCGATACACCAACCATCACAGCCCCCCCGGAGAAATTCCAAAGCTGGCATGAGATTGTTGATTGGGTTGGGTTGGGTTGGGCGGTTAGCATTTAAACACGGACGGGCCGGGCACGATGTACGAGTTGAAGTTGTTGTAGATGTTGGCGGTGTCTGTAGATATAAAGTCCGTCAGTTAGCCAGCCAACTAGGTAGTACTAATCAATCAATCAATCAAGCCCCGCGCCCCGCTTCAGAAAAAAGATCTTTGAAGACACGGGGAAGGAAGCCGCGAGAGGGGAGTTTGGTAGGGGGGGGAGGGGGAGGGGGTAAAGGTAACTTACACCCAGGATCAGTGGCCTTGAAGGCGCCGGGGATCTTGGCGGTGGGCGAGGGGGAGGCGCTGCCGCCGCCGGTGAGGTTGATCTGGCCGCAGCCGATGTAGAACTGCGGGACGCCGCCGGGGTTGTGCAGCGCGAGGGACTGGATCCGCAGGAGGTACTCGCCGCTGGGGATGCAGGAGGGGATGTTGAAGGTGTAGGTGTCTGTTTTTTTTTTTTTGTTTCCCATCAGTAACTTTTTCTTGTTTTTTTTTTCTTTTTCTTTCTTTCAAGGGGTTTTTAGGTTAGGTAGGTACATACCCTTCATGGTCCAGCTAGCCTGCCCCCCGTTGAAGATGGGCGCCCAGTCGTTGATCTTGAACCAGTCGCCGCTGCCGTCGTACTCGCCGGCGCTCCCCGGCGCCTTCGACATGTACAGCGAGATGGGCCCCTGGTGGTACACGGCCGTGTCGAGGGTGAAGGTGAAGGCGTCGCCGGCGGCGAGGTCCAGGGTGCTCGTGTTGCCGCCGGTGGCGCCGCCGACGTTGCAGCGGAGGTCGGGGGAGGATAGGTCTGTTGTTTTTTATTTTTGCGAGAGTGAGCATTATGTGAGTATAGGCCCCTATATTTTTTTTTGGGGGGGGGGGGTGGGAGGGATGACGAACCGGTGACGGGAGAGTTGTAGTTGCTGTTTCGCCGGACGTACTCGTAGACCACGCCCTTCCCACTGCCCTTGGACAGGGCCTGGAAGATGTAGTGCGCGGAGGCGCTCTGGGCGGCGAGGGCTACGGTGGCGACGAGGGCGGCGATGTTCTTCATTGTGTCTGTTTTTCTCTGTTTTCTTTTGTTTGCGAGATAGGTACTATGATGGATTCTTTCTTGGGTTTGAGAGGCTGAGATTTTAGCTAACTAGTAGGTAGAGTGATCAAGTGGTTGATGTGTTCTGGGCCATCTTTAAAAACGAGAACAACAACACGGCCTCGTATCCTCGGCAGTTGCAACCCCCTCAACCCCCCCTCCCCCGGATTTTCTTTACAAAGCGTGGACTGCACACTCCAGTCTGTGAGACATGGAGGGCTGGCCAGGCCGAAGGAAAAGGGGGGAGGGGTCAGTTGGTTGGTTTGGTTCTTGGTATACCTTCCTTACTACATCATAGGAAGACTACATGGTAATTGCTATATGATCATAGATTAAAGGGGGCTACTTGGTCTAACACCATACGTCTATTCGTCCCGGCAAATATGGCGCTACCGAACAAGCTTAGGGCCAAGGTGTATAATATCGATATACATATATAAGTATCTATGCATGATGTGCTCACCACGGGCACGAATCGCTCGGCACCTACTAGGTTCCCCGGAGGAGCGGCTGCGAGATCTGTATACATATGTGACAAATCACTTACTCTGGGATGGATGTTGAGATCGGACTACCTTGTCTTTGCTTTCACCGCCTGAGAGGAGGAGGGTAAGGTGGCTGATTTATAATATATTTCGTGTGATTTGTCAATGCTGGGGATGATGGCTTTCTAGAAAGACCTTTGCTAGTAAAATCTGTCCATAAAGAGGAGGGGGTGAGTAGGTATTCGAGTACCAGTACACCACACGCCTCGTTGTTAAAAGTCTCCTAGGAGGTGAGAGGTACTGTATATAGCAGATATGCCCTCTTTGCCTCCTGTCATTTCCAGAGTATTCACCTACTTAGATGGGGTTGCCCATTCCGTCTTTTGTTTGTGTATAAGAAAATGGTCGCAATGGTCGACGAAGTCCACAAAGGTGTGGGTAGCACCAGTAGCCAGGCTCTGATTGATCATCACGGCTAGGTATCCTACTCTCGCGACGTCCAGGACTCGCCGATAACCTACGAAAGCATGGGTAGTAGGTGGTTGACTTAGTAGAGTTTTTGAGAGGTAACATGCTTGCTTGCTTGCTTGCTTGTTAGGGAGTTGCGGTATACTTATACTCTTGTAGACATATGGCGCGGTGTATATCTTACATGCGACCGCATACCCACTATACTTGTACGTATCAAGACTGCGAGGCTATATTGGATGTTGGTTAAGATATATCGTCACCGATAGCGTCGACAACATCGCTTAGTGCGTCTAGATAGATCTCGCATCATCACGAGAACTAGTAAAATCTCAGCACGGATGTGAGTCTGCCTCGCCCAAATAGTAAAGTAGGTAGGTATGTTCTCAAGTGGTCGGCGATTAGGCCATCGATCGCTAGAGCCTCTTGAGAATCTGCATACTTCTTTGCTTGGCTTGCTTTATTAGAGGGAAAAATGAGCTGAATGACCATCAATAAATCTGATGACTTGGGCAGCAAGTGTGATCTCGTGACGAACAGCGCGCAATCGGTCCTTCCAACCGGACAACCCCTGACAATCCTCGGTGGGATTGTTTTCTCGGGAGAGATGACCCGATTGGGGGATATTCGGGGCGGAAAAGCGACGAGAATCTAGTGTTGACGAGAAATTTCAGCAAAAAAAGAAACTTGCTCGAAAGAAGAGGCGGAATATAGGGAACCGTTGGCGACAAACCGGGAAAGTCTCATATGTAAATTTATCCAAATCAACATCCAATTAATCTTATACTTGGCCAGGGACAGGCAGGCTAAGGGGGCCTTGTATTGTAGTATAATTGTACAGTTAGTGTGCGGATACTTTGGAGATAAAGTCGTTGTAGGCACTGGGCAGATAATGAGCAGTCAGCAAAGAGCTCATGCTTAAAAATCTATACCGCAGTGCAGTACCATCATACATGCATGTGTGGGGTAAAAGAAAGAAAGGGACGGAGTCACGCAGGAATCACGGGCCTGGAAGCTCATTGATCGTGGGGGATTTACCCCATGGGCGCCGCCAAGACGGGGGTCCTACCGTCTCAAATATTCAAAGGCTCAGGGGGAAGAGGACCAGGGTGAATGTTGCCATAAGGGAAATGGGCTTGATTTCTTACTTTACATCACACTTTCACTGGTTCGCCAACCCCAATGCCTGACCATTCCACCTATCATTATTGGACAACGGCTTCATGTTCCAAAAGCTTACATCTGAAAGCACATATTATGTTACTATGTAGTATGCTGCCCTAACCTTCCTAACCTAGGTAGGTCCTAACAGTCCAAGAATCCCAGGGGTCCCATGTTGGCCTATGGAAAATGTTGCAGTATTGTTGTTTGATGCTCCCGAGACCGAGGACACAATGCTACCTGAATCCCAAGTTGTTACTCACCAAACGCTGTTAGCTGTAAGCTACGGGCTTGAGCGTCTATCGCCTAGCTCAGCCAGTCGGCTCTCTTGCCAAACCCCTTCCACGCTTGAAACAAGAAACAATATGCCTTCCCTTTATTATATTGTACTAACATACCTACCTGCCCCCTTGCTAAGCCTTTTCTATACGATCCTTTCCCGGCACCGTCCTCCGCAATCTAGTTCCTGCTTTAGCCAGGCCTTCGATTTTAACAGTGGCTACTATGGTACGATGCAGCTCGACTGCAGATCATTGCCCTATCACGTCTTCTCTCTGGGGAACCGGGCGGACAACGAGATATCTTGGCTTCGCCGGTTGCCACAGCACGATGCCATTTATTAATCGATCCAGATCCCATTCCTCAGTAGGCCTGCGTTCCATGCCTCACTAGGTCTTGGATGCTTGGCCTGTGACCCCCAAGATGCCGTCCTTCCCACGTATTGCAACTGCTGTCCTAGCTGCTGCTGCCAGTAAGCCAGCCATGCACACCTCCTAACTTTGAAGATGATGAATACTAAATACTTATATAGCTTTCCGAAGCTGCATTGCCCAAGATCCAGTTCCATATACAGACCCAGATACGGGAATTGAGTTTGGAACATGGGAACAAGGCGATATTACGTTTGGTCTGGCACTACCTGAGGATGCCTTAACGAAGGATGCCACCGAATACATCGGTATATTGGTATGCACCTTTACCTAGGGACAGCTGGTTTGGCGGGAGCTTTACTAAATCCCATCTAGCGATGCTCCACGGGGTGGTGCGGTTTATCCCATGGAGAGTCCGGTCAGATGACACAGGCCTTGCTGCTTGTTGCCTGGCCCTACGAAGGCCAAGTCCTGACGTCCTTCCGATTCGCCTCCGGGTACAGCTTTCCCGGTGTCTACACCGGAGACGCGACGCTGACCCAGATCTCGTCGAAAGTGGACGCAAATGGGTTCGAGGTCATCTACCGATGCCAAAACTGCTTCTCCTGGGACCAGAGCGGCAGTACCGGCAGCGTGAAGACCAGCGAAGGACTGCTCGTCATGGGACGAGCCTCGGCGAAGACTGTCCCCAGCAACCCTCAATGCCCCGCCGATATTCGGTTCGGACAGCATGAAGCCTTTGGCCAGTTTGGCGCTCCCCTGACCGGGATCGGCAAGGCCAAGTATCCAGAATGGGCAGAGTTGGCAACGAAGACCGTCCCCGGCGACTGCGGCACGCCCGACGATCCCGGCACCCCTCCAGCAAACCCTGCCCCCGTTTGCGACGCGGCCATGGCAAATCAGACGTTCGACTACGTTATCGTGGGTGCTGGGGCCGGAGGTATCCCCATCGCGGATCGATTGAGTGAGAAAGGTCACAGCGTGTTGCTCATCGAGAAGGGGCCGCCATCGGCAGGATTGTGGGGAGGATCCATGAAGCCGCTGTGGCTGGAGAAGACAGATCTCACACGTTTTGACGTTCCGGGTCTCTGCAACCAGATTTGGGTCGATTCAGACGGTGTCGCTTGCTTAGATACCGATCAGATGGCTGGATGTGTTCTTGGTGGAGGCACAGCCGTGAATGCTGGTTTATGGTGGAAGGTAAGATTTTTCTCTTTTTGCTCCTCATTTTTTTATGCATTACTAGGCTCCTCAGATGCTGACTTTCTCCTCTTCTCCAGGCAAACCCGAAGGACTGGGACGAGAACTTCCCCGATGGATGGAAAAACTCGGACCTCAAATCAGCGACAGACAGAACATTCAGACGCATACCCGGAACTACGAGGCCTTCCCAGGATGGCGAGTTGTACATGCACCAAGGATTCGACGTCATCTCCAGCGGTCTGCAAAAGGCTGGGTGGAAGAACATACCGATCCCGAACGACGCCCCTACTCAGAAGAACCACACGTTCGGCGCTACGACGTACATGTTCTCCAACGGTGAAAGAGGCGGTCCGATGGCCACGTACTTGGTCACGGCAGCCAAGCGTGACAACTTCGCGCTGTGGATGAACACCCCTGTGCGAAGAGCTCTCCGAACAGGTGGACATGTCACCGGAGTCGAGCTGGATTGCACAGTTGAGGGAGGCGGGTATGGCGTCGTTAGCGTCACCCCTGACACCGGTCGAGTCATCGTTTCGGCAGGCACTTTTGGCTCAGCCAAGTTCTTATTGCGAAGTAAGTTTTTTTTTTGTGATGCCACGGGATTCATTGTTGGGATGATATACTAATCACTGTATACGTACTAGGTGGCATTGGCCCAGCGGATCAACTCGAAGTAGTCGCCGCTTCGACATCCGATGGAAAATCATTCATTGAGAAGGAATCCTGGATTAACCTGCCAGTTGGCTATAACTTGATGGACCACGTTAATGTAAGTTGCCCCAGAGTAGAGTGCAAGCAAGAAATCGTTGATCTTTGTCTGACTTGGCTCTACAACAACAAAGACCGATACCTACTTCACCCACCCCGACGTGGTGTTCTACGACTTCTACGAAGCATGGACCACACCTATTGCCGATGACAAGCAGAAGTACCTAGTGAACCGCACTGGCATCCTCGCCCAAGCTGCCCCTAATATCGGCCCTGTGGTACGTATACCCATCTCTATACGCATCCATAACAGTGCTGACGAGAAGCATAGTTCTGGGATGAAATCGAGGGTGCGGACGGAGTAGTACGACAGCTCCAGTGGACAGCCCGAGTAGAGGGTGCAGACCTGACCAACAGCACGAGTAAGTCATCCTCAGCCATGACAAATTTCCAGCTTAAAGCAGTTTCCATCAACCTGACAATCTCGCACCAGACACCATGATAATGAGCCAGTACCTCGGCCGGGGCCAGACATCCCGCGGCCGCATGACCATCAACCCCGGCCTAACGACCGTCGTCACGACGCCGCCGTACCTCCGCGACGAGAACGACAAAGCCGCCGTCATCAAGGGCATCGAGAACCTGCGCAGCGCGCTCGGCAGCGTCAAGGACCTCGAGTTCCGCCTCCCGGCCTCCAACCAGACCACGACCTCGTACGTCGACGCCATCGAGGTGACGGCCGCCAAGCGCCGGTCGAACCACTGGATGGGTTAGTGAACAAACAAACAAACACCTAACCCAACTACCTTCATCGCTAACACACTCTTCCGCAGGCACCGCCAAGCTCGGCCCCGACGACGGGCGCCAAGAAAACGGCACCGCGGTCGTCGACCTCGACACGAAGGTGTACGGGACGGACAACCTGTTCGTCGTGGACGGGTCCATCTTCCCGGGCATGGTGACGGGCAACCCCTCGGCGATGATCGTGACCGCCGCCGAGTACGCCGCCGAGAAGATCCTGGCTCTCGAGCCCAAGGTCGCTGAGAAGATACCCAAGAACACGGGCGCGCAGATCCTTACGTTGGGGTAAAGGGGTAGGTATGTAGGTAAAAGGTTTTAAAAAAAAAAAGAAAATCGAGAAAAACGAATATAGTTGCAGTAAGCCTCGGGGATGTTTGTGTTGTTGAGTATAGCGTAGTTGGGACCCGTTGGTTTTGCAAAAGGCTCTTGTATATACGTCTCTGTTTCATGAGTGTGTCTTTGTGATACTCCTAAAGCCTATATAGGTATACATATACATATACGTGCACACCTCTCTGTCTCTCTGTCTCTCTCTTAATGTATGCCTAGCCATTCGCGACTACGCTGCTCTAGCGTAGCTTATTATGGCTTGTACGTTCCTCTCAGATATACCTACCTACCCACTCACAACCCTTACGAGAACAAGCTCTCAAAGAATATCGCATCGAAGCCCTGGAACGTCCACTGATCCACATCCGGCGCCAGCTCCGGGAACCGGTAAGGGGCGGCGAGGTCCGGCTCGAGCTGCATGAAGGAGAAGTTGGGATCTTCCCCGAGCGCGGCCAGGAAGCTCGATGGCGGCTGCTCCACCATCGTCATCGATGACGACGACGCGTGGTCGTACACGTTCTCGTTGGACGTGCCATGGTTGTTGTTCCCGAGTGCAGGGAAGCTATGCAGGGCTTGGTTTGGCTCGATGGGCCCTTCGCTTCCACCGCTACCGTAGCCGGTGAAGGTTTCGGTGATACGACTGCTGCTTCTGCTTCTGCTGGCGTCTCGCTGGATCGGCCGGGGCGGCGAGCGCCGGGCCACGGGGTTGATGTTGATGGTGCCCAGATACGGGATCTCAAGACGCACCGGCGAATCCAAGCTCCCCCCGTGGGCATTCGCAGCCGCCGTCGTCGTCCGATCGACGTCCATCAGCGGCAGCAGGCGGGTGACGATATCGGAGGTCTCGCGTGAGAGCTTGTCGCCCTCGCGCGCGGCCATGTCGTTCATAACGTCCCTTACGGCAACGACGAGCTCCCGGTCGGAGGCCCGCTGGCGGCTCGTCGCCGCGTCGCGCGCGCGTAGCTTGGGGTCAAGATAGCAGAGTAGTAGTGTCATGGCGGCGGTTAGGGCGCCGTAGTCGATGTGGCGGCACGCGGAGGCGGCGCGCGTCAGGTGCCGGAACACGAGGTACGCGTGCAGCAGCGACCGCGAGGACGACTGGCACGAGGTCTTGCTATAGTCCCAGCGTCGCTCGTTGGGGTCCCGGAGGGTGTACGGGAGGTGCAGCAGGATGGTGAGGTGGTGGTGGTTCATCTGCGCCACTGTAATGGGAAGAGGAAGGATTTGGTTAGTAAGCGTCTACCGTAGGTGGATATATTACTTCCAACCCCCAACCCCTGAAAAAAGGGGGGTGTAGGAGGTAAGGGGTCGGATATGTCTCAGGGGTAATGAAATTCTCCATAGCTCCAAGGGCTGAAAGCAAAAAGGGGAAAAGAGAGTAGAAGGATGAAGACGGAGGATGTTACATACTGACGCGTGAATGCGTCTCCACCAGAGCACGCATTGATACTGTAGACATATCCGGGGGTAACTCAACCGGCTGCCACCAAGCTGCACCCATTGATTTGGCGGCGAACTCGAGCTCGCAGTCTATGGCTTGTGTCATGCCAAAGGCTGCATCACCTATGATGTTGCTGTTGGCGTTGCTGATGGTCAGATTTCGTTTGATAATGCGGCCTGTGATAACGGTGTGTAGCTTCATGAACCTCGCGACGGGTGAGTCATTCGCGGTTTGCTCAGGGCTCGCGAACGAGTCGTCGTCCGAGGCGGCTGGGAGTCCGAGCAGCAGCGATAGATACCGCTCAGAGAAGTTGGTGCGCTGCCATATAGAACTGGCTCGTGTCCGGGTTGCCGGGTCCGAATGCGGATCTACGGATCTAAGCGGCTTGTCATCCGGAAATCGGTCTACGCCCATGAGCTGGGCTATGGCGTTGGCCCGCCGGAAGGCTAGCCAGCCCTTACGGAGGTTTCCTACGTTGCCACTAGATTAGGTGAGTGGTGTTAGAAAGACATGCTACTCTTTTGTGTAGAAGTAAAAGCGATATGGCTCAAAAATGTTACATACTGATATAGTGCGATTAAATTCAAGACCTCTAAGCCCTCAACGGAACCGACAAGATCGTCATTAGACACCACCAGCTCCGAGACCAAGCTCGCGAACCTACTCATCTGAGCTCGGAGTGGCTCCTTTGATACAAGACCTAACAGTTCTTTCTCATCAGGGGGTATCTTCTGCATGCAATTCGTCAACTGCATCAACCGTTTCGCTAACACGGCGGGGTGGCTGGTACTGGGAGGAACCTCTGCGACGGAGGACGGCGGATCGGACGGTCCGTCGAGCCCGTTGAAGTACTTCACAATGAAGTATGCACCTGTACCCACCGCTAGAATCGTATCGATGTCCTGTTGGCACGGGAAGGCCGCATGAAGCGCCTTGGAAATTTGGCCATACTTAGTTGGGGTGATTGGGGTGACGGATCCAAGGCCCCCCTGCGTCGATGTTGTTGGGGGTTGTGGAAATGCCGTCGAAGCTGAATCTGAAACATACGCGCTTCTTTCCTGTGGCAAAGGCTCGAAGAGACCGATGGCATGAGGGCCATCGTTAGCTTGGGGGTGTATGTTGTCCGAAGACGAATCAAGCTCATCTTCAGCCGACGCGGAGGATGTAAGAGGCCTCTCGCCAGTTTGGCCGCAAGTACAAGAATGAGGTGTAACCTTCTCGACAAGCGCCTCGAGTAGGGCCTCAACTCTACTCAGCCGTTGCGACAGGCCTCCTTCTGAAGTAGGTGGCGGTTCACCGGTGAATTCCTGGCTAACACACGCCGTCCCTCGCGCCTCACAGCCCACACAAACGGTGGCCGTAGAAGACTCATATTTGCAACGGGTTTTCCTTCTCCTGCCTTGCCATCGGGAAGTAATTTTAGCATATCCCTGGGCCATCTATAGGTAGATATGAAGGTAGGGGAACTTACATTCCCAGCAACTATGTGTACCCTTACGAAGTTTCCTCCTCTTTGCTTCTCGAACTACATCGTCTGAGCGTCGGACGGGGAGCTGTGACATTTTCTGCTATGTATCTACCGCAAAATTCTCATAAATCGTATACACGTTTAGCTTAGCCTAGCCTATCATGAAATGAAACATTAAACTACATAGCATCATATCGTAGTAGCGACATGGTAGTTGAGAAACGTTTGATCAACTGTGTCTGTTACATTTTTAAGCGGAGGAGTTATAGTGAGTGCCAAGAAGAGTCAGCCGAATTTACAGGCAGATGAATTTGTCAGCGGTGTTTATGTAAGTAAATCCAGAGTCATGAGTACTATGCATTTATAAAACGAACTAAACCCTACATAAGTACCTAACCTACTTACTTACGGCGTATTGTATGCTCTCAATGCAATGGATTATTTATTGAATGACTACACCAGCAAATGTAAGAAGACATGAAAAAAGTCGTACGGGTGCGAGCCTGAAGATGCTACATATGCCCAGAAGGGTGAACGGAAAGCAGCGTCAATAGTACATATGTATCCGTCCATTACCTTTCATTTTCTTTCTCTCTACCCCTACCTACCTAGCTGAAGTCTTCAGTAGTATCAGTACTGTCTAACGTTGGGTGAAACTGCAATGACCAACGGACAGTGACATAGCTCAGCGACCGGCTGAATATCCGTCTGTAGCCAACCGGCCCATGTGCGACGAAATCTCCGACGAGGGTAATTGCAGAGCAAGGCGCGATTTCGAGCTTTTCGATCGCCTTTCGCGTGCCCGCATCCCTAACATCAAAGGAGCTCTTGTCTCACCTACATGTAGGTCCTAGATATCTGCAATATGACATGTATCAATATGTACCTACCTACTGTGTAAAGAAGACATGGAGTCTCTAAAGACACTTTTCTGGGTATATAAGTATTTATCAATACCAACCGAGCCTTGCTATAGTTTCGTGTCACGCTTCGCCTTGGATCAGAAACCTAGGTCCACCTCGGTCAGCGTTGAATACGGAATGTGCTACGAGAAAACCCTCTTGTGCTCCGGCCATCAGCATCATAACCGTGTTAGCTCGGCGGGATCAAACATCGGATGACGTGGCTGGAGTGATGGTCTCCTCCGGGCTTCACAAGGCCTCCATAGGACATGAACATCGGTCGCTGTCAGACGGTCCATCCAATCACGCATGGCTCGGAGAATTATCACTCGTGGGACGGCGGCATTCGATACTGTAAATAATTTTTTGGGGGGGCTGTTGGGGGCATTTTAACCACACTTATTAGACTGCTGGAAGCGGTCCCTTGCCGCAACGACTCCTTGTTCCACGTTGGTCTCGTGCGGGTACTATTCGTTCATTCAAGCCTTCCATGTTGGCCAGGCTCTTACGTACGATAGGTTTTATTCCCAAATTTCATTGACTTCTGATTAGGGAATGCCTCGTGCTTAAAAAAGTCAAAAATTCCAAGACAGGTAAAGGAACGTGCATAGTTGTTCTTGTCATAGATTTGTAGAGGGTTGGTGAAACGGCTAAGAAAATGTATTGCTAGATGTGAACTTATTTTTCGTTGTATGTACTCCTCCGTCTTGTGTAGATGAGGTGGACTGCCTGTTTTAAGAGAAAGCTGTTGTCCAAATATGGATGTTAGGATCATTTCAGGGGCTTAAAAGGCTGTCGTACGCCAATAGTCTCACAAGGTAGACTTCAACTGGACTGTTCGGGACTATTCGAGTTTGCGCAGTACCATTTGGCTTTAAGCATATGTACCTACGATCGAGGTTCTGGCATTCTGCTCATATATCCATACTGTACCTATGTAATTGCTTAGAAGATGTAGTTAGGTATGCAATTGGAGCAAGCCATTCCATCTCCGTATGATTAACCGAAAAGCTGGTAGCGACCAAGGCTTAAAACATGCGCAGTAAAGGGGCTCACGACCTCTCTTTCTTTTTTTCCTTATAACTAGTAGTGGATATGATTGATGTCTGTTTGAGCAACCTATCCTGATGGGATATGATATACGGAGTAAACCCCGTATGAATTGGTCCCCGGACAATGTTCAAGGGATCTAGGTACCTACCTACCCACCCATTTAAATAAGAAAGATTGGTCGATCTTCATTGAATCTTTACTGAAAATAACAGAATCCATAAATTTAACGTTCGATATTTCAGCTGGACATCGTACTGTACCCTAAGTAGGGCCTGGTACAGGCTGGTAGGCATCTTATTAATACCTAGTACCCTGGTAACGTACTGTACCTATTATGGTTACTATGTAGAAACCTAAGCTAAGGCTGAAACAACTTATGCGTATATCTTTAATGGTCCTAGCGTCTTAGCCATTAATATCCGATGGATTATGATGGATCCCTTCAGTAAGAGGCTCAGGTATCCTTAACTCAGGCATCCTAGAGGTCTCGAATTAGTTTAAACCAAACATTGAACACATTGAACACATTGAACACATTGAACACATTGAACATAGTTACATCTTTTTCACTTCTCAGGAGCTTATTTCTCAGCCTCTATATAACTAACTACCTACAATACAACTTGAATACATACTACTTCATATGTGCATATATGTAGGTAAGCACTTAACCTAGTTGGCTCATGATGTCAGTTGTAACCTACCATGTACGTAAGCACCACAAATGCAATTGATTGTGAAACAGAGATTTCAAGGCCATCCAAACCCATCGCTTTCAAACCATCCATACCTTTTATCTACCCTAGGTATTGTACCTACTACTTAAATTACCGCAGCCGATGATGTCGATCAGCCCAAAGGATCGAAGCCACCATGACAAGTTGAATGAAGGCCTACATCACAATGATCACATGCTTCTTGTCTACTCGGGACCTGGAGGTGGATGCCAGTCGTAATCGGACGAGAGAGAGAGGAAGCCCGTCACACCAGATCCAAGCCCCATATGTGCTTACCTACCTACATCTTACACATTGAAGGTATTGTACCTACATGCTTCAATATTCATGACCTTTTTCCAGGCTGCATACACATATGTATTGTACCTAGTACCTGGTCAACCACCTACTAGCTGATACGTAGCTTGAACTTTGTCGACGTGCTCGTTATGAAGCTTGGTATCAAAATAGCAGAGAAGAAATCGCCATTTTCTTCTCTTTTCTTTTCTTTTCTTTTCTTCTTCTACTTCACAATCACGCACAGCCGCAGTTTCGCATACTTGGTAGGTACCCTACATGTAGGTAAATGCACTAACGCCTCTCCGGCCCCCAACACCAACCCGTACAACAGTGAAAAGGGAGAATTTCGCCCTGTCTGTCAGGCTCGGTACATCCCGACGGGGTTAGCTGCATGCCAATACCCTGGTGCCGGTCTGGTGCTAATCCGGTCACAGATCGCAGCTCTAGCCCTAGCAACTAACTAGCAGCTTTCGGCATCAAACACTGCATAACAGTTTCAGACCCGGTGCCGGGTCTCAGTTGCAAATCAACCCGATTTTCAACTGACCAGGGCTGTCAGGCCCCATGCTTCATGCCTCATGCTGCTCATTACTCCTACTTACATACATATGCTGTATAGCTACCTACACTAGGCATACACACATCTCGTCTATTTGCTCGATTGGATCTGCCTTCTTATGGGGAGAAAATCATCATGCATACGAGAGATAGCCCTGGGAAGTTGCCCCGCGTAGATGCCGCACTCCGTTATTAGTACTATGTAGCCACGGTCCGTGAGCCTCAGCTACGCAAGACCATACATGATACATCCATGGATGCAAGGCGAACGTCGCAACCCCTGACGACGCACATTGAATGTGGAAGTTGTGGAATTTAACGTTTTACTACTCAACTAGGCTTATGATACCCTAGGTACAAGTTACCTATTACACACATGGGAGTTCTGCCCCAGAAATGGTTAGCTAAGCCCCATCCTTCCTCTCTTCTCAACTGCGATATCTGCCTGGATAGACACTACATACCTGTACTGTCGCTACCCTCTTGTGGATGCAATTTTGCTTTGCAGTTACCCAACTTGGATCCATGCTCGGCAACTAAGCTCGGCATTCGATTTAAAAACGTCCTGGTCTAGGCCTGGCCATGTCCCTGTGAAGATCACGGAGGGACTGTTCAGATGGAACGTTTGACGCCATGATCTACAACACGTCGATCTGACACACGGGAAGCTTCTAAAACGACCTACCTGTCGCCTCCAACACCTGGAGGACTACCAGGAGTATTACTATCCTACTAGCCCCGCATTACTATATGGCTCGTGGGAAGAACAGGCGCAGACTTTGATAACAATAGGGGCATAGGGGTGGTTTTCATTGGAGAGGGCCCGTAGAGAACCAAACCGCCCAAGTTGTCCATGGCCTGCTTTCCCTGCCGTGTGATAGGCCACACACCCTTACCAGCTCACGGCGCAATGCATAGTGCGAAGTATCCGTGTAGCCCTTTTGTAGGTGGTAACCCTACTAGGTAGGTACTCGAGATACTACTCTTTCATCCTATAATGCCGTCCGTTGACTATAGCGAACGTCTTTCTCCCTAACTACCTAGGCTAGTCTCTCCATTGACACCTTGACATCTCTAAGCGGCCTCCGATCCGGACTCAGAACAAACTTTTGTCTTAGTCCTCTAGAAACTTGAGCTCGAACTTGGAAACGATAATCTGTTTCTTTTCGGATACCCCAAATTACACCCCCCCCCCCCTCATATCCTCTCAAGTACAGTTGTAACTGATCTATCCAAATGCATACACCTCCATGTTTGTGTAACATTAGCATAGCCTACAGCAGCCTTGCTCTCCCGTCTCTGGCACACCCATCTATTCTGTCAATATCATCCTATCTTCATAATTTGCGACTCTATATCCGACTCCCCTGCGTCTTCTCTGGTGACACCTGTTACCTTCTTGGCCTTCAGTTTCGAGAGTTTCTAGACTGACTGAGCAAGAAGTCTCTTTCACTTATCCACTATCAACACTCAATTATAGGGAACAACCTAGATCTACGACCAATTTGACGTTTCAGCCATACCACATCGAATAACAGGGGGTTGCTGTTCCCTTCTGGAGTTCCCCCATATTTGAAATCGCCGACTAGGAGAATATTCAGTCCAGCAGCCGCGCAAGCTGAAAACCCCCGTCTACCTACACTTAGTTCTTCGGCACGTAGTTACATTGATTGTTTCAATCTCCTAATATCATAAACTCCTCCATCGTCGATCAGTGTCGATAACTTTATTCTTCCTACCATACCCCTACTTATACTTTCCCCAGCAACAAAAGCTTGGGACTCCCCACATCATACACGACCCATCCAAGCTCCTTATGAACACTTCTAACCATTTTCACCCCACTACGATTGCATCGAGGGAAAGGGCCTGACCGGCGGCATTCTTGGCTAGTACTTGCCCCCTTTTCGCTGGAAAGAATATGAAAGAATACCAGGGTGCTAGGGAGAACAATAAGAATTAATATCATTCTTAATTGGCGTACTCACAGCGTGTTATCCTGGTGCCAACGAGCAGCTAGGCTACGAGAAAAGGCCGTAGGATCTAATTCCCCGCTAAAACTATTGCGGTTGGTCAAGGGGGTGACGCTGGATGAGCCAATTCCATTTCTGTTCTAGCAGAGGAATCTTGCCCATGAATCGACGGCATCGACGACACGAGGGGAATACATACTTATCACACCCACGGAGACTAAGCCACTAGACGTTGAGCTGACTGCCTACCGTATAATGTTCTTGGGGAAAGAGGGACGAGAATGACAAACAGTTAGGGTTGACTTGGATAAATTACGTTTTTACATTATACCACCACGAGAGCAAAGTCGCCTGAGACGCTGGAACGCTGGAACGCATGCACCTCGATAAGACGACTCGGCTCCCTTCCATTCCCTCGAGTTCCTAGAGATCTTTCGAAATACTAGGAGCCCTAACCGAAATTATCGTGTCCTTTCGACGTACTCTTAGCCCAACTATAAGCAGAGCTTTTACATACTCTTCAGATAGCAGTGCTATCTTAAACACCAAAACGAAAGCATAGCATCCAGAGGGTCGAATTTTTTTGATGTGATATTTCAAGTTGTCGGCAGTATGGATGTCACGTCATTATTGAATTCATCCTCCTTGGTAAAAGGGGAGGCGGCGATCGGTACGAAAGCACGGAGCATGGTGGATCATGTTATCAACTCGACATCTATAAGGGCGGATGGTGTGGTAGTATCTTCATCTTCTCATGATAGCTCATCTCATGAGAAGACATCACCCCGGAGGACAAGCGATCCGAAGGTACCGATTCGAAGTAGGACACCATGGGATGCCAATGGATATGCGCTTCCACTAATGCTGGATACTAAGCTATCCCAAGCACCAGCTCGACCAAAATCCAACAGCACATCACCGGCAGAATCTGGTAGTCCGAAATCGCCGCAGCATAAGTGTTCAGGTAGTCATAGCAGTCTATCTTCGTACACATCATCATCAACTTCCCTATCTCATTCGAGGATTTCATCCATGTCTACTGTCGGAGGGATGCAACCCATCAGCTCTATCCCTGACACGACATCTCTCGAAACACAGTTTGAGTGTGCAGAGCTTCCAATGCCGAAAATATGGTCATCGTCATCCGATATACCGCAAAAGGCGGCAACAGAGGAAATTACACCTCCACCAGCAAACAATGGGGGTACCATAGTCACAGACTGTGTACGATCAGGTTCACCTTCGGATGCCATGTTAATATCAAGAGGCACGCAGAGTTTAGATCGAGTGAAAAAGCAAGAGGTAGTAGTCATGTGAGTATTCGTTCCTGTACAGTGTTTTTCTTTTTTTCTTTCTTTTTTTCTTCTTTTCGGTCTTTCCCCCTTTTATCATTAGCTCATTATCACCTGCATATACTTTCAACGGGCCGTGATTCTCTGCATACCCGAGAACCAAAGTGTATGATTGGTACGATTTTTGTCAGTTGGAAAAGCTTAGTGAGCTCTAAGCAACCGTTATCGTTTACTACTGGTCACGGATTATTGACCCCTTTCCCAATGTATTCCCAATGTATTCCCAATGGGCCCCCCTTTTACCCTATCAGGCCTCGCGTTTTTTCATTTTCATCCCTACCATGAAATCGTAACTGCCTGGTTTTGATTGCTGGCCTCAGGCTTCTTCTACTTCTGACTTCCCAATAAAATAATTTCCTAACATGATTGTATTATAATTCATACTGTACCACGAAGCCTACTACTCATTAGTCACTCCAGTTCCTTCCCAATCATGTTCTCTTCATACGGCTTTCTTCGCCTATATAAATTTAGGTTGAAAATCAAAATCGTCCACCTTCCCAATCGCTAATATTTAATGCTTCTTTAGGTCCAAAGACTTTAGATCTAATCACACTCATCTCATTCCTCTTGACTTTGCGAAAGCACACAAAAGAGCTATATCAGCACCAATTCTCACTGCCACGGACACAATTGACAGAAAAGTTCCTCCATTCTCTTCCGTCCTCCAGCCCATCCCTTCACCTCTACAGCAGGGAGGATTTCGATCAAGTTACGCCATGGAAGGTACAAACCCTCCAGCTGAACTACCAGGCCACTCGGTTTCGGACGGCGGCATCTTTTGCATGTACAAGCCCAATTGCGATACCGGATCACAACTGCGCAAGGCCATCTCACACATCTTTGGTCGCAACAAGACGTGCACAAGAAACATCCCTTCCCATGTCTGGGTTCACTTCTGTCGAAAGCACTACCAACGTAGCCGCTATCGCAATGCGCAGGAATGGGCTAGAGTCCAATGCGATTTGGTTTTGAAGCAAATCCACCGCGTGCAGGACTGGAGCGATGACAACAAGCGATCTGGACAGGGCGGCGTCGTACAAGAATGGTCCCTATCCATGAGGAAGCGGGAGCAGAACCGCGTGCAGGGTAAATCAAGCAAGAAACGGTCTTATCCCAACGAGAGTGAAGATGATGAGGACGATGTCCCAGACACCGCTACTATGAATGGAACCGCCGTGCCTGATTGGTTGCGCAGCAAGTGTGGCGATGGATACAGCACAGCTGAGATTGGAGAAATCATGGCACGTCTGAAGCAAGAGATGGAAGAGACCAATATGACGCAGATTCCTGACATAGAGATCCTCCCTAACATATCCATGAATACATCTGACAATGGGGCGCCCAAGGTAACGGTTAAGCGCAAGACTAGCTCTGGAGGCCCTGCCCATAAGCGATCTCAGTCAGTTGGGGTTACTCTTCGGCCCGAGCCTCAGCCCATGACTCGTCGAGTTAGCCAGCCCATGTATTGGAAACAGAATGATTCAATGCGTTTGTCACCTGTCGAAAAGCGCCAAAGAGTATCTGATGCACCGTCATATCGTGATGGTCAAGCTCATACAGCTGCTCATACAGCTCCGAGATATCCAGAGCGACCAGCACTTGCTCCACTCCGGCCGACTCACACCCTTCCCCATCGCCCTTCTTTCAACAACATACAGGAAAGCCGTGCCGAGGACCCTTACTATGCTAGTGAAGATGCCCGAGCCCCTCAATATGGCTATGATCACTGGTCGGCATCGGCCTCTCAACAAAATGGGGCCCAGACTACAGTTGTGTCATCGGAGTCCACTATGGCCCGGGATTATATCGACGGCGGACGTATGCTCCACCACCGATCGTACCCAGAAGCTGAAACTCCGCAGCACAACTTCACGTTTCGTTCCCAGTTAGGTTATCCTCCAATGTCACAGGAATCGGCGTCTTACAATAGAGGCCCAGCGCCTTCGGGGCATTTACACTCGGGGTCTGCCCCCTCAAACTATTATGAGGACCGCCCAGCCCTAGCTCAACGAAGCTTTAGCTCCTACCAGTCTCAACCACCTTGGACCTCTCCAACGCCAGGTAATCCCCCGCAATATCCTAACCAAAGACACGCGCGACATCAGAGCACCCCGTCATCTTCTCATGGAAACACTCCCCACATACCTTCCATCGAATACGAGCACGCTAGTAGTGCCCGCCAGATAGCATATGAGCAGTCTCCCCCATACCACCGCCGCCAACGCTCATATGCCCAGTCTCCCCAGTATTCTCGTCGGGCTCCGGTATTAGAGTCTGATCAGGCCAAGGCTGTGTTCAGCGAGCGTCGCTAGGCCATAGGCCAAAGTTCTCTTTATTGAGATTGTTTCGGTTCATTAGTCCCGCCCTAAAGAGCCTCAATCAACGCGATGTATTATTTCACATGTTTTCCATATTTTCCCATGCTTCGATTAGATCACGCCTGTTTGCGACTAAACAGTACACCAAAGAGAAAATCTTAGAGTCTTAGACAGGATACCCCCTTCCAACCACACCACAAAACCAGGAGAGAGAGGCCATGGAATCCAACGGCGCGTGGTATATCAGGTCCAAACGCGTCCTTCCAAGTTTGCGGATGGTTTTATTCCACAATGATATTTCGGCTGCTTCTAGCAACCTCGATTATGTTTGGGGGCAATGTACATGGAGTTTATGGGTTCATGTTATCGGTAGCATGATGCGACGGTCGCCTGGGATCGTTCTGGCGTTTAAGTGTGGGGGGTTGCTTCTATCTATTGCCGGGTCCATTTACGTGGTGGGAAAAGTAAAGAAAAGCAAATAAAAGCACTTATGTGAGAGGCGCCAGAGGAGTTACCGGCTGCTTTATCAAAGGTAGATAGTCGGTATATAAGTAGGCGAACTTCAGACTACCTAGACATGAGAACGTGGGTTCGGTAGCCCCAACGTTCATCTATGAATGCGATGACTTTTACCATTTAACGACCTTGACTTTCCATTATTATGCTGATGCTTCTTATATATAATATGCCGTGAAGATGGCTTTGTTGCCTACGTAAGTGGTTGTTTCTTGCTATGTGGCACGCGTTGTAAAACTTTCATATATTGGATTCGTTGGCCAACTACCTAATACCTACCCACCTCCACGGCAATCACAGAATATGCGAGGCGTTTCTAATGAAATATAAAAACCATGCATCGATAGATGCCAACAAGAAATGTGTGAACCTTAGAAACACCTACACAGTAGCTTATATATCACAAGCCAATGTTCGAAATAATGGTAGGTAGGTAGTGGTCGAACAATCAACAAACCACGAATAGAAACAAGATAAAGCCAAAAGAAAAGGTTCCAATATTCACTTTGATCTTTACAACCTCTTTATATATTTGTCTACCTAGTGTGTCTATAAACACGTGCTTAACCTAAGTGTGCTACCTATGTATTTATACATACTTATAAGAATATTGATATCATTCAAGTTTACTTCAAGTGAAAGACCTACATATGTACAGAGGAATGGCGCAGAGGTTTAAACAGGGCGTAGTTAAATATTAAACAGCCAATCACCCAAGCAACCGACCAACCAACTAACTAACTAATCAAGAGGCTTAAATACTATAAATCAATCACCTACGAATAGCATGTTAGCACGCTGGCAATGCCCTCTGATTGGTCGGTTTGGAGAATAATTCCTCGATTAGGAAAGTGCGTCAGCATCCAACCACATGGCGCCAACTCTAACGGTAACCGCGCGCAGCCAGCCCTCTCTTATAAAGAAAAAGAACAGCTCGTAAGCATTAGAAAAGCTAAAATCAAGCCTCGATGTGATGGATTACTTTCGTGGCTAGGTGTCTATTGTAAATAGCCTCAAAAGTCTGTCAATGAGAGGATAAAAGGGGGGGCTAATACGCATGGTGCATACCAGGTGCCTGACTATTGATAGCACCGCCGAAGTATAGGATTGGTGCTGCCTAGTGTCAATGTACATATGTGGTGGTAATATGTGGTGGTATTATCTTCTCCTTTGCCTGGATACCTGATGCTGGTAAGGCAAACATACACACGTACCTATTATGACAATGAATGCGTGTATATGAGTGTATATGCGTGGTAGGTATCCAGGGTAGATAGTTGGCCGAAGAGCGTGGAGCACATTGCACACGACACGCATTAGAACCCCTCCCCCCTTTTTTCTCCCTCCCTCTTGCTAGCGCCGCGACGGCTAGGTGAAGCTATACCTAATACCTAGGTAAGCATAGCTAAAATGGCCATTAACGTGCATAGTAATATCTTTATTTCCTTGGTGCTTAGTATTCGGAGGAGAGAAGGTTTAAAGCGATATAAGACGAAAAAAGCCATGCTTAGTTCTCGTCAGTGCCTAGTTAGCCAATGCTTATTGTATCTTCCCGGCTTATATTGTTCTAAATCCTTATAAAGTATATGGTGTTCCTCAGATATATAAATACTGGGTATGGTACGGCGTGGTGAGATGCTTGACGAGAGAATTCATCACAAGCACAAGAGACAGTTTCTCTACCTACCAACTTACTTACCAACCTGACATATACGGGCGAACTGTGTGTATTGCAGAAACCTGTTTGCTACCTATTGAGTTAGTTGTGTGGTTTACCAACGCTGCTATTATTCGGAAAGAGGACGACTAGCAACCTGAGGCTATCATAAAAAAGTTGACAAACGCCGTGCTGTTCGCGTGGGTTCCTACATGAGACCCCCCCTTCTAAACGGTTCAACCTTCTAAGAATTGTCAAGTCAGCTTTCAATCACAACCTCAGAGGAATCTGGTCCTACTCTAATCCACTACCTACCCATCTGCATAACATCTGCAGGTGCGTGTCTCGGAGTAGTACTTTATCACCCTCGCGACAAGAAGGATTTAGTTGCCAAGGGAAACCAAAAACCCAACACGCTTCTTCTCACGAGACCCATTTCTACACCGAACACGCTACTTATCCTTGACGAACATTCTCCCACTAATAAGTTTTTGCTGTTCTGTTTGATACTTAGCAGAGCATTTCAATCGGGACAATGGGATCAACCAAAGATCGTACCGTCGCGTTTGCGTTCGACATTGATGGTGTTCTTATGAAGGGAAAGAAGCCAGTCCCAGGAGCTCGCGAGACAATGCAATTGTTGCAAAAGCTCAAAATCCCCTTTATCTTTCTTACCAACGGCGGTGGACACACCGAGGAAGCGCATGTTGCCCAGCTAGGCCAGCGCCTCAGTCTCACCTTTGATGAGAAGCAATTCGTCCAGTCTCACACGCCATTCCGCGACCTCGTCCCCGTGTACAAAGAGAAGACAGTTCTCGTTCTCGGCGGCCACGGTCAGCAGATTCGCAACCTAGCTCATGCCTACGGCTTTGAGAAAGTCGTCACATCTTCAGATGTATTTGTGGAATTTGAGCACATCCATCCCTTCTCTGAGTTGACAAAGGCGCATCACGAGGAGCATGGTCGCGTTGGTGGAAGTGTTATCAGCAAGGACGACGGCACCATGGTTAAGGGCACTGGTGAGAAGAAGCTATCGCTCAAAACGACTCCGATCTCAGCCATCCTGGTATGGACATCGCCTCGCGACTGGTGTCTAGACTTGCAAATTGTCAACGACTTATTACTTTCCTCGGGTGGACTATTCGGCACGCGATCTGCCAAGAACGGCGACGAGACACTCCCGAACTGCGGATTCCTTCAGGACGGGCAGCCGCCGGTTTTCTTCTGCAACCCGGACTTTGAGTGGAGCACCTCTTATGACCACCCGCGTTTCGCGCAGGGAGCATTCCGAGAAGCTCTCAGAGGCATATGGCGCCGAACTACGAGAGACCGGGCGGAGCTCCAGTACAGCATGGTGGGAAAGCCTACCGAGGACACATATCGATACGCGGAAAGGGTGCTTGTGGAGTATTGTGGAGAAGGAGTGGAGGATGGGAAGAAGATCGACACGGTGTATATGATTGGAGACAACCCTGAGAGCGATATCGTGGGTGCGAACTCGTTCCAATCGCCGCGAGGTATTGAGTGGAAGAGTGTCCTAGTCCACACCGGCGTCTATGTTCCGGGAACCGTTCCTGTGCATGAGCCGCATTATTCCGTGGCCGATGTCAAGGAAGCCGTGGAGTCTACGCTGAAGAACGAGGGCGTTAGCACGGATTCGTTCTGTCTATAATGGCACGACCAAGTGAGACCATAGGATAATTCCTAGGTCGCTTGGTTACACGGAGTGGACGTTTTGTTGTAAGAATTACGGAGGCATTAGCTTGGAGTGGTTGGCGTTACGGTCTTGAGTTTGGAGATCCGAATTCGAGTGGGAGAACAGGGCCATCAACTTTACGGGAGGACTAGGAACCTACTTCATACCATTTCTCCATGTCTTAAGACTAGTAGAATGAAATGAAGTAGGCATATAAGTATGTAGGAAAAGCAGACCCCTTTTATAGTCTCTTAAACCTTTTCACGCCTTCCTGCTCACATGGCACTTAGATGATTAGGTACCACCTAGGGTACTGTAGGCAGGCGTGGAAAGTTCTATCGCGGTCTTATACTCCGTCCCTTAGGGAAAAAGAGAAAAGAAAAAGAAATTGAGGCAATCACCCTTTTAGTGTCGAGTTGCAACACCCTGGTGGCTAGATAGGAATTGGAAGGAGCGAATAGTCCCTTCCCTACCATGTACTTACTTATTGTGCTTGCCAGTACGGGTTGTGCAAGTGCGGCTGTCCAAATTGCAAATTAAATTTAAAAAGAAATCCTTTTTTTGAGAAATCATCTCTTCTTCCTTTTCTATTTTTCCCGTTTCGAATTTCATTCTGTCACCAATATACTTCAACCAAACCCGCCAATATGTCCGAACAGCAAGTATCGCCGGAGGCGCAAGCACCAGACTCTCCGAAATCACAAACGGCGTCACAATTGAAACCACCTATAGCAGGAGCATCAAATTCGCCTGGACCATCCCTTAAAACACCTGCGAAGCAGGTAAGATTCGCTCAGACCGAAAGCCCGCATCAATCGCAATCACAACCTCCGTGGCGTGTTCCCAAACCACAGATTGTCAGTATAAAAATGAAAATGAGTTAAGAAGCTTTAGCATGAGTTACTGTTGACCGAACCTCAATCGCTAACACCGTTTAGATAACCTTCCCGGTTGAACAGTGTAGTAACTCTAGACCAGCTGCTACGATGGCGAGACAGGTCCATTCGCGACTGGCGTATGTGGAAGATCAGAGGCGGCAATCCTATTATGACATGCTGAGTGAGATGGACCCCTATAAGGGGTCGCCCAAGGAGTTCATTCACTTGCTTGTGAGAGCAGCAATGAGGGACGAAGAGGTCTCTAAAGCGCTTCATCGAATGAACGATGAGAGGATACAAAACCCGGCTTCCTGGCAGCCACTGAACCCACCTTGGAACCAGCAGCATCCACAGTCAACACTCCATGGTCATTTCCAACTACAGCCTATCCCAACTGTACCGGTTGGGTATGGACCTCAACAACCCCCCATGCCACAGCCGGTTTTATGTTACGCATACCCACTATCGTATCCAGGCTTAGGTCATCGGCCACTACCAGAACCTCTCTACGGCCAGCCGGCACCGAACACATACCCTCAGTTATACTCGACTCCACCATCAAGATTTAAGGTTCCGCCATACCCAACTACCTCTCATCCCGTAGGCGTACCCTCAAGTCAAGTTCAACATCCACCCGCTACTCCGCAGTATGATCCTATCCCGAATTCTGCAACGAATTCGCCTGGCAATGTCAACAAAAGCAACAGCACTAGTCCAAATACCAGCACTTCCCATACAGATATCACTATGGCAGATCATGCTGTTGATACGGAAGGTGGTGCTGTTGCTAATGACAGCGCCAATGTCAACGAATATGTTGTTGGGTTAGAGGATGAGGATGAGGATGAGGACCCGGAATACGTGGAGCAGATCGGTAACTTTAGCTGGGTAGTGAATGAAGCCCAAACCTATCTCGGTTGGACCGGTAAATGGGATAAGGAGCCTGCTACAAGACAGGACATCCTAGGCAAATCTGCAGCTACCAAACTGCAAAAGCTCCTTAAGATGATGAACGCAATGGCAGACATTTATGTGACATTTCGCAACCGGATTCACATCTTATCTGTCATGCGCCAAGTCATTCTAGTTACCCTGGACACGGACTCACGTATCGGCGACAAGTGCCGTGAGATGGCTCTGGAATATGACAGTTTGTTCGTCGAGGCCGTTGGCAAGCTGACCGCAAGTCAGAAACGGAAAATTAAAGTCCTGCGCGGTGGTAGGTGGATGATTGGGTTGCTAGGTCTCATCGATTATGCAAATAAGCTATCTATCTTCCCGCGCCTTAGAGAGGTGCCGGCGTTGATAGATTCTTAGAGGGAGCATGGATCTGAAATCTGTGATTTAGGATCTGGGATGCATGACATGATGAGATATCCCTTAGCGATGTGTTTTCTGGGTTTTAGCGTGATGTGTGTCATAGCGAAGTCGGTTATATCAATAGCGATACCTACATACTTAGGTATGATATAATGCCTACCGTTTTTAGGCCTCGCATGAACAGTTCCGTATAGAGCCTTTTCGTGCTGTCCTTCGTGGTGTTAAGTTAGCTACTTTAGAAATACTAACAAATATTCGGTCAAAGATAGCTAAAATACCTACCTAGTAACTATCTAGGAGGCATACGAAATAGAGCACGCGATCCAAGATCAAGACACCCTCTTGTCGAGGAACCTTGGAAGTTTGGAGTTTGGATGGCATAGTAGCAGGTTTCAATGTGCAACTAGAGATGTGGGCGTTACGCCATGGCTTCACTAGCGACTCAAGATCGCTCTCTAGTTGTGTGGGCTGTGAAAATCACAGCTATGTATGTCATCCACATTCAAGGCAATCCCTTCAGTTTTGAGAATCAGTTATCTAGCGTACGTCAAGGGCCTACTCGGGAACATACATGTATCTGTATGTAGGTATCAGCGGGAAGGAAGGCCTTCAAGGTGATTGCGGAGACTCCTCTGTGGGCTGATCAGCGAAGTCGGGCTACTATACGCCAGGTGAATAGGTTAAAATCGGTGTGTTGTCAAATGGGTCTATCCAAGCCCTCGTCGCCTCCAGTGTTGCCATTCGTGCACTTCTAGGGCTACATAAGCTTGGGTGATACACTGAAGCCCTATGTATGAAGTAATACATAATGGCCATTGCCTACTACATATAGGCCCTCAGTTAGGTTTCTTTATAACCTATATATAGCAAGTATACCTAGGTAGTAAAGCACATAACTAGTAGGTACCTAGGATGAATATTTTGAAACTTCAACTTCAATGTTGGCAATTGAGGAGTGGTTGGATGGCATGTCTGAGCAACCACGACAATGATAAACTAGGTGAATCCTAGCATACCTAGATATGTACGGATGCCAGATGGGCTCGTTGGTGGTGAGTTGTAACAGGAAAGATGATATCGCAAAATAGAAACCAATAATTACATATAATAAGTTATTAGTTTAGGGTCATGAGGGTTATGACGATAGAAAGGAAAGAGGGGCAAAAGGCGCCATGAATCCATGACAAGGGGCATTGGGGCAGTTTAACTGATGTAACTGGTGGTGAGTGACAAGGGGCGGTGAATGTGAATGATTAAGCTTGCAAATTATGGGACCTGCTAAGCCAACTTACGCCAACCTAACCTGTGCCTTGCACCATTTACCTAACCCGATAAGTGATAGTTGGTGGATGGTGGATGATACATGCATATGTACACGCGACCTTTAGAATAGCACATGCCTTTTCTCTTGTCTAGTTGGACAGAGGGCAGAAAAAACCCCTTGAAAAAAAAGCCAATCACTAATTAATTCCTAGCACCGCATTTTGAAAATCACAGACACGCTGAATTTTCTTTCATTCTGTTACTACATACCTATTACTCCTTCAACTACTTGTTTTGCTTTGAATGATTGTTAGGTATTATGTAGCTCTGTTATATACATATATGTACACTGACATCAAAAGCACTTCAAGTTGTATAATTACTTTTTTTTTTTTTTTTTTCAAAAAATCAAAAAAAGGCGCTCAAGCCACGTGCAGATAAGCGATAAGCCAGGTGGCAGCTTCAGCTCATTAAAGTGTGGGAAATCTTCGCCTACGAATTTAAACCTTGGAATCTATTGCCCGGTTTTGTAACTTGGTTTAGGGCCACCTCCAATCCCATCCAAGAAAAAAAAATTTACGAGGAAGAGACAATAAGAAGAAAACCTGAAGGTTTGGATTACCGCAGCCTAGGGAATATACCTACTTGACAATCAAACCCCTCCCTCTTCCCTACGCGACAACTTCCCGCCAGTTCACCTGCAAGCCTCATCGTCAATGACCCCCACGAATTCCTCCACCATATCGTAACGACGCGCCTCAAATCGTGATTCGACTAGTTCAAGTTCGATTACTCGACGACAAAATACATCAAGCTCCGAAGACGGATAGCCTACAGTATTTATCTACCTATACAATATAACCCTGGCCGAAAGCTTCGCTAGCTCGGCGCAGCAGCAGCCATCACCAACGCGCCGATGTGGTGGTTCTTAAATATCGTATCTAGCTCCGTCTTTCTACTGACCATCATCCTATCGATACCCATATCATTCGATGTAGGTGGACGCGATAGTGGGCTGGCTTATAGTCTTTCCCTCTTTGGCTTCTATCTGCTCTATAGTTCCGCTAGATTAGCTACACCCGATAACTCGCGCGTACGTTGGGCCCTCACCAAGTTCCTGCAAACCTCCCAGTGGGTTGTGATTCCGACACTTTTAATATGGTCTCTACACAACTTTGCCATCGATGCGAACAGCACCGACTGGGTAGCGAGGACGATTGGGGGGCTGCGGGATGGTCAGAAACACACCACCTGGTCTGATTGGTTCTTCGGCAATGGGGGTCTTGTAGAGTCGGTGGCCTTAGGTACTTGGGATAAGACTTTGCGCTATTCGAGTCCTGTATTTCAGCTTGCCGAAGGGTTCTGTACGCTGTTGGTCATCCAAGCTGCAGGCCGAATTTCGAAATGGCTTGTGAACAGGGGAAGAAGCGATACTTGGGTTGTGAGTTATTTGATGTGTTATGCTGCCCCTCTCTTCCAAGCTGCTAACTTAATCCACAGCTCATTCTCTTAATATTGTCTGCTTCCACCATCGCCAGCGCTGTCTACTTCCTCTGGAGAGTTGCCTTGTTTCCCAGTATCAACAATATTGATGCGACCCTTATCGGCGTGGCAGTAACCTCGGCAGTTTTCTTAGCTGCCATAGGAATTGGCACCGGTCGTGGAAATGCTGTTGAATCATCATTATTATTTGCTTACGTGGTCCTATGCATTTACCAGATATTCACCGACTATGTCCAGTCACCTGAAGCTCAGGCGGCAGCCGCCGAGCAAGCAGCCAACCAACCCGAGTTTCCCCCTCTACCACCCATTATCATGGCAAGCTACTCGACTCTTTTGCATCTGTTCAGCTTGTTGCCCTCAGCCGTGTACTCCTCACTCAGCTTCCTCTATGCGGCATTCCAAACCATTGCACCCTCGGTTATGATCTCCCTGGTATACCGACTCATCGTGTTTTACTGTGCAACTCGGATCATTCCGGCGATACGAGAATCAGGTGCTGGAGCCTTTATGCAAGAACCGTCCCTGGACGATTCAGATGACGCAAATCGCGTCTTGGGTTTCCTCTCTTGGTTCTCGCCATCGATCCTCATTGCCGTCTACACCAGTCTCCTATTACAGCACTTCTCTGCTAGTGATAGCGAGGAAGGCTGGACACTTCACCATGGCGATGCGGGAGGCAATACTTGGCGGTGGGTCAATGTTTCTGCTACCATGTTTCTCTACGCCATCGAGTTATCCATGGGCCACGATGACGCGGATAGCGGCTTAGGTGGGCATTGGAAAACCGACTAGATAACACAATGTATTAATTTTTGAGGGGAATGCTAAGATAATTCGCCCGTGGTATGGTGCCTTTTTATTTTATTTTGTCAAGGAGACAGGCGATGAAGGCCTCGTTGTGGGGATCGTCGTGTTATAATTCGACTTTGGTCGGTCACTGTTGCAGATGGAACTTGGCAGTACCACATAGGGCAGGGTAGGTCGTCGGCTTGGGAAACGAGGATTCACAGCACTGGGCGTTACGGGCATTGGGGACAGTATACCATTCCATTGAATTCGACCAATTTTTATTTGTTGTTACATGTATGAAGAAGCAGCAGGCTACTAGGTATGCCTTGTTTTTTTTCCAGGCGTACGTGGTGCATCTGCGAGGGAGTCTGTGTTCTAGGTATCTATCCAATACAGGTAATGACAGGGCATGGATGGTTAATAAATGGCCTGTCACAGGAAGCGACTTCACCTAAAGAGAAGAGAGAGGAGAGACATGAGGAGAGAATAGGTATAGTAGGTACCTATTTGAGACAAGAACTTCAATGTTGGTTGGATCTCTTTTTTATTATCATAAAATATCGTTACCTATTCTCATTAGTCAGAGCTGACTGGTCATATTGTATATGCCTCATAGCTTGAAGCATACCTACTACCTAGCATACTTAACATACCTAACCAACATAGGAACCCCTGGAAGAGTCTACCTCGGTTCTTTGTGCAAGTGGCCTTAGCTACTAGGTACAAATTGTGCTTCATGCAATGCAACGTCTAATATATTGAGCCTCGTCGTTTTTTGTGGCGCAAATGCAGCCGCTCTTGCAGATCGATAACACGCCTACCCAATCGGCGACATGTTAGCAGCAGGCTCTGCTACCAACATGCCTCTTTTAGTATTTTTTGCTTTCTTATAACGTTTCTTTCATTTATAGATTCTCAACCCAACCGTTTTTTTTTTTTTTTCTCTCTGCATGGCATCATTTCTTAATTTATTTGCTTTAGACTAACCCTCCACAGAAAACGTGTTGACTTCTGTAAACATCATTCTCAGTTCTTTAATGCCAAGAGCCATGGGGTGGCTGACATGGGATAAACAAGCACAGCATGAAAACCAGGATGGTGAAAGTCGTCCACCTTCATATCAACTAGGACACGATGAAGCAGACCCCAATGAGCTAATCCCAGACCGGAAGCTTGGAGGGAGTTATGATGATTATTACAATGGAGATATATACGACAGTCCAATAAGTCGATATGAGCAGGAATGGGAGACCAACCCGTTCGTCTTCCCAGAAGAAGAAAAATGAGTGAGGAGTCGAGAGACTCATGGCTAACCGATTTCAAGGGTTAAGCCATACCTTAAACATATTAAATCCCTATCCGTAGCCTTCCCCCATCTGCGTTACTTAGCGCAATGGATGGAGGTAACCACGTCGCCTACCAAATGGCAGCTTATTAGGGGATTACCATCTGGAAAGCGGGAGGGCATTCGGAATGAGAGAGCCCGGCGGACCAAGATCGCGGCTATCGATTTTGTAAAAGGCCAGTCGGTTCCGACTATACAACATATCAACAGCCCGGACGGCTTAGCGGACTGCCTGGATCAACCGGCGGTCCCGGGCGCTAGCCGGCTGTACGTGGTGGAGGACCTTTCGCGAGATGTCGTCGAGCATCTGGGCTCTAAGCTCGACATAGACCCTCTCTTCTTCCGAGAGCACATCAACGACTACACGTGGTACAATACGCGCGATCCGTGGGTCGAGCTCCCGGACCTCGATATCGTGTCGCGGACACGGCCCTACTTCCGCCTGACGTATAATCAACCGCGGTACTTCAAAAACGAGGAGAGCTTCCGCAGCGCGAACAAGCAGGCTGGGATGTTCAATGTACTGAGGAGGCTCGACGTCGATCTCGATCACGTGTCGTTGTTCGACGAGAAAAGCGCGATCGTCGCCCTTGTTAGAAGCAAGGCGTCGTTTTGGATCAAGCCGGCCAGCGAACAGGCCATCGGTAAGCTACCTATCTTCCTATATCCCTAATTCCATATACCTACTTAATTAGGTATGCCATAATGCACGTATAACTCACGCCTGATCTAAAGGGGTCCTGCTCATCGACCCGCCCATCACGGAAGGCTTCTCCCTCTGGAAAGGCTACCGGCCCTTCATGAACTCGCCCGCCCCCTCGGAGCACAAGACATACGACGTGCCGCCGCGCAGCAGCCTCTACGACGAGCTGCTCTTCTGGATCCAGCACACGTCGCAGCACGACATCGACGCGATCGAGGACAACCCGCGGGCCATGACCTTCCGGATCCTGCAGATCATCTGCGCCGAGTGGCTCACCTTGAGCCGCTACGTCACCGCGCGCCTGGGGCAGATCGAGTGGGAGATCGAGCGGCCCGAGCTGTTCCGCGTCGAGAGGGGCGCGGCGCCCCGCCGCGACGAGTACGTCAACTTCAACATATCCCTGCAGAAGCTCCACACCTGGCGGCGGCGCCTGCCCCTCTACCGCGCCATGGTCGCCGACACCCGCGCCAAGCTGTTCCCCGAGCCCGACCCGGGCTTCGCGTCGGCGACGGCGGTGTCCAGCCGCCGCGACTGCGTCGCCCAGATGGCGCGCGACTTCGCCGTCGTCGCGAGCCACATCGACGACCTGCTTTCGCGGACGGAGCGCATCGCGGCGGTCGCGACGGCGGTCACGGCGATCGAGGAGAGCCGTCGCGCGATCGAGCAGAACACGACGCTGGGACGGCTGACGTACCTCGCGGTCATATTCGCGCCGCTGAGCTGCGTGTCGAGCTTCTTCAGCATGTCGACGGACGTCGCGGCCATGGGGCAGACGATCTGGATCTACTTTTGCGTCGCGGTGCCGATTAGTTGGCTTGTGTATATGCTGGTGGATAAGCACTGGGCGAAGGGGATTGTGGATACGTTTAATATGGTGAAGGAGAAGGGGTTAGGGGTTGGGAGGAGGATGGGGATAGGGAAGGGGGAGGAAGGGGGGGAGAAGAAGAGGGGGGGGACGTTTAGTTGGGGGCGGGGATAGAGGGGGAGAGGATGGTTTGCTTGCTTGGAGGGAGGGAGGGATGATGGATGGGAAATGTTACGATATTAATGACAACTACCTAGGTACATACCTACCGGCCTGGTATGTATTGGAATCACCGCGGATGGCAGATTGAGGCGCTTTGGCGCGTAACTATCTAAGCTTCGACAGAGAGATAGGTAGGCAGAGTTACATAGGTAGTTGAGACAGGTAGCGCGCGTGATATGATATTAAGCATTACGAGTTACGACGAAGAGGCTTGGGCATAGCGATAGAAAGCGGTTTTGTGGTTTACTTCTATTGGGGACCTATGCTAGGTAGAGAAGCTAGAGTTCATCGTGTTTTTATGTATCTACTTAAGTACTTACCTACTCAACTCCTTTGTGAGGTGAGGTGATTCTTTGGATGCTCACTCGCATCATCTTACTCTTTTATTCTATTTTTTTTATTATATATTGGTTACCTGTGAATGGTTGTTGGCTTATAGGTACCCTACTTCGGTGCGAACCACGTGGTTAGAGCCAAGTAGGCATCTCATATATAGAGTGGTGGGAAAAAAGGGGCGAGGGGGGTGTACTTGATGATCGTGAGATAGGGGTAAAGGCTATATAAGGAGCCAAATATGTAGTCCTTATGTATTATATGCCGACTCGCTCACTGCGTACGTACCTGGCTAGGTAGGTAGGGGGTTTGTATGAACGCTTGAGACGGCCTCAAGACTATACCATACGTAATCGCGGGAACCCCCTATTCGCGAGAATCCTTTTGGGAGAAATTATTCTAACTCTGAGGAATTATTCTCAGTCTTGTAATGATTTCACTCAATTCATATCGTTGGGATGCATGGATTCATTCTTCAATGAACGTAATTATTCCTACACACCTACCAGGGACTTAGATCTCGAGGAACGCTGCGCTATACAAAATCACTCTCATCGAGACATGACATTTTATCGGCAAAACGCTCTATTTTTTCATGTTCAGATTTACCATCATCTCACCCAATAGGTAGAGGAGTTTAGGATATACCCTCCCATTAGAAGCGGCTCAGGGACAATTGTTTCTCCCTCAAGGATGCTCACGTCAGGCTTGTGTCCATCTCAGTCTCTTATACCCAAATCCACGGGGATGTATATGCTACTTGCATAAGGTACCTGCTGTTTCCCGACCTCAGGCTGGCATTATCGGCTCCGTTTATGCTTACGGGGACGAACCTGACGAACGCACCTCTCAATGCACTAGGTTAGGTACCTATGTAGATGCCTACTCAGGGGTTCCGGTGCCGGGTCGTCTGAACAATGGAAGCTTCTGGATAAGAGTTTGATGTTGTCATGGAATATCTCTGCTTTTCTCCGGGTTCTTATTTTGGCGAAGCTGCATGTTTACTAATGCGAATGAATGTGTTGGTGATGCGAGGGTGCAGCATTTGCAGAAAATCATACACACCACGTAAGGTGAGTCCTGAGCCGCATTCAGGACAATTCCAACTTCACGCGCTACCGGGAAACGAAACAAACGGTTTGGACGATGATAATGGATGATTTACGTAAGACGTTGGAGAGGCTGCAAATTTCTATCAATGTCCTTAGGTAAGTAGGTGGGCAGCCAAGCTTAGATGTCGGGTAAGCCGATGAATATGAGGATTAAATCCGAGTTGGCGATAACTTCGTCGTGCGTTCGATCATCTCATATAGTATGATTATCATTGACCTACTATCGTGAGCTAGTCAAAGCATAGATAGCTCGTATCTAGCGACAGAAACCCCGCTCATGCAATGAACTCGGCTACCGCTGTGACAAGATGGGACCGATGTAACGTGGATTATGGCTAGTGTGACTGAGATCAAGCTTTAGGTAATCGACTCAGAGACGCACGAGAGCACACGTGGACATTATGGTTCATAATGGTAATGATAATGGTTAAAGGGAGTTGGAGAGTTATGTATGTTTGCTTGTATGTAGTATCCGAGTTCCATCTCCTCAATCTAGGCCCTCCATGCCGCGCAACCGGGAGAGGAAAGGATTCTAGGCAGTCAGTCGGGCTCAGTCCAGAGTCAGATCGGAATACGCAGGATTGCAAAGACTTATCACCGAGGGATGGCGTTCCTGATGACAAACAACCCCCTCATTGGACGACGATGCTGCAGATGAGAGGAGAGAATGAGGAAAAGCGAAAGAGATATGTTGAAAAGAAAGTCCGATGGGAGTCTTGGTTTTAATAAAGAATGTCTTACTATAAATTGCGGCATTATTTACATCTGTAATAGAAGTTTAATCTAACCTAACGTTCCAAGCACTTGGCATCTATTATCTAGATTCTACATATGTTCATCGACTTTGATTCATCTTTGTCTCTCTTCTTCTTCTTTAGGCTTCTTACGCTTCTTCTTCCGTTAAGTTAGTGTTCGTTACGATGCTTCGAGAACCAAAAGCCAAGCCAAGTCTGGCAAAAGATGTACATAAAATGTAGTGTTAGTACATAAAGCCATAAATAGCCCCATGTGGTATGTAATACAAAATCCTAGAAATAGGAAAAGGATGATTCGTTCCTAGAAACCTTGGAAGGCTTGGAGTTTTTGTTGGCCGACTAGCTAAACTGGTTATGGGCTAACGGTTAGACGGTTTATCGGGGATGGTACGGATCTCTGTCCGGGGTAATTTGGCTCGCAGCTGGCTCGGTACTCAGGGCTGTCAGACGGTCCTGTCAGGGTACTGAACCTCGTAGCTCCGCTTCTCAACGGATGAGACAGCAAGGGGATTTGTCGGTGAGACATCTGTTCCCGACTTCTTATTGGCTTCTCGCAATATTCCGTCTTGTCGTTTTGCATGCTGGTAGCCAGTGGTAGGTATCCATTGACCATTGGCTTTGGAGGTGGACCTTTCTAGAGCTCCAGGGCTCAAAGATTATTAAAGCTTGCTAACTCATGTAGGTAACCTACTGTAAGTTGGGGTGCGTGCTTCTTAACCTACCGTCTATTACCTACTTAGGTAATTACCTGTTAGTTACTGTGACCAGGTATGCTACCTAGTCAGTATGCTCCCTCCCGTCTAGACTTGCCTGCTTGCTTGCATTATCTACGGCATCGTATCTACATTTCTACACAATTCTGAGGCTTAACGTGTAGCATCAACTATGTACTGTACGCACTCGACGAGGCGGTTCTATCTTGGCAGCTCTCAAGATACCCCATATTCCCATATTGTAACAATCTAGTATCGGCACTATACACCTTGGCAAAACAATCAATCTATCTACCCAGGCATATTAGTTTCAATGTTGATTAGCATAGAAGAACATTGGCCATACAGGTATGTACAAGTACACACCCAAGCTTGAATACAGTGAGTACAGTAAATACATACGATGAGAGGCCGCCAGCTCATCGAATTTGACACATTACTATGGAAAAGTGCGCAAGCTTCCAAATAGAAGAAACAAACCAAGGTTGATCTGCCGCTCTTGGCTCTTTATGTCCTACTTTGCTCGTCTGAGTCCCAAGAATTCGTGTTGTACCGAACGAATCAAACCCTAGGTGAACAGACGATCAACCCATCCCCTCAGGTCTTGCATATACATACATATACCTACATGTAGTGTATGCAGTATCTACATGTATGTAGGTTGGTGTACAAGTGGTGTTGTACCTATTATAGTTAAGTACAACAGCAGGTCGTCCCTAGTAAGCTCATCTCACCCCCGGACCTCCGTCGTCCCATCCTCCTCTCAACAATACGGTACTTATACATCTCCCGACCCTTTACCTACAGTACCACGACCTTTACATACCTACATTACCTACATAGTGGCTTATCTACCTACCTCGTGCCACCCCATCACCCCCTCATTATTCCGTCTCTTTGTTCTCCTTTCTACTTCTATCGACCCGTTGAACCTTCCATCAATTGGTCTATCGTCTGTGTCCTCTCAAACGTAGCTTCTGCCACGAGCAATTGTATCACGAACCTCTAGCTCTATCTCTATCTGTCCGAAGCAGAAAAGTCCACCAAGCAAACATGGCCGGTCCCCGTCTTACAGGCCCAGCTGCAAAGCTTGTCCGCTCCATCAGCACCACAACGGCGGCTTCTGTCCCCAAGTCTAATACCCTGCTCACGAGCTCCAAGACCTCCGCTCCCATCTCCAGGAAATATGCAGAGCTTCTCAAGGAGAGGAATATAGACCCGGATGTAAGTTTAGCCCAACCAATTCCTCGAATCCGTTATCGGAGAGAGCTCGGAAGCATGTATTAGCAGCATCTATCAGCAGTTGGACTAACAACCCATCATTAGCATCCCCGTCACCTCTACACTCGCACATCAAACCGCCCACACCCCCCTCCCCGCACCATGCGCCTCATGCAGACCTTCACCTCGAGCGCACCCCAAGCCGCCGCCGCCCAGGCCACCGCCAAGACCATGGACAACATGATCTTCCCCGGCTCCGCCGCCCTCGAAGGAGCCTCCTCGGACCCATTCGCGCACCTGCGCGTGCCCCTGCTCCCGGACAACTCCGTAGCGCACCACGCGCCCGAGACCAGCGACGGCCCCGTCGCCCCCGCGCAGATCAGCATCGTGGCCGCGAACCCGGAGCTCGTGTCGCCCGCGGCGCTGACCGAGGTCGAGGGCATGGGCGTCGACGGCGTCGAGCTCAAGTTCGTGCACGAGGAGGCCGCCGCCGCCGAGGAGCAGCCCAACATGCTGACGGGTCTGTGGAACGGCCTCGTCGACGACGTCATAGGCGGCCATCAAAAAAACAAGGTCGCTCTCTAACAAACACCGTGAGCCAGCACCCTATAAAAAGAGAAAAAAGCAAAGTAGATACGACGACAGGTTCATGATTTGTTTTTTTATATCGGTTATAGACAAGAAACGGAGATAAGAAGAAAAAAAAACAGAAAGAAAGAAAGAAAGATAGGTTCGGTGCGGGTATGTGTGGTTTTGCGTGTTTTTTTCAAACGAGCGGACGGTTCTGGAAGTGCTTCGGGCCAAGTCGTGTTTTTGTGATATTTGCTTTCGCATTTCAAGTTGTATGTGTTTTTAATGACCAGTTTCCAATTTTCTTGTTGCTTGGTTCGACAGAAACGGGAATGATGGAACACAACTCCATCCTGATAGAGAGCTAGCTCGTATCTAGGGATCGTATGAAATCGAAATCAAAGATGAGTGAGCTAGCTTGGTTAGATGAAATCCAGAAAGGGCCAAGTATAAAAAGGGGACGTAAGCCCGCTTGAATTGAGTTTGAAAAATGTGCCTGTGTTCGTATCCTAAGGGTCCAATCCTCTCGGAACTGTAGCCGGACAAGGCGCCGCGTGCGCATGCGTGTAAGGTTTCATCAGATATAGGCCCCTTACTAACCTCGCACAAACTTTCATCTCTCTCTAGATTGAATACCTGCTTGCCATATCTGTATACAATATCGTCACAATCTGGTAGTACTAAGCTCGCTAATGCTGTGCCCTCCGGGTACGATCTGCCTTCTATCCTCCGCACCTCTCCCGATACCACGACATAGATGTTCGTAGTACGGCCCTACTGTATGTTCACCAAGTACTTATATCCTTCATGTTGCGCTCCTCGGTCCTAGCCAAATCTTTCTCGCCTTGGCCTGCAATAATAACTCAATATCGCTGCTTACGCCTAAGTAGTATCCTGGACGAGCCAAGTCTATAGACTCGACTTGACTAGTTCAAACTGATACGGAAATGTACATATTGAGCTAGGTTCCTTATTCTCTCGGCCCTTTACTTACTTCCCATGCCGCCTCTGTAAAGTTGCTACTAAGCTCCGTGGAAATTCATGAGGCAGATGGTCAGTTTGTAACAATAAGATCGGTTTAAGCCAGCGGCACGCAACTGTCACTGCCAACGTTATGCCCAATTAAGTAGGTTACTACCCAAGCACATGCGAAGAGGTCCAAGACGGTGCATAGTGAAGTCAACGGGAGGATATTAAATCACTGTAATTCGTTGGGTATTTATATATAAATTTGTCAGCTTGTTACATAAGCTTTGAAAGGCATCGCCGCGCAACATAAGAACTTGCAAGCTTAGTGCCGGCATGATGACAGCAGTAGTAGTGTAGTAGTAGCAGTAGCGGTGGTGGTGACGGTGATGAAACGTCCAGTGGATATAGAATTTCCTATCCACCTATTCACATATCTGCCAACCCAAAGGCTAGAAACTCGTCATAAAAGCAATCAAAGGAATCTAGATCTATCTACACGATATCATCACGCCAAGCGTTGATCTCTCACTGCTCTCATATAGGCGGAAAAAAAAGGGGGTATCGTTGTAGAAATCATACCTACCTAAAGGTTCACATATCTCTAAACCCGAGTGTATTCCCATGCCATTAGGTCTCACAAGATCACCGCAACCGGTTCAAAATCCGCGAGGTAGTCGCGCCCTTAGATCAAATACTACCTCGATGATGACACTACTCATCGTCGGCTGAGCAATCATGAGGATCTTCCCGTAGGGATTTTTGGACTGATCAGTAAACCCGGGTTTGACCAGTCGCTGTGGTTATCTCGCCTGAGACAGTTCTACCTTTGTTGTTTAGTGAACAGCGAGAGGGGGACAAGTATAAGACCCAGTCCGTCCATCACCAAGGGAGAACCATGCCAGGCAAACAACATACAACAGAGCCGAAACCGTAGGCACTTTGTAGGTACATAACTTATCCAATACGCATCAACATGGCACCCCTCCTTTCGCACCTCCCCTCCGCGCCCTCCCTCCTATCCATCACAGCCGCCCTCCTCGCGCTCTACTTCGCGTACACCCGCACCCTCGCCTGGTACCGCCTACGACACATCCCCGGCCCCCCTCTCGCCTCCTTCTCATACCTCTATATGCTCAGCGCGACGATCGGCGGGCAGCAATCCGAGAGCTACCGCGCCCTCACGGACAAGTACGGCCCCCTAGTGCGAATCGGGCCGTACGACCTGCTGACAGCGGACCCGGAGGTGGTGCGGCGGATGAACGGCGCGCGCTCGGGGTACCGGCGGTCGACGTGGTACTTCGCGTCGCGGATGGACCCGTACCTGCCGTCGCTGTTCAACATCATGGACACGGGCGCGCACGACCGGCTCAAGGCGCAGCTGAGCAGCGGCTACGGCGGGAAGGAGAACCCGGGCGTCGAGGAGGGCATCGACGAGCAGCTCGCGGCGCTGGTGGGGCTGCTGCGGCGCAGGTATGTCGCGAAGGGGGAGGGGGAGATGAGGCCCGCGGATTTCGCCATGAAGGCGCAGTTCTTCACGCTCGATGCCATCACGAAGATCGCGTATGGTCGTGCGTTTGGATATCTGGCCACGGACTCCGATGTCCATGGGTACATTGCCGCTGCCGAGGCCCAGGTGCGGACCATCGGGGCGTTGGGGGATGTGCCGTGGCTTGCTCGCCTTGTGTTTAGTGAGGCGGCGCTGAAGGTCATCGGACCGAAGCCGACGGATAAAAGCGGCATGGGGAAGATGATGGCGTGAGTTGTGTTCCCGTTTTATCTCGGTGTTGCATCTATTATCAGTCTAACTAACGTCCATCAGAATTGCCCAGGAAGTTGCCGGTGAGCGATACGGACCGGATGCTAAGGACGAACAAGATATGCTGGTAAGGAACCTTTCCTCCCCCCCCCCCTCCCCTTTTTCTGCTTGCCCAGCACCTGTGATTAGACAGACGGCACTGACATGAGAACACACACAGGGATCATTTGTCAGACACGGCCTCGCCCGGCGGCAGTGCGAGTCCGAGATCCTCTTCCAGATCATCGCCGGCAGCGACACGACGGCCACCGCTATACGGGGAACCATGCTGAACCTGCTGACGACGCCGTTCGCGTACTTCAAGCTCCGCGACGAGATCGACAAAGCCATAGCGGAGCACCGGATCTCGTCGCCCGTTAAAGCGGATGAGGCTAAGGGGCTGGAATACTTGCAGGTAAGTAAGCTGTGTTTTATGAGAGAGGAAGAAGGGAAGGGGAGTCAGCTGTTTTACTAACGCGGAAGTGTTTGCGCGAACAGGCTGTCATATACGAGGGTCTGCGAATCAACATCCCCTTCTCGGGCCTGACGATGAAGGAAGTACCCCCCGAGGGAGACACGATCGACGGAAAGTTCGTCCCCGGGGGAACCCGCATCGCCCACGCCTTTCTATCCATCCAGCGCTCGAAAGACATCTTCGGGCCTGACGCGGATCTCTTCCGGCCAGAGCGCTGGATAGGTATCGACCCCGAGAAGCACCGGGAGATGACGCAGACGGTGGAGCTGGTATTTGGGTATGGCCGATGGGGCTGTAGCGGGAAAGTGGTCGCGTTCATCGAGCTGAATAAGGTCTATGTCGAGGTGAGATATTCTTTCGTTCGCATTCTAGGACAAGTAGTATATACCTACCTAGGTTAGGTATGTATATGACCTCAATAGCTGTACGCTGACACGTTAGGTAGCTGCTGCGGGTTTTCGACTTCCAGTTGATTCATCCCAAGAACCCTATGCACACCAGGAATCGGAACATGTTCTTTCAGAAACACATGTGGGTGAAGATCACCGAGAGGTGAGAAAGGCCTCGAAACAAGACGAATTCACTATATGTAGGGGTAGTTTGGTTTGGTGTCTTTCAGGAATAAGGAGTACGAAACTCCTTACGGATGTTTGAAATCGATATTTTGAGTGTGAGAATAAATACCTAGGCAAACATGTGGATATGATTTCCTATACGAACAATGAGAAGCAGATTAAATAGCATCTTGATCCGCGATATAATAACGGTGTATGTACCGTGTGCTAAGCCCACAAGCTTACTCCTTTGCAACTGTAAAGAACGAGAATGTCCCCAAGTACGAAATCTTGTGCCTTCATCCACAACTTATAATAGCCTCCGACTGCGAAGGGACGGACGCATTAGTTAGATCACTGTAACAATATTAGATTGAGCTCTGTTCAAAAATACACATTGAACTATTTGCATTCGCAACCTAGCAGCCTGGATATGTCTATACCTACAAATAAGGGTATCACATCTGGACCGACCTCCAACCCGCCCTTGGTCCCGCGAGGCAAAATCTTTTCCTCGGCTATTTATTTCCTCACTAGCGCCCAGAATGGGGGAATTGTGCTTTCAAGTCTCGCAATAATGACGAATGACGGCGCAAAAACGCATTTCCCTAATATGCATGACCCCTAACTATGTTTACGTATCGTCGTCTAGGCCCTCCTTCCGTCGGCCCTCGGATTGTGCGTGATGCAAAGACTTCATAACGAACTCATATGTCATCATCGTCACCGTGGCTGCTGGAACAGCTCGCATCATGTTGACCCCCATGCCTGCGTAAAATGCTCTCCAACCCTCTTCTCGCAAAATAGTCCGGAAAGTCATGACCACGCCCCGATACTTAGGCTGGGGGGTGACAACGCGGGCATTACTGGGCACATGGCTCTGACTGCCAGGGGTAGATTCCGAGACCCCTAGACCTTGTAGAAATTCGCTTCCGGGAGCTGGGCGCCTTTGTGTCTGCAGCCGGGTCCGGATCACCTCATGAGGATAAGTAGCCGAACTAGCCATGATCTTCGACATCACTGAAGCAGAGAGTACACCAAACCAATGACTCTGCTCATCGTTGTCACCCATTTCACCCATAGACTGGCCCGTGAACTTCTTTCGTAGGAACTCGTATACGGGAAATTGTACGGCAACATGCGTCAGCCCCAGAAGTGCTGGAGTAAGTCCAGAGTAGAATGATAAAATGCCTTCCGAAGAATACATTTTTCGCGCAGCATCAAGAGTTGATCGATAGTGCCAAGGAGAATCGATGTTTGGTCTGGAAGTTGGGGTATTGCCAGAGCGTGGGAAAGGGGACATTTGTGGATGGCGTCCCGTCGCAGACTGTGACATGAGTCGAGTTTTGATCACCCATATTGGATTCGTTACTATCGTGCTGCTGGCTCCAGCTATGATTGATGACCAAAAGTTTATGAAAAACTGATTTTTCTGCACTGTGCGTTCAAGTATTAATGATCAGCAATCCACTTCCGCTTAGTTGGTGCCGCACAAAATAACTTACGATTGTTCTCGGCTATGATAACTTTGCTCTTGTTGTAGACAGTGAACCAAACTGCCCAGGTCGGTAGGTAGCCAAGGATGATAGGCCCCAAGCCTCTGTACATGCCGCGCAACCCTTCCTCCTTCCATATGACATTGGCTGTGCCCAACAGACCTGAGTATACCTTGCGATGCCCAACATATCCTCCTCCTTTGTTCATGGAGACGAATCCTCCTTGGGCTTGTAGCTTTGTCTTGATAACATCAAGGGGGCATGTGACGACGCCAGAGGTAAAGCCGCCCACGGCTCCCGATAAAGCATTGAATTGAGAATCTGAGGCATTCGCGGCCCACCTCTGCAGCGGAGTTATGCCTCGCGAGTTGTGTAGCTCCATAGCTGCTACCGCCGAAGCCAGTGGGTTTTGGGGGTCTTGATGAGGAGGGTTCGCCGTCGAACCGGTGGGTGTAGATGTCGGAGTGGAGCGATGGGAGAATACCCCATATTCTTCAGAGTTTTGCGATGGCCCTCCCGTTGGATGGCTTTGAGCCTCGTCGTGAGACATACCCTCGTGCTTCGATCGGGTCCAAGTTGGACGAAATGACAAGAACAAGATTCGGGGCCTCTGGAAGTATTCCGAGGCCCCGCAGATAATATGGAAGTGGCTAGGGTGGGCGTCGCGAAGTGGGAAAAGTGGCAAAGGATCTGAATATGGACGCTGGGAAAAGGATCAAGTCGTCTGGATTTCGGCGTAGAGAAAGAGTCGTGATGGTGTGCGGTGTGCGGGGAATGCACCCTCGCAAATCCACCGTTCCGTCGACCCAGCAGCTATCGTTTGTCACATGCCATTGACCTTCGCATATAAGTCCGTCGATCAAGATGAATAAGGCTTTGCGTAGGCGGAGGTTGAGAAATGGCGTTTGTGAAGGAAAGGAGGGGTGGAAAATGACGACGTGGGAGTTGTGTCGAGGCGTTATGTATGAAGTCCGAAGTAGAATATCAATCGGACTTTTTGCTAAGTTGGTAGGCAGATAACTTGGAAGGCTAAGCGGGTCGCTCTAATCGTCAAGCGTCAAGTATCAAGCGCAATTCTGATTTGCAATTCTACTTAGGTATTGACTACCTAGGTTACCTTAGTAGTTGGTGCTACTTCTGTAGTATTGCATGTAGTGCCCAGCGATAATGGCGAAGGGAAAGTGATAGATACTAGACTTTTATATTTTATCGCTGGTTAGGCGAATGAAAATCAGGTAAAGTCGATACAAGACAAGACTTGCAAGAGCTTGTATTTTTCTGTTTTTTGAATGACTTTTTTAATTAATAACAAAACCAGAAGAAAATCAGGGACTTTTTAAATATAACTTTGAAGAAGATTGCGGCAATTATAACTTGAACCCAGAGAGTAACTAATACTTATAGTCAAGTTAGGTTAGTTGATTAGTTGATTAGTAGACTGGTTAGTAGTATGTAGTAGTAGTAGTAGTAGTAGTAGGCTTTGTTGGCTTAATAAAAAGTGCTACCACGATGCTGTTGTGCAGGTATTTCATTGTCAGCAGGAGCAGGAAATCGAAGCTCCGGCTTCCTAGCTCTGACGTAGGCAAGGTAGTTACTACCAAGTAAGTAATCCCCGTTGGCTTTTCTTTCTGTATCTCAACTGGCCACATGTATGTACCCTATACCTCGCGCCTTCTTACATACATACCTACATATGTACATGTAGTACTACCTACATATGTAGTAGGTAGTATGTATATCAATGATGTACTTAGGGTCTGAATGTATGTATATTGGAACATTGAAGTGCAATTTCACGTTTGAGGCACGAGGTCACGTCTCATCATTATAGTTCCAAAGTTTCTTTCTCGGTACATACAAGTAGATACACGGCATAAGATGTCAATCAGTTCTAGGGCTGGACAATTTACGGTTGCGACCTTTTCCCCCTCATCCTCCAAAAAAAACCCCCGGCTCCCTGGGGAATGGATGGATGAACGGGCTGGAGAGTAGAAAATGCAAATGAGCTAGTGGATCACGTGATGTGGCTGAACCCCGAGACCCATTTGGGAAAGATGAGCAAATCATCAAATCTGCAAATCAATTGACTAAGCTAAACGAACGAACTGCGAATGAAACTGCGAACGATTTGAATTGTACCTAATCAACCCACTTCCAACTTTCACCACCCTCACCACTCTCCCCTCACCTTTAATTAACTAGACACTTGCCAATTGACCACCACAATTGCGATGTCGTCCTACAGTCTCGCCCCTTTCGTTCTCAAGCGGCCATGGCTGCGAAACCTTTTGACGCCCGCCGCAAGTTGGTACGTCAACTTGGCCGGCTATCGCAAGCTTGGTCTCCGGTACGCATGCCCACTTTCATGTCTAGAAAAAAAAACATTGTCGCAATACAATAAGGGTTCTCACGAATGAAGGAGAAAAAGAAAGTGGACGAAATTCCTCATTAGCTGCTTACCATTGAAATTTTGCAGATTCGATGACTTGGTCGTAGAGGAAGACGAGGATGTCCTCAAAGCCCTCAAGCGCCTCCCGCCCCAGGTCGCCTACGACCGCGTCTACCGACTCCGCCGCGCATTCCAGTGCAGTACCACCCACAAGCTTCTGCCCAAGGAAGAATGGACCAAGGACGAGGAGGTGAGCCTCTATTTCTTCTTTTCCCAATATACAATTCAAGCCGCTCAATACGACCATCCCTCCACCGAGGCATAAATATTGTATGATGCATTCGCGGACCTCAATACTAACAGACTGCGCCAAACAGGATGTCCCTTACCTTGCGCCAATTATCGAGCAGATCCGAGCCGAACAGAAGGAGAAGAACGATCTGGACACTCTGACCATCGTCCGAAATCACTAAGTCAATAAAAAACAGTGACCGGTCCGCAAAACTACCGAGCACAAGAAAGAAACGAGCCCGAGATGCTGAACCTGTATATCACAATCGCACCCTTACACTTAGAGAAGAAGAAGAAGGAATAAAAAACAGTTGAACCAACTCGCTCGACTCCGTCCTATTTCATATATATCAAAAAGAAGTTTTTAAAGAGGTATAGAAATGCAGACAAAATTCGGTGTTCCCGAGATACCATTGCCTATGTGTATATACCTACCTAGATTCCACTCATCCAGTAGACTCCTTCTGCGCAAGCCGTGCCTTTTCGGTGCCTATATCCATAAAAAGCATCGTCCGAAACGTTAACCGTTAATTTTTTAAGGAATGACCAAGTCAGATGAGCACTGTTATAAACACACCTAACACCGTTCATACATTCTACGTATAGAGACATGCGGTAGGAAGTATAATGAAGATGTCAAACCCAGTGATCCATTGCCTATAATGAATGCCGGTGTTGCGTTACTAAGAGTAAATGTGTGTGCGTGTACCTATGTGCATACCACCGCGGAACAACGTTTGGCAAATTCACAAACAAGTCAAATATGTGGTAGATTGTATATATTAGATTCACTGTGGTATTTCCCCGTAGCCATCTCAGCTGCCTCCCAAACTCTTCAAAGCCACGGCCCCTTGCTCTGCCGAGGTCTGAATTCTGTACAAAGTGACATTGCCAGTGAGATCCAGGTCGCAGCGGCTACTCAACCAACCAACTCCGTGCGACACCCGGGATGCAATGTTCTGCGCGCCTCCTGCGCCTCCAAATCCATATGGGTGAGTATGAATAGGCCAAGTTCTATTACAACACAAATTCAATGATGTCCGCGTCATAAATACCATCGTATCGTGCCGCTCTAGCACGATAAGATGCAAAAGTCCAACCAGCTCGATCAATGAGTCCAGGCATAGGTGATATCGAGGTGGAAAGTGGGTGACGGACCGATAGGATCGGGTTAGGAATAGAAGAGACTCGAGAAGGTTTCAAGATTGAGGAGAGCTTGTTGGTTGGTTATGGCGTCGCCGGACTTCCACTCCACCTTGGATCGCTATGCCAGGGAAAAAGAAATAAGAACGGCATGAGAATCGAATATCCCTTCCTTTTCCCAACGCCTCCTAGCCCAACATATCTGATGGTTCTGATGTTTAATGCAATAGATGTTTGCGCATGTGTCATGTTCCTCGTGTAAGTATTACGTTCCCTGCCCCCCCATTTGGACATCAAATGCCTTAAGACCGGCGGACCAATTTGGTACACAGAAGGAATGCGATTATGTCGATCAAGATAAAGAAAATGCATGGATTCTGGCAATGAGTGCCACTGGTCTACGCATTACCAGGCTTCTCTTCAGTGTCGATATGCCAGACAACATAGTTAGGCAGACCAATAACTTCATAGCCTGCTCTCTTGGCCATTTTCGCGAAACCCTCTGTCTCCGCCTGGTTCTCGAATGCATAGCAGGGGAAATTGATACCTGTACATATTACTGTTAGTCTTTGTGGCCTTCTTTTTCTTCTGATATTGGATATAACAAACCTGATCGATGAACATCAGCCTTGACTAGGATGTTTACACCTCCGATACCGTCCAGCTCGATTTCCTCATCTGGGTCATTGCGCCAATCACCCATCCGTGCCATGTAGGTTCGGCCAGTGTCATACTGTTTGTAACCTTTAAAAAGACCATGTATTAGCGATGAATATTATAGCGATTGGTAGTATCCTGTGCATACCTTCTGCTAGAACTACATTTTTATCCAGTTTAGAGGCAAGCTTAAGAGCCTTGTCGGACTCAATCCAGGAATTGTAATCGACTATGCCGGGTGTTAGTTATAACGTCAGGTAATATCTTCAGAAGGGTATGCTCACATCTGCCTTCAATATCATACTTGTTATCACCCTCACCCTCGTAACGGTGGAACCAGATATCTAGCTCACGTCAGCAAGAAGTCTTATTTGTCTACAATATCATAGTTCATACTTGGAACCAAAACGTCTCGGTCATGGGCAATGAAGTCCTCAAGGATCCTCTTGGGGCTGTCGACAATGTCAACATCACGCCAGTAAACCCAGGAATGTTCGGGCTTCAGTGATGCGGATAGTAGAAAGTTCCTGGCACGGCCCATTGCTTTGCGTCGCGGGCCCTGGGCTTCGAAACTATGGCGGTCCTCGACAGACTGACTCAGATGGACACCGAAGCTCTTCTCCACGACTGTGACGCTTCTGAACGGGATATTATCAGGTCGTTTTTGAATGCGATCCAGTTCCATACCCAACACAGCCATGGTGTCATCGTTCGAATCTCCGACAAGAAAGGCGAGGTCGATAAGGTTATGGGGATAAGAAAGCTCGGCAATGAGCTCGAAGTATTTGGAAAGGTAAGGCGCAGCATCTTTCAAAGGCGTGAGAATCAGAACTCGTTCCTGATTGTCGAGAGCCTGGCGCGTCGACTTAATTCCATTGAGGTCGACATGTGTTATCGTGGACTCGTTGATGGTAATGGGAGCATGATGGTTGAAGATGACAGGAGTCTGTAAATGTGCATTCCATGCCTGTTGCTCATTGAGGGTCATGTCCATTGGTGGTTTGGAAGGACCCCAGCAGTAAAAGCTGAGAGAAGCAGAATCAGTAAGACCTACTTTTTGGGAAATAGAGATATTATAAAACGGATAGTACCTTTGCATCTCACCGGCGGATGATCTAATACCGCGCCATAGTAATAAGATGATGCCTGCGAGGGCAATCGTCAAGAGGACTCGCGTTTTTGTTAAAAATACCCATATCGCTCGGGTAGGTGGAAGTTGTGCCTTTGCGGACTTCCAAGTGATGCCGCCTTTAGGAAGAAGCATGGTGAGCTCTTGGGGGTGGCCCTCAACACCACCCTAGGGCTGCGCGATAACAGACAAGCGAAGATATTCAAGATTCAGACGTGAAGCGAAGCGAAAAGCAGGTAGGCTCTCCGCTCGATTGTATGTCGGGCCGCCGTTCGGGTGTATCAAGGCGAATGGGGTAATACGATAATTAGAAAGGCGACTATACAGCGAAAATCTATCAGCGAGTGTCGTTATTCGGCCAGTCGAAGGCGCCGATCAAAACTTGAAAAACGTCAGTCGTATTGGTATCGCGATGATCTCTTGTTATGAAAGATACGGGAACAAAAAGGTATCAACACCAGGGATTAATGGATGAATTAGCGCAGCAGTAACAAATTTGGACGAACCGGTTATGTTGAAAAAAAAAAAAAGTCAAAATGGGGTGGTCGTTGCAGTGGTAAAGTTTGATCTTTGATATTTGATTGAACACGAAAGCTGAGCTGGCCTATCCATTGATTGATTTAAACTACTAAGCATGTACAAGTACAATACATAATACACAGTAGGTAGAGTCTGGATGCTCTGGAACTAGGGCACCCCGACGTTAGATTTTGGGCATTGTTTGGGAAAGTGCTTTTGGGGTCTTGGGGCTTTGGGGCTTTGGGGCTCTGGGGCATGGGGGTTTTGCGGTTGCTTGTGTTGCCTACGTAGTAGGATGTAGGTAGGGCGTAGGTAGGATGTAGCCTATGGATTTCTATCTAGGGCAACCTAGGGCATTCTAGGGGTGGAGTATAGTACATACTATGTACACACATACAGCTAATTGAATGGAGGCACAGCACACGCTACTTTATGTCCCTAATACATGTAGCAACACTAGCATTGGCGGAGCAAAGAATTGCGAATGAACCAAGAATTCGGTACTCGATGGATGCACTGACGCGACAAGTTAAAGTTTATACTGGATCTGCCATTATATTATCATAAATCTCTATATCGTTACGTTGATTGTTAGCAACCTCGATGTTGTGATATTACATAGTACACTAACTTCACTGTTCAGATTATCCAGTAAGGTAAGGTAATCAATAATACTATCAATCATAATCACATGAACAGCCTATTCTCCTATTTGTTGTCAGACTCACTTCTGCATGCCAAGCACTTAATGTTATATCCCTAGCATACACAAGCAGACTGAAGCAGTACTACGAAGTATTAGAACTAGGTACCTGGTAGATACCTAACCTAGTAGCTTTCATCTCAACGGTCTAAAAATACACATGTTTGTATGGTAGTGGAACCGGCAGGATGGATAGAGATCTTGGTATAGATATATGTAAATCAATCAAAGAATATTATTCTCTTGCCCACCCAAATAGTTACATGGCAGTTGCATAGTATAAAACTAGCAATTTCAAAACGAGCACCTCCAGGTACATAGCCTGAGGTAGGTAGGTTAGATTAGTGTCGACATCCAATAAACCACTCAACGCTCATAACTCTTGGCAATGCTACTACGAACAGGCCTAGTCTTACATACCTAGGTACCTGCCTATATAAGCCTTCAAGGACCTCAGGCTCAACGACCAGCCCTATTTACTTTGTATATAATTATATATAATTATGTAAGTTCCAGGTAGGTAAGTACTACATAGGCAGCCATCGAGGGGAGAATCAATTGAGTTGCTCTAGCTTCAATGTGAGTCAGAAACGGCTATTTTGATTGGTGGGAGACTCTTCGTCTTACATAACTACCTAGTAGTACCTAGTACCAGGCATTGGATGACAAACCAAGGACGTACATACTGATATTTACGTATATACTTGTTGAGCCTCATACATTTTACTTAAACATAAGCGATACCTACTTAATATTATGTACATATATCAATCTCTCTGGTATCGATAATAGCTACTACCTTCATGTGATCCTAGCAACTGATATACTCGAGTACGTAACTACCTAGGTACTTACACGCGGGTCTGTACCGTATCTCACTCTTTCACCTTGAGAAAACAACTACATGCTTTCATCCACGAATTACGCATGTTTCCTAAGATCCCAAATCGGCATTCACAAGCTTAGAGGAAGAGATAATCCGGCCTTCGCTTACCTGGTAAGGTGGAAGCTGATACATTCATACCATAGCAACTTCGGAGAACGCTCCTTTACACACTTACAAAGACGTTATCATCTACTTTCTACGCACAACCCATCAAAGCTTCCTCAGAGAGCACACATGGCGACCCGTAGATCCGCACGCTTAAGCGCGGCGGCATCCGCAGAATCAAAGTCTACAATAATAGCCGTGGAACCTGCACCTCCTGCCCCAGTACCAAGGGGGCGGAAGAGGAAGCCCACATCAGATGCACCGAAGCTAGAAGCCGTGAGCGGTGTCCCGGAAGAGGAAACCCCGGCGCCAGCAACCCCTAAGCGGCGCCGGGCTGCAAAGCCCAAGGCCGATGCACCACCAGCAACGCCCACACCCAACAACGCCCTGCTCATAGGCGAGCCAGCCACAACCTTCGAGACCCCGAAGCCGAAGCCGGCAGCCGTAAGACGGCTCGCGGACCCGACCGGCACCAACGCGCCTCTCCTCTCGCCCGAGACCTCCCGCATCGTGAATCGCGGCGCAGCCATCTCCCCGTCCAAGGCGCCTCTGCCGGGCCAGGTAACCACGGCGAACATCCTGGAAGAAGCGTGCCGGCACCTGATCAGCGTAGACGCGCGCATGAAGCCTTTGGTCGAGTCCCACCACTGCCGGATCTTCTCGCCGGAGGGGCTCAGCGAGAAGATCGACCCGTTCGAGTCCCTCTGCAGCGGCATCATCTCGCAGCAGGTGTCCGGCGCCGCGGCCAAGGCCATCAAGCGGCGGTTCGTCGGCCTCTTCGTCGACGATGCCGGCAACGATAATGGAAACGACGACAACGACGGCCACGGCAGCGGCCACGGCCGGTTCCCGCACCCGTCGCAGGTCGCGGCCTGCACCGTCGAGCACCTGCGGACGGCGGGGCTCTCGCAGCGCAAGGCCGAGTACGTGCGCGGGCTCGCGGAGAAGTTCGCGTCGGGCGAGCTGAGCGCGCAGATGCTCGCGGACGCGGCGTACGACGTGGTGCTGGAGAAGCTGCTCGCCGTGCGCGGGCTCGGGCAGTGGTCGGTCGAGATGTTCGCGTGCTTCGGGCTGAAGCGGATGGACGTGTTCTCGCTGGGCGACCTGGGCGTGCAGAGGGGGATGGCGGCGTTCGTGGGGCGCGACGTCGCGAAGCTGAAGGGCAAGGGCGGCAAGTGGAAGTACATGTCCGAGAGCGAGATGAGGGAGATCTCGGAGAGGTTCGCGCCGTATCGGAGCGTGTTCATGTGGTATATGTGGAGGGTCGAGGAGACGGATATTAGCACGTTGGAATAGGAGGTGAAGGTTCCTAGGTTTTTCATAAGGCTGTGGATGCCAATCTTCTCTCGAACTGACACTATCACTGACGAACGCATGCCTTGTCATAGGCCATAATGTTTGGATATAACTATGTATTTTACGAAGTATCGAAGTGTAGGTACTTGGGATTCGACGTATATAATACCCCCAAAAATACGCTGTCTATGCAGTTATAATATACCTATCACCGTGATGATTTCGGTGGTTTAAATCAAGCCTCAACCTTCATCGAAATATGTACACACACGCCAGGAAGATACGCTCTATGTCTTGACCGAGCGTGCTCGAGGCGACTATTGCCAATTATCAGTTACCAACTGGGCGAGATCAAGCTTTAGTATCTCCGGCTTGTCTATGATATCCCCTTAGTAAGTTAGTATCGAGCGATAGGTAATCTGCTGGCCTACGACTATAAATATTCAGTTCGTATCCAGCTTGTAAGTTTGATGCTCGAAACCGAAAAGCCGATTTATTTATACTTGAGACAGTTCAAGGGAACGACCCAGCGACGAAACGGGGAAACTTCAAGAATGGATACGAACTCCAGCTCGCAATAGGCGAAATGGTCTGATAGCGTGAATAGCGTCAATGGTATGAGGGCTATCGATGAGATGATCAATTCGTTGCATAACGGCGAACATCAATTTTTATAACTGTTATCCACAGCTACATACACACATACCTAGGCATAGTTACTTACATAGCCTTGGAATAGACGTCACTTTGCATAGAGATTTTCGAAACCTGCCTAGTCCCTAGTGGTTTCGTTTTGCGCATAGCTAAACCAGAACATGGGCTTATGGCCTTATAAAGATCCTCGCGGTGGTTAGGCGTTTTGAAGCAAATCGACCGACGACCGACAGACAGACAGACAGACAAGACAAGGCGTTGCAGACGTTCTTCTTATTATTAACCCATTGGATTGGAGGGGGGTGTCGACTTATTTACGCTAATGAAATTGCCGTTGTAGATCACAGAGATCGGTTTCAGGACGGACGTCGATGACGCAGTTTTAAACATGGGAAAAGGAACCCACAAAGTTGACGAATTGTGTGTCGCAGATCGTGGAATCTGGGATAATAAGTGGCCAGAGGCGCGTGCAGGAAAGTAAGTAAGGCCCCGATCGGAATCTTTCTTAAACTGCCTCTTAGAAAGTGGAGAGGTACATTCAAATGCATAAAGAATATATGGGTCCAGAATGTATCTTTTCATCCCCTGCGATTCTCTTTCAGAATTGAACCTTTGGAGTCAAAATTCAACCTCTAAGGTCACCGACCGTAATATTCAAACTCAAATAATCCAAATAAATTCAAATAAAATTCAACTTAATAGCCACCTTTGAAGAAAAATATTCATTAAAACGCTATAAAATTGACTAATAATTGGTTATTTTTTAGGAATTTTGTCAATTTAAATGGATTTTATTTATTTAAAAAAGTGTTTATTCTTGAAAATGAAATGCATATTTGACCCACTTTGTAAGGTCGAGTTTAACGTAAGACCCTACCTTTCAACCGCCTCTTAAAAAAGGCCTTATTTTTGAGAAAAATGGAGACGCTTTACTTGTTGTAGTTTAGTTTTTGACCCAATTTAAAAGATACCTGCCAAGAGGCTCTTAAAATCGTTACAGGGATCTTACAGAATTTGTGCAAATAGCTTCCTAGCTGTTTTAAGTAAGGTGTTGTTTTTATGTTGTGGCTGATGACTTTTATGACCAAAAACCCACTTTATAGTAGGGATATTTAAGTAAGAGGCAGTTTAAGAAGGATTCCGATCGGGGCCTAAGTAAGCAAGCCATGGGGCCATTTACATAGCAGCCATAAACAAGTTTGGAAATGGGGTAAATAATTATTATTATTAAGAGGGAAAAGAGGGAAAAAGAAAAGCAATTGGAAGGAAACGTTTGGACGGCTGAACGGCTCAACGGCTCGAACAACTTGAATTCAGCTTGGAGTTGAGTTGCCACGAGCCACGACGAGGAGGGGTTGTTTTTAAATCCGTATCAATACGAAAAGGAACACACCTGCGCTGCGAGTTTCTCGTGTTGAAGGCTTGAACCAAAGCAGCTAGCCCATTTGGATTGTAGAAATGACGCGTCAATCTTTTGCCGCTGGTGTTGATTGGTATTCGCCATTGACCTTTCTTTTTTTTTTTCTTTTTTTTTTCTGTCTTAGATTTTGCATAAGTACCTAGGGTATGTAGGTAGACAAAGAAATCCTACCATATCTATAAATTGGTTGCACATGTATAGTATACCAGGATGTATGTAGGTATGAATGTATGTACTCTGTAGTATCGTGTAGTTAGTATATAAATAAATAACATTTGAACATTCAAAATTTCCCTCTCATCTCATCTCATCTCTGTTAAAAAGTAGCGTGGGCTAGAAGAGATATACTATTACTATGTATGTACTATGTATGTAGATAGAGGGAATCAGGGATACTGTGCAGAGCGAAGCTTCTTAGCTTCACACTGCCGATGCACCTAGTGTAGCACCGTTTCTCCCAAAAAAGGTACCTAGCCGATACGCTACCGGACTAAGTGGAGCAGCGCCCGATTGGTTCTAAATAAAACAACTTGAGTGGGGGATGCATCTCCTGTGATAGGGTCAAAGCAGCCAAAGCAGGCAAAAGGTGAGCCTTGGATGCATTGGATACAGATACACCTTCCAAGACGCGCAGCATGGCTTGGGAATAATATGGAGATTCCATGAAGATTGGTTTCTGAATCGAGATTTTTGCAGCTATGGACCTATGGTAGATAAGAAAAGTACATTAATACAGTAACTACTATGTACATTCATCTTTGTGTGATGATTGATGGAAGCCCTAAACTGCTTTGTTGGTTGATGTTGTGCTATTCAAGTTATAAACTATGTACCCAGGCTAGTACTATCTATTTATTTAGATATGCTGGTATGTAATATAATCTACTGTTACAACTTACAACTTACCACTTGAAAGCCAAGCCTTCGAAGTTCGGAGGCGTTCATTCGCAATAGTACATCATGTCAGTCAAGCCTTATGTAACGTCTATCAGAATAATCCTTGGCTCAAAAATTATTACCTTGAGTATACTTTGTTTCGTTCGCATGTGATGTGAGCTGCTTTCATCGGGGCCGTACACTGATGAAGTCTGTGGTGTTCGGTTTCCAATCTCTGTTATATGCTAGGGCCCTGCGAGTCGCGCCATAAATTGATACAGCGGGTATGCATCAACCCAGCCAGCAGATACATACATTATGATAAGTTACATAGTTACCTTGATATTTGAATTGCTGGATTTCGATGTTCGATATCCAAAGACATGCAAAGGTCCAGTATTACCCACCTAAGTAGGTATATATATACATGTTGACATGCCTGTCATGGAAGCAAGTCACAAGCTTAAGCTGTCAAGCTTCCGTTTCTGCAGGTAATCGAATATCGTAGGATGAATGTTGTTACGTGAAACGAGATAGAAACGCTTCTGGAATCCATGACGAGGCTAAGGCGGCGCATGTATTATGTATAGGATGGTAGACATCGCAGGGCAATGCGCGGATCATACTGGGTATAGCATGTTCGTAGGTGTCGTTAAGGTAATCGGGGGTGAACTGAAGGAGTGGGTGCTCCAAACCTTGCAGCGATTCCCTGCTTTCGCGATGGAAATGAAAAGCCAATCTCGTCAACTAAATAACCTGATGGGATGATTGCGACACTGTGTTTCTGAACTATATACAGTGCGACACTAGGTAATGTTAGGTAGGTAGTCGTCTTAGTCACCTCAATATATTACACATCTGCTACTCCATGTAGTTATGTATGTATGTTCGGCCGTCTCTATCGCAACTGTCGGAATGTCTCATTCGCCTACCAATCGCGTGATAGATAGGTGTGATGATAAGGTGAAAAGACATGGAAGTGCTTACATTTATAGATATGCTAGCTAGTACGTATGTATGCGTGCATACCTACACTACATGTGTAAGTACACACATCCATATGTATGCATATAAATCAGTTACAGGTAAAAAGGAACATTGAATACGAGAATATCAATAGTTACATAACTACATCGTAATAATACTGGTACTTGCACGTACTATGCCGTACTGTGCTAGTACCTGCTAACTGACCGGAGTGTGCCCAGTAGTTCAGGCAAGTTGTACGATAATTGACTACCATAGGTACAAAATGCACCATGAGATTCTAGATTGACCAATGATGTACAATTGTGGACATGGGCTTCTAGCTCCGGCCTCTCCAGTTCATGCCAGGGCACTGGTCGAGGTTGCCAGGTTTGCTTGCTTTGCTTGAAATTGATTGAAGATCATATTGGGGCTAGTTGCCGGGTAGTGCCTTATCGGGTAGACACACTGTGCAGTTACCCAGTCTACCCCTTTATACCCCTTAAAAAGTCCACCTAAAATCCTCCTTCCCTTTCTTTTCCCACACCCCCCCCCCCATTCCCTCCAGGAGCCACGCCATCCATCAAAACTCGAATTCCAAAACGTTTCGGTCTTTTCTTGTCCTTGACTTCCCTCCAACTCCCTTTTTCTCCATCTTCCTCCTTCTTGTTCGGATTCATTCGTTTGTCCATATTCCATAGTAGAAGAGGAAGAGCATTCGCTAAGTAACTTCCTCGCATCCTTTAATACAATCCACGCCAGAGTACATCTCGAGATTCCCTCGCTCCTGCGAATATCACACAGCTTTTCTCTATTTTCATCAACAAATCGACGCATCAACCAACACCAACAAAATCCACACACTCTCATCCTCCATCAGGCCTCTCCTCGCGGAAAGGCATTTACGAGGCGATTAATTATACAGCCTTGAGATCTCTGAAAATCGAGTCCTCGGGTATCAACAGGTTAGTACCTTTTATTTTCTTTATCTGCTCGGTGATCTTGTTCAATCCAAGGAACTCGAACCTTGTTACTGGATTTTCGGGCCTCACAATTACCATGGTTACCACAAATCTACCTACCTGGGGTTCCAATTGGGGCTCGGTTGACGTGACGCACGTCTGAGTGGACACGACATGGCTTTTGAAGCGACCGCCAATGCTCCCATCCAGTCGGATCTCGGTCAATCACTGGATACGCATTGCCTTGAGCATTACAGTCGGTAAACATGATGGGAACTCCGCCTTCAATCGTGGGACTGGCTCATACTCAGCGATTACAACTGTGGATGGAAATCAAAGAGTCACTTGTGATGGTGCAAAGGAAGTCGTCGTACGAAGACTAGCAAGATTTATGGCAATTGCCACCATGACAAAGAGAAACCTCAGGGTCTACCTCCAGCCCCTTCGCTTTCCTTCCTTTTTCTTGCGTGGAAAAGTGGCAGGATGTACCATAACCATGGAATGAGGATCTACCGTCTCATCCGGCATCGCGACGTCCCACGTACTATTTGCTCCACCCAGTTTGGTCAATCAATTATTATACCAGGTGGTTGACCAACTAGTGAACTCCTAAAACTCGCCATCTCCTCAAGGCCGTTGTGACTGAGTTTCTAGACTCGGCATTTTCTCAATCCTCAATTGTATCTTGAAAACGGCATCATCGGTCCCCGGAGAGATTCACTTGTTTATTTGTTAATCTTTAATATTTATATATTTGGGCATAACTGACAACTCTTTACATAGTCATCAAGATGTTCAACAAACAGTTCCTCACTGCCGCAGCGGCGCTCGGCATGGTCTCCGGTAAGTTATCCATCTCGTACTTGAAGTTTACTCTATCTAACTCCATGAACAACAGGTGCGTTCGGTGTAAGTTGTGATGACCCTACCGCCACCATCAACTCGCAAGCCGATGCGACTCAAATCGCCAGCTGCAGCAAAGTCGATGGCGACGTTGTCATCGGCACCAATGCTGGCCCCGATATCGATCTTGGTGGAAAGCTTACGGAGATCGGTGGTGCTCTTCGCGCCGAACACAACGGCCTCCTCAACAGCCTTCAGAGCTCTTCTCTGGAGACCATTGGTGGCTCTTTCTGGCTGCAAAACGTTACCAAGCTGTCCAGCCTCGTGTTCACTAGCCTCGGCGAAGTTGGCTCCATTGATTGGGCCACTTTGAATGCCCTCCCGCAACCCACGTTCGGAAACCCCGGTATTACCAAGGCCAAGAGTGTCACAATTTCTGATACCTTCATCGAGAGCATCGATGGTATCAATGTTGAGTCCCTCTCCGACATGAACATTAACAACAACCGACGACTAGGCAAGTTCTCTACCAGCATCAAGAGCTTGACGAACACCCTGTACGTCCAGGCTAATGGTCTAAACCTGACCATGGAAATGCCTAACCTGGAATGGATCGCCAACATGACTATTGCCAACGTCACCTCTTTCTCCGTTCCCTCTCTGCACACTGTCAACGGCTCTATGCGATTCGACTCGAACTACTTCGAGAACTTCATTGCCGCCAACTTGACTGAGATCCAGGACGGTGATTTGTCCTTTGTTAGCAACCCCGAACTCACCAATATCTCGATCCCTGCCCTGGAACGTGTTGGAGGTGGTTTCACCATTGCCAACAACACTGCTCTTGAGAAGATCGACGGCTTTGCTGCTTTGAACGAAATTGGTGGTGCCGTCAAGCTCCGTGGTTCTTTCACTGAGGTTGACCTTCCTAAGGTCAACGACGTGAAGGGAGCTTTCGAGGTTGTCAGTACCGAAGACATCAGCAGCTCTTGCAGCTCCCTCGGCAGCTTCAAGGGTGGCGTCGTCCAAGGCCAGTACAGCTGCACAGGCAACGATGCTAACGCCAACAACGACACCTCTGATGCTTCCAATGGCAGCTCCGGCAGCTCCGACGACAAGGATGGCGCAGCCTCTCCTATCCGTGCGAGCATGTCTACCATCGTCTCGCTAGCTGCTGTCGGTGCCTTCATTACCGCTTTCTTGTAATAACTTTGGAAGTGTCGGTGGGAAGTTGGGTTTGGAACATGGTGGCGTTGTCAACATTCCCTTTCCAGTGTTGTAAAAACTGTTGTCATTTCGCGGGTCGCATCTAGCGACTGGGGTTACGTATAAGGAATCGCTAGACTTAATACTGATGCATGTTCTACTTGGAACCCGCTTTAATATTCTTGAAACGTGATAGTGTTGTTAAGATCTTATGTCTGACAGGGTTTAATTGAATCGTCCTCTTCATTTGTCCTGCGTTGCTTATGTGTATGGCCTGCGGCTATTCGATTCTTAGCCATGTGAATGCCACGTGCTGTACTAACTATGTGTGTAGTACTATTTAACTCGACTTGGTCTTGGGCACTAAGTAGACGGTTTCCAATACCGGGACAAGTTTATATAGTCGCATAAACCCACAGACCCGTTGCGTTACAATGTAGGCCATCATTTGTATTTGCGTTGGTAAACACCCTGATAGTGTGATGGCTATGTAATATGCCTCCACGACTTGTATAGAAGGTATCTATCTACCTAAATAGGTAACTACCAAGTCCTATGTGACCTTCCTTGAATCATGCTCGAGTCCTGTGTATCCTCGATAACGAGTGTATATAAAGTAGGTTATCTTGGGTATGTATGTAGGTACACTGGCAAATTCACCCGGTTTTTTTCTCTTAATTCTAGTCGCAGGTACAGTATCAAATCATGGTTATACTGCATTCGCTAATCAGTTAGGTTAGGAGTAATGTATTTGGACCGGACGGTGTAGAAAAAAAGATAGCAGCAGCAAATTGGGCAGAAGAGTACTATATGATCCATGATCTATCTATCTATGCATTATCTTATCCACGTGTTGTGGTCTATATAGACTAGGTACCTAGATAGTACTTCGTAGGTGCTCTGTCATAGTAGCAATAGCAGTGGTTCTTTCGCCCCGTCCGGATGGGGATAGATATATATATCTCTCGCCCCGTCACATAAATCACTCGTATATCCTCCGCTCGAACTTTTCCACGTCGTAGAACTGCGGCTCGATGGTGTTGCCGGCGAATATGCGGCCGTCTAGGGCATTCACGGCCTATATTGGGGATGGTTAGCACCATGATAACGGAAGGAAAGAGGAGGGGAGAGATATTGACTTACCCTTAACGCAGAGACCTGGTCTGTGAATTTGATATACACCCTCTTCCCCTCCACATCGATGTACAAGCGTTCCACTCTCCCGTACTTGTCGCCACACTCCTCGCCAATCTCCTGCCCGAGCCCGGACTCAATCTCGGCTTCCAGGTCCTCCATAGCCTCCAGCATGTTGCGGAGCACGATGACGTTGCTCATGGCCCCGAACTTACCGCCGCTGCTCTCGGGCTCGGTCCCAGCGCCCGTCTTGGGGCCTATGATGCGACCACGCCCGGCAGGCCCGACCCACCCGCCGCCTTCGGAGTCGGGCTTTTTCTTGCGCTTGTCGACCTGCGCGCGCAGCGGTTGTACGATGCCGGTGCCCTCGGCGCCAAGACCTTGGCCCTTGGACCAGCCGTACTTGGCCATGAAGCGTGCCGCGAAGCCCTTCTGGCCGGGACGGTTGCCGCGCAGCTCGGCGACTGACTCGGGGGGTACGTATTCATCTTCATCCTCATCCATGGCATCTGGGTTTGGTGGTGGTGGTGGTGGTGGCGCGGCCTCCGGTTGGGTGTAGCGTACTGGCGCGCGGGATATGGATGCGGGTTCTAGTGCGGTAGTGGCTGCTGGAAGTCCTGTTGGCGGAGGTGGAGGAGGTGGTGGGGATGGTGAACGTGGTGGAGGAGGCGCATTGCCTTGTGATATGGCTAATCGGCGTGCGTACGCATCATCGCCAGTCTTGTCGTCTGGTACTGAGGCTCGTGGGGGCGAGGGCGGGGGTGGTGCGAAAGAATAAGAGTCTGGTGGCGCAAATTGGTCTGTAGATGTGATACACGTTAGCAAGACAAATTCGCTTGGAAAGCCCAAGGTTATTAAAGGTAAACGTACTCGGTGCTGGCCTAGTTTCCTCCTCGTTGCTATCCCAGCTTGAATGCCTCTCGTCGTCGCGTCGCCTATGCTTGTAAAGCAAGTCCTTCCATTCCCGCACCTCTCGTATTCGCTCTTCGCTTTGCAGGTACTCGTCTACGTTCGTGGGCCTTGAGGGGTCGTATATTTCATCCCAGTCGGTCTCAATGGGTACATCATCTGCCTTCTTCTTCTTCTTTCTGCGCCCGCCCCGCGCCCTCTTCTCGCCGGTGCCATACATGTACTCATCCTCCTCTGTAGGCGCCCAATCGGCAAGCTTACTCCTAGCCGGAGCTGAGCCTGTGGTGACGGAACCGGTGGGATTGGTGGGAGCGGAAGGAGCTTTTGGGAAGCCGGCTTTAGCTTTCTGTGTCTTGGGTTGCGGGCGACGAATTTGTGGGTGCGGCTGGAAGCGCAGAGCGGGATCGAGAGGTTTCTTAGAGGCTTCCTGCTCCTTAACCGCCTCAAGCGCTTCTCTGGATAGGACTGGGGCGCGGGATATAGATGTAGTCGAGTCTCCGTCAGGTTCGAGTAGGTTAGCATAGAGGGACAGGCCATTCCGAGGCGGCGCCTGCTGTGCCATTATCGGTGTCTGCGAGCTTGCAAGCTCTTTCTTGGTCCCGGCTTTTCACACTCTGACACTCCAAGCTAGAGAAGAGCTTATCAATGGCGAAGTGGGTAGATGAGTTACGTTCCTTTTGATAGGCGACAAGGTCAAGGGAGAGAGGCTGGCAAGCTAATAGGTATGTTGAATAGTAACAACGTTGAACATTGAAATGATTGAATACTAATCAATTGATGGTAGTCACCTTAAGTTACCTAATAGTAGTATACCTACTATACTATGTAGTACTAGCCTACTAGGCATGTAGTACGCTAATATTAACGCTAAGAGCTCTAACATTACAAGGGTTTTAGGTACTACCTAGTATCCAAATGGAAAGAAAATATCGCCATAGCCGCTAATTGTCAGCTCATTGGCGCTAATTGGTTCAAATTCCTAGGTACTACTACTACTAGAAACTTTCCGGAGTCGCAGATCTTGTCGCATCTTCTCGTACGACATCACAACTTTTGGCACCTGGACCCAATTGCTAATTAATCTTACTCTTTATCTACCTATCTAAATAATATAATATTCTCACTTTTTCTTCATCATTTTTCTGTGAGGTCTATTCTTTACTATAATCGATTCGAAGCTTGCGACTAATTCGATACGGCATCCCTAATCTCGAATACTTAAACAAACCAACCCTCTTACATCACCGTGTCATCACCCCTTACCTGCAACTAAACTTACTTTACGCCGTATCAGGCTATCAGCTTCGAAATGACAACCCTCCAGAACTCTATCCACGGCACGGACTCTTCCGTCGCCGTCATAATACCCTCCAAACCGACACCCCTTACCGTCACTTACAAGGATCTCAAGTCCGAATGCCTCTCGTTCCAGCGCAAGCTCGCCGCTATCGGCATCACCAACCGCTCCGCCGTCTCCATAGCGACGGTGAACTCATATGAGTTTATTGTCTCCTTCCTAGCTGCATCATGGCAGCGCGGTATCGCGGCACCTCTAAATCCTGCCTACAAGCAGGAGGAGTTCGAGTTCTACATCGACGACATCAAGTCGGCCGTTGTGCTAGTTCCCAAAGGAGCGTACCAAGCCGATGCGCCTTCCGTGAAGGCCGCGCGCAAGTTCAACGCCGCCATCGCCGAATGTTACTGGGACGATGCGAAGAAAGAGGTGGCTTTGGACGTGAAAGAGCTTGGTCAGCTAAAGGGAAAGAGCAAGGAGGGTGTGCTACAACCCCAGCCAGATGATGTTGCTCTAGTCCTACACACGAGGTGAGTTGAGCATTCAGAGCCTACAAGCAAACAAACGTAGACACGTAGACGTATAGATCTGACTTCCCTTATTCCAGTGGCACGACATCGAGACCCAAAGTGGTAGGTTGAATTCGGCACGTAATCCATAGCGGCTTTCTGACATATTGAATAGGTTCCTTTAACACATCGTAACCTTACCCGGACTATGAGTAAGCTATGCGTTGGCAACCCCTAGAATATGTGTAAGTATCGTGTCGCTGACCACTATCGTAGGGAATATTCAGTCGACATACCAGCTCACCGCGCAAGACCGGACAATGCTAGTCATGCCGCTTTTCCATGTCCACGGCCTGCTTTGTGCTCTCTTAGCTCCTCTATACTCTGGAGGCTCTATGATCGTGCCCACCAAGTTCTCCGCCTCGGATTTCTGGCATGAGTTCGTGACTTACAAGGCGAACTGGTATACTGCCGTGCCGACCATTCACCAGATTCTGCTCAAGAACCCCGCTCCGAGCCCATTGCCCAAGATTCGCTTCATCCGTTCTTGTTCCTCGCCGCTATCCCCGACCGTATTTACGCAGTTGGAGGAAAAGTTCAAGGCACCCGTACTCGAGGCGTACGCCATGACTGAAGCCGCACACCAAATGACTTCCAACCCCCTACCCCCGAGTAAACGAAAGCCCGGGACGGTGGGTATCGGCCAGGGAGTTGAAGTCAAAATCCTAAACGACGCCGGCGATGAAGTACCTCAGGGAAGCGAGGGCGAGATCTGCATCAGGGGCGAGAACGTAACCAAAGGTTATCTCAACAACCCAGCCGCCAATGAATCCTCTTTCACCAAGGGCGGCTTCTTCCGCACCGGCGACCAAGGCAAGCTGGACGAGGACGGCTACGTGACCATCACAGGCCGCATCAAGGAGCTCATCAACAAGGGCGGCGAAAAGATCAGCCCCATCGAACTAGACAACGTGCTGACGAGACACCCGTCTGTCTCGGAGGCCGTGAGCTTTGCCATCCCCGATGACCTGTATGGCCAGGGCATCGGCGTCGCGATTGTGCTGAAGAGCGGGGCGAAGCTAGATCAGAACGAGCTGAAGGCGTGGGTCAACGAGAAGTTGGCCAAGTTCAAGGTCCCCAAGAAGGTAAGCCCCCTCTCTCTCTCTCTCTCGCGGGTTTGGTGGGTTTCAACGAAAAAAAAAGGGGGAGGAAGGCTAACATCAAATAACACAGGTTTACTTCACCGAGATCATGCCCAAGACCGCGACAGGGAAAATCCAGAGGCGTATCGTGGCCGAGACGATGCAGAACCAGGAGACACCCAAGGCTAAGCTTTAAATTATGTATATCGAAAGGCGATGTTCCGCGGGAAATATATACCTATGTATGAGTATATATTTGCATATACATATGTAACCCAGTATTTTTAACATACCTAGTATAAGGTCATTCAAACACGATATAGAAGATGGGACGAGTGTACAAACTATTGAAACACGGGCTATGAGATATTAGATAGGCTGGTAGGAATCAAGCAAAGGTGAACATTGAAGAGAAAGACAATGAATATTACATGTAGTAGTAGTAGTAGTAGTAGTAGTAGTAGTAGTAGTAGTAGTAGTAGTACATAGATGTAACGGTACCTACATATAGTATGCTAATCTATGTACTAAAGTATGAATCAGAGACGAGAATAGTCGTTTTTTTTTTCTTCTGGTTCTTGGGTATCTTCTTGGTATCTTGGTATTTCCTCCCTCCCTCCATCCATCCGTGTTTCCTTGTTTCCCCCTTGAAAATAATAAATGGAATACAGCAGTGGCGGCGGCGTAGTATCCCCATTTCATATGTAATCGTATCGTTCATTCGTTCGTTGTCCAGCCAGCCGCTTACCCCCATCCCGTAAGAAATAAATCAAATTACACTTCAGCCGTTTAATGCCTAACGCCACACGACTTTGTGTTTTCCCTTTCCCTTTCCCGTTCCCGTTCCCGTTTCCCGTCGTCCGGTCGTTTCTCACTTCACTAACTGCTAACCTAGCCATAAGCAAAAGCAGCGAATCGCTAGACGCCCCGTTTCCGCCTTGGCGGTCAAAAGCATAAAAAGGGTTCGAAGACCCTCCCCCCAATTCCCAATAAAACCCCAAGAACTCCCAAGACCTGTGCCAAGAAGCACGCTGCTGCAATTCGATTTGCGCCGTGAAGCCGCGCCCGAGCTTGGCATTGCCTCTAGCTTGGGCTTTCCCGGCATCTCTCACTCTCAGCCTACCGCAGCCGTGGTGGCGTTGGTGGCGTGGGCAATGCCGCCACCACTAGAGCCGTGGTGCTGCTGGTAGTGATGGTTGTGTTCTGCTGCCATATTGTTTTCGTGTTTCTGGTCCTCCTCATCCATCTCGATGATCTCGTCGTCGTCTTCCTCGTTCTCGTATAGCTTGCCCGGCGTCACAAGCCGCCGGGGAGTCTGTGCCTCGGCTCTTTCTGTGCTCTGTGTCACTGCTTGGTCCAGTGAAGCATACATCGTGATAGGTGCCCCATTGAAGTCTCGCGGGGGCTCAAAAGCAACCGGTGCTACTGCGTCTTCGGAAGCTATGCTGGAGATGGAGGATCGGCGAGATCTGGGGCTGCGTGAGAAAATAGACTCGGTGTCGCTGTCTTCGTAGTAGGAGCTGCCAGTAATAGTGGTAGAGTCGTCAGGGGATGTGGATGCGGGGTAGCTCTGATGGTGCTCAGCTGCCCACCTTTGCGACTCGCTTTGGAGGTAGAGTGATAGCATGGTGATAATAACGGGTGAGCCCGTGGTAAGTAAGTTTGGGACGTATGTATAGGTTTGGTTACGAATTGACTTCAAATGGTGTGAGTAATGAAAGTTGGAAGTCAGGGTAGGTAGGTATATAAGTAATTGGTAGACAGGTAGGATGGTAATTACATCAACACGTACAACTAGGTATGTAGCTATGTATGTAGATTGGTTAGACAAGCTACCAGGGGGGGTATATAAGTCAAGGATGTTCTTTGTATCTGAATATTGTCTCAGTCTGTCCAAGATGGGGGAGGATGTCACATTAAAAACACCAAACAAAATAACTCATTAGTGTGCCGAGGCTTCCACTGCTCCGTGGTCTTACCAATAAATTCAACAGGTCATGATATCTCCAAGAGAATTTAGCGACGTATCTAACTCGGCCTCGAAGATCCCCTGACCGCCGAAGCTCGGCGACGCGAACATGTTCAGGATTCAAGACGATGACGACACTGGACAGAGCTGTGCTGTGCTGTGCTGTGCTAACCTAACGCCGATGATAACCCTGTGCGGCAAGCTCTCGGATGATATGAATCTGACATATGCAAATCCTCGCCCACACACCAGTACGTGCGGGCGCGTCAACGCTTATTCCTATAGTTACTCTCATAGTTCAAAAGTCATACGTAGGCGAGATCCTAAATAGATCATCTCATTGTCTTGGCACTCGACTTGTGATTTGAATTTATATAAAAAAACAAAATGCCCAGACAAATAGTAGCACATACCAAGCATATACTTACAAAGTAGTACCTCATATCTGCACTTAACCGAACAGGGCGCCGTGGATGATAAATATTGACAAAAAATGAGGCGACATCTAGGCCATAAATCGGGCGATGCTTGATGTTTCCGAGCTACGAGCGAGCGACAGTGGAACGAGGCGGAAGAAGACCGGAAAGGAGACGAGGGATAAAGGATTCCTATGCCGGGTCTAAAGTTGACCTCGTGCCCCAAATACAATGGATAACTTTGTAGTTGTAAAAGATCACGGGTCCAGAGTCTTCCGAATCACCCAATTGGATAAGTCATGAAAGATGATGTGATGGCACAGCCTACGGTATGAGTATGAGCATGAGTCGACAAAGAATCGATTGTTGGTTGATAAGAAAAGGAAGAAAGGAACATTGAATATTAACTTAAAAGGAATAAAGAACTTGAATGTCGTGCAGATTTCAATTGCATTAATGGATCCTTCCTTCTTGGAATGTGAACATTACACAGAACACTAGGTAATTCAGTGGGGGCAGCAGCAGGAGGGGTTAGTCACGGGTGATGATACTTTCATATACTTTGGTAACAATACAGTTTCCATATCATTACTAGCAGTAACAAAACCATTCGCAAGTATACACCACGTACTTGTAGAGTACAACGCCTTTATACTCCACCTATACGCCTTACATGTAACTCTAATTGCCTGTTTATACCTCGGTGTTGGCGATGCCGGCAGATACCAGGCACGACATTGGTGTAAATCAAGATCTATCTTAGGTACAGAGCTACCAACCTAGTGTCTACACAACGATCTATCGCTGCTATTAGGTTAAACATTATATACACAACTTGGAATAGTTGAGGTATATATGTAGCTATATCAGTATTTTCAACCTCCTTCCATGGCCTTTCGCTTCAAGCTTCTCCCCAGACTTTTCCAGCCCATATCTGCCAGATTCCAGCCCAGCGGCATCCGATTTTCCCATAGCCCCGTATCCAAGACCTCGATGGCATCCATCACCACCCCGCCCGCGGGGAAGATCGAGTGGCTCGTCATCATACCTGACAAGCCAGGCACCCAGGAGAAGAGGCTGGAAGTGCGCGCGTGAGTGTCAGCCCTCATCATGAACCATTATATTACCTATCTGCCCCAATAAGCATATCAGGGCGGCCATGGCTTATAATGTTCTCTTCTTGGCTTACACGTAAAATATATTCTCGTCACGCAGTCAGCACTTCGCCGGTCTACAGCCATTCATCCAGTCCCAGCAGTTCAAGACGGGAGGTATGTATCTGCCAGTTGCTAGCTAAGACAAGTCCACGAAATCGACTTTCGAAAATCACAAGTTATAATCATCTATTGCATAGTGTGGAGTACTAAATATGTGGTTCTCACTTTTTAAAAGGCGCCATTTTTAACAGCAAGCCCGAAAGCGACAATCCTGCCGACTGGGATTGGGCAGGTAGCACGATCGTCGTCGTCGCCGAGTCCAAGGAAGAGGTCAAGAAGATTATCGCCGAGGATATTTACTCCAAGAGTGGAGTGTGGGATCCTGATAATGTATGTCATTGAATAAGTGCATAATATAGGAAAAGTTCACTAATCGTCAATGTTTAGGCACAAATATATGCGGTAAGCCTCCATGCCAGCATGCCTCCTTTGGCTTCTACTAAATCATGTCATCTCCCTAGGCCAAGTTTGCGTTCAGATTCCCTTGATCTAGGCATAAATGTTCGGACGAGTTGTAAATAGTCTAGACGTGGGATTCATCCCTCATGTATTTAGTTCCTATGAATAACTTGTGAGCTACGGCTACCCCGTTATTAATAGCATGCCAAGTTCAAGTCTCGTCTATAATAGGGCCACTAGGTACCATTGTGCGCCCCTTGACAAACAGATTCCTCGTAGTACTACCGTCAACACCTCCCATGCACCCAAAGGTCAAGTTGTACAAACCAAGTATCATAAAACCAAAGCATATTGTAAACATTACGACTCCGGCCCCTGTTGTCGTTCTGGCGGAGGTGTTGGTGTTGCTGATTCCGCTGCGACACGAAGCTCGTAGTTGAGGTCGAAGCACTCAGCTAGTAGTTCAGCCACACTGCCTTGGCCCTCAGGGATATCTTCCCCAACCATAAATTTCCCGTCCACTTTCATATTATCGATTGAGTGTAGCTTCATACTATAGGGGTAAAGCTCCCTAGCCGAGCTTACGCCACCGCTATTCTTTACCTCCACGAGACAGCGCTTTAGAGTTTGTAATTGGTTGTAAATCGGCAGTAGCGCTTCGGAAACAGGCTCCGACGATATCATAAGTTGATAGATATAGCCGTAGCTTCTTCGAATCAGGTAGAGGAGTGTCTAGGATGTAGTTAGCATAAAAGACAATCCCCATTTTAGCAACCCTCAACCTACTCGTTGGACGTAGAGATCAGCTGGTCGTCCTTGGTCATCTAGCCAGTTACCATTCACTCTACTCTCATCAATCCTGTCCAGCTGTCGTTGATAATCATATAAATCTGTTTCCCGCAATGACCACGCTTGTGTCAATGACAACTTATCGAGTTCGTTTCTAATACCGACAAGTACTTCGTAGACAGGTTTCCATTTGTCTGGAAATTGGCCGTTTCTAAGCACAGCGTTAGAGAATATGTTTGAACAGATGTTAGGAATGAATAGGTAGTGCACCTTTCAACCACGATTTTCGTATACTCTATACATCTGTCCAATAGCTTTGAAATGTGCTGACTCCCTTTCAGAATATTTCCGTCATCATCCATAAACTGCCCATCTTTTCGCTTATCGCCAATTTCTCTAAGCTGCGCTTCGAGTTTCTGTATCTCCCCTGGCGAGAACTGGTAATCGTTAGCATGAAGAGTACCACATACGAAGACATTCCGAACAACACCAACCCTGGATTTTGTATTAATCACTGCCATCTGTCTCAGTATCGAAACAAGTTTATCCGCCGTGGGTCTCAGCGGCTCGGCAATGTCGTTGATTTTCTGTTGCAGGTTGGCCAAGGAAACCCGACACCGATCTATCCGTTGCGTAATTAAGGTCTCGAGGAAGGGCGCAGGCTTCGTACTAGCAGAGTTATGCACTATCTCCGATAAATGCACCAACGTCTGTGACATGCTCTCAAGATCTTGAGCACTGAACAAATTAGCTTCGGTCAAGTGATCTAGGAGTCGCTTGATGGTCGACGTTAGCGCATAGGCCGCGGGCGCTTCATTGTTTCGACCGATTGTCATGAAGAATAGCGATAGCAGTTGAAAGCAGCTGTCTACAACTCTATCGACTAGAGGACAAGTTAGCCACGATAGTCAAGGACTACCGGCATCCGATAGCTTAAGATGAACACTACAGTACCTCGATTTTCTTCCACAACCTTCCCATTTCTGATTTCGTATAGAATCCTGACCTGCTCAATGGTTTGATCATATAGGACCATAACATCTTGGGTTCGAACGTAGGTCGTTCGATCGAGTTTACGCAATTGTAATTGGTCGCGAATGGCGATTAGGCTTTCGAGGACTCCTTTCTCCCCTTCGTCCTCCGGGGCAGGAATCTTTGGTGTTTCCATGTTGGCGGTTCTAATAGGGGTCTCGAGATCCTAGGTATAGATAGTACTCTCTCCAGATAACCTTGCCCAAGTTGCAGTTGTTATCTTGGAGGAGGAAGAGAATAAAGAGAAGAGAAAGAGAAGAGTATTGACACTTTTTCCCCTCTCTACCTAGTAGTACCCTTTCTTTGTTCGCTTGACTTTAGCTTGGGGCTTCTTAAATCACTTAAAGATAATCTTCATCAATTTGAAGACTGATATATTTAGTATAATGAATATCCCATGTGTCATGCGTAATCCTGGACGATGCATACGACAACGCTTTTGAGGGCCAATGGTGTGTTTCGTTGCAAGTTGTCTCACGAACACAGAACCGTTTTCTCGATGCAGGGGGAATTCTCAAGAGGCTTGAGACTGGTTACAGGTGTGCCGGTCCCAAAGCTCTAACTTCTACAAATGGCCAGTGATTGGTGCCTATAGGTAGGTCAGGTAAGTTAGGATAATCTTCTGTTTAGTACCTAACAAGGGCTTGCAGGTGATTACTGCAGAGCCTGATCGGCGGAATTGATTGACTTTGGGTAAGTGGGAAGGGAAAATGGATGAGACAAAGAGAAGCCAAGGTGGGATGATGGTGACAGTGACAGCTGCTTGGGAGCATAAACCAGCACAGCATAGGGCCGTACATGTAGGCAAGGCAGGTGGGGTTGTGCGGTCATCCTGCTATCACAAGCATACAGTATTTGCCTAGTGTCCATAAGAGGTTAAGTGGTTTATTGGTACATTAATGATCATTGCGGGGCAAAGTAGCTAAGTTTTAATTGGCTCTGATAAACAGCCAATCAAATTGATTCCTCCCCTCCGTCTAGGAAGCGGAACCTCTATTTTCCATCCATGCTAGCCCTACCTTTCTCCCACCAAAATTTCGCATTGCGAATTGAAAGTTACTTTTGGTAAATAATTCACGAGCGCAAACACAACTCCAGCAACTTTTCGAGGTGCCCTCCGATCAACTTCAACCCACTCGATACACCACATCCACACCCAAATCTTCGACAACAAAGTCAATTCCACCACAATGTCGACTGCTGAACTTGCCTCGTCGTACGCGGCGCTCATCCTCGCCGATGACGGTGTTGAGATCACTGTAAGCCAGCGCAATACCCCTCCAATCCCACCGAGCCTACATTTTCAGAGATATACTCTGCCCTATTAAATGGAGTCGAATACTAATGAATGATAATTACAGGCCGACAAGCTACAAACCCTCCTTAAGGCTGCCAAGGTCGCTGATGTTGAGCCCATCTGGACGCAACTCTTCGCTAAGGTATGACGAATAGCCAATTATCTAGGAAACTAGGATACTGGCATTCTGTTTACTGATTCGCATATCTAGGCTCTTGAGGGCAAGGACGTAAAGGACCTTTTATCGAACGTCGGCTCGGGCGGTGGTGCTGCCGCTGCTGGCCCGGCCGCGGCTGGTGGTGCTGCGGGTGGCGCTGCTGAGGAGACCAAGGAAGAAGAGAAGGAAGAGGGTACGTTCATATCTCTTTTTATCTGCTCGCCCAACATCACTCTGAACAGGATGGTACTAACTCACTTTGCAGAGAAGGAAGAGTCAGACGACGACATGGGATTCGGTCTTTTCGACTAAAATCGTTGCGCGACGACTACCACTCACCTTCCCTTTGTACTTTCACTGCATGGTTCTGGGGTTCCATACACCATTGGTGTGGCGTGAAGGAGGCAATATTAGGATGCCTTGGGCAAAGTTCACCCAGTCATAGGTTAATATGACAAATGCTCTTTACGAATGAAGTCGTTTGAGATTAAATGAAGACCTCTAGACCTTGTTACGCCTAAGTGTCTCATCGTAATCTCGAGGCAATATTCAGCTGTGACATCAAACCCTAGCTACGTACCTATTATGCAGTAGCTGCGGAAGATATTGATATAATATCTCATATGAAAAATGCGCGCACTTGTTACCTAGTAACCTCGTTTTTGTGGCTCCCTTACCTCCAACTTCATGACTGATAATCCATCCATGCTACGGAGTCCCCCTTTTATCCTCCCAAGCCAGATCTAAACGCCAGGTCATGCATTCGTGATAGTCATGTAGTCCGGTTTATTGTACGACCAAAACCGCGCTGGGAACCATTCCGGCTTCCTTCAGGGTTTTGCCCAGATCAAGGTTTCCTTCGAAAATCTTTCTGGGGAAGTTTTGGATGAACTTACTAACGGTAAGCCCATTCTCTGACTCCAGTACTTGAGCAACCTCGAAAAGGGTGGTATCCGCCGGGAATGTCTTCATAACATTGCCTTGAGAAGTTTGTAGTCTCAACCGGGCCTCGGCGTGATTAGTAGTGGGACGAGCTGGCGCTGGCGCGGGGGCAGAGGCAGCGGGGGTAGGGATAGATCTGCCTTCCCGAGCAGCCTTGGCTTCCTCCGCCTTGCGACGACGTTCCTCCTTATCGGCCTCGATCTTGGCCTTGATGCGTTTCTTGGCCTCAATGTCATCGAGCTTCTCCTGGCGCTTCTTGGCCGCTTCCTTTATTTGCTCCTTGCGCTGGGTCTCCTCCTTGAGTTCGTGAGACTCTCTGGTCGCCTTTTGACGAATTTTCTAAGTTGTCAAGTCAGCTGCCATGTCGTAGCTGAACTACACATTTAATTCATTAAAGAAGTACCTCGTTGCGCTTCTGCTCTTCCTTGTCTTCTTCGGCCTTGTTGGCTTTTTTGGCCTTGACACGTTCACGGAGTTCCTCAAGTCTCTGTTTCTTCTCCTCTTCACTAAGGGGAGCAATCTGCTCGGTAGATTCGGCAAAATCAGTGTGGCCTCTGTAGATAGAGAAGGTAAGGAATTAGCCAATAACTATGAAGGAGTTGGCCAGTACTAACGACTTATTGGCATGGAACTCGGCCTCGCCCGCGTTGCGGAATTTCTTGTTGCATTCGTTGCAAACGAGTGACATGGCGACTGTACCATCATCCACCTTGGCAATATTGGCTCCGGATGCCTCCTGTTCCTCCAGGAGTTCATCCAAAGGGGTGTCTTGAGTTTTTTCTAGCCAATCCATGGCATCAGGTACTAGACAGATCATCAATAATCGGTCCACACCAATAATATAAACTTTAGGCGGGATGCTCACAGCCATCTGACTTCTTCACGGCCAGCTCGGCACGTGATTTGTCGAATCCCATCTCGAGAAGCTGGTCAAGGACTGATGATGACATCTTGGACGACGTAGTTGACTGCTGCCACCAGGATTTGGTTTTCAGTTGAGGATGTGTTATAAGTTGTTTGGGCAAAAAAAAGAACGGGGCCAGGATATTAATAAATAACACTAGGTATTAGGTAGCCTAACGTTCAGAGTTCTTGGTTTGGCACCTGTGTATGATTATTAGTAGGTCCGATGTGTGGTATGTATGTACATATAACAGTCTTTATGTATTGTACTATGTAATGATGTAGGCAGGGAAGTCAGGTTAGGTAAGAGCTGGGAACATTGAAGGTTAAAGAAGAATTCATACTCTAAGAGAGAAGCTGCAGATATGTACAACGAATATTGATGAGTCTTTAGTTCAATCGATGTTCCGAGGTGCCTTTGGTGGCACGTCATGAATTGACGACTTGTATTCGGCATGTACCTTTTTCAATACACGAAGTGGGTATTGTACTTATGAGTACATGTGTTAAATGTTTCCTACATGCAGGATGTACATAATTTGGTGCTTGCACTTGTAAGTAGTAAGTACTAGGTACTAACCTTGAACTATGTAGGTTAAGTTACTGTGTAAGTTGTGACTTTCCAAGTCCAAATGTTACATTCTAAGGAGTTGCCAGGTGGTTCGTGCTCCTTCTTGCTCATAATTGTCATAACGTTTGGATATCATGATACATAATTGTATGTAGGTGCATACGTGTAGTGCGCTAAGTCTCAGTACTAATGCACGCTAAGCCCCAAATTATTATTCCCGCTCCCCTATGAACCTTATGAACACCTCTGTAAAATCCAGATGTCCCCTATCAATCCCCTGGGAAGTTGAAGGGAATCAAGGGATACGTATCCCTAAATTGCCAGGGCTCCCAGACCACCGGACAAGCCCATCCATCCTATTTGCGATGTCGTAACACGAAGACAACACCACCAACACCACTGCTATCTGTGCTTTTTTATCTCATCTCAACCAAATTTCCATCTTCACGTTTCCTTGCTTGTGCACTACCATAATAAATCAACACCTTTTACCTTTTCTACATAGTAATTCATCCCCATAGCCAAGGCTTTTTTACATTACATTATTGTTCGGATAAATATTACTGCCGCGGTTGATCCTCTTTTTATTGACCATATCCTATTCTCATTTCTCGTTAGGTATCTGGGTCTTTCCCTGTCGAAGAACCGAACGAGAGTAAACCTTGCGACTGCATTCCAATATTACATCGGCGCCTTAGTAATTGCTATAGTAGTAGCAGTTTGCGATATCGCATCCTCCGCATATCTTCCATCTTCCTTACGTCCAACAAGAAAACCTGGGAGGTATATCGCCAAAATGTCCCTCGAAATCGATCCTCAGGAGCTGGGCTTCCATCGTACGTGCTGACCCTATTCCGCTGCTCTGTTGTCGACATATCTCGCATACTCATGTCTTTTTTATCATAGGCCCCTTTACTTCCGAGGTCTCGGAAGTGCTACGGATTAGAAACTCCAACACTCACCCTGTAGCCTTCAAGGTACGTCACATGCTCAACACTCTTGCGCAAATTCGTGATGATATTTGCTGACATGTCCTAGGTGAAAACCACCGCACCAAAGCAGTACGCCCTCCTCTAGCCACACCGAACCCCATGACCTCTAACAGCAAATAACTGACGATGTTTTCTACTCAAGGTACTGCGTCAGGCCAAACGCGGGTCGAATTGAGCCAGGAAAGGAGGTTGAAGTTTCAGGTGCGCAATCTCTCAATTTCTAGATGCTGCGCTTCCACCGCTAACGCACAGCAGTTATCCTTCAAGCCATGAAGCAAGAACCTCCCCCGGATACGAAGTGCCGAGATAAATTCCTAGTTCAGTCTATCCCGATCACGGGAGACATGGAATTTTCCAACTTAACAACTATCGTAAGCAGCATACTTCTCAGCACCCCTGAAGTTATGATTACATCCGTAGCTAACCTTAACAAAAGTGGGCCGGTGCCGAGAAGTCAGCAGTACTGGAGAAGAAGATTCGCGTCATTTTTATGCCTCCTCACGGAGCTCCCGGAGCTTCCCACCTCGAGACACCTAACAAGCCAACAACCAATGGCGTGAGTACTCCTATGTTGCCTCGTTATCTATCCAGCACCTAACATCTCTCCACAGAGCAATGCTACCCCGGAAGTTCCCCCTCCTGCCTACTCCTCCCCTGCCGATTTCTCGGCCGGTGCTGCCGAATCTCAGCCGGCGGAAAATAAGGACATCACCCGTGAGCGAACTACATCTGCCGCAACTGCAGCAGCTGTTGCGACTACTCAGCACAGCGACCCAAGCCCCGATGAACTTAAGCAACAACTTCTCCAGGCTGAAAGAATGATCGCGCAGCTGAAGCAGGACCAAGAAGGGTTACGGCAGCGAAAAGCAACGAGTACGGATAATAAGACGGGCCCTAAGCCTGCCGAACTCAGTGAGACAGTACGAGCCGGCACTGAAGGCGTGCCAGTCAAGCTTGCGGCGATTCTATGCTTCCTGAGCTTTATGCTCGCATATCTCTTCTTTTAAGTTGCGATAAGGATATATTTCGTGGATTTTTGCTAAAACATGGGCGGAGGAGTGCCAGTGACGGTTGTTGCAGTGTTAGTAGGGGAAATTAAACTCATCTTCTGAAAGATGATGGTACCTGCATAAGAAGGAGGAGGAAGTCTATACCTGCCTACCTCGTTGAGGAATTAGTAATAGGAGGCGATGACATGGAAATCTAGTAGTCCCTACGTGGGATTGCTGATTGTGAATTGGCAGTAAGAAGCTGAGACGAAGGGATCTAAGCTGGTTTGACACCTTCGTTTTGGCAGGCGGGCACACACACATCATCATCATCATCATCATCACCATCAGTACTGTACTTTAAACATGTATTCCCCTTTGTTTTCGGTTGATTCTTAAGCTACGAGCATTCTGATATATACCTCCCGTTTTTCGTAGTCACCTTATATGATCACCGTAGATTTCTTAAAAACCCGAAACGAGTTCGGTTATACCCCTGATCTTAAGCCTGTGTCCCTCCCGTGTATAGGATCGACTCAGGGACTCGGCCATGGCAGGTTTGAAGCAAACCACCTGGGCAAGCTTATTTTGCATGTGTGCATGTGTCACTATTATACGTATGTAATACATATGTACCTACCTCGTTGACATGTCGATGAGAAGAACGCACAGTTTGTCCCGGGAGAACTCGTTCGGGACAGCATAGGGGGGGCCACGGAAAAGCAACCCAGTCCCCGAAAAGAGATAAAGTAAAATAAAAAGAAATAGACCGTTCGAGAGTTATTAAGTGTCATATTATCGAGTTGGCTCTGTTTCTATTTGCGTTGCGTTGCGTTGCGTTACGTTCCCCTTAAAATCCCAAAAATCGTAACCCGCACAACAACAACAAAAACATGTATTATCTAGGGCATTTCAAGTATACACACACGCCACACACACACGCACAACCTTTCCCTGCCATTCCAAGGCATGATACTGCCGGCATTATGTATTGCGGTGTGCAAATTTCGGAGGGTGTTGTTTTCCCCCCTCCCCTCCCCCCTTTTCTTTGTACAAGTTAGCCATAGTATCCTCGTTTCAGTTTTCGTGACACATTTTCAAGCTTCGATCTCGTCCTCCTTCCAAGCAGCAGCGGGGGCAGCGGACTTCTGGCCGACGAGGCGACCGCCTTCCTTGCGCTTGACGCGGCAGCGGATGCCGACGCTGTCGTCGAAGATGAAGCGCCAGATGACGTAGGTCCAGCTGCGGTGGTAGGGGAGGTCGTCGTAGAACTCCTTGGCGATGCGGTTGAGCTGGGGCAGGCGGGTCCAGGGGACGGCGGGGAAGTCGTGGTGCTCGTTGTGCAGGCCGACGTTGTAGGTGAAGATGTTGAGGGGCCCGTAGTACGAGTACGTCTCCGGGACCGGCGTGCGGTTGTCCGGGTTCGCCTGGGCGGGCGTCACGGTCTCGTACACGTAGTGCTCGGCGATGAAGTGGCCGGCCAGCGGGTGCAGGCTGCCGGCCAGGAAGGAGGACAGGATGAAGTAGAGCATGGACTGCACGCCCATGGTCTTGAGGATGATAGCATCGAAGACGATCTGCACGGCGAGGTTGACACCGGAGACCCAGGTGAAGGGCACGCTGTAGACGCACATGGGGCGCACGGCGTAGAACAGGATCTGGAACGTGCAGAAGAAGGCCTTGCCGAGGATGGAGTCGAGGAAGATAGCCTCCAGCGCAGTAGGCAGATCCGTATCCAGGCCGTCAACACCAAGAGACTTGTGGTGAGTTAGATGGTATGGGCGAAAGGAAGCGCTGTAAGGGATACCAATAGGTAGATTGGCAACGATGGCGAAAAGGCGATTGGCAGTGGGCGAGCGGAAGGCTAGGTTGTGGCTGATCTCGTGGATGGCCAAGAACAGGTTCTGGTTGGCGGTCGCGCCGACGACGTATGCCAGGAGCCAGTAAGGCGCCGAAAAAAAGGGAGTGTTTCGGAGGACATAGGCGCAGAGGATTTGGAGGGAAACGACACCGACGACGACATATTTGGTGAGTGGTTCGGGGCCGCAGAGTTTGGTTACCTGATGAGGGTGGTTGTTAGTAACGATATGAATATAGTTATGGAATTTATGATATCAAAAGGTTGTAGCTTCGCTTACCTCTGGATGCGCCTTAATAATAGCTAGGCGTCTTGTGCGATGTGGCTCCTCGGTATAAGTCCAGAAGAAGTCACGATACTTAACCTCGATCGGGTCTCGTTTCAAATCTGGGGATCCATTTTGTTGAGCGTCCTCCCCGCTATTACCATTGAGTCGGATCGTCTTTTGTTGCTTGTTGACTTTAGAGACGCTTGTGGTCGTGGAAGCTGATGAGCGTGCCATTTTTGGTATTTTGCCTCCAATTTCTTGACGCTTCCTTCCAACCAAGATATTGTAGGGAAGGAAGAAAGCTCAGAAAGAAAAAGAAAAGAAAACAGGTATTATTAGGTAGATAGTGACTACCTAGGTTAGTAGATTAGTAGCATTGGCAAACCTATCCAGGTGGCATAGAAGTGGAAAATTGAAAGGAGATGGATCCAAAATCGAACGTCCCCATTTTTGCGGTGAAGATTGTTCTTCCCTCAGTTCCCTGTCTTCAACTCAATTGGAGTTAAGCTACCCTAGGTACATAATAAAGTTATCAAAACCATTGTCATTGTATTAAATAATCCAATAGACTAAGCCTAGCTAAGACTAATGGCCTGTTTTTCAGGGTCCCTAATTGACGATTGTCGTCCAATCATTCTCCACCGTTACACCACAAGGGGAACACAGTCGAATGTCGTCACCCCACATGGTACTTAAGTACTTAGTTAGCCCCAGACTTTATTTTAGTATTGATTTTTCTTCTGCGAATTCAACCGCAACTCTTACACATGTGTCCTTGTCCACGTGATTCTGAAGAAATCCCTTGTAGCATCTTATGCGATAGAGACAATGTGAAAGCTAGAGAGGCTCTAGACATAAGTAGATACTAGACGTGTCGGTACTAGTTAGTTATTATGAACTCCGATACCGAAAAGTTCCAAGACTCAACGTTCCTTCATGACAGTAGCCCACTTTCCCCTATTATCAGTATGTACCTACCTACCCAGGTTAGGTATCTATTTACCCCTATTTCAAAAACATCGCTTTTCAAGACTAAGCAAGCCTGATTCATCATAGGTACCTGCTAGCCATCTGGAATTCTACTATGTGTGGTAAAGTGGGAGCAATTCAGTCGGAACTCTGATTGTTTGAACGCTACCGAAATAATCCATAGAATGACTATTGTCATAAATACCTAGCTACTTAGTGAGTGAGTACGTTACAGTTACATGCATAAAGCGAGTGCGGCCGCTGAGCGGAAGGAAGAAGTTAAATAATAAGCAAAAGAGCGAAGAGTGAACCAAGCCTTGCCCTGTTTTATATACATATTGACGAGGAGTCGTACGACGTACCTAAGGATCAATACCCAGATCCTGAATTGCGGATTGCCTGCTACATGTAGGTACCTAGGTAGGTTTGCAGGACGGCATCTCACATATCTGTGATTCACTGAGCCAATCAGCACATTTCACTGCAGTCCCATCGTAATTGATATCGTACACCGGTTTGCCTGAAATAACCCTAGCCCGGTGAGGAAGTACTCTTCTTCATCGTACCTAGGTGAACCTGGGGTTTGCCACGTGAGGAGACTCTACATTCTTACCGGTATGTGTCACGCATTACTGAGCGGTGCATTTCCTGATAACCCTTGCGACCCTTGCGCACATACGTGACAAGCCTTGGATGATTTATCACTTTAGTGATTGATCGAGCCTCACCATCGGTAATTGTGCAACGATAAAATTTCGTGTATCTCAGAGATGCAGCATGTCGATACTCCATCGCTTGGGGGCCGATCCTTTGAACCCCTTGGGGTCCAAAACGGATGAGGGGGTACAGGCAGATGAGCACGATCTTCCCCGGCTGGTCGTTTATCCAAGTAACTCCAGAGGGTGTAAACGAGCGAGTTGGGGGCGTCTGTAGGTTTGATTCGGCATTGACTGTTTCTCTAGCAGCGTGGGTATGCCGCTGACAAGAGTTCGAGGTAGCCCGAGTTCGGTATCAACTTAAGATGTTTGTAACATCAAAAGACCTTTGCTGAATATGCTAACCTACATCTTAAGGCAATTTAAGGGGGTTATTATCTGCTCTGTATTACTGTTCATTCTAGATTGTGATACTGGGGAATGATAACGAAGCAGAGAGCTCACCGATGTCCTATTTAAGCCAATATACCGTCATAAGAGGACCAAATTGTAAGTAAAGAGCAAGTTGTCTTTACCATGCCTACTCGGGCATAGATCAACCCCAGAGACGGCTTACTTGGGCAGCCTATTCGGATCGCCGTCCCGAACGCGCTGAGGGGAGATAGGCCCCCTGTTTTGTGGGCTCTGAACCAATGGCATGCTTAAAAGACGTGAGAAGAGCACCTAGGTAGTATTCTAGTTATGCTGTTAGAGGTAAAATGTGAAGAAAATCGAGCTTGGGGTAAGGTTGGGTCTGAATACTATGTCGTAGTATGGCGACTACTTGCGATCATCGGCACCGATTCGGTCTGAACGGGTCGGGAGTTGCCGACTACACATGTATGTTTAAGAGGGAGTCGAGGGTATGGGGTTATTTATGACTATCTGCACTGCAGGTTTGGACTAGATGGGAAATGGTAACGGGAGTTTGGGTATGGAATAAGCAGCCAACTTTTGACACTATGGGGTAGGAGGGGATTCACAATATAGTCCTGGGTACTAGGTAGGTAGGAAAGCCCGCCATATGGCCGAGAAAGTACCTATTAAGCGACTGGTCATAATGATTTTCCGTAGACTTGTGTGATAAGGCACCTATACCAAGGCAGGTGTAATAGCCGGCCCTATCAAGCGTTGAATAAATGCAGTTATCACTGGGGTCGAAAAGGTTAGTAGCGTGGCTGTCTCATAGTAGTAGAGCGAACTACGTGCATAGCCATGCAGAGTAAGATGCAATGAAACTTCAGGTACGCAAAATAATATGTGGTGTCATCGGTGTTACTACATACGGAGGACTTCGTATATATCACTTTTCCCTACTAAGAGACATAGCAGGAAGGGATGTTAAGGGGTAATGACAACCTCTCAGGTATCAGATTATTTCGATATATGAATTAATTGCCATGAGGGATGATGAGATATACGCTGACCATATTGACCTACGAGCTACCATATATCAAGCCATGGAAGCAATAATGAGATTGGAACGGACTCAACAAACCAATATTGAGGGCCAACCCTCCCTTTCGCCAACAGATACCCTCGCCCATTGTGCATAGCCCGGCTGCAAGGCAACGCCTAAACCGAACCAGAATGCAACCTACAGTACGGGGATATGTAACGAGGAAGAGAGTGCACCTCACTTGCATCGTTGTCAGTAGCCTTCAACGTGCGAAGGAAAATGCTCTTGCAAGGTCCTGATGCATAGCTTTTTCTACCCGGGCCCAAGGATTACCTCTAGGATGAGGCATTACCGTATGCATGGATGAAGAGTTCGGTATATACGGTGGTAAAAGTTGGCGAGCGGGACCACCAGGAGCATCTCCTTCACTCCTGGCTTTGGGCACGATGGGTGAACGGCTTGCCTTAGTGGTTCCCGTATTGTAACCAATTTCATCATTCGTCTTGCTTTCGCTGCAAAACGGCACTCCCAACATGTCCTCTCCAGGTAACATGCCCGATAGCCTAGCTGCTGGATCGAAGCTGACATAAACCAAGGCTTGACAGCCCTCTGAATTTACTCCAGTTGCGTAGACTACTGAACGTTCATCGCTAGAGGAGGTTACACTACCATGGTGACCAGAAGGGTTGAGAATGTTGTAGACCTCATTCAAGAACGATTTTTGCTCTGGTGATCGTTGTTCTGGAGGCCAGAAGTATATCTTGTTAGGTTCATATTGCTGGTCAATCTGGTCTAGAAAGGTGACCCAATTGACTGAAACTCTGGGATCTGCCGAAGACGAAGCAAGCTCAGGCTGCCTGTCAACGTTCGGCATGCCGTCTGAGGACTTTTTGTATCTTCTCTTTCGATATCCCGATCTTAATCGTAAGCGCCGGATATCAGGCGATTCGCTATGCGCATCATCAACTAGGTCTAACCATGCATTACAACACCTTTGATAGGATGATAAATGAGTTTGACTGCGTGTGAATGATAGCGTCACGGAATTGCTGTCTCCTGGATGTACATCTGCGGCCTGGCGAGTCTGCATTTCTGTGGTATAGCCCCTATCTAGATATCGAATGTTTCTTCTTGTAGCTGGGGCTGCGACTGGGACTGGAACAGCTATAGCCGTATTGTTCGCAAGCGTTGAGGTCTCGCTGCCGCTACCCACATCAAGGTCCACGTGAAAGACCACCCTTGTAATGTAATAGGTTCGTCGACTGCCACTTAGCCCTGTTAACCACTCTTTGCGACATTCGATAATGTTGATTTCGCCCGAGGCCTCATCTCTCTGAAGCTTGAGTAGTCCCCATCTATCATCGATGGGACCCTCGAAATGCTGTCTCCGCCAACTCTCTTCTTTCCTCATGGTTTGGGCCTTTTTGACATCAGGCTCATGAAGTGGAAAGCGGAAACAGTAGTAATAGGACTCCCAATTTGTCTCTCGGATCTCGAAGTCGGTCTGATTGGAAAGGCCATAAAAATAATCGTCTATGATCTCGAAGCAGACGGTGGAACCAATATCGTAGCCAACCACCTTTTCTAGATGTATCTTCTGGAGAGGCTTAGAAGTATCATTGATATAGAAGAGTGTGAGCACCCATTTCCTAAAGCCATCTGCGCCCTCGTCCGAGTGTGTCCCATAATATAGATAATTCTCGTTGTTTCGTACGAATAACCTAGTCGTAGAGTCTAATCGAATTTGAGTCAAGATACGATGTTCCTCGGCTTTGAATATTATAAGCCAGCTTTCCTGGGCTGGCAACGCGAATGAAAGTAAGCACGATGTAATACCACTCGAGTGATATAAGACCCGAAACTTGTATTTACGGCTTTTCGCACACCTTGGCACCGCCTCGCGAGTCAGAGCCGGAATATCTATGACAAGCTCATGGCTTGCGGAGCGGTGGAGGTCAAGAATACGTAGCCATCGCTTAGGACGGTTTTCGACAATGTAGCAAAGTATTCCCTGGATATATTCATAGGAGTCGGCAACTGCCACGATGCCTATCACGAATGGGGATGCTTGAGCGAAGGCTCGATACCTCTTCGCAACTCGTCGTAAAGCCCTTGAGTAATGGCCGCTTTTTCGTGCTTCATGCGCCTCTACCGTATGAGAAGCTTTGGCCTTTGGGGATATTGTCAGCAGGCCGTGAGAGATCTTACCATTTAGGATCTAGTCACGTAAGACTGGCAGTAACTTACGGTTATAATAGCTTTGCAAAACCTTTCCTCCCTCACTAGGTACTGAAAGTGGCGACTAGATAGCGACAAGTCGAAAACTTCATCTATGTCTAGGTGTTTAACGATATACGCCATAATCTCGTAAGGGAGACGTTGTAGTCCAGGAGTCCGCATAGTCCCAAAGTCGGTCGTGATGTCACCGGCTGGCTATCTAATGCATACATTTGTCCGTAACAAGCTTGTGTAAAAGAGTTATTGAGATACTAGGTAGATAGCTAAGTAAGATATCGACAAAGGAGGGCTGCCTATCTAGTTACACATAGCATGCTCTTGAATGCCAACAGGGGGGAACGTACTGGTCCCTCGTGAGGCCAGATAGTTTGCTACAAGTACATATGTAGGAATTTTGGGCACTGTTAAGACTCAAGAGCAGAGCCGCATGTGTTGTATTAGGGTCGGAGTACATAGTTGAGTGATAGGTAGACCCTGTTATGTAGGTTACGCACAGCCTCGACCTGTTGCTGGAGATACATACTGTACATATAGTAACACCGATGTTGACAAACACATGTGTCACAAACATACACTACGGTTAGTACTTATATACCTAGGTGTATACTAGGTACATAGTACTGATGTATAGTATATAGGAAATTGCATTAAGTAGATGAGGTTGGGACTTCAATGCTACTCCATACACACTGGTCTAGTAGGTTAATAGAATTGATCACAATGCTGTTTTTAGTACTACTAGTAGTAGTAGGTAACATTGAATATTGCATCCATGGAATCATGGATACAACATTGAATGCTTTCGAAGTTCAACTGTTCCATCTATGTACATATCCCTGTACATATGTACCTAGTATCTACCTAGGTATGCACCTAAATTACCTAGTATGTACCTAGTAGCCCTAAGCTACTAGGTAGGTGGGTACCTACTAGGGTGTCCATAATCATTTATGTAATGCGAGGGGTTTAAAATGTTGGGTACCTAGTTATGATGGTAAGTTACGTAGATTCGTCGACCGCAGAGCCTCAAACTTTCAAGTGCCCCTCTCCAGGCTCTCCTTCCAACCTTTCTCATACATGTGGTTAGATGATTACATCAACATGTAATACCTACATGTACCTATGTAGTACATAATACACCCAACCCAGCATTGAAGTCGATTTTTCTCTTCTCTTATCCTCCCTTTCAAAGCTAAAGACTCAACTTGGAAAATTGCACATTTTTACAATACTTACCCCAAATGCTCGGCCCTCAACTCCGACCTGGATAAACATGTATCCTTATGTAGACCCCAATTGGAGACATACAGCCTGCTTCCTCAATATTCTACCGGGCTTTTTGTGGCTTTTTTTTTCTCGTCTACCTAAGACGAGATGCTGTCTTATATGAGTTATGAGTTATGCCAGGTATGTAACTTGACTTGCTCTTTGTGATCAGCTCGATGATCTTAACCTGTCTGGAAGATTTCACCAGCACTATGTATAATTGGTGAGTGATATCGAGTCTGATGTTCTACGCGACACCCATGGCTGATTATATTATTTGATATACTTGATTGTCACATATAGGTAATACATACTAGGTACACTTTGCCAACGGAAGCCGGCATTATTATGTATGTGGCTTTCTCTTTTCGGAAGCGTATCTTGCTAGATGGAACTTATGCCATTTTTTAAGCGAATGTCTGAGTTGTTTCGAACTATTCAGCTTCCCGGCAAATTTAATTGCGGTACGACCTCAATTTGCCTATACTGGAGAACGCCAGCCTCGTCCGTTGGAGTGCCTAAGGAGGAATCCGCGTTTGTAAGGTATCGTTTGGTCCCCGTGGGCCTATAGCTTTTCTTACTATGATCCCTCCAGGACATCCCAAAGCGAAATGCTCACCCACGCTACCCACGATCTTGGTTTATGGATGGGCACGTTATGTCATTAATTGATTAGTGCAAAGGCCGATTGCGCTCTTGCCAACACCGAGATGCTCCCACTCTACCATTGAGAACTTCGACTTCCATTATTATCAGCTTATGGAAGTATGATGGGAAATGAATACTCTCGGATGTCTGTGTATCGAAGACCTAGATCAGGTGGTCCCTACAGACTGCGGTCAGCACACCCATTCCCCCATATAGATACATATAAAGTACTTGATTGGATATCGTGTTCTTCGAACATTGTCAATGATCAAAAAGAAGGAGTAGATGTAGAACACTACGTTGGATCCACCAAGGAACCTCAGCTACGCTCGGTCGAAATCTTTTTAATAACACCCGGTGTAAGGCCTCTTCTGGTCAAGCTGACGGTCGCCACTTATACGGTGAGAACGTATCAGGCGGCTTCGCTCGGCATGAGAGTAGACAAAGCCTTCAGAGTGTCACAAAGCTAAGATAATTAAATAAAACGTGAAAAACCAGTCATGTGCATGCTCTACTGCTCTTCGAACAAGTCTTAGAGGCTGCGGAACGGACTCCTGGTGTATGTACATCTTACGCCTGTCTAACTTCAGTGGAGCTTACATACCTATATAGCTCACATACATCCTTAGATTCTAATATATATTTGTAGAGTCCATCCATCCATCCGTCCTGTCTCCCCTTCCATTAAACCGTTTATTATTACGGCCTAAACTAGGTGGCTTAGGCCTTGCTAGCTGAATCATGGTCTAGATCGTGGGCATCCGGAGATTTCTGTTAATGGAGATATGAAGATCATGATCGACGGCGGGATATCAGGCATATCTGCATAAGGCTGAGCTCAGAGATAACTAGTGGGAAAGCCCAACACGGCCACGAAAAGAGGACACGAAGACCACGACATGCAAGTAATACCACTATATAGCGTATACAGCGCTAACGATCATGTTGTTGGGGGCTGGATGGCCTTGGAACGTGCCGCTATAATATGCAATGCCAGCCGTCATACCCAACAAATGTGTTAAGAGGTCAGAACGGCTCCGTGATGGCTGCGGTCAAGACCCTAGTATTCTAGCATAAAGGGATACCTACACCCTCACGCATCAGAAATTCTAGTAGGGACGTATTTTTGGCGCATCGGGGAAATCTCCAAGCATGTCTATCACGGATTCCCGTGTTGTTGGCGGCTCCGTTTCAGGGTTGAGGCTCAAAGAGGAGCTGGTTGTTGGGGTTCTGATAGGGAATAGGCCATGCCATGTGTTCCGCGGATATCACATGTATATCACATACCAGGTAGGTCGGCACAAATGTACACCACGGTGCATGAATTCAATATATCAATGCGAAACCGACATTGAGTGGCTAGATGCATGCAACAGTGATGGCAACGGGAAAGCCGTGTACATAGAAGCAGGGGAACATCCGTCCATTTTCCGATTTGGTTTTGTTTTATACCCATTTGTAAAGGTAGTGAGTTGGGCTTTCCTATCGCTCTTCAACATTCATCTTGAGCCTCCGATAAGTCTAGCCTACCTACTAGGTAATTTCTCTTTCTGGGGCGCTTAGCTAGGTGTCATTTTGAGAGACTACTTCGTAGGGATAGCCTACTCATGGCCGCTGTTGCTCAAGTTTATTAATTTATTATGAAGAAATTTATTTTTCTCAGTAGAGAAAAACAATTGTAAGGTTGATGTCTGAAAATATGAGTTTTCACACAAGAGACTGAGACCAAAGGAGCTTTGAAAGTTTCAATGAGGATCGGTTGCTGAGAATTGATTACTACTAGTTAGTAGTACATACCTACAATCGTACGATGGGACATTTCGGACTGACACTTGCTGGCAACTGGCAATTGATCAACTTTAAACATTTTATTTCTCAATCAACCAATTGATGGTAAGAGAATAGAAACATACGACTACGTACATAGTATTATTATGCACTATCTACCTAAGTACTGTCGCTCCTTTATCGACAGAGATCCTCTCAAGTTTCTCGCCTACCTAGTTATGATACTTAATTAATCGCCTTGATTCAACAAAAAGGAAACATGGCTCCTAGAGGAAGCATTACACCACGGGTATGCCTCATGTCCTCACCTACCTAGATGCTTAATAGTGTATCTATGCCATGCGGCGCAAGGCTTTCTCTTCTTTTTTTGACTCACGTTCAAGGCGGCTAATCACAGTATGATTGATCAAGACCATCATGGCACCAATGGCAGCCTTCACGATGGCCTGCGTTTTATTTGTGTATGTGGCCTTACCAACAAGCATGCTGTTATTCATATAGGTACTGACATAGCCCGCCTTAGTTACACGCGCACTTCCATGAGAGAAGCCAAGCGCAATGCTGTACGTTGTTCAGACCCTCTTCCTGAACGAGGTTATTGGAAGGGGTTTTTTCGCTTATTTGTTCATTATAGCAAATTGAACGAGAGTACAGAAGACACCATCCGAATGACAATGGCAGGAGCACCTAAGTGAGAGTACCTAGCTAGGTTAGGTGCCTGGTCGACACTACTAGGTAACCTAGACGTGTTACAGTCCAAGTAACGTTATACTTCGTGCATAGCCGTTGAGGGATTACCTACCCAGTAATCCTAGGACTTCAGCTATTAAGACCGGACGAGGAGAGAGGGAATCATAGAGGTTCGAATTACAGGGCTTCACCAGCTAACTATACCCAAGGAATTATGAGAATTATGAGAATTATGGGTGTGGGGTCGTGGTGGATATCCAAGGATGAAATTATTGCACGAAGGAATCACCGTATACGATGAAAGTCATGCAGGAAACGCCAACATGAAGAATACTCATTGACCTACCTGAGATTATTACTTTCTTATCCACCAACGATATTGTGTTATGAAGCATCCATACTACCCTATGTACTGTACTTACTACTAGTACTTACTACTAGTAGTAGGTAGGTAGGTACCTAGTATTGTACATTACATATTATGTAGTGAGTGAGTGAGTGAGTTATGTAGGTTAGGTTGTTTGAGATCTTGGATGACATTTACCGATCGAATAATAGGCACATGTTCAGGTGGCACAATGACCCCTTTAGGGCATCTTACCTGCCTGATTAGCGCCAATTAAATAAAGTTGTAGGCGTTCAAACCCCTGCCACAGACCTAAAAATAATCTACAGATCTCCAGGGCTTTCGAATGCAACACTTGTTCAATAGGTGCTTGATTAGGTAATGTGAAGTATGCACTCACTGCCACTCAGGGCTTCTACTAGTAGTAGTAGCTACGTAATGTTCAACTAAATTTGGTACAATACAAATACAAACAACCTTTTATTAATACCAACAATCTTAATGCTATTCACTACATTGGACACCTTTCTTTCTTCCCATATTCTCACCGCATTGCTTCTTTTCTTGCATGCCAATTTACCACGTTTCCTGCCATGATTTGACCTCACTGTAGCCATACCACCCATCCCTTGCCATGGCTAGCAATCAACTACTCTCCCTGTTGGGATGGTCATTTCTCCCCGGTGTGCGTATCCCTCTCCAATCCATACCTCTTTCCTAGACGACACTCTCAGGGCTGGCCTACTAATGTTCCGATCACTGCAGCTCATAACAGGTTGGGTCCAAACCATATACTACGGCCTCACGATCCGCGCCGGCGACCCCAAACCCGCGCCGAACTCGCCACGCTACGTCCAGCACCGCCGCCGCATCAACATCCTCGTCGTCTCCCTCTATCTCCTATACACCATCTATGAGGCCGACTACGAGCTGCGCCGCGCCTCGAACTACTACGCCGACCTCGGCGTCCCCTTCTCCGCCTCCGAGCGCGAGATCAAGAGCCGCTTCCGCCGCCTCGCCGCCCTCCACCACCCAGACAAGCTCATGAACAGCAACGGCGCCGGCGACGACGGTGGCAGCACCGCCGCAGAATACTTCATGCACCTCAAGACCGCCTCCGAGACCCTCGTCGACCCGGCGCGGCGCTTCGCCTACGAGCGCTTCGGCCCGGACATCGTGGACTGGAAGCACTGCGCGACCATACACGACTACGTCGCGCGCGGCGCGCAGGTCATCGTCCCGTACTACACCGTGACGGCACTAGCCATGTACGTGATCGGGCTCATGGGCTACCTCGACTGGGGCCGCTACTGGCGGTGGGTGACGCTGGTGCTCATGTGCGTCTTCGAGCTGCACACGATCACGCGGCCCGCCTTCCCGCCCCTCCTCGACACCCTCGTCAACCCTCTGCTCGCCCTCTTCAGCGCGCACCCGCCCTACCTGCCCTTCCAAGCCATCAGCCTCGCGCGCAAGCTCTGCATCACCCTCTTCATCGCCTTCTCCCAGATCGGGCCCCTCCTCCAATCCCCTGCCCAGCAACAACAACCAGGCACCAAGCCCGGCGACGCGACCGAGAAGGCGCTCAACCAGAACCTCGACAGGCTGCAGCTGATGGCGCAGTCCGTGGACTCGGACGTCGTGCGCCTGCTCGAGCTCGAGATGGCCCCCTTCGTCGGCGACGCCGAGGTCATGGGCAGCATGCGCGCGAAGCTCAAGGAGTGGCTCGTCCAGAACACGATCCGCGCCGACCCCATGGTGAGAGATGCGCTGGGCAGGTCGCTCAGGAAGAGGCGGGTGGATGCGCCTGCGGGGGCGAAGGGGAATAGATGATGTAGGTAGGACTAGATAATAGAAGTAGCAGCAGCAGCAGCAGCAGTAACTATAACAATGATAATGAATAGCTTGCTTATTTAGTGCTCGTTTCAACTAGCGACTTTCGTACATCAATAATAGAATGGGAGGTCTTTTTTTTTTTTTTTTTTTTTTTTTGGAAATTAAAAAAAAAATTTTATGGATCATAATAAGCATTAAACCTAGGCGTTACTCTATCATATATGCGACGTAGATACTGAAGAATTGTAAACATTCACTATCACGACTCTGCGTATATACATTAGGTTAGCTACCTGGACCTATTTCCCTGCCAATGAGTACGTAGCTATATAACTAGATGTGTACATTCAGATCTTAAAGCCTCTGCCTCCCCCTAGTCTCGATCGGAATCAGCACCATGCCCACAAACGCAGCGAGTATCAGGAACGCCGACATGTATATCGGCGCCTTGGTGCCATCGCCCGGCATGCTGGCCGCGAGCACGGGGGCGACGAGGCCCGTGACGCGGTTCAAGAAGCTGGCGACGCCGGTGCCGGCGCCTCTGACGGGGGCGGGGAAGATCTCGGGCGTGAAGGCGTAGAGCACGCCGTACATGATGTTCTGGCAGAAGGCCTCGACGCAGGTGAAGAAGAGCTGCGAGTTGGGCGTCGTGCCGAAGGCGACGAAGAAGAAGAGGAATACCGCTGATACTAGCGTGGAGATGGCGAGCGTCCCCTTGCGCCCGAGGAACGGCGACTTGTGGTCGACGGTGTACGCGGCTAGTAGGCTCCCCGGTACGCCAACGACGGATATGATGGCGTAGTTGCGGTAGGTTTCTGGCGAGGTGGTGTTGTCTCCGGCGGGTAGGTCTGAGCCGCCGTGCGAGAGATATTGCGGGAGAAAAGCGTTGAAAAGCGGATATCCAAGACCGATGGTGCTCCAGCAGAACCACATCAGGAGGGTTGCTGTGCCAAGCTTACGGTTTTGGAAAAGGGGTCGTATGTGGCCGAAGGAAAAGGCCATGAGGTTTTGTTTGATGATATTAGTAGTGGACACCCTCGTGGGTATTCTCGCAACCCCCTCGATGTCCGCGACGGCATCCAGGACCTCCTCAGTGAGCCAAGTCTTCTTTCCGTTTCGATAAGCAATGCCATGGACGACAGCAACAGCTTCAGATTGTCGCCCCTGAGATAGAAGATATTTAGGGGACTCGAATAGATGAAAGATGCCAAATCGGATGAGGAACATGACAAACGTGATTATGCCGATTGTCATGACGAAATGGCGCCATCCTTCTTCGACAGGCCAATTCGTGATGAAATACCAGGCAAATAGCGATGAAACGAGTTGTCCAACAGGCCACCATACAGATAGAAGGGTTAGTAAGGCACTTGAAGAATCCGGCAGAAACTCCAGAAAGAGTGCTCCGTCAACGGGCAAGTTCCCACCAACTCCAGTTCCCAAGCATGCAAACAGTATGCAAACAGATACCCAATTCGGCGCGTACGCAACCCATATGCCAAAAATGCTTGTAATTAGGAGAGTGGCGTTGAAGGCGATGCGCCTGCCAATGATGTCGGATCCGAGACCCCAGAAGAAACTTCCAACACATAGGCCCGCGAAGATAGAACTGGTGGTGTATCTAACCTGCTTTTCCGAAACACCGAATTCACCAGAAAGAGATGGAAGAATTAACGAGACGCCCTTTTGACATGTGAGAATGTTTTCCTAAAGAAAGAAGTTAGGGGTACCGAGTCAAGGCGAGATCTTACCTGCATCCATAAGCTAGGCATTTTGGTTAGCATCTAGGTAGGTAGGTAGGTAGGTAGATAGACAAAGAAGTGGAATGCTTTTCAGTTTCCGAGGTTGATAGTGAACTCACTTGTCCGCAAACCACCCAAACCCACACAAGACAAATAGCTGCCAGTTGTAACGACCCATCCCGATATCTTGAATGGCCTTATTAATGAGTTTAGATTTCACTATCACCACTCATCAGCTTCGTTTTCCCATCGATCGATCCAGGGAAGTTCAAGGCTCACACTCATACTCGGACCATTGATGTGGTCTCTCACTCTTGCGGACCTCCCTCCTCAAGCCTTCGATGGTATACTCAGCAGCGCTCATCTGTAGCATGCCGGCATTTTCATTCTCGCTGTCCTTGGGCAGCCCGGACTCAGACTCGTTCTCGAAATCCGGGTCATCGTCGCTGGTCCTCGCCTCCTCGAACTCGGACTTACCGGACCTGGCAGAATGGCTATGCAGGTATGCCTCCTCGAGCGGGATCAGGACGCCGACATAGTCGTGGACAGACTCGTGGCGTCCAAAGAAGGACGGAAACCTCATAGTGGGAGGGGTTCAAGGGGCCGGAGGCGCGGTTGTTACGGGACTAGGCAGACACTACTTCAAGCTTCAAGCCCCATCCATTCATTTGGCTCGGGAAGCTAGTAAGAACTTTCCGGAAAGTTATGAGTGTAACGAACGGATAGATTGTTCTAAACGAATGTAAAAATTGGAGGGATCCTAGATGGCGTCCCGAAAACGGTGCTGCAAGATGTCTTACAAAGCCACGTGATGGCTAAGACGAGACAAAAACGCCAGGTGACCGGCAAGACGCTGACTTCTCCAAAAATGAAAACCTCGGGGAATGATGCACTTTCTATCTCCTTCGTGCTCTTTTCCTTTTTTCCTTGAAATATGATATTAAACTTCCTTCCCCTTTCCTAAGTAATATCCTTGGTACGAATAGAGTATTCCTGTATCGAGCCTATTGTGTTAGGACCTATTCACACGATATATGGGATAATATATGGGATATGATCGTAGAATTCAATGTTATATGTAGATGGAAAGGGGAAAGCATCGATGCATTTACTAGGTACGTAACTACATGTAAGTCAAAGGGTTATGAAACTTCACTAAGAACCTTGAACCTTGAAATGAAGATCTCCGATGTCCAGCGACTGCAGCTTAGTAACGCAAATGCTAGTGACCTAGCCAATTTTTCAAATGCGCTAAACTTCCCCATTTCTTGCTTGTTCATCATCGTCACCATCACTGTCACCGATCTTTTATTTCTACTTTCTGTGCAAATCAAGTGATAAGGTTATATATATTTATATTCTTGATAATAATGAATACAGCATCATAAATTGTCTGCAAAACAAAAACCAAATGCCACCATACTTTCCACCACCAATCAATCTCTCGCATAAATCTCGATATTTAACATTTGAACCTTCAAGATACCCGAAACCTATTCCGGCTGGGTCAAGTATTGTATCATGTAACTTCGTAAAACATCATTCATCTCACTCTGAGAAAGTTACCACGGGGAACATGTAACCAACATCCCAGATTCTTTCCTCCACAATCCTGTTCATACTAGAGAACAAACGAAATACTCGTCTTCAACCCCGGTGGCTTCGTAACGACACTCGGGCCATCCGGGGGCGAAATATCGAAATATTCCGTTTTGCTTGTCCTCCTGACACATACAGGGTTGTGCTCCGTCACCGTGCCCACTTGACCGGTCGGAATCTTGGACGAGTTGAAGTACCCCTCGTCCGTTCCCGCCTTTCCGTTAAGGGGCGTGGTTTTCCCTTGCTCGTACGGGCTACCTCCGGGCTCCAGCGTGTAGTATTGGTCGTCGTAGCTCTCCACGCGCGACAGATCCGCGCTGCGCACATTCTTGTTCTTGGTCTTGGGCGTGAGCGTCAGCATGGACTTCATGTCCCTCATGGTCCTCCACGAGCTGGAACGCTCCGCTAGACGTGGTCTGCCCTTGGAAGCAGAGGGAATTTTCTTGTTCCGCTGGCCTTTCTGCAACAGGTTGAACCGTCCGGTGTGCACATATTCGGCCCTGTCGTAATGCCATGAGGCATTGGGGTCGTTGTTGACGGGAGTTCTCGTCGGCGAAGGGTCAGATTTCGAATGTGGACGACAGTTCTTCCTAGCGGGCCCAGGCTCTCCGTTACCAGTAGAAGTTCTCCTTAAGCCCATACTTCTTTCCCACCAGTCCTTTTCCTTAGGCCCACACTTGCTCACGTCACAGAGCGCTTCCTCGGCAACCTGCTCCTGCTTCTCTGAAAGTTCCATAGTGCCGTCATTTACCGCGAGATCGACTAGGGCTGCAGCGTCACGGGCGTCACGGTCCTTTTTGAGAGGGTTTGAGCGAAGTCCGCTCGAGTCGAGCTTGAAAACAATGAGGTCGGTTAATGAGATATAAGGGATTTCGTCGGGCTCGATGTCCTCAACCGTCGTAGCGGAGTCTGGGAGATAAGGACCCTGAGAGTATGATTAGCTGACTGCTAAGATACTTCAGATCCACAAACTTACAAGCCACTGAGGACTGATGTCAACTCGGACAGCTTCGCCGCTGGGGCAGTTATAGAACATTGCCTGTGACCGTAAAAAGAAAGGCGACCCCGGTCGATCTAGCAGTCTCTTCTTCATGGAGCTCGGCGAAGTCGAAATGTTGGTGATGAAATTGATGTTCTTTATGATTATCATTAGCTTCTATACGAAATATATTGAAGGTGGAAATTTCTCACATCTGTTGAGCGATATTCTGGAAGGTAGTGGCATAATGCCAGCCCACCGATGACTGATATTTTCGCATGTTTAAGATCTGGGATTTCCTTCACCCGCTGGATAACGTCGCATGCGACGTTCTCAAGTTTCTGGATCTCAACCATATTTTATTGTAAATGGGGTTCGTTTGACACTACAGCAAACGATACACATGTGATGAGTATATTAAAGGGGTTGGTGGGTTTGAAGCTTAGTGCCGTCTAAAGGATGAACCTAAAGAGAACCAAGGTAGTTGAAAGGGGGTAGATTGAACAATAGAGTTACTCTTGTGGGATTGATTACAATGACTGTTGATGTGATGTGAGTGAGAGCATCTAACTGTTTTATAGTTTCTGTTCATAGTAGAGATCATGACTATAGCTCTGCAACGGAGAAATTCGAGGCTAAGTGAACTAGACAATCTCGATCTAGATACTAGCCACTTCGTAGGACGAAGACCATGGGTGCCACACGACTCGCAAGTTATACATGAACCCTGCGAGGTGGTGAGGCGTCGATAGATGAGGGAAAGCCCCCTAAGACGGGATCAATGCGACTAAGACTTGAAACTCTGGGGCAACCCCGTGGGAAAGACGGGGCCATCGATGGCGGCGGCTACAAAGATAGGCTTATAGCGGCACGTCTGTCACTATCCGCTCCTTGTTTCAAGTATGCATATAAAGCTCTAATGACTCGAGTGGTCATTGAATATTGCGGGGAGCTGGAGGGCTGAGGAGGTGTCTACCTAGATAAGCTGGGTCCGATTTTCAGGGTAGATGACAAGGTCATCTTCATCTAGTGCTATACCTATGGGTGGCTAGATAACTTGGATGAGTAGTTAGGGATGAGGATAGCAAGTAGCTTGACGAATAGTCCTTGCAACATATGTGCCAACTAAAAATTGCCGGTGTCACCCTATCGATGACGGCGATTTAGTAGACACACCAATTCCATGGAAAGGTCAACAAGGCCACGACTCAAAATCTTCCAAACGCCGTCACACGGTTCAAGTATATCCCTAGTAGGTATTAATATTCGAGACAAGGAAGAGGCACACAAAAAGATTCAGGCACGTGTCTGAAGTTGTGGAGGTCTCTCATGTCTTTGTAGCTGGACTGAACTCTAAATAACTGGATTCACTAGTCGTATGCAGCCCTTTCGGAAGTCCTTCCCAACAAAACGTTGGAATCTGGGAACCCTAAAGTATTCGTTAAGACGAAGTTGCTTTCTTCGACCCCTTTTCGGACTTGCCGAATGGCATCGGTTCTCCTCAGTTCCAGCACCATCTCGGGAGTCTAACTATCAAGATTAGTATATCTTCCAGGTTTTTATATGGAATGCTCAGTAGCTGCTTATTTCGGGTCCCTGAACCTGGCAGAGGCAGGTACAGTTGTGAGTCCTTGTTAAGGAATGTTGGGATATTTCGACTTCATTCAACTGGGCCAAATTCAAGGATGCTCATATTGTATGATGCCTGCCTACGAGCATAGCCCTATAATACTAAAACACCCTACACGACATCCCGTGGGCCGTCGTAAAACGGCCAACAACTCCTAGCCACGTGCTTGGCTTCCCTTAAGCCGAAATGCTTCCATGCTTTCCAGTCCCCTAACTCCGATCTCTTTAAATCATATACGCCAATTGTTCTAGGTCTGAATGAGTCGTAGTTGTACAAGGGTCGTTTCAATTCAGTGCGGAATATAATGCGGCATTGCTGCTTACCTATCGTATCAGAGGCGGTCCTTCCCTCAAAATCTCTCCGATCGATAGAATCGTGTCCACTGTGCCGTCCGAGCTATTTTGTAACCGCATTTGCCTTGGACCAAAGGTCTCCACCTCCCTAGTAAAGGGGTTGCTGGTCTCGTGTAGCTTAAGATGGGGTGGCATATCATCCGACGATTCACGTGAGCCGCTTGAAGTTGAGAGATCACCCCATCTGACCTTCGACCAGTGAGGCCGTTTCCAGAACTTGAAACGGTCGGTCCGCGTCTTTCTCAGCCGACGCCGGCGACTGTGGTGAATGCGAAGGAGAGGGTTCTAAAGGAGAACTCCTTCGTCATCGCCCTCCTTCTCGCCGTCTTCGTCCTCTTCCCAATCCAGTTCGTTAGCCATTGCCTCAGCTTTTCTCTGCACTTCTGCCAGACCACTGAGATCTACTACGTATTCCTTATCTTCGAGGGCACGCTTCACGAACTCCCACCCCTGATCTCTATATGCCGAAATAATCGGCTTGCTGCACGCACTGCAGTATGGGTACGAATGGCCTTTGATAACGAGACTCTGAAACTTATTCAAAAATCCGCGAATTTGATGTGGAACTATACCAAGAGCCTGCTCATCCTGGGAATTGCTGTCGAAAACTCCTGTCGAAGGACCAGTTGTGGGGGCTGGTGCGTGCTGACGTAGGGGATGTTGGAGCAGGCTTGTCAAGAGCTCAACGAGAAGGGCCGACGCAATAGCCGCGATACCAGGTCGGGTTACAGTGCACTGCTGATCAAGAGTCAGGTCTTTCTGGGACTAGTAAAATGTTAGCGAGCTATAAATAGCATCTACACATCTGGTATCGTAACTTACGTCTCCAGGAGCGACTACATCATTGCAGAAGTAGCAGCCCAACGTATCCTCGCTACCATCTGTGGGCTCCGCGCCATGTCGCATGACTACGTACGTATCAAATCCAAGGGCGGCGTTCATGACAATCTTTCCAGCCGCCTTTCCCATTACGGTAGGAAGCCATCGTGACTCTCTACTGTCCATCAATAGGAATATGGCGTCGTGTTCATCAATAAGGGACTTCAACTTTTCAAAATCGCCCTGGGTTTTCCCTTCAATAGGATGGCCTAACATTGGGACCGAGAGAACATGGCCCTCGCTGTTAACACCCGGATAAATCTCCTTGAGCACCTCCGCAGCTCGAGTTGCCTTTGGGGCTCCCCCTTTCAAGCAGTCGTTGTAGTTGAATAGTGGTTGTCTCACTGGATTCGAGAAGGATACAGCACCATAGTCAACAAATGTAATCTTGCGTACGCCCCACCCCATGAGGTTCCTTGAAATGTAACTTCCAAGTGTACCAGCACCGAGTAGAAGGCACTTGGTATTCTTAATTATATCGAGATTTAGATCTGGCGAAATTCGCCACTTCATGAGTTTGAGATTGAGATCAACTGATTGGTCTGCTAATCGAGTAGGGTCCATCGATTCTGCTAGGCTTACGGATCTGGCCATTAACTTGCCTGCAGGGTTTCGTTCCCAACCAGTAATCTTTGGCATCTCGTCTGTTTCGACATTCTCCACCTCATCCATAGTAAGAGGGAGGACTATGCTGCGAGCTTCATGCCTGCGGGATTGTATGTCTCGGTAACAAAGGATTTGGACATTGGTCAGGTGGAATCGTTGTCTCACTAGGACTAATAAGTTTCTGAGGGGCCACGCTGGATGCTCTTCGTACGTAGACGGGTCGATGAATGCGACAAATTTGTCTTCGTTGGGCACACCACGAAAGAATCCCGTCTCGAATTCGCGAAGCGAGCCAACCTCCCAACTGTATCCGATGTCTTCTGTTGTTATATCCAGAGGAGACTGAGAGCTGGATGCCTTTTTTCCTCTTATCTTCTTGACCAAAAAGAAGCCATGCTCTCTATTGTCAACTGTGTATCGCCAAGTTCCTACACGGTCTACCAACGCAGTAGCCTCGTCGGCGGTAAACCGGATAATATCTCCTGTACGCTTCCACTGCGGATCGGAATGTAGGGTCGGAAATGCAAACCAGTATGTCATTCGGTACTTCTTGAGGTCTGCGTAGGAGAGTATGATGTAGTGGGAGAGAAGCGAGGGAACGGAATATATGGTGCCGTCTTTGATCGCATCCCATATCTGACGTGCAGCATTCTGTAACATCTCATTCTTGTCGACTTGCTTAAAGGCCTCCAAGGTGTTTGTATTTCTGATAATACCTTCGGCTCGAACGGCGTTGAGGGGCACACTATACAGGCTCGAGATTAGTAGAAGGCATTACATGCTACCATGATACTGCGCGACTGGGGATCAAGTGGCTGCTGAAGCTCAACACAATGAACCTGGAACATACTGATTACTAGTCAGGGCACTGGCCAACACCTGCATCTTTACGCTGTCGTCAGGAGCTGTGCCCGGGCGGGGCTCGTAGAGCCCCAAGACTGGTCGGGCTGAATCGCTGAGCTTGTCATGGTCCAACTTGGAGGCAAAGAAAGCCGAGTAGAAAGGTAGTTCTATCTCAGACGCAAATGGCGCAAACTTCAATGACGCCATTGTCGCCGAGTCTGTTGGTTCGATAGTGGGGTGAGCGTGAATAGATCAGCACAAGGAGTTGCGCTTAAGCACGCGTCACAGAAATGCTTATTGACTCTTCGTTGCTGAATGACTTTTTATTAAGAAAAGACGATATATGTATGTCGTCTGCTAATAGAGGAAATGAACTGTTGTTAGGGGTTGTGAAGGAGCAAAGGTGTGAAGGAGTGAAAGCTTAAATGGGTGAAGGTATGAATGAGGGGCAAGTTGGAGCTGGGTTAGCGGTTCGCGAGAGAGAGCGGGGCGGCGATGTTTTGAATGTTTCGTCCTACGCAGGTGGGTTGGGGGGCTTACAAAACATGCTAGGTAATGACATCTGGAAGGAATGATATATGACGGATGGAATTTTGAACTCTTACCATCATGTTACTCCATAGTACCTACCTACTACATATAATGGCTTTTGAGTACATAAAATACATTAAAGACACATCCATCTCTGCCTAACCTTAATTACACATTAGTAGTACTATGTACATAGTAATCTATTAGTACTAACCCTACGTGGGTCTATACTTAGGTATGCAACTTGCCTTATGCCCTTCACTTCCTATATTAAAAATAGGGTCACATGTCTCACGTTCGAGGAGTCAAGGTGTGACCATAATGAATGCTGATGCTGATGAAATAGAAGAATCCGGTATCACCCCACGCAATCGAGTAGCATACAAAGTAGCTACAACACCGAGGTGTCCGCTGGCGTGACCTATCAGCTGGAACCTGCCAGGGCACCTGAGGAACGAACCCATGTCTATGGCCTGCAGGTGCCCCTCCTAGGCTTCTCTTGGCAACTTACCGTCCCATCATTCCCATCATTAGAGTTTGCAGCTGACGGTTGAACTCCGGTAGTGCTTTTTACTAGGTATCTTTCAACGCGACGCGACTTGACCTTGGAACTTACCTACTGGTACGTAGGTACCTACCTAGTAGTACATACTACCTAGTACATACTTAGGCCCTGTGTACCTCATGTCAAACGGTGCAACCAGCAAATAATTACACACAAGTGCATGATTCTACCTGCATAGGGCACCTACATACCTCTACGTGCAACATCGAGTACTGCCGAAACCCGGTCATTTATTATTTCTATTTCCCCAAGTGGCATCTAGAGTGCCGGCAGAATGCTCATCGGAATATGTGGTGGTAAAGTAACCCAACGATAATACATACCCAACTGCCCAGGCCTCTTTCACTTACACAAGACCACAGCAAAATGCGCCGGTAAGAACACAGTAGCCCAGTACCTAATAGATCACCACGGCTTCAAGAAATTGTATATAGATCTGCCAGCACCCCAAAGGGACACTTCTAGTTTAGTGCAGCCCAAGTCCGAGACAGATTCGACCACTAGTCCTGACAGTATCAAGAGCTATACGCCTCTGCACTTGAAACAGACATCTGCATCTCATAGTTTCCCCAACATCGCAGCGCTACTCGACTTCGTAACGAAGCACTGGCGCTCGCGATGGGTGACAACAAACATCCACGATGAGGCGGCTCTGGAGGTCATAAGTCGTCGGCCCTTTTTTATCTTAATCAGCGTCGACGCACCACTCACCGTCCGTTGGCGACGCCACCAGCATCGACACAACGGGAGCCAGGAGACGAGCGCTTCAGACCCCATCAGTCTCGAGGACTTTGTCTCTGAGTCCGATCAACACCTATACGATGCCTCCACCGGCGTTCTGCCGCTCATGTCACGGGCCGCTATCAGGTTGCTGAATACCTCCTCGGACCTGGCGCATCTCTACGCCACACTGGGAAAGCTCGACCTAACCAACCCCGACCGCCTGCGTCCTAGCTGGGATAGCTACTTCATGTCGTTGGCCTCGTTGGCGGCTCAGAGATGCAATTGTATGAAGCGGGCAGTAGGGTGCGTGCTCGTGGACTCTAAACATCACGTCATCAGCACGGGCTACAATGGGACGCCGAGACACCTGCAGAACTGCGGGGAGGGCGGATGCCCGCGGTGTAATGCCGGGGAGAGCAGCGGGGTATCGCTTTCGACCTGTCTTTGTCTCCATGCGGAAGAGAACGCTTTGCTCGAGGCTGGCCGTGAGAGAATTCGCGATGGGAGCATCCTCTATTGCAACACATGTCCGTGTCTGACGTGCAGCATCAAGATTGTGCAGGTGGGTATCGCTGAGGTGGTGTATAATCAGGGTTATAGCATGGACACGGATACGGCACAAGTTTTCCAAACCGCAGGCGTTAGATTGAGGCAATTCTCTCCGGTGAGTAGGCTTTCTGCGGTTATATCGAGTTCCTTTGCTAACAAGTTTCTAGCCAGCCAACGGTCTAATCCATCTAGAGAAGATGGAGCTCTATTGAAGTTGGGATGAGACTAGAAAAGTACTTACGAAGCGGTGTACATTTGCTTCGGTAAGAAGATTATAAATCCACACATTCCCACAGATCGCGATGCCTACCTTAGATGCCTAGGAGAGGAAATGTCAAGTGTGCATACGAGAACCCCTTCTTGAAAATATTTCACGTGCCGAGCACCAAGTATCAATGTAGCGGAAATAGCCTCGACTCATTCAACCTAGGTAGGTATGTGGTTTGGCTAATATTTGTAAAACTGGTTGTCATTAAAGAAAATTAGAATATTTCGGACTCGGGCGAGACTAGCATCTCTATAAAAAGAGCTCGTAAACAAGTGGTATGTAATGCGTATAGCGCGAAACATGGTCGACATCCATAGACCATCCCCAACCTCGTTATTCCTACACACTCCCACAATTCGGGCGTCATTGACCGATATACCCTGCCAAGGGTAGACGTATTGCCGAATAGAGGAGATAGGTAACACGTTACTCATGTCTCGTCCCCCCGTTCGTAGCAACCTGTCCCCCTAAACCCCCTCACATGTCCTCATCATTATACCGTTTACGCAGGCAGGGAAGCCTTGGTAGCTCTTCGCTTGGCAACGCACTTGGATATCCATAGACCGATTAGACCAACGCCAACGACGAACACAATGCAAAAGACGACGATGACACCAGCTTCTTGTTGCTGTTACACATTAGCATTATCCCACAATAACCTAACGGTTGATTTCCTTTCTCTCCCGGAACCAATGTTTCCAGACAAGAAAATCAACAGCATAGGGAATGTTCAAAGAAAATGGGAACGTACCGCCCAGTTCTCACGGGGAACAATGCGGTTCATGGTGTCGCGAACGACGAGGGCGTTGTTGATAGAAGGCATATTGACTGTCTGGCAAGAAGGTCAGTACACAAATGGATGGAAAACCTGGCCACTGGAGAGCTCAGAACAGCTAGATAATTGAGTGGGCTCATCCTGCCTCCCCGAGTTACCATGCTACGGTGAGCATTGCAGAAAAAGCGCATTGGGCAACGTATGGTGCTCAAACGTGGTGAGACCAAGACTGCACGCTCATCGAAACTGGCATTGGCGACGCGGGAGGCATTGAGACGTGTTCTGAGGAATTGGTCTAGTATTCGAAGCTCTCCAATACTCCGGTCTCTCAATTGACAGAAAATGCGGGCTTACTTGTTAAGTCGTCACTAGGTGATGGTTGCTATAGTATGTGGAGTGGAGATGGAATGACTCGGTCACGTTTGATGGAGCTTGACTGATAATGGGTTGACTTGTCAGAGAAGCTTCGAACTGCGAACAACACAGGCCCTTGGATGGGATTGATGGAGATAAACTGTTCGCAAGGACAAGTGAGTTGAGGAGAAAAGAGTAAAAGGAAGAAGTTAAGAAAGGTGGGAAAGGTTCGGGTGAAAAAGGAAATAATAAAATGAACTTTTCGGCGTTAGACCTGGAGACGAGAGAAACAAAAAAAAAAGCTTGGCCGGGAGCGGGAGCTCGGTAAGTGTGTAGTGTGAGGCCAGGGCGTTTGGGTTCTGGTTCTGCGCGATTTTGTAGGTGGAGGGTTTTACAGGCACCGGGGTCACCGGATCCACACAATGTGGATAGCTTTCTTATTGTAATGCCGCAAATTGGGTATGGTTGATGAACATCTGATCTGCGGATGGGGGAATGCGACGAGGACCGAACAAGTACAATATGGTAGGGAGTTTGGTGATTGACACGCCATCATGGATGGATTTCTTTGTTCAAACCTTTCCTCAAGTCCCATACAACATAGATACATGTCAATTCAAAACACTCAAAGTATTTACTCACCTGTGTACAGGTTTATATGAATTTTGAATGATTTTAGATGTTGACGATGTCCCTGATAGTTGATTGTTGTTGTTGTAACTTGTACGTTCTCGGGTTGCCAAAGCTGTCTGATGTGGATCAGTACTTAGTGTTGTAGTGTAGGATTGGGAGCTTGAAAAGACGGAAGGAGAAAGGTGAAGAGATGTGGAGTAGCCAGGGGTGGGATTCAATGTTGTTTATGTGCAGAGAGTGATGTCAGGGCCTCTATTTAGCGGTCCGGGCATACAATGTATGGTTAGTTACCATTGAAGCTATGTAAATACTAACCGTACTAGCCTACGTTCGGTGTTCATGAACCTAAACCTGTTTTGTAATGGGTCATAAGATATTAGTGAAAGGTACCAAAGATTCCAAAGATTGCCTTCAGACTTGTGATTTTAAAGTTGTCTTGTTTACTTCAATGTTTCGCTATGATTATGTACTAAGTTTGAGGTACTACCAGGTATTGAAGTACATACAAATACACTAGGTTATACTCAGTGTCCTACATAACTACATACATGTATGCGTGAAAAAGCATGTCAATGCTTTAATATCATCTTTTGAGATAGGTATGAGGGTATTATGGTCACCTACCCATGACTACTAATTGTCTATGTACTGATAATAGGTGGTTGGAATTTGATGAGTGAATTGGAGTGCCTCACTTTTATACTTTAAACCCTCAAGAGTCTGGGTACCTCCCAGATTGTATACCCTACAGTGCATAAAAAGGTCATCATACAGTAAGATTTTCACCCCGGATCCTTGGCTTGAATCGTCGATAAGCTTACGGAAGTATGTGCATCGCTTGGCGATTGGGTGGCAGGTGCATGCCTACCCTAGGCATGTACTAGCAAAGGTACCTACATAGTACCTAATCAACTTATCGTACTGTGCTACTCTAGTGCTTCCCAAAATTTGAAATTGGCTTAGGTAGTACCCATCCAGCAGCCTGCCTAACCTAATACGTACATAAATATAGCACTAAGGAAGGCTTGGTGGTGATACGACGGTACTCATTGAAGCCCCATTGAAGCTTCTTAGCTTACATATTACTAATAACTTCAATGTTAGAAGTTAGAACCTTCTTCTACTGCCTCGATATACTACCTATATATGTAGGGTAGAACACAATGGGTACTTTATAAGTTTTATATAGACACCTCAAGTGCTATCCCAGCTTCCTTTAACGAAAAAACGAATTCAGAAGCAATAGCCAATATTTCTCAAGCGTCTTAACAACACTGAACTAAGCAATGACGAGATCTAGGTACTGGACAACAAAAAGCTGGTGAGTGGGTACGAGTCCTTGCTGGGCCCTATCCAAAACATCTCGAGTCTGGAGCCTAGAAGAAATGGCAATGATCATTGACATTGGTTCGTGATCAAAGGAAGACGAAAGAAGTTGTAAATACCTGATAGCTTACAATTGCCTTAACTACGAATGGAGTCATGTATAGCCGACTGGCCTGTAATATACTACAGCCCTCGGAGAATGCAAAATCTTGGCTTTAGCCAACGACGTTGATTCCCCCAGTCTTTGACATTATATTTCAGCTTTTCGCGCAAGCCGCGGGATTCTGCGTACTATCTTGCTATAACTTCACCTCTCTTTCCATTGTTTTTGTAGAGTATGCCACCATTCTTCATCTCAAATCTTGCGCCAGCCCAATTGGCAACTCAATCGCTCAGAACACCGGAATGACACTATATTATAGCCCCGGCTGGGCGAATCTCTTTCTGCTTGTTACTGTTATCATTGCATCTTACATTCTAGGTATTGTGGCATATCGCCTGTATCTGAGTCCTCTGGCCAGAATCCCGGGCCCGAAGCTTGCTGGTCAGTACTCCCCCATCTCTATTTGTGGTATCTGAGCTTAATGTAGACTGCGTATGCTGACTAGAGCTCTCTAGCTTTAACGACATGGTATAATGCCTATCACGATTTGTGGCGAGGGGGCCAATATGTCTGGGTCGTAGAAGAGATGCATCGCAAGTATGGTCCTATCGTACGAGTAAGACCAGATGTCATTCATATAAATGACCCGGCCTTCATCGAGAAGCTATATACGCAATCTCCCAAGCATCGCCGGGAGAAATACTGGACTACACTCCAGACCCTTTACTCTCTGAGATCAATTCTTGCCACCCAAGATCATGACCTTCATCGGAGGCGCAGAGCAGCCCTCAACCCGTTCTTCTCACAACAGAACGTACGGCGCCTGGACCCTATTATCAGTGACACTTTTGCAAACTTACTTCGTAGAATGGGTGGGTGGGCTGTAGTCGGATCGCCTGTGCGGATGAGCATTCCATCCAGGGCCGCAGTAAAAGACGTAATCCAAGCTTGTGCATTTGGCGAAGGCGAAAAGTGTCTCGAAATGGAAGACTGCAGCAGCGGATTCTTTGATTTAAGTAGGTGCAATTTCCCGAGTCTATTCGGACTTTGGCTCCATTATATTCGTCGCTGCTTGATACAATAAATTCACGGGCTCCTCTACCGTCATTGCTTAACATCATGTACTATAGTTATACCGGCGCGAATAGCTCATCTTGGAACCCATTGCTTTTGGCTCAGCTCGGCTATGGCCAATGCGCCTCCAACTATCATGATAACTCTGGTGCCCCGAGTTGCGATCTTTGCAAGGTTTGTCGAGGTACGAGACGCATCTAAGAATGTCATCAACGTTTAACATTAGTAGCTAACAGTTGGTAATAGGGGTTGGCGGCCCAAGTAGAGGAGGTGGGAGCCGCCGGCAAGACCACACGTGTCCTGGTGAAGGTCTCGTTTACGAAGCTCTAGATGGCAAATTTTGTGTCATTCCGGCCGGCACGGCCATGGGCATGTGGGTACCCATTCTGAACCGTACCCCGGACTTATACGGCCAACCAAATCTGTTCAGACCTGAGCGCTACCTGGAGAACCCGAAGCTTTCAAAATATTTGATGTCGTTTTCTAAAGGGGGAAGACAATGCCTTGGAATGGGCCTTGCCTACCAGGAACTATACACTTTCACTGCTGGCCTCGTCCGCCGGTACAACATCTACGACCCTAGCAAGAAGCACCAAGATGGCCCTACACTAGAGCTATACCAGACTATAAGAGAAGATATAGCGATGCATGCGGACCATATAGTCATGCCACCGCGTGAGGGAAGCCCAGGCCTAAGAGTCATCACTCGAAGTTGAGTGGTGTGCACCGCTCTCTAAGGAAGTAATGTTATGGTAGGTCCTGTGTGATATGTCTAACAACACTTGAAGATTTGAATTTGACGCTGGATTATAATTATTTAAATAGTTAAGACACAAACTGAAATTGAGATCGAAGTTCGATGATACTATGACACCCTATAATTCAAGTATAATTCCGGGCAGTCGAAAAAACGCAGAGCTCTGGAAGGTTCTGCTAGGTCTAGACTTTGGCCGCTTCAAGCTCAGATTGATGCCCCCACCACCCCGTGCTCTATATGCATGAGAGACGTTGGTTACTCATAACTTGGCCGTCTCCGCCAGATCCCCGACCTTCAGCTTGCCGCCGTACTTTTCCAGGACGCTCTTGCCGTGGTACTTCCAGAACTGTTTTGTCGCGTTCTTGCCGGCCATGCGCTTGAGGATCTTGGCGCCACCCGGATGCTCGTCGAGGAAAGCTATGGCACGCGAGAAAACCCGCTGTTAGCTTTAAGGGGATCGGTTACCAGGGGTGTGAAGGTATAGATAAGGTCAGTGAAATGTAATATCAGAACGCCATACTTGCTATGTCGTAGACACCGTTGTCAACGATTATGTACATGCCGTTCTTTTCGTCCTTGTGCTCGGCGACATCTTTGGCCGTGAATGTTTTGGACATGGTGAATACGGGGGGATTCAAGTACTGGAATGGAGCGAGTTCGGCTAACGCTTAGGATGGGATGGGATGGGACGTTTTTTCGTTGGCTATTTGTCGTGGTTTATGATTGCGCGTTATGTAGAGTTGTCAATTGAGTGAGGTCGGGTTACATGCATTCAAAAGTTTCCGATGCGAAGAGCGAGGCAAGACTTAATTACCTTCAATTATAGTATTTAAGGTGAGTAGAAATGAGGTCTGATTGAATGAACCTCGGCACGAAAGTAAGCAGGGGTTCAATTACGCTTGATATCATTGGTGCGCCGTGAGATGAGCTAGTATGCTTCCGGAATAGTTAGTCAACGTGATTGGTTGGAGGTTGAATGTCCTACATGTACTACTAGTAGTACTTTGTATCTACTAACCTTAGCTCAGGGCTGTGTATGGCAGATGGCAGATGCACTACCTACATATGTAATGTACGGTATGAACATGCAAGTATCCATGATGCATGCATGTAGTAGTACGAAGTATTGAGGATATAACAACAACATATGTCGTATTCAAGTTCATCATTGCTATGGGACTTCTTACTATATTCTTAAAAGTGATATAGACTGCCAGGTGTTCACTAAGTACTTAAGTACTACGTACCCAATGAACTCACTCCAACTCTGGTATCATCAAGCATCAATCATCAACTAACCCTAACCCAACCCTAAACGTCGTTCTATGTCGTCTACTCTATTAGTACACCTCGTTTCATCGCCCTCCTAAACGACTTAGCAAATGCTGATGTTCCCTGGCAGTTGCTTTCTTGCATCTTTTCCACAGCTTTTGGCATCCATTCGTTGATCTTTTGTACGCGGTTGAAGTTCTGCAAGAAGTGAGCCTTTGAAACGTGTAAGGAAGTTTGGTCTACCAACAGATGGATGAGTGCTGATCCATTCAGGCGGCTCTCCCTGCTGTGCCTGCTCCATACGCATCCAGAAGCCGAGTGCTTCGCGGGGGTCAAAGCAAGCCTCTGCCATCATCATCAATCCGATGTAGTCGGCCTCGCTCTCTTGCTTGCGGCCCATTGGCCGCGAGAACAGAAGATCCAAGATAGCACCTCCTATGAAGTGTGTGCCAAGGATTGCTATTCCACCCGTGAGGAATATAAGAGAATAAAGTAGAATATTAATGCCAATCTCTCCTGACATGCGCTCCCCCACGTGCCCAGCAAGGTTGTGCGCGATCTCGTGGCCTAGCACTGCCGCCAGTCCGTTTTCGTTCCTCGCTATAGGTAGTAGGCCACTGAAGACGAAGACCTTGCCACCGGGAATCACGAAGGCGTTCGCCGTGTCTAGTCGTAAATAATGGGTTAGTATTTTCTTCTGTCATATCTCGTTGCGAATGTCGCCGGAAGCATGATCCCTCCCCAAGATTTTCACATACGGGGATCATCAATGACCCTTATTTCCCAATCCGCATCCTCCATGCCCGAGACAGGGATCAATCTGTTCATAACCCGCCTCACCATCATCATGCGCGGATCCCAGTCGCTTAAAAACCGTTGACCAGAGCGCTCTATCTCCCATAGTAACCGCTTGACCTGCGCCTGGCTCGCTGCTTCCACAGACTCATCGCTGAAGCAATTGAAACGTCGCCGCCCGGACACAGGCACAGTCTGAATATTGCTGACGTAGAAGACTACGGCGCCGACGATAGAGAGGACGACGACAGTGCGTAGGGTGGGAGAGCGGACGAATCTGCGAAGGCGACCAGGGGTTACAAGCGGTTTCGCGTGGGCGAGTTGGTAATGCGGATCATTGTTGTGCTTATGGGTTCCGGGAGGAGGGCGTGGCCAGTTATTCGCTCGGAAAGAGGTTTGAGAGAATGGTCGACTGCGCTGAATTAGGCGGGAAGGGCAACGAGGTAAAGTAGAGGAAGGATGTACTCGAATCGTTAAGGAGCGCCATATAGGTTGTAAGAACTGGCGCGACTGCATCGTGGTGTTTGCGCTCGCTCGTGCGCAAGGTCGGAAGAGATAATCTTGTTAGGAGGAACCAGACCTAAAAGGTAGGTAAGTACTAGGCAGGAGTCGCGGACGAAACGAAACCCATTTCATGCAACCTACTACCTACTATGTACTGGTATTACATGTAGGTATGCATGTGTATAACGCCCTATTCCATCATCTCGGGTTTGAGGTATCACGTACTCCGTACAAATACATCAGAGGGACCGCGGGGAGCTTGCTGTGACGCAGATGGTAATAGGAAGATGGGCCTAATGATGTTTAGGTACTAGGCAGTTTTTATCCCCACCTGGGCAGCTAAGCGTACTAGGTAGGTACTAGATAGGTACTAACCTAGGTAGTATTGCCGACAATCCACCAAATAGTTAACACGCACTTAACTTTGTCTTAAGTGCCGGGCTACCAGTAACTACTTTGTACCCTCTACGTGCAGTGGGTATCTTGTAAGTATGAACATGGATCCAATTGCATATCGTACATATGTATTATCATCTATCCAGCTTACATACAAAATTGAGAACATTAATAGGAAACAAATATCTATCTATCCAACATACACCCCGGAAACAAATTGAGTATGAGATTTTACAGCCGATTCATCTATCAACTTTTTTCCTGGCAAATTGGATGTCATACATGGATGCCTATAAGGCCAACAAAAAAACCACCATGCCTACGAGCGACAAGCTCGCATGTGTCTTCATGCCGGCACCGACTTCTACGACACCGCATCCAGCTCCTGTACAGCTAGTCGCGGGGCTTGCTGCCTCCGTGGTCGCTGTATCAGCTATCGGTAGCGTTGTCGTGCTCTCAGTCTTCGCCGTGCTCGCAACGCTCGTATTCGCGATGGGGTAGCTCAGGATAGTCGTGGGCCCAACTGTGCCAGAAGCGCTGGAGCTTGAAACCAGTTTGGAGACGGAGCTATTGCCGTTGACAGGATATGGTGTTGTCGCAACGCTTACTTCGGTAGTGACGGAGCCCACCGGGCTGTTCGTAACTGTTGGGGGGCACGATGTGATGGTGTGAACGCTGGTTGTATAGATAGTTGAGGTGGTCAGCTCAGCAGCGGAAGAAGTGGGCGTAATCTTGGAGGCATCAGTCGTGGTAGCAGATACGCTCACAGTTGGTGATACCACAGACAAGCTCGTGGTTTCGCCGTTGTCGTCCGAGACTGTTGAGGACGCAGTGTTATACGACGCAGAGGAGGTTTTTGTTACCGAACTAGCGCTGCTAGATGCAACATCCTGTGTGGAGATCAAGGCAGAGAAGCTGCTTATTAAAGCCGTTGACGAGGTAATCGAAGCCATCAAAGCCGTCGAAACAATGCTAGACGTGCTGAACATGCTAGACGCGGCCGAGGAAGTTGAGGTTTGATCCTCTGCCAATTGGTAAATCTTGATATCCCTTACTTTGAAGTTGGCTTGTTCAAAGCTATCGTGCTCCTTAGCGACGTAAGCTGTGCAGGTCGAATATCCAGTTTTACTCGCACAACTTTCTTCCCACTTTTCTGTCTGGCCAGCGACTGAGCAAAAGTTGATATTCAGAATCATCTTCATATCCTTGAAAGCCTTGTCGATGTTGCAACTCTGGATCGTGTACGACGGCAAGCCCCAGAGGAGGCTAGGGGAAGGATTACCGCTCAACACGTCTACGGGGGCAACATCATGGAGCCAGTCCCATATTTTTAAATGTTCTTCAGTCCATTCCATCGCAAAGACACCCCCGGTGGTGGACCCAAAGGTAGTGCTGTACTCTGAGGCAGAGCAGCCTTGACTCGGAGATTGGCCATCAGCAAAGTCATAACAGTTAGGAGAGTCGATCGTTGCCGTCATATCGTTTGCTGTGAGTATGCAGTCGCCAACAACTTCTGGCACATCAACGTGAGCAGTGTGACGGTTGAATGTGTGATCATTCCAGTTCTCATAGATATCGATTTCGCCTTTCGTTGGCCACGGCTCACCAAAAAACCACTTATCACGCAAGTTAGTTATCGCCATATACCTACGAGAAATTAATATTATGACAGGGAACACTTACAAACGCAGGCCACGAGCCGCAGACGGGTTCAGGGAGATAACTAAAGTCTGCAACTACAAGACCTTGGTTGTATACGGTTTTACTTTCTAATCTAACACTCTTGCGACCAACTCCGTCAGGGAGGTAGTCACCCTGGGTGTGATCTACACCAACATAAACCTGGTCATCTTGATACTTAACGAGGCCGAGGCTTTCTGCGTCTGCTCGGCTTTGGTATTGGACGTAACCACCGTTGAGATCAGTATCCTATGAGCAAAGATGAGTTACCAGGACAAGGATAGGGGTTTCATCATAGACACTGACTGAAAAGAAATCGAATTTGTCAAAGAAATTTGTCGAGTTATAGACCTCGGAGACCTTGTATGACTTGGCAGCACTGGTTTGAGCAGCGAAGGTAACGGCGACAGCGCCAACTGCTTTGAGGAGGGATGGGGCCATGGCTTTGGCTGTAGTATGTGTTCCAATACGTAACTGAAAATAAACAACGAACGGACGACGTGCAACACGTCTAGAGGTTAGTCCTATGATAACAGCAGCACAAAGGGGGTGGAAGAGCGATCCCCCCCAGGGTGGCCTAACAGGCTCTCATATATGTACATGTTCAATGAACAGGATCCCTATGTGGGAAATACGGGATTCGTCAACAGTCAATAGCTGTGAGTCTGGGGCAATACCGAGACTCTGTAGTTCGGCGGCACTGCTTACAAGTAGACATGCCTATGTATAGTAAGCATGATATGCCAATCAACTTGGAACTCACGCTTAGCTTAATGAGCACACGCTATCACTTGATAGGATATGTGTGTTCTGTATTGGTCTGCGACGAGCAACAATTCCCCTTCTGATAAAAGACCCAATCCCTTTCAGGATCTAGACTCTTACCGTTGACAAGGGTTAACCACTATCAGAGTGGTAAGCTACAACTCTGGTACCTAAGCTAACGAGAAAGAGAGCTCAATTGTGGAACCGATTACGCAAGGCGACGAGGGTGCCAATATCTCGGCCGCGCGATGCCTCTCAGCTCGGTATGAAGTAACTATAAGAACCAAGGCTGCTCGGCGTTTGAGAGAGGCGCGGCATGCTCGGATGAATCTTATGCATACGTGTAATAGCTCGAGGATTCATCTCCCGAGGTACAGTCTCTTTCTCAAGCCAATAGCTAATACTTATAACAACTCATAATGCCGTGGATGGTTGACAGAGGTCATTATCTCCAACATTAAATTTCTTTTATCTTTTCCATCTACATATCTACCTGCATAGTTTTGCTATCAAATGGTTACTTAAATAGAAGTGTTAGCAGATCCAAGATTCCTTGTCGACGATCATCACGTAATTAAGATCTAATATAGCGGGCCTTTCCGCTTTTGATCCCACCCTATTTAGCCCAAGTTGGCAATGATCTCTCATATATTTCCCGAAGCCACGGGGACCACCCAACTCCGTATATTTATGCACATAGCTATTACGAATGCGACTTTCTATATAAATGCTGACTTCAACGCCAGTCTCTCTCTATCTTGTAGTAGGCACGCAATTACCAAATACGATAGTAGATCTTCCAATGTTACTTCATTGAGTCAGGCCTACTTCGCGATCCCAGAGTAGATAAACGAGAGCTCCGTTTTACTTTACAGATATCTCGCATTTCTCAGCCACGCCGGCATTCCATCCACACGTGATAGCGCCTCACAGGAGATGGGATGAAAATTGTTTAGGAATAAACGGGGATACAGGGGCATCCCATATTCTATAAGCAAATCTCTTCAACATCGTCAAAAAGAACTAGGGCTTATTACATTAAATCAACGACATCCGAGGCCTCTTTTAGTCAATACAGAGCTGCCCCCTTTCTTTTCTCCTTGTTTCAAGTATTCTCCTCTGCCGTCGGCGCATCCACACGAACCCAAAAACCGCGAGTATGACAACCACTGGCACAACTAGCCCAGCCGCAATTGCGGTGTTACTATTAATTCCTCCATTCTGATTAGGCTGGTTCGTTGGCTTAGACGGTAATATTATCGTTCCGCTGGGGGGCTATTGTACTGTAAGCTGCTGGGGTTCTTTTTCTCGAGGGAGTGGAAGCCTTGCATTGCTAGAATCAGCCGAACTGTCCTCCTCCTCTGACTTGGCGATGGTAAAATAAGGCGAAGATGCTAGGACGTGGTTTGAAGCCGTCGGTCTGCCTGGGTCTTGAACAGACACTTCTACCTCGTACTTGGCCATTTCGATATGTGGGAGAGGATATGGCACGCTCTTCCAGAGAAAGGAAGTGCTGTTAAGATTGACTAAGTATCATGTAACGTGAGACGAAGTTCAAGATACCATCTTTTTGGGCAGATAAACTTAAGCGGGCTTACTCGCTATGTTCGCTTCTATCGAATCCGCACCATATTCGCTGGTCTGATTGATAAGTCTTGTGCGAACCATGAGGGGATAGTCGGTCTCGTTGACTGGGTCCCATTGAAGTAAGATATTGGATCCACGAGCGATACCTTGAAAGTCATTTTGGAAATCGGCTTTACTAAGCATCCATAGCTGGCTTAATATGAAAATGATTGAAGTTATTCGGAGGTCCATTTACGAATTCTTTCAATTTAATTTCATGGAAATAGCTTTACCAACTAGTAGCGGCATGCGCGGGCATATACTATCTAATAGGTATGAACAGGAGAGGTCAAAATAACGTTGTGTACGTTATTCAGGCCTCAATATATAGGTATTGAAAACCTATGAATGTGGCCTGGCCAACATAGCTCTATATGGAAGTCTGATAGTCCCGAGACATGCACAGAAACGGCGAAGACGTAAATAGGCAAATGTGGTTATAGTGCACTTTGGCATGGCTCACAGCGACTTAAAGTGGGGAATATCAACGTACCCAACCTTGGTAGTTCATAGAGAAGGTACTTTACTTGATATGAAGTCTGGCTAAATGGAATAAACGTAAAGGCGCATATGTCGTGACCAAATTCTTTTGGTCTTTGTTGGTATAGCCACACATTGTAGTTCACGCAGGGCCTAGAAAAAAGGGGAAGGACTTGCCTGGTACAATACGAAAAAAGCAACTGACTCTTCTCTCCACCCCTATTCTTATAGTGGGGAACCTAGCGAGCTCTATAGTCTATTAAGTTTAGGTATCGAATCTGAATCCAAAGTAATAAGCTCATGAATTGGCGAATAGAGGGAATATTAGGCCCTTCCGACTCTCTTGGGCATGTCTAGGTGGACTGAACAGGGTTAAAGGGGGGGGGGGGTTAAGGGGCAAAAAGCCATTAAGGGAAAGAACGAGTTAGGCATAAGCTAACGGGTGAAATACACGGAAATATTGTCTAATTGTTAAGAGGAGGAAGTTGCATACTTACTTAGTACCTAGGTAGGTAGGTAAAAGGAAGGTATCGCCGTTACTAAGAAAACCAAACAACTAGAGTTAATTGATGTTTTGACTGAACCTTATAATTTCTTCCATCACCCTTTAATTTGCCTAGGGTAACTTGCTTTTCACCTCCTAGGTCCACCATATAATTTTCCAAAAACCTCTCACCTTTCATCTCCCACCTATTAGTAGGTTCAAGTCTATGTTTTTCAGCATTGGCAGGCGGATAGCACAATCCAAACATAGGTACCTAGGCACCCTACTAGGTCCCTAGTAATCGTCAGATCTTTAGTCCTCAAAGACATGGCCAATGCCAGGCTTCTAATGTGGCATCGCTGTGTCCTTGAGTAGCGTTAAAAAAGGCCGTTCGCTGACACGGAGTCCAGCCGTGGAGTACACCACGATAAAAAACGCCGTATGCTTACCGCGGCTTCAAGGGTGGCCGTGGAGACAAGACACGTAAAACAACCGCTGAACTGCCATAGAACCAGCGTCACAAACGGTGGCATCATGCGTCTCGAGTATGGATCAACTCAAGAACTACCAGAAGTGTCACAGAGCAAGCCATATTACTTCTTGAGTTGACACTATAGAAGGTTACTAGGTGTCCATGTTCAAAGACACCTAGTAGACCAGTCATCGCCTAGACTCTATTAGTAACGTATGGGCATTGGGCTACCTTGCCGGACAATAACGCCAATGCATGCTTTCTGCGTCATCATTGGGGCCCTAAGGTACTCATATCTTTACTACCTAGTGGTATATTTGGACATGGGTAGAAGAGACGTCAAACAATCTCTTCCATTCAACCCAAATAGGAACGCTGGCGGGTAGATGGTGCTTCAACATGCGCCTACCCAGCCAAGCTCGTCCCAGGTTCAACTCCCATCAATTCGCACTCGCTTCAATCGTAGCCTAGCCTGGCACGACTCCAACCCTATGGCGCCTTATCAGGGCATCGTTCCGGGCCATTTACACGGAGTAGTGTATCAGGCACTTGTAGATAAGACCTAGATATTCCTTGCTCACAAGGGACCTATATAGCCGTCACTAGAGGTCTCGTCACTCGGATGCAGCTCCCAGAAACCACCGCCAGGCTACTTGTTCGTTAGGGCTGCTTTTGAGTAGTGCTGGCACTCTTCCATCACTCAAACTGCGATGGTGATAGGCTGCCTCTTGCATTAGTTGACTTACGAATGCCAAGAGGAGAGCGGTCAGGTAGGTACGTACGCCGCTCGTAGTTTGTAACCGCAGCCTCCGAGATTCAAGGGCGTATTTAGCCAAATCCGAGTACCTTATTGGCCTACATAGTGTAGCTTGATGGACCACCGTAGATAAATAGATCTATGTCACCAAGTGCCGAGCCAATGGTTGGGTCATATGCCAGATCGGGCTGCTGGTACCGATGCGTCGTTTCTTGTTCGCGCTTTAACTTGATGTATTCTGCTTGTAAACTAGAGTAGGCCTGGCTCAGGATATCGTTCTTCTTCTGAGCCTCGTTGAGCAAAACTTCAAGGTCCTTGATGCGTTGGTCTTTCCGCTCTCGATAGGCTCTCTGGGAAGCGCGATTCTGAGCTCTTCGGCGCTGTGCAGAGTAAGTCTTAGCGATTCGGGTTACCTACGGACAACTCTTAGATGTAAGCCAAGAACTCACAGATAAGACAGAAGGCGGTGCGTTCTTGTATCTGTTTTCGCGCTTCCTTTTTGTCACAGGCTTCGAAACGGATGGTTGTGATTCTGGCTGGGTCGTTTCCCCTAAACCATCCGTATGCTCGGGACTGGGATAAACCCCTGGAAAAGATAAGTCGTACTGTGGATTCATATATTAGATACCATTGGCTCTACGAAGCTCGCGTGTGAGTCGCATACCGGTGAATCTATTGGGCTTGAAATTGTTGAAGCATTTGAAGAATCGAGGTAAAAGTCCGTCTCTCTGTACATGTACGACATCGATTTGGAGGGAGATGAGATTCCGGCTGTAATATCAATTTCATCCATCTCGAGGTATGTACGCGGATATAATTGGTTCAATGTTCTTCGCCGATATATAATTCGAAGAAAGTAGCAAGGAACTAAGGATCGAGGGTCTTGAGAGGTTTAATGTTAAGAAGGGAGGGATAGGAAACAAGCTCACATCTGACAAGGAGAAAGTATCGAGGATATATCTTACGCCAGCCACCTACCAGGAGCCTGGACAGTCTGGTCTAGGTCGTTCGTAAGTAAGTGATCGGCCAAGTATCAAATCTCACCTCGAAGAGACCCCTGTCTGGCGGCTTGCCGAGCTTGGGCAGGTATGGCGCCGCCGTTGCCAAACCGCAGCGTTGCAAAGTGTCATCTTGACCCGGCATGTATTCACAGGTACCTCCACATCCCTGATTGTGCAGGCGGAGCAGCCGTCTAACCGCATAGGTCAAGAAGCTAGAACTCTTCCCCCCCAAAGCGGCAGACGAAGGAAAACCGAAAGCCGGGATTCTCAAAGCGTAGGTGGGGTTTGCTTTCGGGGATAGACCACAGTTACTCGGAAAGAGGGAAATCGGAATAGGAGCTTATCTAATAGGTTCAACGTTGGAAGTCAGCTCGCTTGGCTGTATGGCATTTGCTGACAGGTGCTTCAACAACTCCGGATTACACCCTACTTACCTCCGCGCATCGTCCCGTTGTCGTGGGCGCGACAGACAGACACCCGAATGACTGCAGAAAACCCCTACTGTAGGTAGATGTCACATTTGACGTCAAAGACAAGAGCGCCCTTTTCGATGCAATATAACAATTTATTTGCTACATGTGATCGCAAATACTTGCCTCATCAGCTTTGCGGCCTGTTCGTGGAAAGCTGTAGCCTCGATATTCGGTCCTCCATTGTTGTCGAACGCAGTATAGGTAGGTACGCACTGAATATCTTGCCGCTCAGCCCCGCCATATGTAGATGTATCCCTAGATAGGTATCTGCAAATCAACGCGGTCGCAACGAACAGCCGGGCTAGAGTAGCAAGTAAGCAATCATTGTGCATTGAAACAACCTCAAAGTGCGTTTCTATTATTGAATAGATCAGTAAACGGCCTTTGTCATCATCTGGATCCCTGGAAAGCTGCCCAGTTGTGAGGTATGTAAGTAGGCGATACACAAAGTGATCTTACCAGCCAATCAGCCACTCACTTGCCAAGCTTTATGCAGTGTCCCGCTCCCAGATCGACATGTTCTCTCTCAACAACAAACAAAAAAAGAGATGTCTCCGCTTTGGATTGATAATTCGAATAATTTTAGATTTTAATCTGAACCTATCACTGAGGAAGGAGCAATATCCCAGCCCAAGGGTCAGACCATTTTATATATCTTGAAGAAGCTTTGAACTGGCTAAATGTTCTTAGTAAAGCCCCCCGAAGCACCTTACGAGGTAGCCGTGAGCTAGGGCAAGGTACGGGGTTTGATGAAAATCTTCAAACCCATCAACCCGGGCTTTGACACTACCGACGAAGGGCGCCCGTCTCGGGATATACATATGGTATATTGCTACAAGACTCAGTGTCTTCCTAGGTTAGGCTACTCGTCAAGTGACCATCTATTCGCTTTTTGCTGTAGGTAGTATAGATATATGTACCCCCCGTCGGCTTTCGATAGCGCAATCTCAAGAGGTAGGTATTGTACCTTCTTAGGGTCCCCACGATATCAGACCCTCGAATTCCAAAAAACCAAAGTAAAGTCGTATTCAGCACTCGCTTGTGTTACAGCCAAGCCCCGCATACCACCTAGCATCTACTTAGGTACGCATGTAACGACGATGACATGTAGTATATCCATGACATTGTTGTATATTATGTGGCTCCTAGCTTTATAAATACCTAAAAGGGCTGTAAACTGAATCTCGTCGTAGTTGATGAGATTCCAATTTGGTCAAATGTTGATCAAGATCTAAGTAGGTACCTAGCAGGTTAGGTGGTTACGATCTCCAGCCCTTCAGCAATTCTCAAAACTGACCGCAAGGTATTTAAATATATCAAAATTGGGGGTTTTTTCATGTCAAAAATAACAAAGGTTCAGATTTTGACAAGAAATTAGCTTGGGTAAATAGGTACGTAGGTAAGTGTGGACTTAAAAGGGGGAGGGGGGAAGGTGGGTATTTCGAGAGGTAACGAAACACCCTCAGGAATTCCTTGGGATAGGGTTCCAGAACTAAAAGTATCTTCTCTCATAGTTGATAATTGGTAAAGCTTTACCAATCCTATATGGATCTCTTGCTATGTCATCGGCTTTGTATATCAACGACCCTGTCCCCCCCTTTTCTTTTTTGACCCCCATATAGTGCCTCGATTCTCACAATGACACATGATGCGCATCTTACCGGAAGGTCCCTTCATAGGCTATTTTCTTGGTGACAAGTTTAGGAGGCATTGCTTTCCAAAGTAGATACTTCACCGGAGGACTTTGTCCTAGTGTGAAAGTAATGGAAGGGGGAACTAAGCAAGATCAGCCGCCACGCAGCATATAGAAGCAACCTCAAACACCCATCAGGAGATGAAATTCAGCTTAAAGCTGCTGATACAGTGGCATTAATCTATATAAGGACCTATTAGCTATTTGCTGCCGAGACTTGTCATCGTAGGGGCAACTGTAGCGTGCGGGATCGACCCGTGTAGGAACACTTCGGTACATAGTTGGTTGAGTAGATCTGAATAGAACTATTACATCCAGGGTAGCTCCCTGCCTATGCGATCAATAAACCGGGACCATGGTTGTGTACCTGGTGTGCACATGTCGGAGTTAGGAAATACGTTCGATGGCCGTGATTAGCTCGCCTAAAAAGTAGGTGCTCAGTGCAGGATAGTAGTAGGCTGTCTATACACACAGGTAGGTACCTACCCAAATAAACGTCAAGTACTGTCAGATGGTTCGCTTACCGAGTAATAACTGTAAAGAGTCACGTATTCCTATGTATGTCAGATTCAAGTTGCATATATAGTTAGGAATCGTGACTCCGACCCAAAAAAGTCGAGGCTATTTCGTCAATCGCTGCTCATGACTTATAGAGAGCTTCATTGAACAAAACCCTGCCGATGGATATATGTAGCATCCACTGCTCGGCTATGTCACTTGAGTATAAGGGTTTCTGACAGGTCAGCGGGCATGCTGCCCGCCTTTCCCCGCGGCCCTATTGCTAATAGCGGAGTCGGGATCCTTAACGGTCTAGGTTGACGCCACCATACCGGAGTGTAGTGTAGATCGGTGCAAAGCGAGGTGATTCTAGAACAGGGGACCTAAGAAACTGAAGGGATGCTAAACCCAACAGGGCTGAGGTGGATAGATCAAAAGTTATCAAATATGGATATCATATAAGGGGAAATACCCCTTGACCAGTCAGACTATTAAGATCCCCAAACACCTACCTACATGGGTGGCTTCTAGATAAGGCATGTCGAACCTCTCTTTAGCAAATGGAGCGCGGATAACCTACCTACCTAGGTAGGTGCGGCTAAGGTGCCTAGTAAGTAGGCATTACCTACCTTAGAATTTATGTAGGTGAAGCAAAGCAAATGCCCAAGTACTCTAAACACTCTGTAAGAATGGTATGATACAGGATGATACAAGTCCTGTATAGCATTCATGTTAGATAGAACTAGCCATTATGCCGAAACCGGAAGGATCAGGTATGTGAGTATGTAGCAGTCAGTAGCCTCGGCGGCCGACGGCCGACTTCACTGTCCTGATCCTCGATATCCTATCCTATGCCGCTCCCGCACCACGTCACCCCCCTTACCGGCCTCGGGTGTGGGGTGTGGAATATGGGGCATGGATGGTGACGTTATGTAGAGCGTATGCGAGCAGTCCCCGAATTAGAAATGTACTCATGTTGACTTATTTTTATCACCCTTGCCGAAGGGTTTCGTAATTGAATAGGAGATACTACTGGCTCGAGCTCCGCATAATTCTGGTAGTTATCTTTTATGGAAAGTGCCCGAGAATCATGCTAGTTAACCTCGTTTTCACATTTCCCTATTTCGTATACCTTGGCCACTTTGGTAACGAGATGACCTTACATCCTATCATGAACCAAATTTCAGCCTAACTTGCAGGCCAAAACACTGTCGGTGCAGCGATTTTTTGGTGACATGGAACGCTTCCCTGCTGACTTTGGGAGCGTGGAAAGTAACAGAATGCCCACTCACTTGTAAGCTTCCTTTACTAAATGGTTCCTAATTCAGGACCTCCTAGATTGAAGTATGTAGCAACACCCGTTGTCTATAGAGCCAGAGGTTTATAAAGACGATCACGGTGTAAGTTGATTATGGCGATCCAGCCGATGGCGTCTTAGATAAGCGTTGCAGGCCCTCCTGAGCTTGTTTAGTGCCGGGTTCGAATGCAATGTTCTTGCTCAACGCCAAACTCTCTTGAAATTTGCGCTGTGCTTCTTCGATATCCCCAGCCATAGCTGCGATATCTCCCAGGTTGCACAGTGCTACTGCGCAAGCTTCGTCGCATTCTTCAGTCCTATTTTCTCCTTGTACTTTTCGTGCTGTTGCCTCAGCTTTCAAGGCCCATAAACGGGCACTGGCTAGGAGATTAGACCGCGTCGGACGGGTGGCCGCAGTAGATCCGTTAGCTTGAGAGATCTGGGGAGGATCTAACGGCGTATCGACGGGTTGCTGCGCCAAAGAAATCGCTAGGTTGTTCACTTTTATAGATATCGTTAATTAGGAAGTGGAGGGAAACCCCTTGTAAAAGATTATGAGAAGGGAGGAGCGGAAGGGAAGGACGTCGAGGGCAGATCAAGGTTATTGCGTAGAGACTTACTCAGTACGGCAGTATGACAGCTATTTGGAGGCGAAAGTGAGATCGCCTGAAGGAAGAGCGGTGCTGCAAGATAGAATTGCGACTTGGACTCGTAATGATGTCCCAGGGCTGTTTTGTGGTTAACGACCTCTCAGTTCAAGCACTTGAAAGTAAGACATACCTTCTAGCGATCCCCCAATCTGCTCTGGGGACATCCAATCGCCCTCGCCTTCCTTCAGACCTTCAACTTGACGCCTGTGTAATTCTTTTAAGACAGTCTCGACTGCCCATATCAAGTGTTCACCAGCAGAGTCACCTTCAAGAACGTGCTCGTCGGCATAAAGCGCTCCAAGCTTAACACTGATTCCGACCGATCTTCCCAAGATTCTTGTTCGCTTACCCCACAGATTCTCCGGTTTCGGTTCACTTTCGCTCTTTTCTTCTTCTGTGCCAGAGCCTTGGGGGCTTGGTGCGCCAGACAGTCTTCCCGATTCATCAATAAGGCCATCTTTGGCGCTCTTCTCCATGAGCGCAACCCATTTTTTCGAATCGTTAAGAAGCGCCTCTAATACGTCGATAGAATTCTTATAACTACCGATTTGTTCTAACCACGCAGCTAATTGGATCCTGAGACCTATAACTTCGTCCGAAAAGGGGTCAAGACCGGCTTCCTTACATTGGCCCAAGGCAAGCGTGTAGTATTTGAGGGCTAGCTGCGGATCAGGACCGTAGTTGCTGTAATATATCGCACGGCGGAGGGATTTGGCGATGTGAGGCGGGAATCGAGTGAATTGTGGAGATTGGAAATAGTTGAAATAGGCATAAACGATATAGAGGGATGTACAAGATATAACGAATAACCTTTGGATAAGCACATGCATCGGATTAGCGACCTGTGTTCGGGAATTGTGCGTCAAAACAGAACCACCTTACAGGATAAGAGCAATTACAAGCTCCTCTGGGCTCTGTCGAAATAGAGCACGAAGAGTTTGGCCACGAAATATTCCAAGTAGAGGACGAAAATTCATGCCTTGTTTCAGGGCTCGGAAAAGCAGCTTTGAGGGTGGTAGCGGCTCCTGGTTATTTGTCTTGGGCGAAGAGGAATTATGTCGCTTCTGTTGAATACTACATATTCGAATAGGGTCAGATAATGGAAGGTTAGTTCGCGCTATTTGATTAGAGAAAGAGCGCGCGGGTCGTCTCATTGACACCTGCATATGGTGAAGGCATCGCGCATGTTGGTGGCCATTGCCGGAAGACAACTTTGCGATAATGCGCAAAGCAGACATTATGATTAGCAATCGCAAGACGTGTTGCTCAAGTTGCGCTTGATCAACTACATGTGTAGCGCCCTGTTGTGGCCAATATCCGCAAAGCGTGCAAATTAATAATGCTCGGGGAGAACTGGGGGATCAAGTTGAAATCGGTTTGTAGTGAAGCAATTATTTATTAGCAATGACGTTGTCCACGGTAGAACTCGAGTAATAAATTTTGAGCTCTAACTACCTAGGTACATAACTGACCTCAAGTACATGCAAGGATGTAGGTTAGGTACTAGGTAGAGTAAGAACAGCTGGCAACCAGCTGTGCAACCAAGGTCTAAATAAAGACCTCGGCTTCTTTGCGCATGGGCCACTTCAGATTTATTACTAGACATATTTAAAGTGAGCATGCCAATGACGAGACAGCAAGGTACTCTTCCGTAATTCGGTAGCCGCAAGTTGAAACGAACATCTAGTAAATATTCGGTTTCTTTGTCTACCTACCTACCTATCTACCTACCTACCTACAGGTATATATGTAAGCAGAGCTGCTCGAAGCCATCTAGGGTACCTATACATAGTATCTAAAGCCGACCTACGATATCCACCCAAAATATATCGACGTCTTGAGTCTTAATACACCACCTACCTTAACACTACCTCACAAGAGCGATGGCCGGAAAGTTTGAGCCCAAGGTTCCTATAACCCTGAACCCTCCTAAGGATGACCCTATTTCCATCGAAGTGCTAGCTAAAGCAGACGGTATGATGCCATCCCTCATTCCCCATCCCCATGTAGTCACTCGAGATCTACGTTAAGTAGATCTCAGGCATTCATGCTCGCTCGACTTGACACATATATCACGGCCCCTCACCATCGTTTCTTGCAACATGGAGATTCATGGCTGACAATACGCCTCTTGCTAATTATTCTCTCATGTCCAGGCACTGAGGGACAAAATGCTTACGTCGCAATCAAGGCACGTCTTCTTGTTATCCACAGACTTTCATGCCTACTCTAACACTAGATTATCAGGGCAAGGTCTACGACGTCAGTGCAAATAATGCATATCGAGTAGGCGGCTCATATCATGGTATGTAGTCGTGTTTCCCTTCATCAGAGCACTGGTAGCACCACACAACGCATCGTCACCTTTCCCAACACTTATACAATATCTGGCTCGTTGGCGTCTCTTGTTTGCTCCCTAAGTAGTGAGTTGTTGGATGAAGTTTGTGTCCGACGTTGAACTGCAGCTTGACTCAACAGCTTGCTTTTATAGCCAGAAACAGAACCAGCATGTTTGCTAACAGCTCCAGTCTTTGCGGGGAAGGATGCCTCTCGTGCACTGGGGATGTCTTCAGTCAAGCCAGAAGACGTAAAGCCGGAGTGGCAGGATCTGGACGATGATAAAAAGAAAGTTTTGAACGATTGGATCACTTTCTTTTCGAAACGTTATAATGTCATCGGTATCGTCGAAGGTGCAACCAACTTAGAGTAGACACCGATATTTGTCAGGCCTGGATGGTGTATTCTTCATACCTACCTAACCTACATGTTTGATGTTACTCTAGTAACTTGAGCGGGGGATCATATCAAAATACCAATCATAGCTTCAGGCATCGAGTAGCCTAATGTATTTCAATGGGATGGCCTGGACTTATATTGCACATGCATCTATGAAACGACGAATTTTTCAAAACGAGATAAATTCCAAGGTTCTCTACTTAGCACTCATTTAGAGACTGCACAGGACTACGCCTACCGAACAAAAGGAGCTACATAATGAAAGCTCATACAGTCATTCTATGTAAGCTAGTATCCTAAGGCTTGTGTACTGAGTAGAGTCTATTTTCAAGGCTAGGGTAACATTGTTGACTCTCACTTACATTCTTATGCATCTAGGCTTGCTTGTCGTACGAAGAGTATTACTGCGCGCGGGGGGGAAGTGAACACAACATATCGTTGGAGACTCAACAGTCACGTCTTCCGAAATTCTACAACTATCTATCTACTATTAGTAGGTACAGGAGTGGACTCAGCACTGTTCTACATTTATAAAGCGCATGGATAGTTCACTTAGCAACGATCCCCTATACTAATGTAGAATATGCTATAACAATAATACTCACATGGGCTAACTACGGGCCTTAACCTACTAGGCAGAGAGTGTCTCAAATGGCAACGGCGGTCTTAACGCATAAATCTATAAGCATAACAGCTACCTAGTATTTTAAGGCTTTTATGTGGCCAAGACAACGGAGTATTCAGATCTGTGGGGGTTAGTCCTACACAAATGGTTTAACCTGGTGAGTCCAACCCGAACCTGCTTTCCACTACAGCTCACGCAGGTTACTAGTGTCTAGGTTGCCTGCAGCATTGCAGTGAAACAGCAATAACTTATATGTATTGCATCCATTGACTAATCTGATTGGGCATACGCATCTGCGTACCTACGTACCTACGTAAATAGATTTCAGTCACGATTATGAATGCGTATGTCCAGCAAAGTTGCGATATTACATAAATGTCGGCCTGGTACATGTATAGGAGCGAAGTGACGTGAGTATTATTGTGGTGTTCAACTGACGAACTCCTTATATCGAAACCATATGGATTAGAATATCGTAGGCTAGGCATTATACATATCTAGAGGTCGTTTATAGCCAAATATGTCGACGGCTAGCCTGCTACGCATCAAGATATTTGCTATATGGCACAGCATCTTGTAATTTCTACTACAGAAGAGTACCAAGACTTGTGAGCGAAAATGAGTTGGGTTTTCAACATCGGTCTCTGTAAGACAAGCACTCCCAGATGTTGAGAGAATACATAATACATATTAAACTTTGGAGTATAGTTACAGGAAGTAGAGCGGACAACAAAAGACAAGATTGTCAATGGCATAGATATGTCTCACAGACAGTTGTCTTTGCATATTTGTCCTCCACTTCGAAACACCTCGCCTGACTTCGTAACAGTTGGCGAGCAACCTACAAGACTCCTAACTAACTCACTGTATCCTTGACTCGAGCCACGATAATGACATATCCTATGGCTGTGTTCGAACAGCTCACGCAAGCCCTCTAGACTGTTGTGGTCGGCTGTACGGTCCTTGAATAGATGTCTGAACGTTTCTCGACATATAACGTAAATGAACCCTGCATCATGCGTAACTCGGGGTATTCTCGCCATTTTTTCTTTCTTGGAATTCATCGTCCTCGCTGAGAAGGGGCCCATATGTTTCCATTCACGAAGCGAAATCCCTTTTCGGTGCATTTATCGCAAAGTTCTCCCGCCTGAAGCCAGGAGTTCCGGAGCTTCTTGACCCCAAGACATTGGTGATTAGGGTCGTTCCGTGCGAAATGACAGTAAGACTTTAAACGGCACACAGAGTGACGACATTCAAAAAGAAACTCGTCGTAATCGCACATCGTCACTATCTGAGGGAGACTTATGAGTTTGGTTGCCCTGTCCCTTCTGAAATTTTATATCGAGGATATTTCAAGGATATTGAGACAGCGTAGACTCACAAGCACTAGTTTTGGATGCTGGCCGTTCATGTAAAGCTACACGTTGTTAGGTGGCTGATTTACAAGATGGGAGCGGTACTCATACCTCGATCAACAGACTCAGAGACTGTCTACGACGTATCTGGTATCATAAGTTCCAAGGTTGATAAAAGTTGAGCAATATGTAAATATCACATATTCAGGAGATGACTTCCATCCTTTATAAAAAGCAATGTTTGCTCTATCTCAACATCTGCTTAACCATTGGTGACCCAACGAGGGGGGGCAAACACATCGTCCTAAGATCTGGAAGAATTTCCTTCTCGAATATGACGATGAAGTCTAAACTGACAAATTTCACGCAGCTTGCCTCTACAAGGAGGAAACTCGCATTAGCCGTCATGTATTATCCATATAGATCTTGCTGTTATTCGCTATCGAGGTCCGGCCTTGCTGATCTGTCATATTTCCCCTCGCTGTACGATCATCATATTTGAAGCGAGATTGCGTAGTACTGCGCACTTGTTTAAGAAGAAAAAGATTGTGACCATACCAGAGCCTCATAGTTGCTCAACGCTATGTAACGAGGAAGTATCGTTGGCAACATCTGTAAAACATACATATATGTACAGGTTGAGGCACAGCAAGGCATTCCAGATACCTACATACCTACATACCTACATACCCGCCCACCCAGCAGAACCAGAATGTATCCCATTGGAGTTTATCGCCCGTCACTACTAAAGATTCGCGAGCATAAGACTCATCAGGGACGGAGACTCACCTAACCGTTCATCCTAGTGTTGAGCTTCGATTACGTCTGCACCCGCCAGCATGATTAATAATTTGACAGACCATGCAGCCTAACGAGACGTAGCGGCTGCAACAGAGCCGGGGCAGATTGACCCGGGTACCTGGTGCTACCACGCTATATATGTATGTAGTAGAGCCTCGAAGCGCCTCCTCCGCGCTAGCAGTGGCTCCTACGGCGCGGCCCGAGTACAGGGGCTTGATTTATACTCTTTGCAACGTGTAGCAAACAATGCATCGCCTCTTGGCATCTAATCTACCGTAAGTATGCATCCTTGAGAGGACATCTTACACACTGGACAACATGGAAGGAGAGTGAGAGGGACAATGACGCACTGTTACTGGCATTGTGATCTCGGGAGCGTTTGACGTTCTGTGCCAGTGGCTTTTTTCGAGGTGCCACAGAACTGCTAATACACATGTAGCACTTGCATCAAAGCTACATCGGACAATTGAAAGACTGGTGATACAAAACATCCATGGACTATATGTATGTGGCTTCTCTAACCAGGTAGTCGTTGCTGCAACGACCCGGGTTTCTATAAGAGGCAAAACGTCTTTGTACGATACCTTAGTACCTAACGGTACCGCCGGTTGAAAAGGGGAATAACTCCTGCCTTTGATTAGTCCTGATCGATGAGACGTTTGTCACTAGGTAATGTTATTTAGCAACACGCTAGCAAACGGTCAAAAGATGATTCGAGCGGATATGTGCACTGCAAGTCTTAGACCACAGACGACGACCCGTTTTGAGCTAGGTAGATGGTGGAAACCTCACTCGCCTGCGCATTCATTGATGGCAATGGGCGAGTTTTAACAAACCTAGAACCCAGTAGTTGCTACCTACATATATACAGTAGGTTATCTACTTACATGTGTAGGTATATAGTCTGCTTGATAACAGGCTGTTGAAAAGGGCACACCAATCTAGGTTAGGCTACTAGGTCCCAGGTAGCCCATGGCGCATAGAGAGTGTGTTGTGAGGGGAAGAACACTATTTGCCTAGGTAGCCTAGGTACGCAATAGAGATTCGAGTTCTGGTCAACGTTCACAAGTTGATGTTTAGTTATATAGAAACATTGAACCTCAAGCTGTGCATGCTAGGTGCATTGTATGTAGTAGGGATAGAAATAGGTACTATTATATTAGTAGGTATGCTCAGGGGGGGCGTTGGTAATTTGACCACTGGGTAATTAGGATGTCAATGACAATAGTCCATTTTTACGGAATTGTTATAGAATTTTGGTTAGAAGATAGGGAATGGGAAATGGGAGATAATAATGGTAACGCATTGGAAACGAGATGAATGGTGGTTTATATGTATAAGTATTATGAAGAATATCAAATGAAGTTTAGTGTTCAATGATGATGTTGCTTCAGGTTCCTTATGAGATCGACATGGTGCTACCTATATGTACAATACCTACATACATGCCTTCTGTACTACCTACCTAGCATATGTTGATGTAGTAATAGACAGTTGGCATGTGCCACACGGGTTTTAAAGCTGCCATGTGCATACCTAGTATTGATTTCAATGTTGAAGTTAAAAGGTACCTATCTACATGTAATATGTAGATAGGCAGTACATTCATGTTCAATGTTATGTACATACATAGCATTGCAGTCCTTGAACTCCTCACTGAGTCCTCACACCGAAAATGACGAGCTACATCATGGTAAGACAGAACTGTGGCAGTGCACGCACGTATTGAATCTTGGTAGAATAATACTTTAAATTGTCTAGCGTATTAACTATGATAGGCTTAATGGTCAATCGCCTAAGTATTGCCCTATTACTATTCCGTTTTACCGAGACGCTTGATGTAACCGTCTTTACAATTGAATAATGCGATTGTGCACTTGTCCGCCTCACTTTTGTTCAATTTCGCATCATACACAGCTGGGTAGGTACCTAATAGTACCTAATAGTACCTAATTCCTAGTTATGTACGTACTTGCAAATTGTACTAGGTAACGTTTTATCGCTAATGCCCAGGTGGCTGCCTTCAATGTTCAAAGAATGTTCCTGCTCACATGGTCTCCCTTCAATGTTCCAATCTTTCTCTCTCTAAACGTCCCTCCAACTCCCCTTTCAATGTTCTTCGACTCCAGGGTCCTTCGAATCAAATGTTGGCTCTAGTGTAGCTATCTTCTTTATCTTTAATTCAATTATTTATTCCAGCCCCAAATTTAAACCTCCTGCGCCTTGCTTGGTGCTTGACCTGTGAAGCCGGGCGCGGCTCGACGATTTTCACGTCCGCTGCCGATCTACTAGGTACTGGGTAGTAAAGTCAATACATAGTAGATATTCTACTTGGAAACTTGCATAGGAGACAACTTGGACACTTGTTGAGGCAAGTCTAATATATATTTATTGTTCTACTTGTTAGTTGGTCCTTTCACTGTCATGAAACCCCTCGGTTGCTCAATGTCATCCATACTTGCGCTATTGAATAGCGTTACTCAAAGCCGAGCAAAGTGAAGCCTGTTTCTTACACTTCTGGAGAGAGTTTACACACGCAATGAAGACACGGAGAGCATAGCCTTTCGTTATCATCACATACTAACCCACTGAAGCTTGCCAGAGTGCTGCGCAATTCTCTCTTGCGCTGAAGAGCTTCCTTCGTCAAAGTGGTATATGCCGCTCACGTAGAGAGACTATACGAGCGGGTGCCAGCGGGAGCCTTGTCACCTCATTTCCCCATTGTCTTTTCTTTTCGTATGTCGTATTCACAGTAGAAGACGGCGGATACTCCAATAATTTCTTAATCGGCCTTGAAGATGGCCGATCAATTACCCCTGACCTCCTCCAGGTCTTCTGATGTCACAGTAGAAGGACAATCGCGACCCTCTAAGACAACGATACCCAATTTTGGCCATCACCAAGATCTTGCCGCGTTGGACAATATAGAATTGACCCCACCATTCCCTAGGCAGCATACCGATTCTTTCAAAACTGGACGGCTCCAAAACCGCATAGCTTCATGGTACCTCAGGAATGATGGACCTTGGACACCTGCCGGTCTAGGTTCTTCTCAGACCAACCTTAGGGCCCAGTTGATTCTGGGCAATTTACGAGGCAATTCGCTTCCGTATTTCCAGGAGAATATAGTGCCATCCGAATGTGATACAGTTCCGACAGGAGCAATACCTTCTGATTCTGGATATGGTGGAAGCTATGGAGCCAAGCACAGCGTTGGCAATGGCTCAGTCTGTGACGAGTCACTTGATCGGAACCCAGAGACCCAAAGCTTGATTGGACACATAGATTATTTGAAATTCCATTCTTTCGGCCCGGATTTAGTGTCCAAGAGCGGAGTGGCCCTAGGAACTCCATGGCCTCAATCAGTAGCACCCCCTTCGTCGTCGTCATCAGTCATTGACCACCAAATCAATTTCGATGGAGGTCACATGTGTGAATTATGTGACAAGATACTAAAGACAAAGTCCGAACTCAAGTAAGCTCTTTTTAACTTGATAGCTCCCTTAAAGGAACATTACTGAAACATCCCATTATTAGGAAACATAGGCAGAGGCATGAAAAGCCCTTCAAGTGCGATGTAAAAGACTGTACTCGCCGTGAGGGTTTCAGTACGCCGAATGATCTTTCTAGACACAAAAGAAGCCTACACCCACGCGAGTATGCAGCTGGTAGCCGTTTCATATGTCCTTTCGGCGCCTGCAAAAGCAAAGACAAGATATGGCCTCGAGCGGATAACTTTCGTGCTCACATGAAGCGCGTCCATCTAGAAGAGATAACAGCAGACGATGATCTGGAAAAATACAAATTTGAGTATGCAATTGACGAATGTACTTAGGAAGCGGTCTCTAATTCTTTGCCAGTCCAATCCATCCGTCTAAGGAAAATTCCGACCCAACCCCTGAAAGCACAACCGCTGAATTCGGCCAATTCAATGCTCTCCTCACAAACAACACCAGCTGCGCTTCAGAAAGCTGGCCGTTACCCCGGAGTCCCGTTATTGATTTGTCCTCTAAACCAAGCCCAATCGAGGGACCAAGCCAAGTCGGAGCGAGAAGCACTTGTCAGTTAGTGGACAAATCTCATGATTTGCGTCACTTGTACTTACCCAACGATGCTGCTACACATGAGACACGCCCACACAGTGGCAGCTTGTTGCCTGACAAACAAACAAGTCCAACTAGACCAACCCCAGAAGAAATTGGTCTCGTAGGGTCGCAGCATTTACATGATATAGATGTCGGCCTTCTTTCTCAGAAGTCGAGTGCAACCATTGGTAATGGCATGGAGCTTTCGAATTATGACAAGCATGATAGGCTTAGTGAGCCTCGAGACCATCCCGGAGTTTCTTTACTTGAAAACCAGCCGAACAGACACTTAGAAGGGCTAGCTGAACCCAGCGAGAAAGATTTTGCGCCGCCTCAACCTAGGGGCCTTGATATAGAAGGTTTCTCGCCCATGACAGTAGACTTGAGGAACCGCGATACGATACAGCATTTGCTCGAGACTCTTCATGGTCAAGGTGTGCTCCAGGAATTCGGATACAAGAAGGAAGCGCTACCTGAACCAGAGAATACAAAGAAAGATTCAGTTGCCAGCAATGCTTCTGAGCAGACTCACACATGCTCAGAGTGTCCCAAAAGGTTTAATCGACTGTGCGAACTAAGGTTAGTGGACTCATCAATAGCTCTGGTCACTTTCCTTTCTCCCTCTCCCTTTTTTGTTATTTTTGTTATAATCTACAGCATGGCTGTGTATGATATTTATTCGTGTATTAAGCTAATGTCCAAATAGAAAGCACCAGAAACGGCATTCGAAGCCATACGCTTGCACATTCCTAGGTTGTGCCAAAAAGTTCGGCAGTAAAAATGATTGGAAGCGTCATGAAAACAGCCAGCATCTTCTGTCAGAGCTTTGGAGATGCGATCAGAAGCAAGCGGATACAGCCTCAGAGGACTGCGCGAAGTTCTTCCCCCGGCGAGAGCTATTTAAACAACATCTTGCTATTTGCCATGATATCAAGGACCAGGCAGTCATAGACGACAAGTTAGAAATATGTCGCGTAGGAAGAAATTATGAGGTTCGTTTCTGGTGCGGATTCTGCCAAAAGATCATCGAAATCAAGAAAGAGGGCTCACACGCCGTGACTGAGCGATTCAACCACATTGACGACCATTTCCACGGCCGAAATGATCAAGCCCAAAAAGAAATTACCGACTGGAAGAACGAATACCCACTCTGTATTGAGGCCGAGTCGCTTAATAATGACTCTGAAGACTCCTGCGCTACTTCGGTGACGCTGGCTCCATCAGTCACCAGCTCTAATATCCATGACCATGTGGGACTCACGAAACAGCACGCTAAAGCCAAGCGGAAGAGGGATGACAGATCCGATGAATTCACCCCAAAGCGTGTCGAGACGATAGTGGAGATGCCTAGGTCTCATTGCGTAAGCGATTCCTTTCCTTGCTAGAGGCGAAGTTACTAATCTGTGAAGTGTCAATGCCGCGAGACTATGCCTGTGACAAGCAGGCAGTGTACCAATTATCCTTGCGATCATAGGTTATGTGATGATTGCTACTAATGCTACGAATGCCATGTGACGTTGAATGATATTGTACATCTATGAGTCTCATCAACTTGTGAAGTACTGGATGATAACTTGGTTTATTTTGGAGTGGACGGGAGTTGGATGGAATATAATACCCCTGAGCTAAGCGGCCCATTTCTTCTTGCAAGGATCTAGTAGCAGCTATACATGTTACGCATCAAGAAACTATCTCGATGTATGGCTATGGAGGTACTGATGAAGTGTATTTTGATACTCAACCATGAACTACCGGCCCAGGTATCTCCTATGCTAATACCTCGGTATCCTTTTCCGCCCTTGGCCTCATAGAAGGGTGTTTCAATGAGTCCGTAACTATTAACGAAATTATCTCGTATGAATATATTTATGATCTTGGATGTGTGTATTGATGCGTGAGCAAATAGAGTCCATCGCGTGGGTACGCAGATTGAAGGGCAAGAATGCTGACGTATTATCTTCCTTTACTTCGTATCTGAGTCCCCAATCAAGTAAGATATAAGCCACTAAGAACAAATACTAACTTTCTTTAGCTAGGTAGCGGGTAGGTATACTCATATTATTTGTGTTTGGATAACTATTTTTTTAGGAATGGAGGGACGTAGATTAGGTACCTAGTAGTCTGGTGAGTGACTTGTCTAAACTGTACGTACATAGTAACCTAGGCACCCTAGATCATAGGTGACCTTGATAGTAACCACCTTCGACTGATAGGTAGGTAGGTTTGTACTTGGTAAAGATTACATGGTTGATCGAGCTCTAACTTCCGCTCTACCATAAGTGAAGCATCCTACGGAAGAAATGGGGGGTTCGAGCCTCGAGGAGTCCGTATCTGCGTTCGCGTAGTACGTATGATATATAGTTGTCGACATCTGGGGATTTCTGATTAGAAACTGGGCGTAGGGGGTTTGTGTTTACGATCGATCATAAAGGATTGTAGGGCATCTAGATTCTACTGCTAGACAGTTAATGAAAGTGTGAATGTTAAGAGTCTATTTACCTAGGAGCACATGGGAGTTCACATGGAACAAAGACGACTTACGTGTACATGTAGCTTCCATAGGTAGTCTCCGGGAGATGTTAGAGATCCCCGCGCAACAACAATATTGTTCTGCGTCTTCCAACCTAGGTCCTGCCTCGTGACAGTGAGGATAGTTATAGTGTACGCGTCTATTTGAAGAAGCAATAGAAAGGGGTTTCGTGCTCAACTGTCCGGGTGTGGTAAAGGAAGGAATAGTATTAATCGATTTACTCGCTATTATTGTGTAGATCTAGTCAGAAGTAGCTCGTTCGAAATGATTGCTGTTGTTTTTGAATTCTTTTTCCTTGTGTCACGAGGCGGAACCTAGAGGACACATCTACAATATACCTACCTAGAAGGTATAGATGTAAGCTGTCTATGTTCTATCTAGCCCCCAATATGCACATTGGACCTACAAGCAAGCGCTGAAGAACGTGTATGAGGTACTAATTTCGAAAAATGAAACGTACATGCGTGATAGGATATTCTGGCATTAGCGAGATTGTAGAGTTCTCTACTAGTTCCACCCCCCTGAAGATGAAACGCAAGAGCAATTTCGTAGAAAATCGGTATAAACCAAGGAACGATACCATACCTACCTAGTATAGTCAGACTTTTCCGTATATGTTTTTGATTCACTATACCTGCTAGTCAAGCAGGCCGAGAAGATCCCTCCATTTTAGGATACAGTCAGTCGATGTTCTCAGTCGATATGATCTTCAGCAGTCTACCTACCTAATTTAAGATTCAGGGGGGTCGGGTAATGACTGGAACGTTAACAATCGACAGCATAATCTACGAAACACCATGCCTATCCATTTTACTTGTTGAAAAGAAAAAGGATCCTTGCCATCCCATACTTCATCTTTGTCGTTAAGTAATAACTGAACCCTTTTTAAGCTAAGAACACGTAGGTAGCAATCTGTGGGAAGGATCACAACCTTGGAATCACAGAACCGCCGTCGGACAGAGTCCTAGTCTACCTAGTATAGTTGGGTACTCCGAACAAATGGGACCTTGTGCAATGCATCTACGCTGTTTCGTAGGGCCCAGACAACGCCGATATCTGGCTCGAGGATTCGTGGGCGGTTGTTTCTTGTACAGATAAACGCCGGACGGTTGACATGAACGGCTAGATTCTCTGTGATAACCCCATAAGTGACCTCCAGTCTTCATTACCCCTTGCACATGGTGTCCCGTGGTGGTGTGAGGATGCTCTAGGCTGGCCTGACCCCGACGAGCTAGCATCTTTGTTCTTTGCGAGGTACAGTTTAGTAAACGGCAACAGAGCCATATAATCAGGCCATGGGCACAGCATGTCCGTACAGGGATGGCTTCTGAAAAAAAAAATTTCGAAAAGGGGGGAGGGGAAAAGATTGACCAACCTCGCTACTCACCTACTTAGTACCTAGGTAGTTGTGTTAGGTCATGGTTTTTCTCTGGCGTTTAACTACGTATTAGGCACTATTTAGGAGCCATATACTCTCACAGCGACTCCCCATGTATTGTAATGATGAAAAGGCATTATGATATGCTCTTCGAAGGGACACAGTTCCGGTAGAAATGGTGCTGCCCTATATTTCGCTATGGGTATATACCCAGGGAAAGATAGTTGGTGCGATGTTAGGAGCAATACACACGTATCTGCTAACCTATCTAGTATTTAGTCAGGTAGATACGTAAAGGTAGGTATGCATTTCATAGTGCCAACATATACCAAACCCTTGTTGTTGTTGGTGCTGGTATAACGGCATATTCACGTGTTTCCCCTTGTGTTTTAAAATGATCGACCGGGAAATAGGAGAGGCAACCCAAACTAATAAAACTTGACAACTTACTTACGCATAACTACTCTCTGGTATAGACGGATAACAAGGAACACGGCGTAACATTTTATCTCGATTTACCTAGCAATTGATCCAGGGGCCGGCGCTAAACCTCCCTACTACAACTCTCGGACTCACACCTCTCGAAAAATGAAGACTTTCAGAGAATAGATCCACATTGCCATAATATGTATGCGTATAACAACATGTAAATGAGCCTTCACAGTACCCTAGGTAGGTCAAGATCAGCCGTGGCCACGATGTTTGAGTTAGGCGTGTGTGACCCATTGCGCGCGTAACATAGGCGCCATTAGCGAGTGAAGAGACCATCCTGCAGATAACACATCTGTGGGTAGATAGGGCAGGTCTTCAACCTTAGAAGACACCCGCAGATGCACAATAGTGGCTCAGCTCTTTAGACTGTGAGCTGCGCCTAGTTACAGCGTGTGTACCTACCTAAGGTACCTAGGTATGTAAGTGTTCTGGCCCTTCTGGAATCTAGAATGATGACTACATCAATTCTAGTCAAGTACATGTGTACAGGTGTATTGTATTGATATTAAAATCTGACACAACATTGCACCCGGCCAAGCCTTTACATTAGATAAGGTTATTGACCGGTCTGAGATGCGAGTGCCATAAATAAGCCTACCTAGGTACTACTAGTAGTACACACATCCATGAATGTCTCCAGCGCTGTCTGTATGAACTCCATAATAGCTCATCTACATAATGTTCTCATGGACATTGGAAAACACTTCCGGACAATAAGTCCAACGGGGATGATCTCAGTACCCTGGTGGTGCGAAAGTGAAGAATTTTCGCAGGCAATCAGTAACCCCTTGGCCAGTCTTGGGGGACCCAACACGTGTGAATCATCCAGATGTCGATCTTGCGGCTCTTTTCGGTCAGCATTGAAAATATTAAGTGGTACAAGAGGACGGTGGGTGCCTCGAAATGTAAGTCCATGTATCCGAAAGCCAAGTGAGTGATTGCGTTACAATACCATTTATCGTCATTTATCGTCTTATTTGCACACGACCCCGGCATTTACAGAGACCAAAAGAGGTGGGAGAAGAAGAAAAAAAGGAAAAGAAAGAAGTAAAGTTGGTTCGTGATTGGATCTTGTCCACTAAGGCAACCGTGGAGGTCAATTATCCATGGTCGCCTTACATAAAGTACATGTAGGTATAATGCTTACATAGTAGGTACCCAGTATATATACAGTAATAGTGTACTAGGTAATATGGCATAAGTACATAACTATGTACAAATTCACATAGTTATGTAGTTGTGAACGATAGTTATTCGGTGACGCACGGCTCACATGATGATCCATGGCTACTTTAGGCATTGTGGCATCTGTCCGGTCGCATACATAGCCCCCACGTCCCAGGAGGTCGCCGTCTACTACTACTAGTTAGTAGTAACTACCTATGTATTGTATTGTACATATTAGATAACTACATAGTACCTAGGTATTTACCTAAGGTATGTGCTTTGAAATATCCTTGTCCTTTCTACACATATCTCATGAGAATCCGATTCTCATCCATACATAGCTACCTAGTACATGTACTACTTACATCAAGGATTCAAGTCAATTTCCAGTTGCTCACTTTCTCGCTTTCTATCCCCGCAATTTCTTCAATGTTCCTTTCATCGTGATGACAATGTAAGGTTAGAGTCAACCTACATGTAGGTACATGCACTTCAGCGGCTGCTACCGAAATCCACACGGACTCAAAAAGAAATCCCGTCTATGTACCGCATGGTCCGACCCGAATGTAATTCCTATCAAGTTTACCGTGCTAGTAGAGCTGTTAGGTGCTGAGGTAGTTCTACTAGATCCCCTATTGGTGAGTCCGGTCATTCTAGCCGCCGGGCACTCGCATTCAGCTTCTCTCTGTTGGTCCAAATCCAGAAAGCCCCTCAACAAGAATATGGTCCCGATAGAAGAGGGAGGGTGGGGGCCGGCCCAGAATGTTGGTCGGAAAAGCAATACAACGGTACATGTACGTACTACGCATTACGTGCTTCGAGTCTTTGGGTACATACGTACATATAGTGTAGGCAGATATGTATTCCGACATTTAAAAATCACGGCCAAGTCTACGATACATGAATCACAGGCCAAACATGCCCGAGAAGACTTGTCCTGGTTCTTACGACTTCAGAGACGGTAGTTAGATTTGGCGGTCAACCACCTTCTATCGCTGCCCCCCCATATTGGTTACATATTAGGGGTTGAGGTAGGATCGCAAATCCCCCCCTCCCCCATACACACTTCATACATGTGTACTAGCTACTTAATATGTATAGTACGTACATATGTAAGTACTCGGGACCACGCCATAAGGCCTACATATGTGATGTATCTTGATGAATTACATAGGTCTGACCCTACCCCCCCTGGCGGCCAACACAGTGGGGTGTGAGAAGAGTTTTAGCAGTACCTATGTAGTCGGGCGAATGTGTGTAGTCACAAAGAGCCAATACCAGGGACCGACGAAAATTTGATCTCTAAACCAAGGATGTTACCGGCGACTGGGCACCCATGGGATACAAACGCAATAAGTACTACATATATTACATAGTGACTTGTTCTGTTTACGCTGACGCGACTTCATCTGTGCACATACATGCTACCTATGTACCTCTAATATGAAAACGTCGTTTATGGCTGAATCAGGTGATTCCGCCTATGTAGGTGTTGTCGACCATTATGCCTGGGTGGACGCCTTACGAGGCGACTTCAAGGTTCGTAGAGTTTCAACTCGATCACCTTTGCAAGGAAGTTTATACACATTCTTAAATGTTAGTTGCTTTTCATCTCTGTCTTTATTATTTTTAGATAAATCCTTGATCAAAATTATAGACCCCGTCAAATGCCACCATTAAAGCCATGTTAAGCCATGGGGTTATGCAGGCGTTTCTCCAACAGGTAGGGCGCGACCCGCTATGAATGGTTCGCATACTCTTCTGTATACAAGACTAGTACTATAGAAGAATAGAGTCTTCGCTTTTCGATCTTTCATAATGTCCTTTTGGGTACCTAATTACCTGGTAGGTATATGTATGTATACTAACAACCAACAATACCTACACCAGTTGATCCCGCACACCCCTCTTGACCAATCCCAGGACTGGATGGCAGGTTGGGCCAGGGGTAAGCATACTGTGTTGATACGTCCCATCTCTACTAGACGCCTGCAGGGGTTGTGCCAAGCAATAAGATGACCGCAGTGCCCTTCAGCCACGCTTCCCCTTACGAGACGGAAGGTTACAATTTTTGCGGCTCTGCGGCTCTGCGTGGAGCTCCCTCCAGAGCTGGAGGGGGGTCAGAAGGATTCCTACTCTCCCCCATGTACAACTTAGAACGCCTAGTAACATAACAGTCTAGTTTATTCTGTCTCAATGGCATCATTTATATCCTTTGAGGCAAGCTGCTTCTTATTTCTTGCTTCGCCTCTTTGTTGCTTGCGAGGCATGTCCTACAACATATGCAACACCAAGCTTCCCTTCACAAGTCCTATCTCATGTCCTAAGTCAAGCTAGGAGCTTGCTTTTCGGTCATCTTCTGACATTCTATTATACATATTATACTATATACCAACTTTTCTCCTCGTGGTCTTTGCCGTCGGGGCTTATTTCCGACAAGGACCCGGTCAAGACCCGAAGTCGAAGGACTGTGCCTCCCATTTATTCTATCAACGACCATCTAGAACATCTTACTTAGACCCTGAGGTGCCTTAATGTGACCATCACCAAACACATCTAGCTCATTAACAATAGGATACCTGAGAAAGATGGAGTATCAACACTATACCTACTCCGAAGCCATGCAACTCCCGGAATACATGGAGACGGATATATCGATGGATGGCTTCATCGATCCTAACCTCAAGCCTTCCGCCCTACACTGGACTCCACAGATTCAACGATACTTGACGGATAACAGCAAGTCTTCAATCTGCATATTTGACACCACCCTTCCAGAAACTGTTGTCCGAAGAGGTGACTACGTGCCGCCGCTTCCTTCCAGTCTTGTTCAACGTCGCGACTCGCCGTCATTCTCTCACACATCATCAACGACCAGCAGCGCATTAAGTCCACCGAGAGAGGGAGACTACTATCAGGCGCACTCGCCTCCTACACCTACTGATACAACCGTGGTGTCCCCATTTTTCCAGATGAGCCCCAACTCCCGTGATCAACTATACCAGCTCACAGGCCTTGCGGACGATTGTGTAAAGCCATTCGACATCAATCCCTTCCAGGAGACGCCTGAAAGCTATTCTGATGATGTAAACCTTAAAGCAGAATTTCCTTCCAGAAGTTACAGCATGACAAGTGACGACAGTATCTCCCACTTAAGCACATGCTGCGGCCTCGGTCTCGGGCAGGTCAATACTGCCCGGCCTATGAGCCCCCAAGGGTTCACACCGGAAGCAAAGGGAGAGGTTCACATGCCAGAGTCGGGTGCACTTTATCCGGAATTTGATACGGAAGATGAAATGACATCTGGCGAGGAAGCTGAACTGTTCGAAATAAAACACGAGGATGACGACGATGAATACAAACCAACTCAGAAGTACATGCAGACAAATTATAATGCAAGCCGCCAGATGAGGACATGCAAACGCCGCAACAGTTCTACATCTCTACCAGAAGTAAAACGACTTAAGACCGAGCTCAACATCCCCACTGCAACGCATAGACAGGCTGCGAAGCCTGTGATACATGGGCCACCAAAGGGCAACTTATCCTGCCCCGAGTGCCCCAAAAAGGTCTTGTTCAAGGACGAGGGCAGCTTGAACAACCACATCAAGAAGCAACACACGCGACCCTTTATCTGCGTTTTCGGATTCGCAGGCTGCAAATCGACCTTTGCCAGTAAGAACGAATGGAAACGACACTGCTCCTCCCAACATCTGGTCCTAAACTACTGGGTCTGCCTACAAGACCAATGCTCAAGATCGTCGAGCAAACCAACAACGATTGGCCGCAACCGGCCCAATGCCTCCCCCTCCTCCTGCTCCCACGGCGTCCGTTCGCCAAACGGGACCATATTCAACCGCAAGGACCTCTACACCCAGCACCTCCGCCGCATGCACATCCCCGCCGGCCTCAAGAAGCAGGTTAAGCAAAGGAAACCCGCGCCCGAGTGGGAGGCGCAGGAGCGAAAACACCAGGACGAGGCGAAGCGGACGCGGTGCGACCTGCCGACTTACATGCGGTGCCCGGCGGCCAACTGCAACGCCCGCTTCGACGGCTCCAACGCCTGGGACGAGCGGATGGAGCACGTCGCGAAGCACCTGGAGAAGGCCGTCACTGGCTCCGAGCCCCCAATCGAGTTTGGCGGGGCGCATGACGAGACGTTGATGGAGTGGGCGACCAGGCCCGAGATCGCGATCGTTGAGAGGGGCGAAAGGGGGAAGTGGAGATTACGCAACCCCCTGAAGACTAACGGAGGTCTTATCGTGGGGGCGGTGGCAGATCACAATGGAGATGAGGATGCCGAGGGCGAGGAAGTTGAGGAATGATTGTCTCCAATTAAAAAAAAAAGCCAGACCATCCTGTGGCTTGCTTGTCACACCTACCTAGGTATAGCAGCTCGGTCTGACACACATCCATGTATAATGAATCTCGTTGGTATACAAACTTAGGGAGGGGCCGTTTTTGGATACCCTCGGTTTGGAATGAATATGGTAAAATATCTACCTATACGATTAACACGAATGAAATCAAGGACTATGTAGACATTGAATGATACCAATATGCGCCTTCACTGGATATACACTTCCACTTCCTCAAGCAAGATGCCTAATAATCATGACTGACATCCTAGTATTTTCACCCCTTGTATCAGACTACCGAAGTAGTAGCTAGAGACATTCATGAGGCAGACTCCTGAGCCCTGTATCTGTAAGGTCACATAGCTGGAGGCCGACCGAAGAAGTGGCAACTACCAGGCAACTACCAGGCACCTACCGCCTACCTAGTCTAGCACACATAGGTAAACAAAATGGACAACTGCACTTTGTTCAAATTCCACATCTGGCTGATATGGTACCAGGTACCCACTGCCGAGTGTCAGCAAATTCGGAGCCGAGATCCGTGTTACATGTAGGTAGGTGCTTGATGAAAGGGTAGCATTTCCAATCTATCTGGATTAACCAGTGTAATACCCGTCTTACTTGCATCGGTATCTGCCCAGTAAGTTTAGATATATTTACATAGTAGCGTGATAAAGAACATTAGGTAGAGCAAGGACTCCGGTGATGGTTATCTGATACACATGCTTTGTATTGCACATACATACATACATACATACATACATACATACATAACGCTGGATTACTTGCATACCCATCGAGGCACCTACATAAACATGGATAGGTATCTACTAGGTTAGGTAGGTATGGATATACATATGGAGGAGAAACACTGCACATAAGATGACATCAATTAGCTCAATGTTAAACATTAAAGTACTACTCAGAATCGATAAAAATATCGATTGTCTTAGTCTGTCTGCCCTATGTATCCCTATTTCTGGGTTCACCTTTGTAATTTCCATATGCTACATATATGTATACCTTACCAGGCTTACCTTGGACTTACACTAGTTCCCGCGACTAGCGCTGGGGATACTAGGTACTAGTATGTAGTATGTAATACCTAGTAATACCCTACCGGTATCACTGCTGGCAAGGGCAACCCGCCAACCTCCATGCCTACATGTAGACCCCACCACCATTATGGAAGTTGGTGCCTTGGCCATGACACTAGCACGTGTACTTTATATCATAGAGCCCATTGTAATGTGTACCCCGTATACCCCGTATGCCCCCCCCTAGTCCAGTAGACTGTGTTGTACAAACACTCAGCCGCAACCTTTTCGGCTCTTTTTCTTTCAAATGCTTTCTTCTCCAGCACTGTGGTTGTACATTACTCACAGTCCTGTACGACACGTACGTACGTCAATACATCCATTACCACAGAACTCGCCTTCGGCCCGTTTTCTCAATTCTATATATAACTACTTTGGGGGCGTACTAACGTAACGGCATCGAACCTGACATATCCTTTTTGAGACTCGTCACCCTTCTGGAGATCACATCGCAGGAGCCGGAGTAGGCCCACCGACCCCCGGGAGTGGGATGGCTGACTCAGAACGAGACCTTATCGGTGAGGACTGGGGATCTTCGCTTGTTAAAGAAGAGGCAGTTTTGTCTGTATCAACTAGTAGCAGCAACCCCCCAGTCCAAGAGGCCATAGACCCCGGTAGTCTCCATAACCATGGGGAAGCTCTCGGTGACTCAGCAGCCATTGACGTACCCACTATATCCAACAATGACACCTTATCAAGAGAAGTCAACCTATCGACAATAAAAAACGATGATCAAGTTTCAGACCAAGGCAAGATTCCGGTGAAAGTCAGTGAGAAACTCGCTATCGGAGTGTGTTCCGGTGCATCAGTCACTTCCACTCATGGAGGCATTCCTCCAGGATGTCATGCTACAGATGTCTCATGCATATCCGAGGGTCTAAAGAACATGGAATTTCCTATACCGACAGGCATGGACTGCAAGGGCAAGAAGGAGACCGAGTCTGGAGACGATGTTCACCCGGATAGCAGACCGACTCCTCCCGAGCTAAATCGCAAAAGTTCATCAGAGTCTGCGCCAACTAGCAAGCAAAAGCAGAAGCAGAAACAAAAAGCCGAACCACAAGGAGATTCAGAGGCGCATATTCCCCACTCTTCGCCAACTATAAGTGGTCCGAGCAATAGCGAATCTCCCGGCACCGAAGCCCCGGCCTTTCGACCGCTCGTTTACGGAGAGCCCGGCTGGGAAAAATCAGCAGACAGGCCGCCGCAGAAGTTGCCGATCCGATTTAAAGATGCCGTGGGCCGACAATTTGTCTTTCCCTGGGAGAAGGTCAAAACTTGGCCGGTGAGTTAGAATTCTTTCCCCCTTTTTACAATTTCTTTTTTTATCCATGGATATATAGTACCCTTCTCCTACCTGTAACCATAGTATTCACAAGCATTCATTTGCCATGGCTGATCTAATTCCAGGGCATGGAACGTCTCATTCGAAGTTCCTTTGCTCATGTGGATGGGCTCGAAGCTCACGTGAACGCGGGACACTACGATCTCCTCGCATGCATTCCCCAGCCCACGGGCCTCGGGTCCGGGATGGCACCTCCAGGAGGATCCATACAGCCCTCATCATCCATGCCAACGCCGGCAGAAACCGACTCATCTCCTGGGATCACGACGCCTGATCTCCTGCTTCCGGCGGGCGCATTTCCGTTCCTTCCTTCGCGGGACTCCGCTGTGATTATCCTTCCCGAATTATGGGAGGATCTGATCGAGCCAGGAGCAGCTGTGTTGATGGCAATGTGGCCAATGGAGCTTCCACCGCCCCCACCACCACCGCTCCCGCTCCCACAACATGCTATGCCCCCAAACCCTCCAATGTTGCCGGGGTTTATTGGTCTGGCTGGTACGGGTCATGGCAGAGGCCGCGGTGCTGGAAGAGGTATGGTTCCAGGCATGCCGCCTCTTCGCCCTCCTGGCTGGATGGTCGAACTCCCAAAGCCAAAAGGAAAGACACGAAAACGACAGTATGGTCAATGAAATAACTAGGGTTAGGTTTAGAGATTTTACCGGTTACTTGGCCATATTGAATGGGCAAGCTGTAAGGTAGTAAACACGGGTATAGGTTCGGAAGATTGGAGCAATCTTAGGGGGGGCGGCATATGTCTTTCTGAGGGTCGCCATTGCATGTAATAGTACATCATTCATCATCGGTCATTCATCATTTCCTGGAGTTATCAAAATCCGAGGGGATCCGGGAGGTTATGTAGGTAGTATAGGTATGCACATTGCCTACCTATCTACCTACCTAATACATACAGCGACATAACTATCCATAACGGATATTTCTAAAAAATATTAGCGAGCTCTCGGATAGGGATGATCTTGGTTCGATAAACCTCGGATTTCTAGTGGGTTTGACAGGGCTTAGTTCATACAACGGTAACGTTATCAGGTCAGGTTTAGTGGATACCTACCTAGCCTACCCTAGAACCCCGCGCCGCGCCGCCCCTGCGTTATTGTCAGCTCACTGAGCTTCAGGCTATCTCGCTATCTTGCTATACGAGATTGATTGATTCTCTTTCACCTTCCCTCTCACATACATACATATATACATAACAACATTGTTTGCTTGTTTTCTATTTCTTGTGATACACAACTCGCATTAAAGCAATATATACATATATATACCAACAATCAATACGTACTCTTTTCAATTTATTCAAAGAAATTACTTCATTCTCTTATAAGGTACCTACCTACCTAGTTAGTACCTACCCCTCACCTACGGAAGGTTCCTTCAATCAGATTGCCATACGTCACGTCACATCACAGCTCCCCAAAGCTCGGGAACAATCCCGATCTACACACCTACATTCAACTTTAAAAAAACAAGCAGCTTGTCCAGCTTGTCTTCAAACTCTATCTACTCTAGTTATATATTTCTATCTACTTAAACTGCTGCACTACTTTAGCTGCATATCTATCTACTGGGCACATTTTTTGTATATACAGTTCAAGATGGAGTCCTTTACGAAACTCAAGCGTCGCGGCACCGACCTATTCAGTTCTCTGCCGCAAGGCATGCCCTCAATGCCCTCGATGCCTTCGATGCCTTCGATGCCTCATCTTCCTCACTTACAGCGCAACACCGGTCGTCCCACAATGAAGGGTACTTGGCAACATGTCGCTATCCCGCCGCTTCCGCGCTCCTCGCATTCACTCGACATTGTTGCCGGCAATGCCTATATATTTGGTGGCGAGATCGAAGCCCGTAAACCTACTGACAACGACATGCATGTCATCGCGCTACCTTCCTCCGGCGCTCCAGCCGACTACTACGCCGTGAAGGCCCGGCCACCTCAACAGCAGCACCGGCCAACTGAGGAAGCCCCAACGCCTATTACGGAGGAGGACGAAACCGAGGCCGAGCTCAAAGATCCCTTGACTGAAGTCCCGCTGAGCTCTCCAAACCCAACCGGCACCTCCCAATTCCCTAGCGAGCCTTCATCTGCTACGCTCGATAAAGGGAAGTCTAAGGCTGTCGGTGACGAGGTTCCGTGTGCGCGTGTCGGCCACGCAACGGCCGTTATCGGATCGCGAATCTTCCTATTTGGTGGCCGTAGCGTCGAGTCTGCATCCGAGCCGCTCAACGAGCATGGCCGCGTCTGGGTTTTCGAGACCAAAACACATACGTGGTCAGCCCTGGACCCATACAACCCGCGTAACGACGATGACGCTGTGCCACCCCCGCGCAGCTACTTTGCCGCCACCGCTACCGACAAGCCGCGAGACTTTGCCATCAAGCCCCTGCGCCGCGCCTCTAGCTGGAAGCAGTGGGCCGAGGGTGATTCAGCCGAGGTTGGAATCCCGCAGCGCCCCATTGCCGGGAGCGTCGCTGAACACGCAACCGATGAGGAAGATGCCGGATTCGGCACGTTTATTATTCACGGCGGATGCACGGCGGATGGCGGACGCACAAACGACGTCTGGGCTTTCGACGTACGCAGCCGCACCTGGAAGGTTCTTCCTTCAGCCCCAGGGCCAGCGCGAGGCGGTGCGGCATTGACGCTAGCTAAGGGTAGGCTGTACCGCTTTGGCGGGTACGACGGCCAGGCGGAACTAGGAGGCCAACTCGACGTTCTGGAGCTTGTGCTTGACGAGTTCGACGACCGCGTTAGCAAGGGCGAGATCGGCGTGTTTGCCCGCGGGCAGTGGCAGTCCTTGGTCCAGCCCGGGTCTATCATCGTGACAGACAGCGATGAGAAATCTAAGCTCGCACAACCCGCGGCCGAGGAGTGGCCCGGACACCGCAGCGTAAGCAGCCTTGAGCTTGTGCTTAGCGGCGGTGGGCGGGAGTACCTGGTTCTGATGCTCGGCGAGCAGAGCCCGAGCGCCGAGGGCCACGCCGGCGCAGGCCAGTTCTGGGGCGACGTCTGGGCCTTCCAGATCCCGCCCATCGGCATGACGGCCGCCAGCTTCTCGGACGCCGTCATGCACGCCGTCGGCCGGAAGACAGGCGAGGGCAAGTGGACCCGCGTAACCGTCGGCCCCTACGACGACGAGGACGAGCTGGATGTCCAGGGCCCGGCCCCGCGGGGCTGGCTCGCAAGCGCGCCCCTCGGCGATCTGGAAGAAAATGCCATCTTAATCTTCGGCGGCCTGGGCGAGAACAACCGGCGGCTAGGCGACGGTTGGATCTTCAGGCTGGAGTAGGGGTGTGCCGTTTATATATCATAAGATGCCTGCCTACCTGCTTATCTGCACAAGCACCTCAGTTCCCACATATGTACCTACCTACCTACCTACCTACTTAACTTGAGGTATTTCGAGGGGTGGGGGTAAGGGGTAAGGGAGTTCCAACCCCCCCCCCCCCCCCCCCCCAAAAAAAAGGGTCGAGGAGCTAACTAACTCCCTCTCCTTTTTTTTCTATTTTCATCTTTACCTAGGCTTTTTTTCTTTCTTGTTCTCTTGGGTATTTCAAATTTTTGCTAAATTGGCCGTCGGATGAGAGAGAGAGAGAGAGAGAGAGGAGGGAAGCATTGAATGTATGTAGTTTGATGATGATGAAACGAAATAAGGAATGAGAAATAAGAAAAAGGGGAAGGGGGGGAAACCCAAAAAAAAAAACCTACCTAAATGTCGTTTTGAGATTTACGATCTGGATTAGATAGGTACTACTACGATATATAGGGTACCTACGTTAGCGAATCAATCAACCGATATATCCAATACGCATATAAGTGCCCAGCAGACAGGCACTAATATCAGCATCTTGGTCCGTCAAGTAAGAAAAAAAGGTATATAAAAGAAGACAAGAATCTGGAACTGTGGAAATGGTTTTTGGGTTTGCTTGTTTTCCGTGAATCAATGCAGGTGTTTGCTAAGGTAGTATGTACAGAGAGGCTATAACTACTACGTTGGCCCAATGCTCTACGAAGTCATCCATTCCTCGTTACTCGCCCCTCATCATCTACAAGTCCTTTCTCGTAGTCTCGATGCCCCACGGCTCGCTCGTCAGATTCGTCTGGCCGGCGCTGTTCTCGCAAGTCTGGCGGCCGCTCAGAGGACCTGGGGCGGGCACTTTGACGCTGGAGCTGGATGAGGTGGCGCTCTCTTTCAGCGCTGTGAGGAGTTGCTTGGTGGTTTCGGGTGTGAGGTCCTCGTAGTAGTCGTCGTTGATCTGGATCATGGGGGCGTTGACGCAAGCGCCCAGGCACTCGACCTCGATGAATGTGAACAGTCCATCGCTTGTCGTCTCGCCTTGCTTGATCCCTAGGTGCTCCTTGATCGCCTTGACGATGGAGTCACTGCCGCAGCCGCCGAGTTGGCAGGGTGTCTGTTCCGATATCATATTAGTTTGCGACATATCAATTCTTCATGCCGCATTGCGCAAATGACAAACTCCGCTAGGCATCTTGCCTACGCGCGACATAATCCCCCTTTCTAACTCTTCAGCTTCTAACTATTTAGCCGCTTATATGATGCGATATACTCTATACTCTATGTAAAGCATCCCCAAGTCATATGCGTAGAAATGTTTGCGACGAAAAGATGCAAGGAGTAAGGAAGTCAACACAAACTTACCGTGGTGCAAGCTTGGACGTGAAATTTGCCGACGGGTGTCCGGTTGTACATGGTGTAGAAGGAGGCGACTTCGTAAACTCGAGTAGGAGGCATCTCGAGGAGTCGCGCCACCTCGTTCATGACGGATATGGACGTGAAGCCGTGCTGGCGCTGTCCAAGGTCCAGCAGTGGCATGACAGCTGCCTTCTTATATTGTGGCGGGTATCGTTTCAGGATCTCGGCAATAACCTCTTCATTTTGGGCAGAAAACTTGAAAGGTAGGTCGGGGTTGTTGTCGGGCGAATTTCGGTGCTGTTGTCGCAAGACAGATCTAGGTTAGCAACAGCTCTGCTAGCAATTGCAGGTAACTCTTTTCACAGTAGCAACGCCTGCAAGGCTCGTGTAGGATGTAGCTGGTCGTAGAGTAGCTTCGTGTAGAATGTAGAAGGCATACATACTACTGCAAGAGTCTCACTCCTCCTCGAGCTACCGGATGTGAATGTTCGGAACTGTGATCGGGATGCCCGGTATGCTGGGCGAAATGACGTTCTGAAGAGAACGGGGGCGATCTTGGACGCCATGGTGGGATGTGATGTTGGTTGTAGAGTCAATTGAAGAAGGATAGGAATAACAGAGCTTCGGCAAGTCGGGCTATAGTATGGGATCGTATGGACCGATATGATCGATATGGTCGATTTGGTCGATTTGGTCGATATGAGAGGTTTCAATGATTTCAATTGACTGAAGATCAACTTTAGATCAACCTTCTAATCCAATCAGATTCATCGTGTTGGTCAAAAATAAACCCACCCGGCTAATCCCCGGTCTTCCATGTCCCCACTATCATGCACTATCTAACATTTCCTAACATTTCCTCACATTTCCTCACATTTCCTCACATTTCCTAACATTTATACAAGTTTGTACAAGTTGACTTCTAATCTTACTACATTGACCTTCATAGTAGTAGGTACCCTTGGTAGGCTAAAACTTGAATGGAGATCAATCAGGTTCCTATTTCTTCGATGATGCAATATCTAGATATATGTCACATTGAAAGTAGCAAGCGGATCACGTTGATTGTGCTTGATTGATCCTGGTTATCTACGTTGATGCGCAAGCCAGGTACTAAGATTTCAACAAGACTATTCTGCCGTCACCAGATGACAAGATACCTAATCCATAGACAAAACCAGACGAATGAAATTCCCTTCTCTCATTACTCAGCGGTTCCAACATCCTTCTTCTCCTCAGCAGTGTCGCCATTAGAAGTCTTGGCTTCCTTGGCGGGCTCTTCTGCTGGCTTTTCGTCAGCAGGCTCCTTTGCGACATCTCCCTCGCTGGCAGCAACCAGCTTCTTGACAGCCTCGACCGTGCCAGCTGGGCTGCCAGGCTCAGCAAGAAGGACCTTTCCAGCCTTGTCAACGACAAAGACACCTCGAGTGGTACCCTTGGGTGCTTTCTTGAGACCAATAGCCTCAATAAGGGTAGCGCTGGGGTCGCATAGCAGCGGGTAAGGTAGGTTCTGCTTGGTCTTGAAGGTGGTGTTGGCCTTGGGCGAATCAGTCGAAAGGCCATAGATAGCGAGACCATCCTTAGTAAAGGGCTCGTAGGAGTCTCTGAAGAGACAGGCTTGGTTGGTACCTATGTGCCAGGTTAGACATGGCTATCGCCAAACATAACATGCGCATTGTGTGACCATCGCACTTGGTTGTACTTACAGCCAGGGGTTGAGGCCTTGGGGTATGTGAAGAGCACAACTCCGGACTTGCTCTCATCTACTAAGGCTTTCAAAGTAGTCTTGTTGCCGTCATTAGTCTCGATCTCACCGCCAAAGCCGTCGAGGGTGATAGTGTCACCGACGACGGGCTTCGCGGGCTTCGCGGGCTTGGATGAGCCATTGGCAGTGGCAGACTTTGCAGGTTTGGCCTTGACAGTCTCCTTCACCTTAGTAGCTGCCTTGGATACTTTGGATTGCTTCTTGGCCGGAGGCTCTGGGGCCGGCGCAGGAGCTTTGCGCTTGCGGAGCTCGACAGGCATGACGGTGCAAAAGAGAGGTGAATAGTGTGGTATATGTGGCAGAAAATTGAATATTTAATTTCTAATAGCAGTCGCTGGATGATTGCGACCACGAAGGAGAGGTTTTGGAGAGATTTTGGGTAAAGGTTGATGGAGTGCTGATGAGGGCGAGAACGAGAGGTAGTGAGGTTGAGGTCGACGAGGTTGCAGGTAAACAGGAGGTTGCGACGAGGTCCGACCAATCAAGTGGCGTCATTGCGACAGCTTTCTTGCCAGCGACAGGGGGGGCAAAGATAGTTGTGTCACAGGGATATCTTTGATGCCGATAATTTAAAATCCATTGCTAATTTCTAATTTCTACATATGAGGCTAACGTGATCGAGCCAATTCCTGTAAAGCTCCAGCACAGGTCAAGACGGGTTGTGTCGGGGGGATGGGATGTGTGGAGGTAGGTGTAGACACACTGACACAGACGTTTACTGGTAGTCTGGTACCGTACAGCAGACTGCAAGTTTGAATGGGGGGGGAGAATGGGGGAGGTGATGGGCGTACCATTTGTTTTTTTTAGCGGCTTAATCCCATACCTAGAGGCTAGAACTACCCAGCCAGAGCTACCCAACTTTTTTCAACGACAAGGGGCACAAGGGGTAGATGGGGAATTAACAGCAGCCGTTGCTGGTTGGTCAAAAATCACACGATATCCGCACAGACCTGACAAGTTTCGCTTTACAACCTCCATCAAGCTTTCCGCGACTTTCCACACCACATCATTTGTTCAGTACCTCAGGATGTTTTTATATTTTTTGCTTTTGCTTTTTCTTCTCTACATATTTGAGTAGGCTACTTGAGTAGGTAGAAGTATAAGCACTCATACTATGCCATACAGTATCCATCATTACGGAATATGCAATGCCTGAGTATTGCATTCTACTACCTGGTATTAATCTGCGAAAGACGTTTATTAGTTTGGTGCTCAGGTATTATGTACTAGGTACAGGTACTACTAGTACCTATGTAGTAGTAGTAACTACCTACACGCGGCAATCAGGGTATGCACCTATGCAAAGCACCATCAAACTCAAACTTGGACACCCCTTCATCCTATTGTATCCCCCTTCCTCCCACTTTGCTTTTTACTTTTTCTTTTTCTTTTTCGTTTTCTTTGCCAATATCAGCTCATACGCCTCCAAGGCTTTCTTCAACTGACACTTCTTCAAGAATTCAATGACAATAACATCATTATTGAATCTATAAAATTATTCAGTTATGTGAATATACCCCAGTTATTGAAAATGATGATGGTCATCAAAGAAACCCCATGTTTCTAGCTTCATCCAGAAAGATTTCAAGGCTTTCCGTTTTGTCCGCCTCAGTACTGACCCCCTCCATGCATGTACTCAACTGGGCAGATACATAATTATATCTGTTACCTGAAAACCCGGTGTCAATCCAAGAAGTTCCGAGAGGGGTGAATGACGAATTTCTACAGACATTCCTTGGATTCAGAACTTCCCATTTCGCACAAGTTCAATGTTGTTTTGTAGTGTCCCGTACATATACATACAAATCAATACTTACTTAATCCATCACAATGACTCATCAGACATTCAGAATGGGAATTATCGTGCCCTTTTATAGCTCATTATTCCATCTGAGAATGTATTCGTCCGATTACACAATCACGAATAACTTCCAATGGATTGAATTTGCTCGAATCACGGCATGGTTATGATAAGCAATTTTCAGGGGTCATCAAATACATGCCCAAGTACATATGCCATCAGCACAGCGACATAGCACTAGATCCATGGATGTCTATTAGATGTGCTCGAATGAAGATATTCAATCAGCAAATCAGGGGTAGATAGATTAGTTGATTGATTGATATCTGCCGACCAAGTAAGTATCCCAGGTATTTACGCCCGGTTAAGATGTCGGGAGACCAAGTTGCAGATTAAAGTACTGAAGCATGCTACTATGATATTCTCCCTCTCTACTTTATCATGAGCTGCATCTTTACCACTGTATCACGTAATGAGAGCCCTATCACGATGTTTAGTTGCAACCCATCAGTCATCAGCTACCCTATTCTTGAGAATGCTGTAGTCCTATCACTTTCTACGCAACTGGTTACTAACCATAGCCATGAGGTCACGCCTAATAACTACCCCAATGACGGCGGCCTAGTCGCGAAGGAACTCAGCTTCTGCAATATCACCGTATCCTACACTCGTCAACAAGATGATCATGTGAGCGTAGAAACGTGGCTACCGCCGCTCGAGCACTGGAACGGCCGTCTCCAAGCGGCGGGCGGCAGTAGTAGGCTCGGTCCGGGCCGGTTCAACACGAGTTACGGCAATATGGCCGGGGCCATTGCTGAAGGCTATGCTACTGCTAGCACAGACTCTGGAATTAGCAACCCCCTAGGTTAGATCCATATTCGTGGGTGCTAAACAGCCCTGGAAATCTTAATGAAGTCTTGGTTCGACATTGGGGTGGTGACATATCGAATGACATGGTATTCCTCACCAATTTTTTTACTTGAAAAGTTAAGGCCTGATTTCATGCCTACCTAGGCAGTAATCGCGAAGAGCGTCATACGGGATTTCTACGGGCGACCACCAGCATACTCCTATTTCAGCGGCTGCTCCCAAGGTGGCCGGCAGGGGTTCGAGCTCACCCAGAAGCATCCCACCGCGTACGATGGCATCGCGGCGTCCGCTCCAGCAACCCACTGGGCGCAATGGGATGGGCGCCCGCCATGTTTTGGCCATAGACGCTTATGAATACCATGCGCGAGTATCCGCGTGGCTGCGAGCTGGATCTGCTTACAGCCCTTGCAGTGGAGGAGTGCGACGGACACGATGGTGCAGTTGACGGCATTATACCGAACCCCAAATCCTGCACCTTCGATCCCTTTGCGTATATCGGAACCAACTTCACCTGTCTTCCCGAGCGTCGATCCATGAAACCGAGCAGGGTCGCAGCCGTTATCGCAAATGCCACTTGGGCCGGCCCAAGCGACTCCCGCGGCAACTTCATCTGGCACGGACCGAACCACGGCGCAGACCTCAGCCGCGATCTCACGGGCACGGGCATCGCGTCCGCAACAAACACGTGCGATGATGGCGGTGCGTGCAAGGGCGTTCCAATAACTACCCCTTGCGTGCCAATGGATTCAGCTATTTGTCGAAAAGGACCCAGAGTACGATTACACCTCCATCACGCGGGAGGACCTACATATGACGAGATCATGCGCAGGTCGGGAGCGGAATACGATTCGATAGTTTCAAGCAGCAACCCGAACCTCACGGAATTCCATAGGGCTGGCGGCCAGATGATGACTTGTCATGGGCTGGTACGTGGCTCGGCCTTCCCCCCCCTTTGTCTTAGTGTTCAATACTAGAAGGTAGCATACCTAAGCTCACTATTCCACTTAATCTACGTAGTACAATCAAGTCGTACCGATCCAAGTCACCGAGATGTATTATGACGACATCAGTAAGTTCGTGCCTGACGTTCAAGATTTCTATCGCTTCTACGAAGTACCTGGGCTTCCGCACTGCTTCGGTAACGGGCAGCTAACGACGGTTTTCGATGCTTTGAGGGCGTGGGTGGAAAATGGGGCAGTGCTTGGCTCTTTGCCCACGGTCCTGTTTGATGCCTATGGAAGAAGGAATGATAGGATTATGTGCCCTTTTCCTGAGAGTGTTGTGTATGTCAAAGAATATAGAGACCCGACGGATGCTACTTGCTTTACTTGTACAGCTGGCGGGTAATGATTTAGGCAGTAATTGGCTGGGTTTTTATGGACGCGAGCTCGACTTGTAGGAACATGTTCATTTTAAGTACCATCGTATTGATTATATTGAGAAACTATCAACTAAGCTGCGGGAGGTGTGGTTTGTCTCCACGAACTTTTCAAGCTCTCGAATGAGTGTAGTGGTAAAAATAGCTCAAAATAATAGTAGCTATCTCCTTAACAACTGAGAAAGGCTACTGAGTTCGCAATACCCAAAACCCTTAGATTTAACGAGACAAATTTAGGTAACAATTTCCTTCATCAATATTCAAGCCGTCCGTATTCACGTTGTCTTCCCTCCGCCGTTACTATTTGTCCCTGCAACAATATTATGTAGATTACGGCAGGGGGGCATCACGACAATCATACCTAGACCGTGATCAGTCACGATCATTTCCTTCGCCAACCTAGCCAGACGTCAGAAGATATTAAAAACATAGCAGAGTCGGTATGGATTAGGAACTCACCCGAATAGCACCATCAGGGGTTAGGCCATGTGACCAGAATCCGTCGATAGATGGCGAAGCTCGAGTCATGGAATCATGAGTAAGCAGTAGCCAAAATCCAAAGAATCCTTTAGCTAGAACGTCCAAGATAGCATAAGCGATGATCTCGGAATCAACATTGACGCGGTGAGCGCCATCGGCGACACCCCATACACTACATATCCCACGTTAGCGAAATATTTACCTACGAGATACGGCGAGTGATTGCTCACATAGGATACGCAGTCCACAGGAGGAACATGTAGAGGGAAATGGACCCGAAGAAGGCCCTCGTCTTGTTATCCCTAGTAGATATCGCCTGACGTCCCTTGAAACCAACCTGGTAAACGATATTAATGTAGGCGATACACGCGAAGGCATACCATCCCCATCCCTGCGTCTCGTTGCCAGATAGAGCCGCGAAGAGGCCTGTCAGGATCATAATCACGTCCGATACGACGGCTACTAGAATGCTTGCCCCGTCGATGCCGGCGAAGAGGCAGAGGTCCAATAGAAGGAGGGGTGTGGTGAGTGTCCACTATGAGTGCTTTTAGCTCATACCTAGGTAGGTAGTTGAGGGCTTGAATGACTTCCGAGTACTCACGTCAACATATCGTGCCCAATAGACGTCACGCTCGGTGATTTCCGTGACGGCTCCATGCTTTGATCTTCCAGACACATAGGGGTGCGAGGTTATGCCATCCCCGGTGGCCATGGCGTAATACGATAGGAAAGCGAAGGTGGTGACTAAAGCCGTTATTATGTGGAAAAGGCGTTTTTGCTGCAGGTATCTTAGCACGCTGCTCCTCTCAAGAAGATACGCCTCAAAGGATATTCATTTTTTTATACCACAGGGACTCTCATGGCCATTGCGTAGAATGCCAACGACGACAAGCCCATGAGAACGCAGACAACCCTAGTTAGATGTATTGTATAAGCGTCTGTACAAGGAGTCTAGGTTTTTTATGCCTAGAGTGCCTACCATAAAGTGCTATGTCCTACTTCACTCGATGTTTGGTGGTATATTCGAGGTAGATCTGGGATCACTGTAGGCAGCGCTGTATGGCTGGTCCTTGGGGTAGGTAAAACGGAAGCCACTTTGGTGGCAACCTCGGTGAAATCTTGCGGAATAATCATCTTGGTTTCTTAATACTCAGGGGCATCAACTTAAAAGGGGTTGAGGTAGATAGGTATGTTTTGACGATATACAGATATCAAAATATCACATCAATATTCTCAGACCAAGTAGACAATGAGAAGATAGAACACAGAAGGGATGTAAAATATTCATCCAGACAAAGTCTGTCCCGGTAGGTATTTAACACTCATGATTAAAGTATAAACTCTGAAGGAATGGTGTCGTCACTCTTGACGAGTAGTGTAATGACACAGCCAATCGGATTCTCAGGGAGTATTCTATTTAGGTATTTAGCTACGCTCTGTCTTATACTTCGCCGCGAACCTTTTATTTTATCATGTAGATGGTTCTGATCATGAGGCAAACGGTAAATGCTTGGATGTAGGTTGGGTAGGTAGGTAGGTAGGTAACTGCCTGATATAGCGAGGCAAGAGTATCAAATGTTTTGGTTCCCTTGAGTTCTATGAGTTCTATTATTTGCTAATAAAGCAAATGGGTGCCTACGTATATGAAATGTAAGGACATCAGAACCTAGCTGTAATTTGAGAGTAACCTGTGAGAGTAAGGTGAATTGGAGATTTGATATGTAAATACCTACAATGTATATGTAAATACCTACAATGTATTCCTAGAGGATGGAAGTTTGAAACTTTCAATGTTGATGTGCACGTAAGAGATGTACATATGTACCTAGGTATGTATCAATGATCTTTATGCACGTGCAACTTAGATGCGGGTGCACTAAGATACATCAAGATCAATCTCCTAACCTAGGTATGTACATGTAGGGACATCGGACATAGCTGGGCCTAGGGCCGTTAATTCTTGCCCCGCAGAGCCGCGTTAGATGGGAACTAGCCTAAGGTAGGTACCTACTATGTACCTAACCTATTACAAGAATCATTATCTCCAGGCTGTTTCCACTTTCAGATCGTTCCTGCCCCGCCACAAGGCAAACAGCTTCCCCCGGAGAAGCTTCAAGCCTGAGGTTTCCACCCCATATGACGCCGACTGCCCATTTACCTTTTACCCTTATCATTTACAACCCCAGAAAATCGCAAAACCTTACACCATCTTCCACCCAGAAAATAAACCCCACACCAACATCGAGGATAGAGTTATTCAATATCTTCTCGCCGTAAGATTATCTATCTCATTAAGACCACTCTAGTCTCGAGCGCTCGTCGTCATGGACAAACTCGCTTCTACGCTTCTAGCGTTTCCGCCTGAAGCCAATCTTTCCAAAGCCGCAAAAAGCGACAATGTGAGATACGATGTCGAGGTTCGACATCACGTTGGCAAGCTCTCTAAAATCATCAAGGACCATAAAGCCGATTTGATAGCTTTTGGTCCCCAGTTCCTTGAGCTCCTCAACCCGGCCGTGAACTCGCTATCTTACCTCGCCGTTCTTCATACACTTATTCTCCCCAGCATCGCCGCTTCGGTTCCCCACGACATTATTCTAGAGAAGCTGGTCTTATTCCTCATGAAGTATGATGCGCAACAATGTCGCTATGCTAGAAACCACCTTCTAGAGGTATTATTCGTTGTAGGAAATGGCCGATGTCTACCAGTATGTTTTCACACTCTATGTTTTCCCCAGGGCACAAGCTAACTAGAGTCCCCTAGCCTTCTGTTGCGGTTGAGGTGCTCGCGACAGCCATCCTAAGACTAGACCCAACTGGTAGCATGCTCACTTCCTCCCATATCCTACTCGCCAAGCTCGCCTACAATACCAACAATATCGATCCTGCCTTGCAAGTAATCGACAAACAGATTGTCTTCTTTCCTGGCATGGCCAACTACACCGAACCCAGCCTCCTATGCGACCTTACGCTATCCCCTCCAGCCTACATCATGCGAGAAACTGGTCTTACAGGCCCATTGAAATCTTCCTCGGTCATGGAATATGACTTGCTCTGTAGCATGATGTACTGTTCGAAGAGAGACTGGGCAAAGGCGTATGCAGCCTTGGAGAGAGTTGTCGCCTATCCCACTCGTGAGGGAGCTTGTAGCAAGATAATGGTTGAAGCCTATAATAAGTGGGTATTAGTGAGCTTGCTACTCCACGGAAAGCTTGGTGAATCCAAGGCGCATACAGGATCTACGGCATACAAACTCTACGGAAACTTCGGAAAGCCGTATGTGGCCGTCGCGGTGCTATTTACCACTGACGACGCAGATGCATTAAAGGCCGAGGTTGAGAAGAACGCTCAGCAGTGGGACGAGGACGGAAACACAGGACTTATGAAAGAGGTCCTTGCTTCTTATCAGAAATGGCGAATTATAGGCCTCGAACAAATCTACTCGAAGGTCTCACTCACCGAGATTCGCCAACAGACGAAGAGTGCGGAGACGGGTCAGATATTGGAAAGGGAAGAGGAGATCGAAATACTCATACAGGACATGATAATTTCGGGCATGCTTAACGGTGTTATCGAGAAGGATGTCAATGGAACGACATCCCTCACCTTCCTACCAACAACTACCCAATTATCGGAACAAGAATTTGCCAAGGAGCTCGCAGCAATAGCCGCACAGATAAAGCGGCTACACCCAATCTTCAACACGACCAAGGAGCGCTTGGGTGCGAGTAACGAGTACATCAAGCATATGATCAAGGAGGAAAAGAGAAACGACAAGAACGACGCCGACCCGACCCTGGCCTTCGACACGCAAGTAGACGACGAAGATCTGATGGGAGGCGTTGTAGCTACCGGCTGAGGAGGCTCAGAGCCTCTCGCCGCTCGGCTAATTTAGCCTTGAAATACACACCATCAGCTACAAATCCCTACCCTTGGTCTCGATTTCTCTTTAACGAATCTTCCTGCTCGACCCGCTCAGAGAGAATGCCGTAAAGAAAAAGTTCTTGCTACTATACGCATATTCACAAGGGACGTCGTTTCAAGTGGGTGGGCATCCATCTGCATAGAACAGATAGAATGATGATATGCCCCCATTACGATGAGACGACAACAACGACACGAGCAAGCCTTAGGTAGATACCCCGTCTACCACTAGTTTAGGGAGTAACCGGCCCAAGGAAGATAGATACCTAGATAGATACCTAATCACGAGAATTCTGAGAGTTAGCTAGTCTGGATGTCTAGGTAAAGCTGCGGAGGATAATGAATAAAACACATTGATATCCATCTCCCCTTTTTTTTTGGTTTCAGAAATTGCTACCTAAGTACCAAATCTCTCGTGAGCGTGTCATATCGTAACCATTAACTATTGGCACCTTTCCGCGTAGGATACAGCCTCAAGTGTCACACAGCCATCAATCTCTCTAGCCCCTCTGGCCATAGTAAGTCTCTCTCGTGATATTTTTAACTAAAGGTAGGTAGCATGACCGCATTGCATTCGCATGTATGCCACACCGAGACTAAGCATTAAATACTCGAAGCTGCCTCTTCGACTCTCTTCAAGTCGTACCTATGTACTTAGGTGGTAGGTAATACTAAGTTCCGCCTTCCCCCTTAGAGCTTATTCCCCATCCGACATAGGTGCTATCCAGCCGGCCCTCCAAGCTTTATCGCCCATTCCATGCCAATCCGGTATACATATACACCGTTACGCCGCATTTTGAGGATGAGATAAAAGGCTCTGCGATCACGAGCTGATGCTGAATTGCTTGATCAAGTCGGACAGCCTCAGAGCCTCGGCTCGGAAGTCCAACGGGCTAGCATTCTGGACTGAGTAGCGTATTCTGCGTATCGATCATTAGTAATTGTCGCTCGTATGGCTATTGGGTTTTAGGGGTAGAGGGTAGGGAGGGTTAAAAGCAGTCAGGTCGAACATACCGTTGGTTTTCGCCATACGTGTCCATCTTGGCGCGGCACCTAAAGCTCAGCTTCGTGCATTGAGCATTCTGGAACGTGGACTCAACGCGTTCATCGTCGTTCGCCTTCAACTCCATAAGATCGTCAGCCGACATGCCCAGGATGATGCGGCCGACATCGTCGAAGCACGAGAGCCATAGCTGGCCCGTGTGGTCGTTCACATTGATGCTCAAGATGTATCTGTAATTGGGTTTCGGATGCGAGACTTCGCACTTCTCGCATCGCCACGTGCCGTCGGCCTGTTCATTCACCTTCTTATTACAGGTATCATTGCTGCACGCCGGGTATGCGAAGGTCTCCTGCTTGATGTAGACGATGGTTGCTTTCAGGGTGAACCAGTCGACATTTTCCATCCCAAGACCTTCGTCCTTGATTTGGGAGATACACTTGGTCTGGTCGGTACGGCCCGTTGCAGCGCCCAGTGATTCCATGTTGCCACGGTGGGAAGCGAAGTTGTCGGTACGACCTTGCGAGTCATACCAGCCCTTTAAGCGATGAGCCTCTTCAATGTCAGGATCGACAGTCATCGTGCCGGATGAAAGCAGGGAAAGTGATCGCCCATCGAAGTCTGACACCTTGACACCCTTGAATGCAACAATAGACTCTGGCTGGGCGGCGAATGCAGTGGCTGTCTTACCCCATATTGTGACACGGACAGAAAATTGCGTGTTGTCGACAAGTGTCAGTTCACGCTTATCATAGGGTTTGTTGGTAGTCTTCGAAGTAATCTGAGATACGTCACCAACATCCTTCAGCACACCAACCACGTCGATTGTAGCATCCTTTTCTACAGACTGGAGCTCCTGGATAGTGACAAAGTTGAAGCGGACTTGGGGCACACTAGATTGATCCTCTGCCTTCTCAATAGCTGTGTCCCGGTCGAGAGTGAGCTCATAGTCATTGGAAAGGTTGGAGAACTGTTTCTTGGCCAAAGCAACTCGAGCAGGACTGCTAATATAGTAGACTTGGCCCTCTTGTAATAAGTCGTAAAATTGATCACATTGATCATTGAATCCAGTAGCCTTGATCTCGCCACTTTCATCCAGGAGATTGACGGAGAACAGTTTTCCCTCTCCAGATGCCTTATGCCATGTCTTGATGTCGGACTTTTGCGATACTCGTGCTTTGATGGTCCACTTATGTGCATAAGGAGAAAGCGACTCGATTGGACTGACGACATTATTCCCATGGCTGTACGAGGCACCTCCACCTCCGCCTCCACCACCGCCCATACGCGACGACATCGGTTCTGACTTGACTGGTGCCGAAGGCTCAGGCTTGACACCATAGAAATTAGAACCACCAATGGCGGCAGTTGCGGGCTCCTGCGGCTTAGCTTCGAAGGCCTGAGGGTCGCCAATCCGATCGTGAACGCCGAGTTCTGTAGCAACTTGAAGATCGAGAATGATTAAGATGCTGTAGCTTGTTAATCCCCGCCCTCCAGAGATTTGGGTCGATCGGGTCAATACTTACTTCTTTCCCTTGACCGAATTTGCCTGGTATGATTTGATGCGGACTAGAGCGCCCCGAACAAGAGAGTTATCGTGAATGACATGGTTGGCCTCTATGCATTGTAAGCATTATCCTACTTTATAACAAGATGTGGGTTAACACGTACGAGTCGCCAACATGCATTGGACATAGTTGTGTATATCACTCAAGACTATACGGTACCGCTCAGGCTGTTGTCCACCAGGACCTGCTTGGGGAGCAAGAGCCTTGATCTGTAGACATTGTAGGATAGGAACGGGGTATCGTTGGTCAACATTGTCGGGATCGGTAAAGATGGCCCTGAAGATCTGTGTCAGCCTGTATATTCTCTAGCATGTGGGAAATATTATAGCGATTGCATACTCTAAGGCTCCTCGAGTGATAGACTGTTGTGCTGCCGTGACGGACATGGTGAATATGTGAATGCGCCTGCTCTTGCTAAATTGGTTCTTCCAAGGCAGTAGAGCTAAATTGACTTGGTGTTGAGTGCAAAGGTTTTGCAGGTTGTATCTTGTATCATGCTAGGGAAGAACAGAATCAATTTAGCAAAACGCGTCGGGGCCTAAAAAGTCGCGTCAATTGTTAAAGTGGTGCACGCACAGCGCCTGCCTACTGCTAGTCAGCTTAATGTTAGGTATTAGGTGGCAGGCGCGGGGTTCCTAGTTCTACCAGCTTTGATGCATATATTAAGTGGGACACCAGGTTAGAGTCGTTACTCATAAAACAGCTACTACACCCAAAGTAACCCAATTACATGTCATCTGGGTAGTTTCTAACGCTTTTGGCAGCTGGCAGCTGGCAACTAGGAAGTCTATGTGTGTTTGTGTTTTACGTCATTATCTCATTCGTCAGGCGACCTATGTAATAAAGGTCTAAGGTTATGTATGTAGTACATGAACACATGCATGCTTCATACATACTGCCTATCACTTAGCACTCAGTCTAGTTGATAATACTCGGACAAGATCAACAACAGTTATTTGGTGTCTACCCAGGTGTTCAGTGTCTGTCTTTAACTTACATATTCACTCCCATTCCACAAACTTAGCAAGTCTGTACCTGTTCCATTCACCGACATGTCAGATCCAGACGTCGCAACGAAAGCTCCGGAGAGTGATGCTCAAGAGACCATAATCCCTGGCGATACACCCGCGCAAACAGGTCCTACGATGGGCGAACATTGCACAAGTGATAGGCCAACTCGTAAGTGGTCCCTAAGACAATAATAGTCGACTAGTGTCGGCACTGACGTTGATCGTGTAGCTGCCGGTCTGGCACCCAAGGGAGAAATAAGGAAGCTCGGTGGAGTTGATGTTAGTACTTATTTCTACAGCATAATGGCTACCATATATTCACAAATACAGGCTGATTGATATTGGTGTAGGTCTACCTTACAAAGCCAAAATCGTATCCGACAAACCCCTCCAAGCTCCTTCTTCTTCTATCAAGTGGCACAGGGATAAAGTCGACAAACAATCAGATTCAAGCGGATAAGTATGCTGACGAAGGTTTGTAAGTATACCTACCAAATGCACATTCAACAATACTGGGACTAGTTTGAAACATGAAGGTTTACTAAATACTAAATAGTGTTGTCGTGATGCCCGATCTCTTCGACGGCAACCCGGCACCCAACTCCTCTCCCGTCCCCGATGCTGAGGCTCAAGGAACCTCATTCCTTGAAAAACTCAAACTGAAGGCCGTCGAGCTCGCGAAGTCCCTCGTAATCGACGAGTGGTTAGCACGCCACACGGAAGAAAAAGTAATGCCTATATTGGAGAAGGTCATTGACGCAAGTAAGGGCGAATTCGCCGATGCAGTCGGTAATGGAGGCGGCATTTATGCGGTAGGTTACTGCTTTGGCGGGCGTTACGTCCTGCTCTTAGCGAGTGAACGAACCATCGTACAGAGAGGTTGGTCGGGCGCTCAGAAGCCCGCCGACGAGGAAGCGGGCGAGGGAGCCAAACCCACAACGAAAGGTCCCTACATCAAAGCTGGTGCATTGGCACATGCCACATTAGTCTCGCCTGATGATTTTCAGGGACTAAAAGTACCGGTGAGCTTGGTCTGCGTAGAAAGCGACCCCATGTTTCCTGATGAAGTTCGTGAAACTGGGGAAGACCTGATGTCTACAAACAATCTGGAGCATGAAGTCCAAGTTTATCCTGGGGTCCCGCACGGCTTTGCAGTTATCGGGGACTACGATGATGTGAATATCAAAGGAGCACAAGAAACGGCTTATGATCAGATGTTAAGATGGGTTAAGGAACATTAGCAAGGAGGGAAACAATCAATTTGACTACATGGCACTTTCTCGCGGTTGTATTTCAGTCGTGGGGATATCGCAATGAAATTTGATATCTACTAGATATGGGTTAGGATCCTGAAAGCCCTTCTGACCCCTGAGGTCAAGGCTTCTAAATAAGAAGAACGCCATTGAGAGATTTAAGGATTTCCCTAATATTTTAAAGTGCTTAGGTGCCTGGGTAGGATTTGTACCTATTGTGGTGTGTTCATCAAGTTGTTATCCTTCAGAGGCCTCAAGCCGAAAAACATAGCCCTGCGTGGGATGGGAAAATATAAAGAAGTATGGTGTAGACTTTCCGCCGCCTGAAATTAGATTGGCTTGAGAAATTACGGCGTACTTTCTATGGGACCAAACAGATGATCTTCCCTGTAGTCTTGTTCGCTGCCAGTAGTTCATGGCCCTTGACGATATCCTCCATTGGCAGCACACTATCAATAAAGACCTTGAGTTTACCGCTCTCAATGTGAGGGAGGTACCCGGCCAGCTTGTCCCTGAGCCGGCCCTGGTAGTCCGGGTCACGACTCCGCAGCGTACTGCCCTCGATTCGGATTCGCTTGAAAAGCAGTGGCCCAATATCCACGTTCTCCAGCTTCATGCCGCCCATCAAGCCCAGCACAACCCATCTCGCATCCCTCGCGGCCACGGTGAGATTGTGCTGGAAGTACGTGGCGCCGATGAAGTCGACGATGAGGTCCACGCCCTTGCCGCCCGTCGCCTCGAGGATCTCCTTCGCCCAGTCCTGCGTCTTGTAGTTGAAGGCCTTGGTGACCCCCAGCTCGCGCTCGATGAAGCGGCACTTCTCGTCGGAGCCGGCGGTCGCGTAGACGGCGGTGGCGCCGGCGTCGCGGCTCAGCTGGATGCCCGCGATGCTGACGCCGCTGGCGCCGGCGTGCCACAGCGCCGTCTTGCCCGCCGCGAACTCCCCCACCAGGTGCAGCGCCTGCGTCGCCGTGATCCACGTCTCCGGGATCCCCGCCGCCGCCTCCCAGCTGAAGCTCGCCGGCTTGTGCAGAAGCATCTTGGAGCTCACGGCGATGTACTCGGCGTACGCGCCGCCGTACGCCAGGCCGAACACCTCGTCGCCGACGCGGAAGTCCCCGTGCGAGCCGGGGCCGAAGCCCTCGATCGTCCCGCTGAACTCGACGCCCATGATCGTGGGGGCCTGGGGGGGCAAGGGGTACCGCCCCTCGCGCTGGATCAGGTCCATGCGGTTTAGGCCGAAGGCTTTGATGCGCACGAGGGCGTCGCCGTCCTTGGGTGAGGGTTTGGGCGTCGAGGGGTTGATGAAGAGGGAGGTGGCGGGGCCCCGGCCGCCTTTGATGTCTGGGTTGGAGAATTAGTAATTGTGCACCTACCTACCTGTTCTACCTAGGTAGATACCTAACCCAGTGAGGGGTTCGGTGATGATTAGTCTCCTGGGGGGAGGGGGGTTGCGATTCCATTACATACCAACGGCTTTCATTACGCTGCCCATTGCTAAAGCAAAAGTCGTGAAGTTGGAGTATAGCAAATTCGGTAAACTATTTCGGATGTAGGTATTTTTGAACACGCAAATTGGAAGAAAATGTAGTATGGAGGGGTTTGTATCGAGGGGTATTATCACTTTCTGTCCTTTATGCAACAATGCCTACATTTACCTAAGGACGAAATTGTGGCTATTTGGTACTACGTGCTCTTTGACGCCATTGACCTCAGGGAACGGGGTTTTTGGACCACCTGACATCAAGTTTACCAAGCAATTGGGTTCGTAGGTGCGACGGTAGATGCACTGTTGCAGTAGCACCATTTCCAAAAGTCCCACATTCATTCTCATATCTACCCATTAAACCTGAACTATGTAGGCAGGGCGGGTATGTAGGTAGGTTAGGTTGGGCAGGTAGAGGCCACCGTAGCACCGTAGTAGGCAACTTGTATAACAGCAAAGGCGAAATTCGAAATAGATAGATCTCACGAGCATTCGGTAACGATAATTAATTAGGTATGGAATCGAGGTTTGTTATTTGATATGGGTTCGGTTCCTCTCGTAAGTGTCTATTGATTGATTGATTGCTATGATCAAATTCGAATCGCCCGCGGAAAATCCTCCAAGGTTAGATGGATGAGTTGCTTTAACTAGACAAAGGCGCCCATTTTTGTTTAAAGGATTTTTTATCGGTACGTCGATGCTATATCACGATTCGAAATGCCTTGCTTATTTGTCGTGTTCGTAGTGTTCGCATAATGGTTGATAGAGATATCATGATTAGATCTGGTACCGGCTGCTATGTGGTATTATTTCAAGTCCCTAACCTAGATTAGTAGCCATGCTTGTGTAGGTACAAGACTCTCGAGTCCTGTAGATTTGATAACGATCCTAACATGGCAAACACAAATTCGACTTTTTCATGATCGCACCGCAACGCAACGATGAATAGAAAATCGACAAAGGGGACGCGTGAAAACTTGGGGAAAACGCGAGAGCATAGTATGTATGTAGGACGCGCTACCTTAGGTACTCATACTAGCAAGCACTCTTGTATTGCTGAGCGAAATCTCGTATCCATATGAATGTCTTTGATTACTTTTGACTACTGGCACAAGTCTACGACGGCGAGCGATTACCGAAGTCATACGTGTGGATATGGCAGGAAATTAGATGATCCTTATGGTCTATTTTGGATGCATGTAACTATACCGCCCTATAACGCTAATAAGCATTCAGCAACCCCGGAGCTTCGCATGCGAGATACCAGGAACGCCCGAGGGTAATCTCGGGAACCTCGCTAGTTTAGTTCTTGCGTCAATAGCAGATTGCCTGCCTCTATCGAGAGCCCTATGCTATCTATCATCTGGGACTTTTGCTGCTTGTCAAGTTGGAGTCTCGGTCTCGGAACATACAGATGGTATATACGACGACAATGCGAAATGAGCACCTGCATTAGGTATGTATACACATCGTGTGAACAGATACATTATATCATACATACATGTTAACCTCCAGGGCTAGTTCAGTCTACATACCAGGTATCATACGTATGTACCCCATTAGTTAGTTCCAGCTGGGCCCAGCAGATAGGTTCCGTGAAGCAGATCATCGAATCGACCGATATACTTCGATATGAATCAGAGATTCAGCCTCAATGCCCTTGGTTCACAGATGGGATCGACTATCAAGACGATCAAGACGGCTAAAATTTGGACCGAGCGTATGACTGTGGGACCTGGTTCATCGGTGATCGGGAGAAAGAAATCGTGATATAATTTCGGTTCCAAACTCGTCTCATCCAAAAGCGCTTGGCGTGGTGTTCGAGACTCTTTTACTACATATGTATGTACATTGGAAATTTTTTCAAATACGAGGCATGAATCCCTAATGCGATTCTAGCACATGGTTTACTACGAGTCTACGACGATAAGAAACAACATGAAGCTAGCTAGGTACTAGGTATCTATCTTAGGTAGATAAATAGTACTGTTATGATAATAAGCGCAAGGTATTGACTGGAAGCATTAAACGTGTTTCTTATCTCGCTCCTTTATGATCGACTGACACGAGATACCAATTTAGGAACAGCGATATCGTCCGATATAATCCATGTCTACTGCCAGATCTAGAACAGCAATCACAAACTCATATCTCCTTCAGCCTAACCAACTTCCAGAAGGCTTCAAGGAACCTAAGTAATTTCCGTCGAAAAGTCAAGAGGAACCAATCGAGAAATCCAGATTCTGGGGCCAGCTTGTCAGCCAGGGGTCTGCCCCGGTTACCATCCGGAGGGTGTAGTAACTATTCCGTACCTGAATTTTTCTTGATAATCATTCAAATTACATGGCTCAAAGAGGTGTCAGCGCCAGGCCTGATTTGGATAAAGGACGAGATCCCGTCTATTTCAGGCGAGAGGAGAATCCCTGAAGGAAAGATCGAATAGGGCTAACGCCGCTGTTGTTTTTATCTCTCTTTGGTGCTATTCTTATTCTTATTTTATTTTTATCTTCGAAGAAACATTGACAAAGATAAGACTTCAACTAAGCCTTGACCATACATGGATCCATGTGTGTACTGTGTATGGAATTAGCCGGTACGGTGTGTGTAGGTAATAGGCATGCGTGTTCAGTCGGCTGGCTGGTAAAGCAATAACTAATAACTAGCACTTGAATAAAAAAAAAACAGTAAAGAGATGGAACTGGATTCACCCACAATTCGACTGTTCCTGCAGATGGTTGTAATCTGTTCCTGCATCAAGTGGCAAGCTTAGCAAAGAGTAGTGTGCACTTGCATTTGCCATTTATCGCTCAACCAGCTTTGAACTAAACTCGTTTTGAAGCAACCGATCGTCTCGTGCACACTTTATCCACGTTTCTTACCAAAGAACACGTCAAACTTTGCGACAGCGAAATGTAGCAGTAGGCAAGGAATACAAAGAGTCAAGACACCTCACCGCCAAACAATGTACCTAGGCATTATACATACATAGTAATAGTTATCTTAAAGATGTGATAAAACTACGGAGTAAATACCTATATAGCAGTCTATAATAGGTAGTGTGTACGTGGTATTCCTACGAAATCCTCTTCGGTATGATAATTATAGGTACTAACCTTGGAATACTATGAGTCTATGACTTTTATTGTCACCTTTAACTTACTTCCAGGACAATATTTACAATTTATTACAACAAGTTGGAAGTTGGCACACGGTACACCAGTTGACTCTACTTTCTCAGTCTACTCCAGTCTCCAGCAGTCTAGCTTTCTAGTTTCTAGCCAGGACTGCGATCTTTTGGCCAAGAAAGGAACTACGCTAGTGGCGTTCCAATTTCCGCATCACGGCGTTGTTACTAGTCCTTCACCCCAGTATCTACCTGGGTAGCCAGTCAGGTTGAGTCGTGCCTTGCAGGATGTCCAAATGCTACCATACCTTACCTACAGGATCCTAGCGCGCATCACCCACCGAATAACAAGATCAAAAATAGTACCGAACTATTGTCCCAAGGACCCATCTCGTGTTTTTGTTATGCTATCTGGTATTGATTCATCATGCCAGTGGTACCAACCCCATACCAAATCGCCCGTGAAAATACTTGGAAATCGACGCACGTCAGATAGAAGCTTAACAATCTGTACGGCATAGTGCGGCCTTGCCCCTTTTCGATACCTGACATGCATTCATCTTAAGCTTGCCATGGGGACCAGTCACTTGGGAATCCACAACTGGCCCCAAAAGGGGTAAGTTTGGCGCTCAACACGCAACACGCACCGCTAAGTCGAATTCCCCCCTTGAATGACCCTCTCTGGGGCGAGTTACTCCATCAATCTCACCCACATCAACTTTTCTCTCAGAGGCAAGGGATTTAGATCCATGTGATTGGGTAGTATAGCGAAATAACTTATGGAAAAAAATAAATATGGATCATTACTGGATAGAGAACTAGCCAAGCTGCCTTATCCTGGCATCGCGGGCCCGTCATCTACACTCGCGCTACCTACATGCCCAGGCGTAGGCCAGGGTAGGTTACAGCCATGTCCCAACGGGCATGTCGAGCGCCTGTTGCATGGCAGGCCGGAAGTGACCTCCCCATGCTGCTCTTTCTTGTATATAAATCGAGACATCCAAGGACCGACAATCCTTCCTCTCTTTTCTTCCCTCACCCACACACATTCTCTGCAAACATCACCCTGACTTTTCAGTCAATTTCATTCGTTATTAAGCATACTTAATTGCTCAACCCTATAAACCTAATAAACCTCAACAATTAACTCTCCGAGTTACTTAATACCAGACCAACCGTCAAGATGAAGTTCACCGCTGCTACCGTTGCTTTCGCCGTCGGCGCCTCTGCCTCTTACCAGGCTGCGTACCCCTCGTCCAACGCCACCTCATACACCACTGAGGTCGTTACCTCGTACGAGACGTACTGCCCCGGCCCTACCCAGATCACCTACGGCACCAACACCTACACCGTCACTGAGGTATGAACTAGAATCGTTCCCCGATCATGAGAACCATAACTAACTAAATCGGACAGGCCACTACCCTGACCATCACTGACTGCCCTTGCACCATCAGCAAGCCCGTCTACACCACCTCGTCAGTAGTCTGCTCCACCTGGTAAGAAGACCAGGTTTTGTGTTGAAAATAAGAATAACCCGACTAACATGGATAGCAGCAGCACCACCCCGGCTCCCCCCAGCTACCCTACCACCACTCCTGCTCCCCCCAGCTACCCCAACAGCACCATCGCCACCACCAGCGCGACCCAGCCCCAGGGCTACCCCACTGGCAGCGTCCCGGGCACCCAGACCTCCGCCACCACCATCCCCACGGCTGGTGCCGGCAAGGTCGCCGCTCTATCGGGCGCTGGCCTTGCTGGCCTGCTCGGTCTTGCCGTTGCCGCCCTATAAGCGGGTTCGCTCAGCTTAGCATTCACGTCTACGGCCTACGATTCTCCTTTGTTGGTACCAAAAGTCCTTGAGGGGATCGAGGGACGCTTTCAACGCTCATGACGGGGAAGCGAAAACCTGGAGTTGTGACGCGCAAGGGTTTAAAGGCGGGGTGTGTGTTTTAGACAAGGGATACTGTTAATTGGCACAAGGAGGGGGAGGGGAGGGGCGCGGTTCTGCATCGCACTATGGAGTAATCTTTTGACGGCCAGGCCATGCAGGATCTTCGTTTTGATTCTTGTAATTTCTTGTCTAGGTGTTTCGGACAAAAACATGAAAACTCGTCCCGGAGGATTTATACCATCATCATCATCATGTGTGCGGTCTTCTGGTACCTAGTTGGATTGGGGCGTGAAGGTCTACCCTCGGTCAAGAAGTATTACCTGCTGGATATATTTGGATGGCATATACGACGGACTTAAAGGATCCTTTGACAAAGCAATCAAAAAACCCAGTTTCAACCAACTCTCTCTCACCTTGTTCCGTCACCCAAGAAAACTTCCTTTTTTCGATTCTCGTGCTTCCTGCAACCTGTTGACTTTTTGCTCTCTTTTGTACACAAATTCGAGAGTCGGCAGCAATGTTTAATATTTCGGCCAGTTTTGTTGCGGGCTATACAGTTGGATGTTTTATTGGTCTCTAGACAACCTTTTTTCCTGTGGGTTGGCCTAGTCCTTGTTACAATAGTTCAATGGCAAAGCAGACACGCAGCTGGGAGACCAAGTTTTGGTCCAGCGCTTTACAATTTCCTGTCTTACCATCATCTGTCTATGCTATGTGTATGTTATGTGTATGTTATGTGACTGCTAATCTAATAAGACGCAGCGTGAGTTGTCCAGGTCAATCAATTTTTAATATGGATTACATGATTCAGTCTTGTTGGCCATGTCTTACCACCGTAGCACGACGAAATATAAGGCCATTTTCTTGATGGTGGTAATTTATCGCATACCATGTTATGTTACCTTTCTCGACGCCTTTTGCGGTTTAGTTAATGGTTAAGGTTACCAAGAAAGATGACCTATGTAGATTGGATCGAGGATCATATGGAATGGTACCCAGTAGGCTTCGCAAGCACGGGTAGGTTAATCCACTGATCACCGTTGATCTGATCGCATTTAGAAACAGATAACGATGGGGCCAAAGGACCAGAGGAGTAGTGTATGTGCCGGAATCTGCCAATGTTGGTTGGGGTCATTTAATAATAAGTAGTATCTCACCTGGACAGTGTCGATCAATCTATTGGCGAACACTGACCTGTTGTACTGTTCAACTTGTACAAGAGGTGGGAAAGGTGTAAGAAACACGATGCGAGAGACACAAACACAAGGTTAGGTTTACATAATTTAACTAACTCTACCGAAGATATGCATATTACCAAGATATGCATAGTTATTACCCAGGTAGACAGCCCCAAGAAACAAAACAAAACGTTAAACGTGGTTGGGTTTCAGTTTTGTTTCTTCTCAAAAGACAGAAAGCTTATTTACCTAGCAAATGTCGTACCTGAGATCACACAGTCAAATGCCATCTAACCTTAACTCTACATATACATGAAATGTTCTACTAGGTCCTTGGTAGTCCTTGGTAGTACGCTTCGTCCCAAGAAACCACAATCATCCTATCATCTCTACTACTACATACTATTGCAGAATCGACTTGCAACATTGCACTGATCTATCGCAACGTGACGGATGCGGGAGCGGGAGCAGCATATACTGGGGTTGGTTGCATCCGACGCAGCCGCCTTCACCACCCGTGGTTACTGGAGTCACTGGACAACGCTGGAGTTGGAAGACGGTACCTGCCTATCTGATCTTGCGACACCCAACATCTCTGCAGGGACACTGTTACGGTGGCAGTAGCTGCGTACGACGAGGCCACCCCTAAAAATACCAGCCTGCCCAGGTAGGTAGGTAAGGCCCTAGGTTAGGTTAGATATGATGCACATCTGGGCATGTGCCCGTTGACGTAAAGTATTGCGTGTAGCTAGAATGCCTATCAGCCGAGGTGTATCCAACCGTGGACCAAAATCCGTCGATCCTAGCTTTCGGCCCTACCGACGCATACACAAGATCGGATACATCGGCCAACGGGCGCAGCACAATCCGTCCTAAAAAACGGCCTCACCATGATGGCATTACTTGAAAATAAAATACCTAGTTGCACTGGCCTAAATGCCTGCTAAGTACACTAACATATACTAATAAGTAGGTGAAACATATATTTGTCTTCAAACGACTACGTGGATGGATATGTATCGGTATTGCCACCAGGCCAATGCCTAGATCGTCGATTTTCTATCTGGAGTCTATCTAAGGAGTTGAATGAACGTTGAAAGGCCTATACTATGTCTCATGCAATATCATTCTAACGGAAAGAATACCTCATTTCCCTCTTCACTTCCGCCGCAATCTCTAATGCTTCTTGTCTTGACTCGGAGAAGACATTGAAATAAGCCACAACCGTGTTTGCACCAGAACATGGGTGTGGGATTCGCTGACCCCTTTTAGCGAGGCAGCCGTAACGATTAACTATAAGATAACTAGCAGTTAGCAATCCCCTAGCTATAGGTAGTAGCTTGGCTAGTAGCAGGACGGAATCAAGCAAGAGTGTTAGATAGATAACATAGCTCACTATTCTTCCCTAGATCCGGCCTTCGGGCTAGCAGCTCTTCCCATATGTCATCCGAATCGAAGATCCCTTCGCAGGTCTGGTCAAACTCGGCGGGAATCAGGACCATGGCCCCGGTATGCTGGGCCCCCTTCGCGAACGGGCGAGAGAGCGACTTGGCCCTTTCCTTGTCGTCGATAGCCAGTGCGATCGCCACTCCAGAGTAATCAATCCCGTATACCGTTTCAATTATGCGACTAGCAGTCAGCCCTAGAGGCCGCGGGTTGATCTCCAGAACCCAGGGAACAGGGGGCGCGTTGGTTGTCGCCATACGGTCAGTTGGTCGTAAGTCCACAACCCCACCATCAACAGGACCGTATTCGACGGAAGATCGGTCCATCCGGGCCTCCACGTGCATGATGCCACTAGTGAACCCGAGTCGACGAGTGGTCACACCGATGGCCTCCTGGAGAATTTACAACTCCGAAGGTGGTAGTGCTGAGGGATGAACGAGATACGTCTCCAAGAAATTCCCCTGAGAGGTAGAAAAGTCTCCTGCTCGGTTCTAGTTGTCATCCCCTAATTTAGGGAAATCATCAGAGATCTCGCAAAAGAGTATCTCGTCATCAAGCAGCACAATATTGACGTCGACTTCGGGCCCGTCGCAGTATCTCTCCATGGTAAATGACTTGAAGAAGGTCTTGTGTATCATTTCAACGGCGCCATGGATTCCAGCAGCGTCATTTACCCGTACAACTCGTTCCGAGTTCAGCCCCAGCCGAGGCTTGAGGATCAAGGGATACGAGAGGGCTTCCCTCTCATCGAAACTCAGAGCCTCCTCGGCAGTGGAACCGCAAAAGGGCTTGCGGCCCTCGAAGAGGCCCAGCTGGTACTTGTCTATGGCAAATTCGTAGGACTCGGCTGGCTGGCATGGAAGACCGAGCTGTTGCGCTGCCCGGCTGACCGTGTCAAGGAATGGTTCCATGAAAGCAACGATTCCATCAACCTTTTTGCTATACGATTTGACAATGGCCACAATGTGGTCTGCCAAGTCATCCCCGGGAGGGTTCGACAACCAAGTGCCAGCCGGTAAGAACGCCTCGTACCAATGCGAGTACTCGCTTCGCTCGATCCAACAACCGGGCTTGTCGATGATAACCAGATCAGCTCCAAGTGCGCGGGCTGCATCACAAGCATAAGTCGTCCACGCCCCTGATGATGGGTCACGATAGCTGCACCCAATGAGCACGAAGCGCTTGCGACTGATTGGGCCAGGGACAACCCATGGTATCGACATCTTGTTCGCAAAGTCGGTCTCAAAACGCAGAGGGACCATGGGCTTGCTTGGTTCCAGTTTCAGATCATTTTCCAATTCTGAGTGCTGCAGTAGTATACCTCCGGCGGAGGAGCGGAACAGCTCAAGCAGGGAGATCGTTTCTAGACACAAAGCATCCCCAGTGAAATGTTGCAGTGGCATGGAGAAAGAAGCTACCTTGTCGACCGCGAAAGCGTCTGTGAGCCGAAGTGGGATGATGTCTGACCTGACGATCGTACCGCTAGACAAAGGGATGATAAGTCTCACGATCCTATTCCCGGATGACCTCGTGGCTTTTGGGGAGGTTAGGAGAAACTGAAAGGCCTCCTGTGAACCGAAAGCCTCGGCACCAACAAGCTTAGGCTTTTCCCCTGAGCCCCCAGAAAGCCAGACCTCATTGTCAGCTTAGAATGATTCTAACGGATAGGGGGCTCCCGCTACGGTACCTACGTACCTACGTAGACTACACCTTACTATGAGATTGGCAGACAACTTCAGGTATAGGGGGTGAAGATTATGACAACCCCAAAGACCTCATTTCGAAGGGGCCATGGGGGTTCGTTAACAAGTACCTAACTACAAGAAGTGGATAGCGAGTAGGGAAATCTCTAGAAATTAAATTTTAGGTGGTAAGTACCTAACCTCTAGGTAGGTAGGTATACGGTATTAAACATAGGCGTTCGCTAGCAGTCGCAATAGAAATGGCATTTTCTCCCTTTTACACCACGCGAGAGACGAAAAAAAAAATCAAAACCCTCCCAAGTAGTTGAAGTACTATCATCTTCAGTCTCGCCCAGAGGTGAGCAGTGTACCTAGCCTACAACTTCGCCCTCGTCTCGATAGCTTTGTGAACATCCCCTTTATGCTGAAAGTACTCGGCAACTTTCGCCCTCGCCACATCGATCACCGCCACATCCTCAATCGTAGCCGGGTACTGGACCTCGTTCTCCATCTCCCCGTGCACGGCGTTCTCGAGCAATTCTCTCAGCACCCTGCGCAGCGTCTTGCCCGACCGCGTCTTGGGGATCATCCCCTTGCCCTGTATTATGCCGCCCAGCGTGGCGATACCCCCGACCTGTTTCCGCACCCGGTTTTGGATCTCTTGTAATAGTGCCGAGTCGGGTACGGCTGAGGTGGGGTGTTCGGGCACGGAGAGGGTTATGAAGGCGAAGGGGAGCTGGCCCTTGAGAGAGTCGGGGATGCCGACTACACTGGCTTCGGCGACCAGAGGATGGCTGGTGATTGCTTGCTCGATGGAGCCTATTGCTTTTACGTCAATCTTGGAATGCTTACGATATACGTTATTAGTAAGGGGAAAGAGACCCAGCTTGCTTACCAGTCGAAAGACGGTGGCCCGCAGTATTTATCAAATCGTCGCTTCGGCTCATGATACTAATGTACCCCTGAGTATCTATCATTCCGGCGTCTGTAATAAATAGGGTTAGTAAAAAGCAACAGTCCTGTGCGTATGTAGGTATATAAAGACTCACCACCCGTATCAATCCACTTCCCAGTGAACCTCTTAAGGTAGCCATTATAAAACCTCTCCTCGTCTTTCCACAGCGTCGTGAATCCCGTCGGCGCAAGCGGGGTCGCCAGAACAATGTTGCCCATCTTCCCCCTCTTCACCTCGTTACCCTTATCATCTACCACCCTAACGTCGAACCCCGGCATCGGCTTTCCCGCACTCCCCGGCTTGATAGCCAACGGCTTGTAGCTATGGCTTTTGGCCTGCCGGGAGTCGACCGTGTAAGCGGCTAGACTGATCCCCGAGATGGGCGACCCGGATTCCGATGACCACCAGTTATCTACCACCGTGGCATTGGGGGCGCCGTATCGCCGTATAAGCTCCTGGTACATGGTGATGATCGAGGGCTCCGACCTCTCGCCAGCAAGGAACAGTGCCCTGAGGCTTTTCAGGCCGCCTTGCTCGCCTATCCGCTTAAGGGATTTGTTTTCGGGGTCGTCTCTTTTGATAGCTCGGAGAGCGGCTGCGAATCGTTAGTTGAAGGGACCAACCAGTACAGGTCTTGTTGAAAGTGCACTCACTGGGAGCTGTGGAAAGACTCGTCACTTTGTAGTCCTGCACGATGCGCCAGAAAGTCGAACTGTCAGGTGTTCCGACGGGCTTTCCTTCGAACAAGACCGTTGCTGCCCCGGCTAGGAGGGGGCCGTAAATTATAAAGGAGTGTCCAACGACCCAGCCGATATCACTTTGTCTAAGGTCAGCATTTATATCTAGGTACCCTAGTAGGTAGGTATGAAGACGAATTGGGGGTTCGATTCTCACCTAGCGGTAAATATCACATCCCCGGGCCCGTGAACACCGAACAAATAGCTTATGGAGAGGTGCAACCCAACCGCGTGGCCGCCTGCCTGGCGTACGACGCCCTTCGGCGTGCCCGTCGTTCCGCTCGTGTAGATGATGTAGATCTCATCGGTCGCCCCGACCGGCACACAATCGGCCTTCACGCCCCGTGCTCTGCAGCTGCGCACCATCTTGAACCAGTTGCGCTCGCCGCCCGCCTTGTCCAGCGGGTCCCACCGCAGCTCGTCCCGCTGCCAGACTATCACGCGGCCCGGCTTGTGGCGGGACAGCTGGATGGCCTCGGTGATGAACGGCTTGTACGCCATGGGCGGCTTGGCCCCATCGATCCCGCACGAGGCTGTGAGGATGGCGACGGGCTTGGACGCGTCGATGCGCTGGGCTAGGGAGGCGGCGGCGAAGCCGCCGAAGACGACGGCGTGGATTGCGCCGAGCCGGTTGATGGCGAGGATTCCGATCAGTGCGGCTGGGATCATTGGCACTACATATTGTTAGTTGGGTATGTCTGATGCTAGGTATACAAAAAAGCAGTGAAGAGGAAGGAGGGGGGCGTACTATAAACCAACACCACATCGCCCCTTTTAACCCCTTCTTCCCTCAGCGCACCAGCGGTGACCTCGACCTCGTCGAGCAGCTGCGCATACGTAATCGTCCTCTTCGTCTTCGTGACGGGGCTGTCGTAGAAGACGGCGGGCTGGCTGCCGTTGCCGGCCAGCACGTGGCGGTCCACGCAGTTGAAGCACGTCGATATCTCGCCGCCGGCAAACCACTCCCAGTGAGGGTGCTCGACCCCGCTGCCGAGCTTCCGCGTCGTCTGGGTCAGCACGGAGTCCGGCTTCTTGTACCAGTGCAGCTTTGAGGCCTGGGAAGCCCAGAATGCCTCTGGGTCCGCTAGCGAGCGCTGGTATACCTCGTCCTGTGGGTGGCTCATCGTGGTTGGTTTACCCCTGACCGCCCGTGTACAACCTTACTCTATATACCTAACTAGGTTAATTAGGTAGCATATATACTTCGTACTATGCAGTCACCTATATCAGACCCTTGCGAGGAGGAACTTTTATGTTTACTTGAAATTCGAGATAAGTATACCTACAATACTTGACATAAGCTAGGTAGGTATTGTAAGCCAATGTTTGGACGTGCATATAACTCGGCTTTCATTCTAGGACGAAAGGAGGCTTTGTTTAGTAAGACCGGTAATAACATGCCCCGTGGGGTAGGTACGCAACGGGGCACAAGCGCAGAATATCCCCAGTATTCACTAGCCCGAACTAGGCATAGCAGAGCTAGTACCCATAGCTAGGTGTGTGCGGGCATGGATGGGACTGACGACGAAGCTGAATTGTTGAGGCTGGCAAGATCAAAACATATGTATTATGTACTGGCGACGCAGAATGTAGTTATTAGTATGTATGTAGCTTACTAATGTAGCTGTTGTACGACGGTAAGGACGTTAAATCTAGTTAATAGAGTCTAAATCATGGTTGAATTATGTAACCTAGGTAGAAAGAAGCTACCTAACTTACAGTAGATACCTATAACAGTATCTATCTACTTAAGGTATAGTTACTAATACACCCTATGATACTACATATAGGTATCAACTTAAATGTTGTAATCACGATTAGCTTATACACAAGTCGTTACTACTAGTAGTACACGCTTTTGTATATCATTGCTAGTACCATATAAAGTACGGGATGTCGTCCAAATATAAAACTAAGGCTCACATACATGTACCTAGCCATTAAATTAAGTAACAAGCAGATGTGTTATGAGACGTCGAATTTGGCCCAAGGCTAGGCACTATGACGCAAATACCCAGACGGGATGCAGGTAATGTCTATCCTTGACATCGAATCGATTGGATAAGAATGGTAGGTGACCTTAGACATCTATGTATTCCAATGTAACTGTGATACCTACCTATACCGAGTAAAACTATCAACCAACAAGGTTACTTGGTAGGAAGATAGTTAACCTAGATAGATATCTGCATGTTACATAGGTATGTAGTAGAAATCGAAGCAGCTTATAACTAACGGGAAAATATACTACTACATACCTAGGTACCTGCCTACCTACTAAAGTAGGTATGATGTCGGTGCCTAAACCACGAAGATCATGGAACATGGTTTGTCCTGCACCAACAGAATTATACATGTAGGACATGTAGTAGGTAGCGACACGCCGCCTCTATGCATGAGGTGCCTATCTACCTGGTATGCAACAGCGAACCAGAAACGCCCAGGGACCGTCCCATGCCAGACCCCATGCCAATTAAATGCTTGATGCTTGATGTTTTATGCCGATGTGCTATGCGAAGTAACCAAACCCCATGTACTCTGTATCTTTTTGTAACGCAATGCTGTGCCGGAGCCTCCGAATGCAACCCGTTAAAATCGTGCCGTGTGCAAGCATCGTCGGCTCGTGAATCCCGAATAACTTCAGACTTGCCTGCCAGAGGGTGGTGGATGAGGCTCGTCTCGCTTCAAGACTTCCTTGGTATTCGAGTATAACCCGTATACGCTCTGCTGGCCTTTGTGGGCGACTTTTAGGTTGCTGAATCTCGCCTCCGGAAGCCGTTTGCCTGCCTTGATACTCTCGAGGATCCACTCGACGCCCACGAACTTCACCCCGCAACCGCGAACTTTTTGGATCTCCTTTTGCAACTTCCCTCCGGCCAGACCTCCGCCAGCCCCTCCAAATCCACTGGCCGGTCTGCCTAGGATTACATGGGTTACCTGCCGTCTTCCTAGATGGATAGAGGTCCTCGCGCCGTGCTCTGCCAGCGTATGCTTGAGCTTGTGGTCTGATATTAAGGGGTGAGTGCTGCCATTGACGTATACCACGACACCCTCTAATATTTTCCTGGGCTGGGCCCTCTCTGCCTCTTGCATCTCGTCCTCCGCCTTGCGCTGCGCCATCAGCTTCTCCTCGGAAGTCAAGCGGCCCTGATCTCCGGGCGCTGAAACGTTGGGGGAGGAGGATCTGCTCGCCTTCATAATGCCCGGCTTCGCCAACATGTCCATGACGGAGCATTTGGCGCGTGATCGCACCTCGGGTGTAACGAGAGCCTTCATCTTAGGATCCCAGTCTTTGGACCCGGCGCCCACGGTGTCTGATACTCGCTGGCCACCACTCAAACCCCCCTTGAACTGGCTCGCCAGCTTCATGTTCCGAGACTGGCGCCATCCTGTGCTTCTCCCGAGATGATTTTCGGCACGCTGATGACCGGTGGAAGACGAGTTCCAGGAATCAAATGCCTTGCTATATTTGGGCTCGGCAGCCCTCGATAGGGTTGATTTCGACGTGTTTGATGAGTGCGACATGGTGAATGATGCGAGAAGGATATTGATGCTAATGGATGCTACATTTACATCATGGTGCAAGGCAGATATGCCATGCGTGATGAGGGTTTATTTGTTGCACACGAGTTGGATTGTTTTCTTTTGTTTTCTTTATTAACTTTATTTTCTTTGGATCCATGGTATTTTTTTATGTTTTTATTTTTTGAATGAGACATCCATGAATGGAATGGAAATCTCCAATGGCCTATAACTTAGTCACCACAGCAATCAATTAATCCGACCGTTCATCTTTGCCGCTAACCAAACTCAAACTGAAGCTAACCGGCACTTATTACTACTACACATTATGCACTATATATGTACACTGTAAGTTGCAATTACTTCAAAAGGAGTAATATATTGTACTTAGCAGCTGCCCGGCAACACAACAGAAGACATGCCGGTAATGGCACGTGATGCTCCATTCATCCACATGCAAGTAAATGATGCATACTTAAGGTATAACTACATGTATGTAGGTGTATAGTTAATGCTAGGCATGCACATATTCGGCCTTCCTCGTATGTTAGACAATGCAATGCTAAGCCCACATACACTACCTACATACATGCGACATTAACACGGGAATATATCATCTACATATTATAAATCATTTCATCGAAAAAGAGTAAAATAAAAAATGAAAAAAGATGAAATGATATAAAATAAAAATAACCATCTTAAGACCATGTATAAGACTGCAAGATTCAATCTGCCAACAAGGGCATCATATCACGACATCTAATCTAACGGAGGCGCCGAGCTACGGGCCAATCGGGTCGCCTCGTTTCGAAACCAACCGCCCGAGCAAGGCCCTGTTTTGGCGCCCAGCGCGGGTTACAGTCGTAGGGATGGATTGATGTATTTACCAGGGCCTGCTGCCAGGACAAGAGAGAGGATGGAACCGTCAGATTTGACCATGTTTGACTTTTTTTTCTTTCTTGAAGGATTCCCCCAAGTCACGAGCGCGGCAAATCCGTCGTTGGTGGGCAAAAGGCAAGCAAGTGGGCTGGCAATTACCAGGCCTGGTCTGACCAGGTCTGGCCCGAGCCGAACCTTGACGAGAGAGAGGGAGAGAAATAACACATAACTACCTACCCATAACTAACTACCTAGGTTAGGCAGTTGAGTAGAAGAAATCACTTGGCCGTCTTTCGCGCGATGGGATCGGTCCCGGTTCGATTTCCTGTCCCCCGCACAATTTTCATGCAAGTAGCCCACCACATCTCCCGTCATCGTTTCCCATGCAACCCTCTGTCTCTTCCTGTTGCAGTTTTGGGTTATGAGAGAGGGTCGGGGGGGCGAAGGGGACCTAGTTAGTGCAGGCCCAGCTGAGCTGAGTGACGCTTGATGTAGCCCTTTTTTCAAAGCTCTAACCTAGTAACTATGGCATTAGCGAGCAAGTTGTTTTTTTTTTCTATGTATAGGAAGCCCTGGAGGTCGATGCACATCATTGGACTAAGGGGCGTTTCGGTGGCCGTGGTTCGAATGATTTTTGACACACCAACGGTCAAGCGATTGCTGATAGCTCATATTTTATTGTCATTGTTAAATCGGAGGCTGATGAGACACCCCCGACTGTCATCTGCAATGGCGGGCAGCCCACAGACGGGAGTTCCCTCCTTGCCTCTCACATTACTTACATTACATACATACATATATACATACATACAGTACTTCGTACATACATGTACTATGTGCGTGTATGTGCGTATGTGTGCGTATGTATGTATGTATGTACATATGTATGTACATGCCGAATCTTTAGCCCTAGCAGGACCGTTGATTACTGCTTACGGGCTTGGATCGAGGCTGCGATCCTTTAGGAGCTATGACCTATGGCACCTACCTAACCTACCTGCCTACATTGTGCAATCTAGGCCATGTAGGCTTGGTCGTTGCGCTGCTGGGCCCCATGCTAGGCGTTCATGCAGCCTAGCGATTGGGCCCGCCCCTCGTTCTTTGATTCTATCTTGCAATGGCCCATGGGATGTTGTATCATGTACAGTTATTTTGCTGCTGCTGCTGCTGCTGCTTATCCACCACCCTTTCCCAGGGTCACAATGGGATGGGGTGACATGGTTCTACGCTATCGAGTCGGGTTGCATTCCCGACCCGTGCCTCCTCTCTTCTGTGCAGCCGCAGCGTTTTTATGTTTTACCGGCATGAACAATTGCCACCCTTGAAATACTCTTTGACGAGTTTTTTTGCTCTCTTTTTTTTATAATTATTTTTTTTTAAAAAAAAAAATAAAAAACCTCGCCCGGCTACGTTGCAGCGGCCTTCCTGTTGGGTCGTGGTCAATTGTCTGGGAATGTTTTAGAGAAATTGCGTTTGTGTGTGCCTGGCCATTGGCTGACAAAAAAAAAACATCTGGTTAGTTATAGAGAGAAGTCTCTTGGTTGCTTAAAGTGGCTAGGATATTCGAGCCACGATGGGCTTGCCTAAACTCGAACCGAGCCCGGCTGCGTTGCGATCCGGAGTTATCGCTGGCCCCCTCAAGATATACTGTACATTACATATGTAGAACCGTTGATTTCACTTCATAATAGGTACCTACCTTTAGTTACAGTAATCAGTCATCGATCCTTAGCGTCGTTGAACCCCTTCCCCCCCAGTCAGGACTTGTCGATCTTTTCGGCCTGTTTGGTAAATTTAGCAATTGTCGTTCGGGGTTGAAGCGGGCACCCCGGACACCGGGGTCTGACGATTGCCCCGCTATACCTCGGCTCCCTTACATACATAGTATGAGCTCCATCACGAAGTTGCTGGGGCTACTAATTACTGTAGGTATGTAAAAGAACAACTCCTGATGAGCTTGTGAGGTCACGAACACTATGTAGAACACCATACGGGTTGTGTGGGGGGTCGACGCTCTCCACACAAGCCCATGGGGGACAGGAATTTGTTTCGATATGGACATGGGGTAGGCGGGAATATCGAGTCGAGGCCCGCCCCCTTCAAATAATCATCGTCAAGGGAGCACGTATGATACATATCTGCGCACAAGAAAAAAAATGTATAATGGACAGGCATCAGGAGATTATCACTAGCCTCTACCTGCCTACATATGCGGATCATACTTGCTTCTGCTTCCTGCTTGGCTAGCACTGCCTACTACGCCGTACTGGTGTTGCGGCGGCAGCGGGGACGGATGCTCCTCACGCGTGCCCGCTTGCTTGCTTTGCTTGCTATGTATATGTAGGCAGCTGCCTACTGTACCTGTTATACATGTTATACCTGTTACGTGGGGTGGCTGAGAAGCTGTAATAAGTAGGTAGGTAATATATAGCAGGAGAGGGGGGAAAGGGAAAATGTAGGTACACTATGTTTGTACTTGGCTGTTATGTATTTGACCATTACCATAGTAAAAGAAGAGGATGAATCGCTTCCATTTCACGAAAAAGAGAGGCCGTGGCAACAACCTCGAATGGCTAACGGACACGGGGCAAACCAAAGAGGACCTTCCCGCCATACGACGACGATCTCTGTCCCCATGTAACGTGGGCCGAAAGTGCGGGCTTTTACCTTATCGAATTTCTTCGGCTGTGATCCGCAACCTTTCATATTCTTTATTCCTTTTGATAACTAGTTTCCAGCCGATATGGATATGGATTTTCCAGACGTCAGCATGGTAGGCATGTATGTAGTGTAGGTAGGTAAGCATCCAAGGAAGAGCATGGGGAAAAAGAAGGGGCGTTGTCATCAAATGTATGTAGGTACATGGCAATGACAGTAGCAGCGGTCGCGGTTGTGGTAGCGATTGCTTGTCACCATCCCCCCTGTTCATCTTTCCCGCTAGATATGTAAGTGCGGTTATGTGCTGTAGTCGCACCATGCCGCGCCGTACATACATCCCTAGCATGCCTACCTAGTGTGTATGTATGTGGACTACGGTATTGTGCATACATAGGTAGGTATAATGTTACGTACACCCACGATACCTTATTATCTGTGCGGCCATCTGCGGTCCAGTAGGTGACTGGAAGTCAACCTTAACTGCTATAGTAGGTATTTAGGTAGACATACCGCACAGGGTATGGTCCACGGTGCATGCACGATGTAAGATTGATTTTCAGATCAACGGTGGCCCTATCTTAGATAGTTTATTCATACCTACTAGGTAGGTATGTACTAGGTATCACTCGTGCAGCATACATATACCTACATACATCTTTACCTACCTACCTGCCTACCTACCTACCTAGGTACATACATACATATATGCCTACAATCTGTAACGCACAAGAGTTATGCCCGATGACATTGCGACGCTGGCTACTTAGAGTTAGGTTGGATAGATGGAGAGTTGGATAAGAATAGAGCATGTATGGAATCTTCGAAAACTTGCTAGCCATTCATGATACCTAGGTAAGTACCTAACTACCTAATTATTGATAGCCATAAGAGAAAGAGGTACGCAGGGCTGCGGGAGGGGATCTGCAGTACCCAAGTATCTAAAGTAGAACCCGCCGCCGTATCCATCCCTCGTATCGTACGGTGCCTTAGTTATGTTACACGTAACGGAGGTTTAGATTTAGATACTATTATGTATGTACCTAGGAAGGTAGGTAAGTAAAGTAGTTAGGGAGGATATTCTAAAGTTCCTGGGTCCGTCGCTCCTGTGACCGCCGCGTGTCAATTTCTTTTCTGGAGATGGAGAGGATATGCTTGTGAGTAAGGAAGGAACAAGAAAGGCAGGTTGAAGCCGACTGGAGGGGGAATAAAACAAATGTAGGCAGGTAGGTAACTCTTCTAGGTCTAAGCTCGCAGACCGATGAGCCGCTCGGAAAACCTTGGTGGGCCGGCCCTAATCAAGTCACACCGGTCAAGAGACTTGCAAGAGACTAAGTAAGACCTTGCTTACTTGATTTCAAAAAAGTTGCTTGCTTGCCTGCTTGCTTCAAAGAGAAACGAAAAAAAGACTCGAGATTATTTGCTACAAACCAGCCACCGCCACGTGAAAGCCATGATGATAAGACAAATTGTGGTTGTATCCATGATGTACAAAGGCACACACCCGAGAGACAAGGGGGGGGAGGGAGAGCATTAAAAAAAAAAAAAAAAAAAAAAAAAGGTTCTCCAAACTGCGCCGTGGTCTGGATGATGGTACAAGGTAGGTAATGAATCAGAAAAAGTCCCGTAATCGCCCAAAAATTCCCAAAAAATCCGTAAGAGGTAGGAAAGATAGCGAAACCAATAGCCGGCGATCATCGGGCAAGCGCGAAGAAAGCATCGGCAAGGATTTGCAAGCCCGACAAGGGTCTCTGAGGGTACTTTACTACATGATTGTACATAACGGTTTAACCTAGGCAGCTAGGTAGTATGTAGAATGAGGGGAGGAGGAGGTTGAGGGAAAGGGTGGTCAGGGGGGGTGTTTGGTTAAGATCTGAAAATGGGCATGGTCTTC